GTAACACCCACCGCGGATAACGATGCTTTGTTTTCTACGGACCCTACTATAAGCATCAATGGCGCTATAGCTACCTCAATGCAAGCTGACGGTGCTGATTCCGCTACTATGGAGCAAATCCGTCTAGATCTTCTCAAGGGCAACCGCGAGACCGCCGTCTGGGCAGCGGTTGATAAGCGTCTGTGGGGACATGCCATGCTCATTTCTCATACAGTCTCGCCTGACTTGTACAAGCGTGTTGCACAAGAATTTATTCGCAAAGAAGTCAACCACCCTGGCCAGAGTAATGAATCACTCGCCGCTCTATACAAGATCCTATCGGGTAATTACGACGACTGTGTCGATGAGCTAGTTCCAGTTCATGCACGCGCCGGCCTGCAGCTTGTCTCAACTGGGTCGTCTTCTGAGCCCACCAAGGACGCTATGGAAGGGCTGGATAAGTGGAGGGAGACCTTGACGCTTGTTCTGAGCAACCGAAGCGCTGACGACGTCCGCGGGTTGAACGCCCTTGGCAAGCTCTTGTCTAGCTATGGAAGAGCTGAAGCCGCCCATATTTGCTTCATATTTGGCAGGCAGATATCTGTTTTTGGCGGCTTCGATGATCCGAATGTAGACTTTGTCCTTTTGGGGTCGGATCACCGCCAAAACTCACACCAGCTTGGAAGAGACACAGAAGCTTTGCAGCTCAGTGAAGTGTACGAGTACGGGCTTTCACTTTCGGGCACCCCTTCTGCCGCTGCTGGCGCTCCCCATCTCGCGCCCTACAAACTCCACCACGCCATCACGTTGGCTGAATATGGCTACCGGGACAGGGCTCTACAATACTGTGATGCTATTCTCTCAGCCATGTCATCGCAGACGAAGAGGTCTCCTTATCATCACCCAGTTCTGGAGGCCTCTGTTGACGACTTCATGCGGCGCTTGAAACAGGCACCGAGAGAAGAATCTTCCTCGTGGATGTCCAAACCTAGCATGAACAAGGTTTCTGATAGCATGTGGAATAGGTTCAACAAGTTCGTTGCCGGAGATGAGTCTGAGAACGCCAATGGCACCCCGGGCGAGGAGAGTGGCCCATTTGCCCGTATAGGAACGCCGTCCATGAGCCGCTCCCCGTCGGTTTCCAACTTTGACACCCTGGGCATCAGCTCACCCGCATACCCAGGGGCCGGTGCTCCTGCTGCTACGTCGGCATTGTCATCAGCGTTGTCGCGATACGCTCCGGCAACTTCCCAGCCTACCTATGGTGTTGAGCCGCCACAGCTGCCTTCTTCTTTCTCTCAGCCTACACTCAACTCAAGCGAGTACCCTGCGAGCGCATACGGGGTCTCCCCTTCTCTCCCTGGCTCTCCACCTGGACGTGGCAATGGATTTGCGCCATCTAGCCTTGGCTACCAGCCAATGACTACTGGTGTTAATAATAAGGGCAAGACTCCTATGGGTGGTTACCAGCCATTATATCAAGAGCCGGTCTCATCACAACAACCCCATGAAGAGCCAGCTACAACTCCCTCTACGGCAGGTTTCCAACCAATGTCCTATGGATATGAACCCCCCTTGAATAACACCAGCATATCCGAAACTGGGATCAATAATGCGGACGTAACAGAGGGCGCGTCAAATGGCTATGAGCCTCCATCTTTCCAGCCTTACGGATATGAGCCCCCGTCCTATCAGCCCGACCTTGGACCCTCTGCAGACGAAAATGAGGATGAACCCAAGCCCAAGAAGAAGAGTTTCATGGATGATGACGACGATGATTTTGGTACTGGTAGTTCAACGGCCAGAGAAAAATCTAAAGCGGAAAAGGATCGTGAGAACCAAGAGTTGTTCCGCAAGGCAGCGGAAGAAGATGGTGAGTTTTTGTGTCTTTTTAATTTTCAATAAAGTTTTGGCTAACCATTCGTAGCGAAACGCGCTGCTGCTGCGCAACAAGCCAAGAAAGGCTGGGGCTTCTCAGGCTGGTTCAGTGGCAGCAATAAGAAGGAGATTGGAAGTCCCGGAGAGGCATCATCTCCTGGCAAGCCCATCAAGGCCAAGCTTGGAGAAGCAAGCAGTTTTGTATATGACCCTGAACTCAAGCGATGGGTCAACAAGAAACCCGGAGCTGAGCAAGTCGAAGCGAAAGCGGCCACCCCTCCGCCACCTAGAGCGCTTGGCAGTCCACGATCCGCCAGCGGAACACCTCCACAAACGCCGCCACCTCCGCAAGGCCGAGCCAGCCTTCCACCTTCATCTTCTTTTGGTTCGTTGGCTCCGCCAGCAGTTCTCAACAGAGCCCCGTCACAGGAAAGCCTTGGCGCACCGCCCATGTTACGATCCATGTCTACCGCTAGTACCGATAGCAAACCGTCAAGCAGACCTACTACGAGCATGAGCAACGCTAGTAGTATTGATGACTTGTTGAGTGCATCAGGACCCCGTAAACCCGGGCAGAAAAAGGCAAGGAAAGGCCGCTATGTCGATGTTATGGCCAAATAAAATCAACAGAAAGTGCTCAACAGTTGCATGACCTACCAAAGACATTTGATAGACTGCTGGAGTTTGCTTCTATTATTTACTTGTTTTGCATGAGCTATTTTTGCTCTCTTTGTAACGAGATGGTGGTAGTGTTTGTATTATAGGATTGGACGTTGTGATATGATGTATTGTTAGCTGGAGGAAGGGTGACTTTTTCACAACAATGAAGTCTCGAATGAAGCGACGAGAGGATGACTGATGCAGATACACATGGCATGATTACACACATATTAGCATTTTGGATATCTTTCATGGAAATAACAAAAAAAAAAAAAACATGTATCCCTTTTTCAATACACCATTCCATTGGAGCCCTTTAGATTTGCTCTTACGTCGTATTGCAAGATTGATTCCAGGCTATGCACTATATGCTTGGACATGATACTGTACTCTTGTAAGCTTATATGAGAAGGAAGGAAGTTGGAAATTCAGAACTTACAGTGAGGACCGCATCATCTGCAGCCCCGTCGTCATAATGCGGTATGTATACATACAGAACTAGAGACTGGTTGTGGCAAAAACATGCTATGACTCTTCCCTCTAGCCTGCCGGCGCTCAGGACTCTGCTCCAGTCTTTCCCGTCGACATAAATCGAAGCCCAAGAGTCGGGTCCACGATCGCGGAACTTTGTACTAGGGTGCTCCTCAATGGGAACCCTGAGCTGGGCGGGATCCAGCTGCGGATTGTCGAGGTCGGTCCAGGCGCTCGAGATGTCGGCCGTCTCGGTGGCGATGCGCACGCGCAGGCCGCCGTGCATGTTGGCGCTGATCTCGAGCCGGGGGGATTTGCTGCTGGCGGAGCCACCGCCGCCGCCAGAGGCGAGGGCGAGCTTGGTGAAGCGGTCCGAGATGGATTTCAGCTGCAGGAGGGGCGGGAGCTGGATGTGGACGTCTGGTTCCTGCAGCGAGGGCTGGACGGTGGAGGCGACGGTGTCGGGATGCAGCACGCGGATGGGGATGTCCTGGGTGATGATCTTTTCGTGCTCTCTGCGCAGGGAAGTCTCGAGGTGAGTTTGATCAGCACCACCGGCGTCCTCGTCGACGTCGCCAAAGGGGTCGTCGAAGGAAGAAGGGGGCTTTAGGGGCGCGGCAGCAGGCGGCGGCGCGTTTCCGAATTTGGAGGTGGATGATTTGGTGTTGGTGGTGATTGTCATGGAGAGGACGGGCACGCCTTTCTTCTTGGTGAGGCGGAGGGAGGCTGAGATGCTGCCCTGGGCGGATTTGAGGGCGCGATGGAGGGGCTGTAGGGAAAGTTCTAGGTTGATGGTGTTGGAGGGCTCGGCGGATTGGATGGTGCAGTTTTCGAAGAGGAAGTCCATTGGCAGTGTTCTTTTTTTTGTTCAAGGTATTAGCAATCCATTTGTATCTTTGGTAAGATGGTTGCTCACGACCAGATCTGCGAGCCTGTATCTGGGACGACTGTGAAGTGTGCAGTTTCATCGCTGAGGCGTAGCCATACCAGCTTCTCCAGAGTGGAAAATGCGGCTGTGAGTTCTAGAATAGGTTGGTAAGCTGAAATTCTTTTTTTATGATGATGATGCAAGGGGGACTCACTGGCAAAGGTGCGGATGTTTTTCAAATCGCTGTGGAACCTCATGCTGGGCGATGGTTTGATTCTGGCTGTGGCTCATCAAATGGAAAATGTACAAGTTTCACGGTTGGAAAGTTGGAGTGAGGTTGTAATATGGTTTGGAGTTAGCGGGTGGGAAATACAGGGTGCATGGATATGGGACCGCTAAAATGGTTTGGTGCGGGTCTGGTGCTGGAGAGCTTCGCTGCATGTAGAATGTCGTTGATGATGGATATGAGGAATTCAAAAGTTCAGACGGATTTGATTGGGATTAATGGTTTCTCTCATATATGAAAATCTAATAGAATAATAGAAATGAATATGGATTTATTCGATTGCAGCGTATGTCGCTACTCGCTGTGGACCCCATACCAAGGTACCTACAGAAGAAGGCCGACGCTTACATGATGAACATTGGATGATTTCCAAGTCATCGGATAAGGTAGTAGGTACCTACTTTAGAATTGTACAGGCATTTGAAAGAATCACAGGTATAGACATTTTAGGCGAGCGCGCACCACGCAAGGCAGGCAGGTTCTAGGTAGTGTTGAGAAAGAAAGTCTTGATCCGTGTTAGTCACTGATCGATATGCCTGCCCGTATGAGTCCCAAAGTCGAGCCTTCCGTGGAAAATGTGCCCAAACAATGGAGGCGCAATTCTCAGGCAACCGCAGTTCCATCAAGCTTGGAGCACGTTGAACTGACAACCCGAACTCAACATTCCACATCCACAAACCCAAAGCATTGCATAACCGGGCTTTTATTCCAACTTGCTTTACACTATACAATACATCATATTGCCTGTCCATCTTGTCTCGCCAACCCAGTATCTCGTCAATTCGCTATGGGCGCCATCACGAAATCAATCAAGCCGGACTACCGCTTTACAGAAGCAGAAGAAAAAAAAAAAGAGCAATGGGGGCTGGACATTCAAAGCAGTCGATCAAGGATCGGCTCCAACGAGCATTGAGGCCCCCATGGGCCCGGGCAAAGAAAGGAAGTGACTCAGAGCTACAGTCTGAGAAACTTGAAGTCAGCGTCACCCGGACAATCTCACGGGGGACGGCCCCAACCATCAGAGCGCCGAGTCCATTAGCACCAGCTGAGACGCAGTTGGCGGTTGCATCGGGGATTCTGGGCAAGCCTATGCCGAAACAGCCCTTCTTGAGCGCAATAAAAATTTCTAGAGAGCCGTTTACTATGTCCAGTACAACGTCGAGGTCAGATATTTCAGAGTCTCTCCGTTCTCATAACATGCAGAGCCCCCTTGAGGTCAGTCCGGTGAGCGACCAGAGTACAATTCGGCCTTTGGCACGCCAACTTGGCAATATTACATCGTCGGAGCCAACGTCTGAACATGTCGACAACGTCAGTCCGATGAGTCAGAGTACAGTTCAACCTTTAGCGAGCCCACTTCGCGATATTCCACCGCTGGATTTCACAAGCAGATACGAGAGCGATGCCGTTCTTTGCCATTTTTGTGAACAACCATACTCGGATGAGGGAGAGCCCAAAGTCTATCTCCCCTGTGGACATTCTTTCGGGCTCGACTGCCTCTATCGATGGATCTCGAATGTGCTTTCTCTAGTTATTTTCGACGAGCTTCCCTTTGCACATTTCAGATGCCCCTACGACTGTATCAGCCTCCGGCACCTCTGTGGCCATCTTGTCACGCCATACGATTCTCCGCCACATCCGTTGCATACCGACGTCTCAGCCTTTGCCATTCCATCAGCCTATGAGTTCTGCAGAAAGGGAAGGGGCAGAAAACTGAGTCGCGATATCAAGCGGCTTCGATCCATGGAGAAAGCTTTGGTGGGAGATCCGGATCACTTGCTTCAGAGAGGGAAGCGGCACAAAATCCTTGACGTGCTTTCTTTCCACCGACCTCCTTTCAGCACCAAGCTATTATCGATGGTAAAAGATTCGAGACTCAAAGCCGAGACAGATCTCTGGCATGAACAAAGGACTTGGTGGCTCGATGAATGGGCGAAGAGATGGTGGGTCAACATTCGAGAGTCTTGGTTTTACACACATCATCCATGGGAGACGGAAATGCAAATAAAGTTTCTGCAGGACCTTGAACTTTTGGGGTCTTGAGCAATTATGAAGCAGAACATGATTGCGGGGCTATTTATTTGGGTGCAGAGTGGCTTTCTTCTCTTCGCTTTTTCATTCCTTTATTCTTTCCTTTTCGTTGAATTATATTATACCCTGAGTCATTACATGGACGGTTTTAGCGATGCTTCACCCAGCGATGTTTTAGCAGTTGCGAGAGTCGAAGAGTTTGAGTGATATTGAGAGCAAGGACTACCCGAGGGCGTTAGCGTTTGGTAAATATTATATCTCTCTGTTCATGTATATAACTCTATGTTTGTCTATTATAATTAAAGCAATGGCAATGCTATCCAACTAAACCGTACTGTTTGATGAATCATCCTTGGTGTTGAGGTGGCAATGTCTAACATGTGATTTCATACAGAGGTAGACCCAAGTGCTAGCTACCCTATCTTTGCAGTAATCAGCCAGCATGAACTTGTCTTTGGCGAGTTATTGAGACCCGGCCCGTTTTTGAAACAGTTCAAACCTTGGATAGCCTGGAGGGGGTAGTTTGGAGGTGTTTTCGAGGGATAGTAAGTCTAGTAAGTTTAGTATGTTTGGCTTTTCCTTTTTCTGTCTATTGCCCGTATAACTCCTTTCAATCCGAATCTGAAGAGTCGCTGTCGTCGATAAATCCCTCCTCTAGGCTTGTATTAAGTTAGCAAGTCGGCTTGGAATACAATACATCTGAGCGTCTGTCGCCATAAAGGTAAATAACCTACTCCCGGCTGAGCCGTCTTGTGCTTTCAATTCCCTGCCTCGACCGCGCAATAGCCTCGAGCACCTGCCGGATGTCGTCGTCAATCTCTCCCAGCTCTTCTCCCTCCTCGAGGTCAACGGCGCCAGAGGCCACCTCCCTATTCCTCCGCCATGTGAGGGGAGCGCTGGCGATTCTGATGAGGCGGTTGGTGAGGCGGTAGCGCCAGCCGGTTGTGTGTTCGGAGATTGCGTCGATGGGCAGGTACTGGCTGTAGCGGACGCGGTAGTGGCGCCATATCGGGACGATGACGAAAGTGAGGATGAGGAAGAGGATGAGGGAGATGACGGCGGGGATGACGAGCGTCTGTGATGTTTCGGTTAGCTCGGTTGCAGTAGAGCCGTAGACACACGACGAACTTGGAGGAGAGAATGGGTACATGAGGCTTACTTTGACGACGACTAGTGTGTCACCCATCTTGGCTGCTATTTTTAAATCGGGAGAAGAAGTGCTGGGTTTAGTGTTTTGGAGAGGGGAGTAGTTTTCTTGATCTACTGGATGCTGCTCGTTCGAGGGGATATGGCGATCATGGCAGTAAGGGTTTGGCCCCCTAGCCAAGGTGCGAGCGAGCGAGCGAGCAAGTAGAAACAAGCGAGTTGAGGGTTTGCGGTTTTTGGCGTCGGTGTTTCTTTGAAGGTTGAAGCCAAGGCGCAGCGCAATTGCGACGACAGGCCGCCAGCCAGCCGGAACGGGATGAGTTACGTACCCCGGAGGCGCTAAGGGAGCCCGCTGGGAGCCCGCTGGGCTAGGCTTGTTGGGGAAGAGTCTATTTGCAGACAATGAGTACCATGATGGCATCACTTTACACTGATAATTGATAACCGTTCTTGTAACAGCTACTTGGAAGAGTAGTCGACATCCACAGATGTACAAGTGCTACAAAGTGTCTCTTTCACCACCACGATATTACAGCAAGTACATGACATCGTGTATATGCCAGGCAAAGGTACTACCTTACTCTTACGGCACCTGAAACTTGACGAATATCCAGCTGGGCGATCGCGTGGGCTTACTATGGCATCACTCGGCAGGTCCACGGGATCGGACATTGGACGCTTCCACGGGCGCATTCTAGATGCGTGGCATGGGCCAAGTCGGCTCTTCCCCACTGATAAGACGAGGGACCCCCGACTGTCTCTGCCATGGGCTGGGAGCTCTTTAATTGTCGCTCGGCTGTTGGAGATTGCTACAGACGTCCCTATTCCAGAGCCTCAAGTCACGACGACGTACAGGCTGATACTGATCCGCGCCGTAGCAATCGTCAAACACTTTGTACGTAATGCGCTGCGGCGAGAGTACGGGCGTAGGTACTAGCGGTGCTCGGCAGCAGGTACAGTAGCACAAGCAAGCATTCATGCGCCATATTAGCAGATGCGACTCTGAAAGTCTATAGACGAAGCACCTCGGTTCGTATTGAGGAGACGAGTTTCGTTGGCTTTGCAATGCCGCCCATATGGGGGATAGCTCAGGGCTCGCTGCTGTCATTGGCAAGTCTTCGATAATGCACACAAAAAGAGGCCACCTTTGAGATCGAAGGACGTCTCTCTTTTTTTTTTTCAGGTTGCACATGTCATCATTTTCCTGGCGGCAGCCACTTCTTAATAAATTCTCCTCCACCGCCCTGGTCCTCATTTCCCGCCTGTCGTCGATTATAGACAACCCACCCTCGATTGCCCATATCCAGCGGTCCACACGCACCGAAGACCCAATTAGGCCCGTCGATGCTGCGGCGCCAACGATTTAGGGGCCACGGTCAACTGAAGTCAGCGCCAGCCCAGCGCCCAATCACCGCTGGCCTTGCCTGCTTCGATGTTCTGCTTCAGCGTCGGCGCCACTTTTAGCGCTGTTAGCACGTCTAGTGGTTGTGACCCAAAAAGACTTGACCTGCTCGGTCGCTGTTCCCTGAGCTTCGCCACTGAGCGAGCCTAAAAGCGGCAGACCCCCTGCTTTCGTTCGTCTGGTGGCAGTCTCTTTTGTTGTCAGGGGAGGACCCTTTATCTTTGTCTCACATCAAATGTACATGTACTTCTCACGTGTATTTCTGTCTACACGGAAGCGCCTGCTTTTTGCATTGTTCCTTCAGGCCCTTTCTCTTTCTCTATGCTGATCTGAAGAGCAGATAGATAGTACATACACATTACACGACAAGCTGGGACAGAAGAAAGCTGAAAAATCCATAATAACCCATCCCATAAATCCCCACTCCCCTGGCGCAGGTGAGGTGTGTGTGCGTGCCGCCAGTCATTCATCATTGATTGATTCTGCCGCCCCCGCCCCCTATCGCTAACTACTTGAGCCCAACTTTGCCAGGCCCTTCAGCGGCCCCGTCTTCTGTAGCACCTCTCAGCCTTGCTTCCAAAACATCAAACCTCGCGCCATCGCAGCCTTCGACAAGCACAGTCGCCCAGCTTTCGAAGCGCCGACAAGGACCGGGGCAGCATCAGAGGACGCAAAGAAAAAGGACCACAGCAGCGCCAGAAAAGACGAAACAAAAGGCTAATACCAAAAAGAAACTCCAAACCCGAGGCCATCCAATAGTCCTCTAGATCCCCCCTCCCCCCACTGCAGGCCCAGCCCTGTCTGTCCCTCTTTCGCCGGCAAATTAGGCCTCCATCATGCGAGCGGTCCAGGGCTCGCACTCCGCTGCCGTTACGTGTTTCGCCTACCCACTTCTCTCCACGATCAATTATCATGTCGTCCGCTGCCGATAAGTCCAGACAGTCTTCCGGCGGCAGATCTCTCTTCTCTCGAGGCAAGCACCGCGCCGACAAGCGCTACACCGACATCGATCCCAAGAGCTCGTCAGAACAATTCGAAACGGCGTCCATAATTTCTTCGCGCTCCTCGCGCCACAAGCGGGAGTCTTCGTCGATTTCGGTCGACCAGCCCGGTTCTCCTGATGCTGGCATCAACCAGATGGCGGGTGTGATCACGTCCATCCCCTACGACGGCCCGCCGGGCTCTCGATCGCCAGTCTCCCTCGAGTTCCTGCCCAGGCCCGACCAAGGGCCGCCGCAGCGCCGCGAGCCTGTGCCGCACCAGCTCAACGTCAGCGGATTCGACTTTCACCAGTATCCGTCCATCGACCCGTCGACAATGGCCAGCCACAACTCCCACCCCCACACCCCTGCGCGGCCGGGCACATCGTCCAACATGTCAATCAACAACATCACCATGGCCTCCACGGGCAAGCAGGCACAATACCAGCAATGGGGGCCGGGACCCGGGCCTGGAGGAGCTGTTCCGGCTCGTGGCAGCACGTCCAGCTCCACCACCAACGGCTCGTATCCTGTCCGGTACGACTCCTACCAGAACCCTTTCTATGCCCGATCCTCCGGAGAGAGCTTCAACAACCCGCACGGTGGTGGCGGCGGCGGCGGTGGCGGCGGCGGCGGCTACCTTAACCCGGCTTCAGCCCGCTCTTCGCACACCACGCTTGCGCCGTCGCCGCCCGGAAGCTCACATTTCACGCCTCACTCTCCCCGTGACACGCACCGGTTATCGAAAATGAGCGCTTACGGCCCGGCGTCCCACGACGGCTTCTACTTCCCCAAACCCGATGACAACTACGTAGTCGAGCAGATGTTCATGCAGCTTATGCAGAAGCGAGGATGGCACAATCTCCCTGAGCAGGCTAGGAGACAGATGACGGCCTACCCCGCAGAGAAGAAGTGGACATTGCTGCACCAAGATCGTTTAACAGAATGGCAAGGAGAGCAGAAACGGAAGCAAACCGCCAGAGCTAACCAGTATACTACGCCCGACGTAACGACTTACTCCGATGAAGAGGGCACTCCGGAATGGTATGTCAGGAGGGTCATGGAGGACAAGCTGGATGCGAAGGGCATGGGGTCCCTCGAAGTCAACCTGAGAACACAACAAATTGGCTGGGTGAAGCGATTTGTCGAGTGCCAGGGACAAGTGGCTCTGGTCACTCTGTTGCTCAAGATCAATAGGAAGAACGCCAACGGAGGACCGGCCTCTTCTTCGGCAGTCGACCCCCGGTTAGAGAAGAATCTGGATCGCGAATACGACATTGTAAAATGTCTCAAGGCTTTAATGAACAACAAATTTGGCGCCGACGATGCCCTCATGCAGTCAAAGGTCTTGCTGGCCTTGGCCACATGCCTGATTTCCTCTCGACTCACTACCCGAAAACTCGTGAGCGAAATCTTGACCTTCCTCTGTACGTGGGGAAACCATGGCGAGGGACATCTGAAAGTCATCCAGGCCTTGGATGAAGTCAAGACACAGGCCGGCGAAAATGGAAGATTTGATTCTTGGATGCGACTGGTGGAGGTAACCGTTGATGGACGTGGAAAGATGGGCAGTCTCGTGGGTGCCAGCGATGAGCTTCGTACCGGAGGTATTGGAATGGAGAATCTGTTGATGGAATATGCGGTCGCTACCCTGATGCTGGTCAACATGATCATCGATGCTCCTGAAAAGGATCTCCAGATGAGAGTCCACATCAGAGCTCAGTTCCACGCCTGTGGCATCAAGAGAATCTTGACCAAGATGGAGGGGTTTCAATACGAGCTGTTGGACAAGCAGATTGAACGGTTCCGTACCAACGAGGCCATTGATTATGAGGATATGCTCGAGAGGGAGAACACCAGCATGAAGGATAATGTCGAGGCGGATCTCAAAGATTTGACTGACCCTATACAAATTGCCGACACCATCCAGCAACGGCTGCATGGAACCAAGACACACGACTACTTTGTATCTGCGCTGCAGCATCTTCTGCTCATCCGCGCCAGCGATGGCGAGGAACGGCTGCGAATGTTTCAGCTTGTCGATTCGATGCTTAGCTATGTGGCCATGGATCGCCGTCTGCCAAATATGGACCTCAAGCAGAGTCTCAACTTTACAGTTCAGAGTCTGCTGGACAAGCTGCACACCGATTCAGAAGCTCGACAGGCACTCGATGAAGCGTTGGAATCTCGCCAGATTGCTGAAGCCGCCATGGCTGAACGAGACGAGATGAGGGCAAAGTTGGAGCTTGGAGCGGATGGGCTCGTCGCCAAGTTACAGAAGCAGCTGGACGAGCAGACTCGGTTTATCGAAGCTCAGAGACGCCAAGCTGATGGCCTCAAAGTGGAATTGAATAACATTCAAAGTGTTCGAGCCAAAGAGGCACAGCGTTACGAGCTTGAGACGAGAGAGCTGTACCTCATGCTGCGAGACGCCCAAGATATCGCGGCATCTAACGCTGTTAAGACCAGCATCGGTGCCAAGCCTGGCAAGGATAACTCAGCACAAATGCAGGGCATCCTCGACCGTGAACGCCTTATGGAGCGTCTACAGAAGCAGCTTGAGCGCCAAAAGACTCAGTATAAGCTGGAAGGTAGAATCTGGGGAGATTCTGACGGCCCATCTGATCGCCTTCGTGCTCTCAGAGAAGCCATGGATGGCGATGAAGAGCCGGGCACGCCTCCCGGGGGCGGTACTCCGCCTAGAGATTTCACAAACAGTGTACTCGGAACTATTCATCGCCAGCCGAGGGCCTCTCGAAGGCCGCCCAAGCGTGAGAGTGCCATCGGTGAAGATGACGTTGATCTTGACGAGGAGGGTGTCGTTATCGAGCGCCCCAGACTGATCGAGATGAGGCGTCCAGTAGTCGATTCGAAGCAGCAGGCTCAATTTGCTCAAGTCACAGGCGAGATTGGTTCAAAGATCAAGCGATACGACGGCAGCGATTCCGAAGCCGACGACGGCACCACGACCGGTCCATCCCACCCGAGCATGGAATCGTCTTCTCCCATCACCCCGGCAGAAGGCGAGGCTCCCAAAGTCGAAATCACCGGACCCCCTCCGCCTCCGCCTCCGCCACCTCCCCCTATGCCCGGTCAACTGCCCGGCGTCCCACCTCCGCCGCCTCCACCTCCTCCCCCACCGATGCCGGGCTCATTCCCCGCGCCTCCACCACCTCCGCCGCCCATGCCCGGTGCTATGGGAGGGATGCCACCACCTCCTCCACCGCCCCCTATGCCCGGTGCCAAGGGCATGCCGCCGCCTCCGCCGCCGCCTCCCGGGATGCCTGGTGCCATTTCTGGTCACTACTTACCTCAGCACCCTACCTTCACTGCCGCGCCTTCTGTTGGCTTACCGGTGATGCGGCCTAAGAAGAAACTCAAGGCTCTTCACTGGGAAAAGGTCGATACCCCTGAGACCAGTCACTGGGCAGCTCACACCCCCTCCGTCGAAGAGCGAGAAGAGAAGTACAACGAACTTAGTCGGAGAGGTATCTTGGACGAAGTCGAGAAGCTTTTCGTTGCCAAGGAGATTAAGAAGATTGGTGGAGGTGGTGGTAAGAAGGATGACAAGAAACAGCTTATATCATCCGACTTGCGGAAAGCATTTGGTACGTTGATGATGTTTGAATTGGTGAATTTCTCTATACTTGAACGGACTGAAGCTAACGAGAGTGAATTCAGAAATCGCCTTTGCCAAGCATTCTCAATCCTCTGTTGAAAAGATTGTACAGATGATCATCCACTGTGACGACATCATAATCACAAACCAGGGTACCATGGATTTCTTATCAAAGGATGATATGTGCAATATCAACGACAATGTTGCCAAACAGATGGCTCCGTATAGTAAAGATTTGACTGGCCCAGATGCAACGAACCAAACCCGAGAAATGGACCCCGAGGAGCTCACACGGCAGGATCAGCTCTACTTGTATACGGCATTCGAGCTACACCATTACTGGAAGAGCAGAATGAGGGCGCTTGCACTTACCCAGAGTTTCGAAGTCGACTACGATGAGATTATTTCCAAGATGCAGGACGTTGTGACTGTCTCTGAGTCATTGAGAGATTCCGTCGCCCTTATGAATGTCCTTGGTCTCATTTTGGATATCGGAAATTACATGAACGATGCCAACAAGCAGGCTCGCGGTTTCAAGCTTAGCTCGCTCGCTAGACTAGGCATGGTCAAGGATGACAAGAATGAGTCGACGCTGGCCGATCTTGTAGAGCGTATCGTGCGAAACCAGTATCCGGAATGGGAAGGATTTGCAGACGACATTACGGCCGTTACAACGGCGCAAAAGATCAACATTGAACAACTTCAGACCGACGCCAGGAAGTATATCGACAATGTGAAGAATGTTCAGATGTCATTGGACAATGGTAACTTGAGCGATCCCAAGAAATTCCACCCTCAGGATCGTGTGGGCCAAGTTGTCCAAAGGGTGATGAAGGAAGCCAGAAGAAAGGCAGAACAGATGCAAGTTTACTTGGAAGAGATGATGAAGACTTACAAGGACATCATGCTGTTCTACGGAGAAGACCCAGCAGACGAAAACGCCCGAAGGGACTTCTTCACCAAGCTGGCCACGTTTGTCATCGAATGGAAGAAGTCACGCGACAAGAACGTTCAGTTGGAGGAGCAGAGAAAGCGCAACGAGGCTTCTATGAAGCGCAAGCAGGCGGCGACCAAAGCCGCAAGTGTTTTGGACAATGGCCCTATATCACCGTCAAGCACTGGCGCTATGGACTCTCTTCTTGAGAGACTTCGAGCAGCCGCACCACAGGTACGGGATCAGAGAGACCGTCGCCGCCGTGCCCGTTTGAAGGATCGCCACCAGGTTCGCGTAGCCTCCGGCCAGCAGATTGTGGATCTCAACGAAGACTCAGCAGTCGAGGCGAATCTCACCATTTCTGAGCCGGCTATTACTGAAGAAGGAGATGCACAAGCCTCATCATCTCTTCCTCCTCCATCGCGGGATGGCCATGAGGAGGACGATGTAGCTGACCGAGCTGCGGCATTATTGCAGGGCATGCGTGATGGCGATGGAAACGACGAGGCGGACATTGAGAGGAGAGAGACGATGAGAAAGGCAAGGAGACAGACGGCCGAAGAGGAACGAAGAGCAAGACGGAGGCGAAGAGAGAGGGCCTCAAGCACAGTAGACGGACCGAAGGACGAAGCTTCTATACTATCGATAGCAGAAGAGGCACCACCAACACCAGACACGCCGAGACAAGAGGAGGAGACAATAATGTCGCCGACGGAGGCGAAGGCGGAGGAAGTCCAGACGGAGGAAGCTAAGGGTGAGGAGGCTGTTGGCGAAGCAAGCAAGCCAGAGGAACCCGAGGAGATGCAGGAATAAAGCATCACTTTGTGTATTTTTTTTTTGAAGAAAGGAAAAAAAAAAAGAATACCCCATGAACATGATGATCCATGGATGAGCATATATGTATACACACGTCCTGTTATGTCAGCAAGTATCATACATATATACTTAATGTCTACAACTACAACGGCCGCAAGAGGCGAGACGAGGAGGCATTAATCACTCTTTTTTTTTTCTCCTTCTTTCCTCGCTCGCCCTTTGCTGCTCTCCTTTTTTTCCTTGGCATGATTGAAGCTTTAATGGAGTTGATCAATGTTTGAGATGTGCTGCGTTGTCTGCGGGAATATATAAGATACATGAGATGTGTGCCTTTTAGCTGTGTTCAAGCGCTGATGTTGAACAGGTATCAAGGTGTGGTAATTTACATTTTGGTTTTTGTTGTACCGATTGTAGTTTAGTTGTATAATTAAGATTTATTTTTCCTTATAGTGAAAGCTTAACATGTCCTTTGTCTTTAATTATATAATTTCAATGCTCCATTCTATACTAAGAGAGGTGTCAAGTATGGAAAAATGATAGAACTTGGAGTGCTATGCCGTGATGGATATCGTTACACCAGTCAAACAAACAAAAAATGAAAGAGAGAGAGGAAAGCGGGAAAAGGAGGATACGCCCAGGTCTTCTTTCAGCAAGCTTCATCTCTCTCTCACCGCGATGGACTCAATGGCCTATTGAAACCTCCCTGTCTGTTCATATACTGCCGATACTCGGACTTCTTCTCCTTTCGCACACCGCCGGCGTTATTGCCCGCCACTTTTTTCCCCTTTGTCGTGCCGAAGCCGCCAAAGCCCATCATGGACTGCATGGCGGCGAGCCCGTCGTCGTCATCGCCTTGGCCTTGGACCTCAATGTCTTCGTCGTAGTCGTCCTGGTCCATCTTGCTTGGCGAAGGGGGTGCGTTTTTCCGCTTGGAGTCGTGGTCGCGGTCGTGGCGGGGTGAAGGACTTCTTGTGGCGTCGGATTGGGGCTTTCGAGAGCTGTTTTCGGGATGGGGACGGGTGGGGAGGGCGGATGGGAGGGAGGGCGGAGAGGCTGAGCGGCGGCGGTCGTCGCGATAGTTTGCTGTGTTTTTTTGGTTTTTTGGTTAGCAAGGATTTGATAGTGTGTATCTTGTTTTTGGGCTTCTTACATCTTCTGTCTCTGTTGTAACCATCGCGATCATCTCTATCGTTGTGCCGGCGAGGACTCTCTCGTCTGTCGCCGTCTCGGCCTCTGCGCTGGTCTCTGCCGCCTCGGGTTCTGTCCCCTCCACGGTCTCGTCGGTGATTATCTGGTGATGCGGAACGATCATTCTGGTTGTCGCGTCGGTCTCGCGATCGTGATCTGTAGTTTCGACGGTCTCGTCCCCGGTCACGGTCACGGCCTCTTCCTCTGTCTCGAGTGTCCCAGCCGCGCTCGCGATCACGGTCTCGGTCTCGGTCTCGACCGGCGTTTCTGTCGCGGCGATCTGATTCATCCCACATTTGGCGGCTGTCGGGTCGCCTGGGTCGACGTGAGTCGCTCATTGTGTGTATTTTATCTTGGTGTTTTAAACCAGAGGAAGAATAAGATGCGAATTTCTTTGGTTGGGAGTAATTGGGATATGACGTCGGGTAGTGTCGCAGCTAAAGTTTAGAATCTTTTGGGCCAGGCTGAAGACAATGGAATTACAGGGGTAGGAGGCTGAAGTTGTGGCTGGGGTGGCTTATCAGAGCGCCTTGATTGGCCATCTGGAGCTTTTATCCGCTGTAGCTCATCAGCCTTGCATTCACCCACCAAGGACCAGCGCCACCGTGTTCACTCAGCAGGGCAGCTGTCTTTAGTGAGGAAGACAGCTCTTTCATACCATTGGTATTTGTTTTTTCTTTTTTTTTTTTTTTTATAAAGAGTAACTTCTGGTAAGAAATCTCTTTGTATAGAGCTGAGCTCTGAGAAACAATCATGGCGAGATTCGCCCAATTGCTGGCCTCAGCGGCGGCGCTGGTCGCTGGTGCCTCCGCTATTGGCGATGAATCTATCCTGATCAACGAAATTGGCCGCCTGAACAACCAGAGTCTGCTATGGGGCCCGTACAAGCCAAATCTCTATTTTGGAGTGAGGCCGAGGCTGCCCCAAGGCCTGTGGACTGGTTTGATGTGGGGGAGAGCTGAGGGGTACACGGATATCCAGCAATGTACGTGGTGATGGCTGCTCTCATGGGCTTGTCTGCTAATATTCATGGTGTAGTATTCCGATATACATGCGAGCAAGGCCAAGACATTCATGGATACGGCTGGGATGAGTTTGATGCACGAACTGGTGGTGTTCAAACCATACACGATGAGGGAAACGGCCTTGATGTCACTATTTCTTTCATTAAAGTGCCTGGAGGCAGCCATGGTGGCAGTTGGGGCGCCAGGATAAAGGCAACTGTCCGGGACGATGCACCGCCTGACAGCAATTATCTGGTACACTACTACGTTGCTCAAGAAGAACTAGGTGATCTTATCGTCCAGGGCGATGATAATGGTGGACTCGGGTTTGAGGGTGATGTCACTTTCAAGGGTAGCTCCCACTCCTTAGGAGACTACAACGTCGTCATCACCAAGGGAACCGGTAACCATCCAACATCTGATCATGAAATAAGCGCTACTCGACGTGGAGACACTACAGTGGTTCGAAGCGTCAGCCTCGCGGCGAACGATGTGTGGCAGGCCAAGCCAGCAGTGTTCCAATTTATGCAGGATACCATCAAAGATATGCAACAGGACTATGACGAGGAGAATTTCCCTCCGCCATGGCAGATTTATCGAATCAAGTCTCAGGCGGGCGGCGGCAATGCTCATGTCGTTCAAAAAGTCTTTGAGGGAGGATTCGAATTCGACATCATCTTCTCATCAGCCTCTGCGGGTAAGGAGATGACGAGCAAAGACATCACTCGGGAGATCAAGGTGGCTTCAGAATCCTTTGGAGAGCGGTTCTCAAGTGTTTTTGATTTGAAGGCGCCTTACACGGCTGAAAAGTACCAGAAGTTTGGCAAGAGCATGTTTTCAAATTTGATTGGAGGCATTGGATATTTCCATGGCCACCAGTTGATTGATCGGTCTTATGCGGACGAGTATGAAGAAGAGAATGAAGGCTTCTGGGAGGATACAGCTGAAGCTCGCGCTCGCAAGGCCCAGCAGCTAGAAGGCCCGTATGAGTTGTTCACAAGCGTTCCATCACGACCATTCTTTCCACGAGGATTCTTCTGGGATGAGGGATTCCACCTCATCCCGATTGCTGATTGGGATATCGACTTGACCCTTGAGATTGTCAAAAGCTGGTACAACACCATGGACAGCGATGGATGGATTCCCCGTGAGCAGATTCTTGGCCCAGAGGCAAGAAGCAAAGTGCCACCGGAATTCCAAGTCCAATACCCCCACTACGCCAACCCACCCACTCTGTTCTTGATCATTGAGGACTTTATGGAACGCCTACGAAGCGCCAACGGCAGCGCACCCGCTGAAAAAGAGAAACTGTCTCAGGGACATACCTTGTACAGTGCTCATCTGGATAACCTGGAACTTGGCGGAGATTTCCTTCAAAAGATTTATCCTCTTCTCCGACGACAATACGATTGGTTCCGCAAGACACAGAGGGGCCAGATTAAGGCATATGACCGAGAATCATTCTCTTCCAAGGAGGCATACAGATGGAGGGGCCGAACCGAGACCCATTGTCTTACCAGCGGCTTGGACGATTATCCCCGGCCGCAGCCACCTCATCCTGGCGAGCTCCATGTTGACCTCATGTCTTGGGTTGGATTCATGACAAAGTCGCTCATCAGCATTGCAGATGCACTAAACCTGGCTGATGAAATTGAAGAGCTAAAGAAGAATCTTTTTGCCATCGAGCGCAACCTTGATGACCTTCACTGGTCCGAGAAGGAAGGATGCTACTGCGATGCAAGCATTGATGAATTTGAGGAGCACGCTCTCGTATGCCATAAGGGTTATATCTCGCTGTTCCCGTTCTTGGTCGGGCTGATGCAGCCCGATGATGCCAAGCTGGGCAAGATCCTTGATCTGGTTGGTGATGAAGACCACTTGTTTAGTCCTCATGGGCTACGTAGTCTGAGCAAGCAAGATGCTCTGTATGGAACTGAAGAGAATTACTGGCGCAGCCCGGTCTGGATGCCAATCAACTACATGGCATTGACGCAATTATATGTAAGTGTTGCATACTGCATACCGTTTTTGATGCATCAACTAACCATTCTGTTTGCAGAAAATTGGCACCCAAGAGGGTCCCTTCCAGCGCCAAGCCAGGGGTTTGTATAACAAGCTGCGCACGAATCTGGTTGATACGGTGTACAAGAGCTGGGAGGAGACGGGCTTCGCGTGGGAGCAGTACAATCCTGAGACGGGCGCTGGTCAGCGCACGCAGCATTTCACCGGCTGGACGAGCTTGGTGGTGAAGATTATGGCGATGGAGCCGCTGGACGAGGCTGTGCACATTAGAGATGAGCTGTAAATGTGAGTCTGGTTGATGCCTTAGAGGATAGACGAATTGGAATTGAACCGCCATCTCGATGAGACATTGTTGCAGAAAAAGCATTGGATAAGAAAATTGGACCTCGCATCATCCTAGGCCTGAGCGTGACTCTCAGCCCCGGAAAGAAGATTAAGTGAGTTTGATTGACGCCAGTTCTGGTTGATGCCTTGGAGGATAGACGAATCGGCATCGCCATCTCAATGGGAAATTGTTGTAGAAAAGCCATTGGATGAGAAAACCGGACCTCGCATCATCCTGGACGTGGCGTCGACCCCTGAAAGAAGCTTCTATGCGAGTTAAAAGGCTCTGTTCGTAATCCTGCGGGATGTAGGAGGTAATATGAGATCATTGGGCTCGTTGGGCTGCCGCGTAGATGTACATGGTCAGACGTGGCTGCTGCCCTTCATCCCCGGGTTTAGCTACTCTGCACGCCTAATTGGCGATGCACGTCGACGTCGATGGCAATAACATGGCCCGTTATTAAATGAGATTGGCGAATGCTGTGCGCCGCCATTATACGCATGTTCGCATCCTTAGCGGTGTGATATGCCCTGCATCCCTTTTCTGCCAAGTAGATGCGAACGACATCCGTTGGTCATAGAAGACCAAAATTCAATGCCAAATCTCCTGTTTGCGTCATTCTAGTTGATAAAATGTCGCTCGGATATAGAGAGCAAGGGGGATGATCCTGTCTTCCGACTAGCGGAGGCTACTGACTCACTAGATTGGGGTTGAGGTTGTATTTAACTTAGCTGCTTTGTTCCAGTTGAGCCTCTTCCTCCAACTCTTTAGCGCCATACGTCGAGCGCTTCAATCAACGTCAACACTTTGTCGCCATGGCTGTTCTCTCTCAAGACGAGGTAAACAGAGGTCTCAGCATCAGAAGGGCCACAGTGGAAGATTTGTCCTTTGTGCAAGCCATTGTCAATGCCAGCTACTCGAAATACATTGAGCGCATGGGAAAGCCTCCCGCACCTATGCTCCTCAATTACACAGTATTGCCCAAAGGACAGGATATCTTCGTTTTGGAGACCATTTCGGACGACCAAGGCTCGGAAATTGTTGGCGCCATTACACTTGCTATAGATGATGCAGGTAGTGCGGTCAAGATCAGCAATGTTGTTGTTGGGCCTGCTGCCCAGGGACGAGGATGCGGTCGTGCGTTGATGGATTTTGCAGAGGCGGTGGCGAGAGAAAAGGGCATCGATTCGCTGGAGTTGTATACTAATGCGAAGATGCATGAAAATATTAGCTTGTATCCAAAATTTGGGTATATAGAGACGGGAAGAAGGAGTGAAGATGGGTACGATCGAGTGTTCTTTCGGAAGCAGCTGAAGGACTAGTTCATGTAAGCAAGTTACTAGGGATGTTTGAAGCTGCCTCGTTATTTAAAAGGATTATTAACCTAGATGTGGTCTTTCAGAGTGTCATTACTAATGAGTCATGACAGTAAAGTCTTTGAAATCAGAAATAATGGCAAAGAGCTGCGGGTTTGTTTCGTCGAGAATTTCGAGCAAGTGGCTTCGGTGAGGGCATAAAAAAATGAGGCTCTACTACTATGTCTGCTTATTGGCTGAAATAAAGAGCATATGGCATGCAATACATGGGGGCTGAGCAGTCCATTCGCTTTCGCGCCCTCGTTTTAGCCGCTGCATACGCCTACGACCCTTGCAATTGGAAATGGGACTCGGATACTGAGCAAAGGCAAACAAAATCGGGAAACACAAAAGAGGCTCCACGGTAGCACAGCCTGGTTTTTATTTTGCTGACACCGACAAATGTCTCAAGCCCAACCCTTATCCGATTGATTCATCCATTCGTTCGTTCAGCAGGAGATATTGACGTGGTCCTTCCACGCTCTTCCCTTGCAGCATCCAGTTCGGAGAACCCGAGGACGGGTATAAGTGGAGAGATATATATAGCTGCTACTCTACTTGCACATGTAAGATTGGGCCATGATTGCACCCGTGATTGCAGGTATCTCGATCCCAAAGCAAGGCCCCCAAACGCCCAAGTAGAACATTGCCTGCAGTGCAGCCTCAGCCGCACCTCGGCGACGCAACAGGGTACGGCATGCATACGACACGCAGCATAGACTGCATTCGGTGAGAGGATTTGGGCCTCTCGTGCAGGAAATCTTTTCAGTTGGTCAAATATGGATGTCATTCTTGGATTCCAAGAGGCTGTAAAACGGGTTCCGATATATCGGATGCTTTCATCTGCTACTCTATGCTACCCATCGGATGTAGAAGCAAAGCCAGCTCACCATTATGGAGTCGGCTCAGCCCAATTCTCGCATTGCTTTGATATGCTGTAACCCAATGATGCCTTCTCCTGTACTCGAGCTGTCTCTAATACGTTGCCCAACGGTACCTCGTGACCCAAATTTTTTTCCCTTCCATGTATGTACCTTACACGCACAGTTTAACACCCTTCACGTCATCGCATCCACCCACTTAGAGCCTCATCATCTCCATCTCTGATTGGGTGTGGGCGAAGCCTCGATGTTGTTGCTGTGCAGGCCGGCTAGCCGACTCTGGTATGCGGCAGGCGCCTCGAGTATATATGGTGTGGCCAAGGTCCAAAGTCCAAAGACCAATTTGTTCCTTCTAACAATCCTTCCATCGAAACATCGTTTGCCAACATGGACAGGCTGCAGGAGATTATTCGCTTCCTCACGGCTGCCGGTGGAACGCCCTCAAGGGATGGCAATAACACGCATTTTACCTTTGAGGAGAAAGGTTCTATTCGCATGCGGACATGGACTGGATCTGAACTTATCGAAGACGAGTTGATCGCTGATGAGGTCAGGCCGGGCACCTCAGCACCAATTGTTAACGGCAGTCATAAGGTAAGTCAGGCCCAGAGAATGCATAGTTGCCAAGTGTCATGGAAGAATCTAAGCTGATCTTTTCTGTTTCTTAAAGAGAATTTTTGTCGTTCATAAAGATAGCTCAATCAAATGCTTTATAGATCCTCTTGGAGACGGTGACCAAGTCGAAGAAGACGAGATAAACGATGATGCCCCCTGGAATGAAGAAAAGATTGCCGGCGTGGATACTCAGGCCCACCCACAAAGTCAACTTGCTGTTTCTTATGACAGAAACACCGTCTTTGTCTTTTACCAGAAGCCAGATGGTACTCTCGGTTGCCTCAATGAGTACAATAACCAGTGGAAAGACGTCAAACTCCCAGCTGTGGCTGCACTTGATGGAACTCCACTGGCTACTTGCAATACCAACTACGCGGTGTTTTTATTCTACATTAGCACGGATGGGACTGTTCGCTATCTGGAGAACAGAGAAGGCAAATGGAATGGTGCGTACAACATCTCTTTGGGGGACCTGATTCGAAGATGTTCTGACAATGATTAGATGTATTCTTCTCCGCCGCCAAGATACTCGATCCAAAAGCAGAGCGACCTGGCTCAGCCTTCAGACTGACTGTTGCCGAGGATAGACAGCCATTTGAACGCATTAGACCATTGGTCTTTTGTCTTCACAATGATGATCTCTCTATAATTAAATGTCGCAGCAAGAAATTGGATACTATAGGGAGAGTAGAAGGTACAGAGTTCGTACCTTGTCTTGGTAAGGAGCGCAACAAGTACTACTTCTGGAGCCCGTACCCTTTTTACACCATGATTAAGCGGAGGGGCAAGGATCTAGCTCAAGCTACTATATCGAAAGGGCTTTGGAAACAATACGTTAAGCGCTCAACTCCTCCGCAAGAGTCAAGTGCGACGAAGCATCTTAATGGACTCCAAGAGCCCTTTGTCGACAACAGTGGCGCTCCAATGGTGAACAACAACAAGACTTCAGCTACTGTGAGCCTTGAGACTGCCCCTGTCCAAGCTATATTTTTGCCACGGATACCAGAGCAGAGGAAAACTCCAAGCGGCATTCCGGCACAGAACTCCGTGTTCGCAGGGCTTGTCAGATTTACGGATCCCTTTAATTTGATGGGAAGATTCTTTGGCAACGGACACAATGACGATGCCACTCAAGAGGCAAGTAAATCTTCGGTTTGAGATATGAGCTATATACTAATTCCAGACTCACAGACTGCTTCAAGAGATATGGAATCTGATCATATTTCAAATGTTCCGCTCCAAGCAAATGGATCTGAAATGAACGGGAGGGAAGGTGGCACGATTGAATTAAATGGAATGGACACAAGCACATTCGAAACTGAAGAAGTTAGACCGAGAGAGGCTGAATCTGAGGAGCCTAAGAATGAACAGGACAAGGTGGATGGAACTGAAGCGGAAGAGGCTTTGGTTCGAAAAGATGAACAAGAGGCGGATTCGGAAGGCACAGAAGAAGAAACTGGCTCAGAGGGAACTATTTTTGAAGATGCCGAAACAGCTCCTTCTGAAGTTGAAGAAGTTGATCTTGAAGAGGATCAGTCTCAGGTTATTCAACCCGAGGAGGCTCAAATCGAAGACCTTCAAACCAAAGACCTTCAAACCAAAGACCTTCAAACCAAAGAGCGTCAACCCGAGGAATGTCAGCCCGAAATAGTTCAGAACAAAAAGGCTCAGAACAAAAAGGCTCAGAACAAAGATTTGCAAACCGAAGTTGAAAGCAAAGAAACCCATATTGAGATCGCTCCGACCGGGGATACTCAGGGTAAAGAGGTTCAAGCCGAAGATGCACAAACCGAAGATGCTCAAGCCGAAGATGCACAAACCGAAGATGTTCAAACCGAAGATTCTCAAACCGAAGATTCTCAAACTGAAGATGCGCAATTCGAAGATGCGCAATTCGAAGATGCGCAATTTGACGATGCTCGGATCAAGGGTCTTCAGACCAAAGAAGTTCATTTTGATGATATTCAAGACAAACAGGCCCAAAACGAAGAGTTTCAAACCAAAGAACCTCAGACTAAGGAAGCTCCAACAAAAGAAGCTGAGATAAAAGATTCTGAGGTTGGCGTTGAACCAGAAGAACTTGAAAATGAGAGATCTGAAACCAGTGATTTTGAACCCAAAGAACTTGCATCAAAGTCTGTTAAAGGGGCAGAAACAAAAGCTGAGGATGCAGCGGAAACCTCAACTACAAGAACCCCAGCTATGATGACACGTGCTGCAAAACCAACTAACGCAAGACGGCCTACGGCGAAACCTAAGGCGGAAACTGCTGTTGCTGGAGGATCTGGGAAGAGGTCAGACACTGAGGAATCTGAGTCTGAAAATTCTGACTCCGAAGACTCTGATTGCGAAACTCCAACTCATAGCAAAGGGAAAGGGGTTGATTACCCTGATGCTCCAGTTCCGGCTAGATCGAGACTCACCACGCAAAAAGCAATTCGTGAAGACATAACCAAGTTTATCGATGAGTCCGAGCTCTCTTCATTCTTTTCAGATGACCCTTCGTACTTGGACACCGTTGTTAAGAACGCTTCCAAGTACAAGAAAAAGAAGAAAAACAAAGCAAAGAATGATGCACATGTGCAGAGCATTGCAAGATTAAACATCTATCAGCCAGTGCTCTATTGCGGTAAGCGACTGCCACTCGGGGTTTAACTCTTACTACATCTTTTCTTAAACAAAACTTCATGTCACTAACGGTGCCTTTGATATACATAGATGACAGCACCTCAATGAGAGATGGTAAACGTGTTGGAGACCAAAAGAAAATGGTTCGCCGAGTTACTCAATTTTCTACCTGCCTAGTGCCTTTAGGCTACGGCACAAGCCTGCAGTTCATTAACCTTAAAAGCGAAGACGTGCATAACAACAAACTCACCTATAATGATGTTAAGAAAAAGATTGACTCAATGCGTCCGCACGGCAATACTAGGATCGGTACCAATCTTTATAAGAAGATTCTCAAGCCACTTGTTTATGATGTAATAAACAGTAAAAACCGGCTTAAGCGACCCATTTTCATTTCTTGCATCACGGATGGCTGTCCTAGTGGAGAATCTACTGAACAATTCAAAGAGGAAATATTAAAGTGCGTTCGATTTCTTGATGCCAACGACTATCCACGCTCAAGTATGTCATTAGCCCCAGCTATCTATTCCAAGATCATCAACTAACTACTGATAGCTGTTCGATTTCAAATCAGCCAAATTGGTAATGACCCCAGGGCTGATGGATTTCTCGAAGAACTCAGAGGTGAGATCCTCCGTGATCCTGACCTCAAGGAAGTGCTGTATTGCACAGCTGGTGAGTCACCTTGCATCAGGTAAATCCACGTCGTCAGAGCTAATATATAATTGAAATAAAGAGCGTCTGGATGAAAAATTCGAAGAATTGAAGAAAAATGAAGAGATGCTCGAACAATGGGTACGCTTGACCTTCTCTTCTTTACATGATGGCTTACGCTGACGACAGTATAGCTCTTGCGGACACTTGTGATGCCATTGATGGGCGAACGTATTAACACACTTAATTTTAACAACTGAAAGAAGAGATAGATCTTGTAGGAATGGTAGAGGTATTACTTTCAGGCATTCTTTGACATTATCTTCATTTGTATCATAACATTTTCTTAGCATTTCCTTTTTCATGAGCTCTCTCTCTCTTTCTCTCTCTTTCACATGCTCAATATTTTTTGATCGAAAGCATAGTTAGCGACCTATAATGATAAGTTTTTCTTATTTAGTTTCCTTCATGTATATCGCTGCCCGAGCCATGGCGTGCCCCTTTGCTACTCGCGATCCCCATTACTGAAGATAGGCTGATAAACCGAGGGTTATACGGCTCGGCTCGTGAAAGAATGAGTACCGGAAGCCCCTGACATTACAATTATCCCACTACTCGAAACGATACCGACGTCAGCAGGGCAGCTTGTAAGCTTTCGGGCAGAGGTTGAAGGCGGGGCCATTGCAGCCTGACTCTAATAACAGCCTTGCACCAGATGTACATGTACAAGTAAGTACATGTACATGTACAACTCTCCATGTGCCCTCATCTTTCCATCGCACAGTAAATTACTATGCCCCGACAATCTTTAAATCTCCTACCAAGAGTACAAATTGCTCTAAATCTACATGAATTCTGCTACTGTGAGAATCTACACCATCAATGCTCCGTTATGCCGTTAAGAACATGAAGCTGGTGGACAGCTTATATGACATGTACTGTAGCATGACCCGAATTCAGTCAACATAGGTTTCTAGCCTTATTTCAATAGTACAAACAGTCAACTAATTTTTACTGTGAAGCCCAAGAGGTTAATGTTTAGTTCAAAACACACTCCAACATCATCAAATACTTAGTCTACTACTATATGTTACCTTTCGGATGCCAAAGCAAGCCAGCTCACCGCCATGGAGTTGATTCAGTCCAATTCGCACACTGCTTCTGGAACTGGGAGCCTAATGATACCACCCCTTATGCATGTACCTAATCAAATGCATGTACTCTCAACCATTGCTGCCTAAAGCCTGCCTCGCAACTAAAGAGTCCTTCGTTTTCCCCTCTTTCTTAAAAATATTCGCCAAACTATCGACTCACTCCAGGACCAACCCACACAAGGCTCCAGCTATTTATTGTACATTAGATACATACGCCCAAATCTTCGCCTACTGTCTTTGGTTAAAGATCTTGAAATAATGAACAATTGCTGGTTTGTCCTTCGTCAATCTTCTTACACCCCTCCTAAATATACTACCCCAAGTAGAGCGGGCGGCGTGACAGTCGAGGGCGATCTACGGCTCGGTGATGTAGTACCCAGCCCAAACAATATTTATCCAGTTGTTACTCAAGGAAAGCTGCCTCGCTTTCCCATCGAAATGCGCATCACATCCACGCAGGACTGCGAGTTTCACTGGGCTATCGAAAGTGAGAGAGAGGACGGCGGAATCATCGGGGGAGGAGCTCCTGTGGCAGCCCCCATTGGCGCAGCCCTGAATGCCGAGTTCAGCGCAGAGTTCAAGGGGACTATGAAGCGATGGGCAAAGTTCAAGACTTTAGACACTGAGAAGGTGCAGCCATCCCGTGCTTACATCGATCGGGTACTCGCTCTGCCTGACGTAAAGGAATATATCGAGCATCACAAACTTCCGGTTTTAAACCAGTGGACCGTCTACGTAGTTACAGGTCTCATGATTGCAAGGGCTGGTGGCACTATTGGGAGCTGCGAATCTAGCTTGGGGGCTGTTGGTGGTGGGCTCGCAGTGTAAGTTCTCTCCTATCTAGATATCACTGGACAGAGAGTGTATTAATTGCCTTTACCGTTTCATAGAGACATTCCAGGAATCTTGAATACGAACACCCACGGCTCCCACCAACGCGGCACCAAGAAAGACATGTCCAATGAGATTCAGGGCGATCGTATCTGGGCGGTTCGATTTGCCAAGGTCCATAAAGGGATGCTCCGCCGTAGATGGATGCAGACAGAAGAAACGGTCGGCGCCGCCCTGGGTAAAGGCGATGAGGAAGGGGAGGAGATTGGTCAGGTCTTAGAGCACGAAGGGATAAAAGATGCTGGGATTGTTGAGTTAGAGATGGCTGGAGCTGGTAACAAATTAGCATTTGTCACCGGCGATTTTTGACACTGGAATATATATTAGTTATATAGAGCTAAGAGATCACTCACTAGCTAGTATACATTGTGGGACTATGTCCTTGGCTACATCAACGGAAATTAAATCTTAACACTTGTACTCCAAACTATCGCCATCTATAGGTAATCAGCCTCGGTATGAGTCATGCAGCTTCTCCAACTGTAGCAACCTCACAATAGTACCCCTAATCCATTCTCGCTCTTGCTTCCTTACTTGATCATCTTCCAGATGATCCTCATAGTCAATATCATTTTTCAGAAGTTTCCATGGTCGGATACACAAGTAACCGTTATCCGACTTTGCCATCTCTCGAAATATCATATTCATCCCTTGCTTCTTCTTGAGGTTAGAAAGCTCCCGCATCTTGTGTATGTCTGCTTCTTGGCTAACGAAATCCAAGAGCATCGCCGCTAGACCAGCTGCTATAGATGTCGAATAAGAGGTTCCTTGGACTAAGGGACCCTCTTCTTTGAGCTCAACATTCTCACCAAAAATGGCAAAGCTATCGCCGGCTATTGGAGAAGGATTCAGCGACCAGGACTCTCGAATGCCGGCATTTGTCGAATACATGGCAAAGACCTGATCCGTCAAGATAGCAGGGCAATATACGGGGCTAAAATTGCGATCGTTAGATGCTGCCGCAAAGATAAGGATGCCGCTGCGGTATGCTCTGTCGATCGCATCTATCACCCGCTGCTGTTTCTTCTCAAATCCAAGAGCCATTGTGATGATATCAACTTGTCTCTCAATAGCCCAGTTGATTCCCTTATGAGCTGCGTGTTAGCTGTTTGCATAGAGAAAGAGAAAGTAGAAGAGAGGTGAACATAATACCTGGACCACTGTATTAACGTCAGCGGTCAATGCAACATCTGTCTCTAGCACTCTTGCTATGTAAAGGCTTGCTTGGGGGCATGTTTTGAGGAGAAGTGAAACGCCTGCAGATCCATGTCCACTGTTATCACACGCAGTGTCTTTAGCTGCCTCGTCGACAAAGTCCTTGTATTCGAATGAAGATAGAGAGTCCCTGAGGTAATCGTAATCTTCCTGCGTTATACCAGTATCCAACATGGCAACTTTGATTCTCTTATAGCCGTCTCTCATCTCACTGTCTCTAGGCTGTAGATAATCATTAAGTTGCTCGTAACGGTTGAACCACCGCCGCGAGCCTTCTCGCAGTCTTCTATGGAATCAGCGAGTGTAGAGGTATATATGAACATGGAATGCGAAAGAAAAAGTAATGGACAGGATGTTAGATAAATAAACGCCATAACTCACCTATAATCTCGGTTGTCAAAAGAACTAGCCTGCCGAGGCCTCAGCGGGGGGGCAGTGAGCGGAATCGTGGGTCTAGGTATTTCTTGTTTCACTTTAACCTCCCATAACGGCTTGACCCTGTTGAGATCATCAAACTGGTTTGCCCAAGTCTGCAATGGAAAGGCGATTTCGTTGTAAATGACAGAACGCAGGGCGTTACGATAGTTGATACCGGCGATATTCTTCTTTTGTGCACTGAGAGTCTGTTGTAGTTTTGTTCTTAATTCCCCTGGCTTAATGCATAAAGGCAAGATTGTCCTCAGTGGTGACAGCTTGTTTAAATCTGGGATGATACTCTCTGTATGTGCATTGGGTCCTGTGGCGACGAGGTTACAGGCGATCTTATAGTCAGTGTTGATATTGAAGAGCCCCGGCGGACAAACTCTAGGATTTTCTCGATGTCTTCTCATAATCTTCCCAGTCTCGATTTCCAAGAGAATAATTCCAAGTGCAAGAATTTTGGGCATGTCATGAATCAGATTCATGGTAGCAGATGAGACATTTCCACCGATTTGAATGCCAGTGTCACTCATCTGACCATTGCTCTGGGAAAATCGAGTGAGCAGCACCGGCTCGTTAACAAAAGCGCCAGCGATATTAGCCCGTTGCTCGCAAATAAAGTGAATATTATCGCTTGTAAGCCCCTGGCCGATAACAGCTGAATCATAAAACTCCCAAGTTGTCTTGGCTAAGAGCATCCCTAGAATCGCCTTAGACTTATCATTTAATTTCAATTCTGGTTTAGTAAAGGCGTTCGCCAGTGATACTGCTTCACAGCTAGCTAGCCAATCTCTGTTAACATCAGAGCGTTTATGGTAGACAAGCCCACCGTCTCGTGTTGACAGGTATATAAGATCTTGGTTGCGGCAACTGATTTGCTGACAGAAGCTCTCGCAAGCAATAGGTTCGTATTGGGCTTGTGTAGCAGCCGGATTGGGGCCCAAATCTGTAAACTTCCTATGGAGAGAATGAGGATACTAGCTCATTTTCTTTGCTGAAGGGGTAATCAGAATTTATCTTACACTCTAGGCAGTTCTGGAGGCCTCGTATGACATATCTGGACACAAGTCTCCTGCCAATAACCGTTCCCTACGTGCGGGTGGTCTAAGAAGAGAACGCCGAATTCGGCAGAAGCATTATCGACAATGAAAGAAGCTGGATCACTGTTTTTGCCAAGGGCCCTGTAACCATTGAGTCGTATGTTTATCATGATATCACGCTCTGATCCTCCTGTATTGCAGGATTGATATTGCTGTAGAGTGGAGTAGAGAAGCTGTATATCATCGTCGAGCTCCTGGGTCACATGTGGTGGGCCACGAGCCGTCTGCGTATTACAAGTCTGCGCCACTTCAGCTATCTCATTCTTCAACCTTCTTGCAGAAAACTTCTGTAACTTCTGTATGATACCGCTCCGAATCATGGTGCACGACTTATCCATTGTGAGATCTAGAAGGCTCTTGGCTGCCTCAATCCGCCGTTCAGGGTTTTCGAGATCTCCTAAGGTCGGCCAATAATTTTTATGCCCTTCTGAAGTTGATCGGGGCCACTAGGTGTATAAGTTAGAGATACGAAATCCTGAACAGTTCATGGGTAGATGGCATCCTCTAGAGGTTATGGTGTGTCATAAACTCCATGGACAAATCTTTCCCCCAATCTTCCGTAATTAGATAGATCTAATAGAGCCTTGTAGAACATCGACATACGCTGCAGAGCCTCTCCAGATTGTTCAATAAACTTTTGACTTTCCTACTTTCTGCTCCATCATAATCTTGGTGATGCTTCTGCAGCTCCGCCTTTATACTCCATAAAACACCACGGAGCGTGGCGCAAAATGAAGCTGTGGATTGCTCGCATGTTTGAATAATTTCTATAACCGTCTCGATCATCTCGATGGCGAATAGTCTCAAATCTTGAAGTACCGGCGTGCGTGCTTGACATATGCGATCAAGCTCGTTGTCCGTGCCGTATATAGGCATTTGGAGAGTTTGGGGAAGTCCTCAGACGGGTTTCATCTTTCATCTACTTCAAGAGTGTGCCAATAGTTAATAGCAGGCTGTGGTGAGAAGCCAAAGCAGAAAAGAAGGTCGTAGATGATTGCAAAAGATGCTGTTTAGATTGTTGGGTCTTCAGTCTAAAGCCACATGTCTCCCGACATATCATTTATGGGGGCCAGGACCCCGCACGATCCGAGCCAGAAAATCATTATTTGGATGGTATGTCCGAGTTAAAGCTACGTCGCTACCGGGATCGAGATGGGTTTTAGGTACATGTACCTACTTACCTATGAGTATGCATACCTACTAGGTATCTATCCTACATACTAACAGGTAGATATAAGTCACGTTGCAAGACCAAAAATAAGCATCTCTATTCTGTAATTTAATAGTACGGAATATGTCTGGTCACATGAGCTAAACTTCAGGCCAGGCAAGTAGATGCTCTACGATCATGTATGCAATTTGTAGCCCTACATTCTAGGTAACTACTACAAAGGCACATTTAGTAGTACAACTAATTCAGACTAACAACGGGCCGTACCGTCAAGAAGAATTCAATATTACTACTATATGTACCTAAAAACGCTGAGTGGCGAGAGTCGCTTTAGCATCAAATATCTACATGCAGTTCCGCTTTACACATAACGGCAGTATAAATGCGACGACCTGGACTACATATTGAACATTTTATTACCTTGATGCTCTATAATCTGCCTCAACTGACTGTGAATCATATTATTAGAATACCTACAGTAGATTTTGTATATATACCTAGGTAGGTGTATGTGTATGTACATGTACTAAGGTATTGCCTCGGTACTTAGGTAGTGTTAGGCACCTATGCAGATTACTACCCCTCTCTACCGGATAGAATAGACGTAGATATGTCCAGGCGGGTAAATGCACTGGGTTTTCAGCTGTATGTCAATGCACATTTAGAGCGTTTACAGTTTTCGACCTGACCTAGATGAAAGTTGGCTAGCACGACAAACGTCGCTGATAATTTTAACACAAGATATCGTCAGCCCCTTTCAACTTGGCTTCTTTTCCACCCTACCTAGCTGATCTGCCTGGCAAGACAAGCTTGATCTAGGACAGCAGGCAATACAGGCTCCACAATGGCGAAAGCACAGGGTCAGATTTCTCAAATTTTCCCGGAGTATATCTTACGTGACAAATCACGAGCCTGCAAGCAGCGGTTCAAAGAGTGCTTCCAGATCCCTGGTCTTGGTTATGATGACTGGCTGGAGCAAAGATGCGCTGAGTTCAATTGGTGGATGTCAGGCCTCAACGCCGACAAAAGGGGACCAGAATCCTTGGACGCGAAACTAAAACTGCGGCCGGATGTCATGGAGATTATTTCCACTGCACTCGATGGCCTCGAAGGCTCTCTATCCAGTTATTATGGGATAGGTAGGGTCATTTCTCTGTCGATCTTGCATCCACAATGTGATAAGGGTTTTGATTCTCTGACTAGTGGCTCAGGGCTAGCAAAATTAAGTTCTCAATTGCCTGATGGAAAGTCTACGGGTATATCAGAGGCTATCGGTCAATCTATGTATTCGGCTGATGTGGAACGATCGCCATCACCCTGGTCCGATATGAGTGACAGCAGTCATAATTACACTACCTCTGCTACCTCGGGTTACGGCATATACTATGAGCCGCGAGTGTACATCGTGACCAACTTGGAAATCCTCATTCGCATCCACACGGCCATCAAACGCTCTAGCCTGAAGTTCAGCAACCAGCGCGCCGACGAGGCCCTAAAACAAGCCGATGAATTTTATCAAAGGCAAAAGGCAGCATCTGGGGAGCATAGTGCCCTCCAGGGTCAAAATGGAGAACATGAGAGATTCAGGCGCTATCTCACTAAACTAGTTCTCTGGAATGGCTATACACAAAGTTTGATACAGAGAATGAACTTCAGGATTGCTAAATTGGATAAAGCTTTCAAATCAAAGGATAAGAATTGTTCTCAAATTTTGCTTCAGGAGAAGAAGCTTCTAGTTATATTTCGCGCTTACTTTCAAGATCCGGCTAGGTTGACAACTATCCAGCGTCGCCTTATCAACGCAAACGTAATCAGACGAAATCGCCTGATCTATGCTAGTAGCGCTACTAAGCATCCTTCTCAAGTTAAAGAGGAGAATCAGAAACCACCAAAGCCTAGCGACGTGGTTCATCAATCTGTTACAGTTAACCGAGCCAAGACAGTTCTTACTAGTTCTCAGCTACAGCCGCAGTTGATAGAACCCGATGAGCTTACGAAGGGTAGCAAGAAAACTATCGAAAGTCTTGTGGTACAGCCGGCTACGGCTACCGATTCAAGATTTACTGTTACAGGTGCACTGGCGCCTCCCAGTGTGAATAAATCGGCAGAGACCAAGTTTTCGGCTAGGGTAGACTACCTTGACTACCCTAAATGCCCTGTCCAACATGGGCAGTTTCCCTGTCCATACTGTTCTACTATCTTAACAGATGAATATACAGAGAAAGCCGAATGGCGGTAGGTTTATCTCTTCTTTTTGATATCTTGATCAAGGTTGTAACAGACGCAGGGGACACGTTGCACAAGATCTCTGTGCTTATATCTGCGTTTTTGAGGATTGTAATTCTCCCGATGACATGTTCCCATCCACATACGAATGGATGTCACATATGTCCAGGTTTCATTCTGCAATCGATTGGGTGTGTACAGTATGCGCAAAACACTCAGCTTCGAGCATTCGAGACGATTCGGTTCTCTCTTTCCCATCATCTGCATTACTGAAAGAGCACATACTTACTTCTCATCCCATTCTTGATCCCGCAGAATTAGACCTCTTGGTCGAAGCAAGCAAGCGGACACTTGAGATCCAAAGGGTGAGATGTCCCCTTTGTAGAGTGGGTCTTGTGACGCTTGAGTATGATGATGAAGATGGTATTAGCGGTATGACATCAATTCCTCCTACGGGTCAAGAGATTGGCCTGATACGACTAGAGGAAGATGAACACATCGCTACTCATATTCACGAGTTTGCGCTCCAATCCTTGCCTTATCGACAGGAGGCTACATCAGAAGGCTCCCAAGTATCACTCTCACAGTCACATCCCCAATTCACATTCCAGGACTTGAAAAGCCCGCAAGCTACGAAATACATGGAAAGAGCGTCCGCTGAGCAGCCACCATTGTATCATCATTTGGAGGATGTAAAGTATATGGTTGATGATCTCTGCGATAATCTTCGAGGGCTTTTCTCCGGACAGGGACCTTTTAATCACAGCCAATCAAACACACGCAAACTAAATTGGATAGAAATTTCACGTCTTCGTCACGATGAATCGATGTTTAGAAAGCTACTGGACGATTTGACTCATGGCAGTGAGATGCTGATACAACGCGACCTTAGAACTTTTGGAGGCGAAGATGTCGATACCTTTGCGATATCTCTAAATAAATGTCGAGTTACGGTCTCTCAAGTTGGCGACTTGACACTAGATGACATTACCAAAGAGGCGCTGCGCTATCAGTTATTGAATGATTTGAATCACAGCAATGAAATATTGCAACAAGCTTTTACTTCAACGCTAGATACGTCGATAGGACAGGGCGAAGAGGTCCAAGCTAAAAATCCTCAGACTGATAATGCTCAGATAAAAGACGCCAAACCGCAAGAACACGAAGAAAAAGTATCAAAAAATAGAGGAGTTGAGCCCAAGGAGCAAGAACGAAAAAAAGTCAGAAGGAGAGAACCTGAGTCGGAGCCCGCATCAGAAACAGCCCAAGTGCCTAATACGAAAACATCTACTACGAATTCTACCTTCAAACCACCCGCCACGCAATCATCTGTCACAAAAGGAAACGGTCGAGAATCTGATGGTGTAAAATCTGATCTCGAATATCCTGATCTCAAGTCATCTAAGCACACTGAAAGTCCAATTGTTGATAAAGAAAAAGGCCTTGCTACAACTGATACGCCCATTTCGGATGGACCAAGATTCAGCACACCGCAAGATATTCAGGAAAACATAAATGGATTCATCAGAAAAGCCGATCTTGGCTCATTCTTCCCAAATGAATCTACCTATATTCCTACCGTGACTAATAACGCATTTGAGTTCAAAAATAACAAAGACAATTTACTTAATCGAGATATTGACATTCAAGGCGTTACAAGACTTAACCTCTATCAGCCTGTGCTCTACTGCGGTAAGTTGACATACCATTTTGAGCTTCTTATCCTTTCATATTTATTCCTACTAACGATGTGTTAATATTCTTAGACGATAGCTCTTCTATGAAGGCTAGCACCCGAGTTGACGACCAGAAGGACATGGTTCGTCGAGTCACTAGAATTTCTACTTTCCTGGTACCTCCAGGCCATGGAACGAGCTTACAATTCATTAACCATGTCCGTGATATACACGATAATAAACTAAGTCAGCGAGAAGTTAAGGCTATCATGAATTCGGTGAAGCCGACTGGCCATACGAAGATCGGCACCAATTTGAAGAAAAAGATTCTTCAACCCCTAGTTTATGATGTTATAAACAACAAAGGGATAATTGAACGACCAATTCTCGTTTCTTGTATTACAGGTGGCTGCCTCAGTCGTGAACCGGTCGACCAGTTTAAGGAGACGATTTTAGAATGCATTCGAATTCTCAAAGAAAACGGCTATCCACCCTCAAGTATGCTTACTGGTCTCGGCGTTATAAAGCCCAACGGAATGCTAACCAAATTTACAGCCATTAAATTCCAAGTCAGCCAGATTGGCAATTCATCTAGGGCTGATAAATACCTCAAACAGCTTCAGCACGATGATGATCTTAAGGGAGTGGTCTATTGCACAGCTCGTAAGTAGCCCCGCCTATAATACAAGCAAGGCCAGGAGGACTAATGCATCTTTTCTGAATCAAAGAGCGCCTTGATGAGCAATTTGAAGAATTTAGACATAACGAACAGATGCTTGAACGTTGGGTACGTATTGTCTTTGTAGTATCTTACTATTTACAATACGACTTCGGCTAACGAAAGCATAGCTTTTGCGCACGCTCTTGGAGCCAATAATGGGTCAAGGTATCAACAGATTGAATTTGTAACACGGTTGAAGCTAGATGGGAAACATGATTTGTGGATCAAGCCTTTGTGGGATTTAGGCAAGCGTTGCTTTCAGACACTCTTTGAATATATTTTCTTTTGTCTCATAGCTTTTTTGAAGCGTTTTTGTCTCTTCTTTTGAAACCTCTCATATGCAATATTTCTTTAATCCAAGAATAGCCAGCTGTCTATTAGAGTCATCTTTTTATTCGTCTCAATGAACTTTTGATCTACCTAAACATGCACTAGACTTTCTTTTAAGTAGTATTTGTAGTTACCATTGTCTTTCTATTGATATCAAAATCTTTGACGATTCTTTTGCACAAGGGACGCTCACTAAACATGGGTTTTGATTTTCGTTGAATGCTACAGTAACGCTATGCTAATCTTTCAGCTAGGACAGCAAAATATATTGGCTTATGAGCTTGTATCAGAGACAAAAGAGAATAATTTAGTTATAAAGTATAGTACTTCGACTTATCGCGTCCATGACAAAATGAATATTGCAAAGATAGTGAACCTTGAAGTTAAAAGCAAAAAACCACCCAACTCAACATGAGTCAACTGACTATCTGTCAGCAGAGAAACTATACGTGTGCTTATTCAATCATGAATGTCCGGCTCTGACAGCAAGGTTAGTTTGCAATTTAACTAGGTAGCCTGATAATCAAACTTACTCCAACAATGCCGCGCTCTTTGAAGTCTCCAAAGGACACTCCCGCAACCTCTGTCTTACCAACGTCATCATCTTGGTCTCGGCCATGGTCATATAATCTTAGCTCCTGACCACCTCCCCCATCTTTTGGTATATCTGGAAGGAGAAGAAAATATCTCGCTGCTTTAAGTTTCGGCCGCTGGATGAGCCTAACCAAGTGTATATCCTTCAGAGTGTCGACCAGTACAGCTTGTTGATGGGCTGGCTGCCACTCAACCCAGCATTTCTTCCCATCACCACAGGAAGGTGGCTTGCGGCACTTGAATGCGTAAAGGGGAGATCTGTTTGCCCATTTGGGAAAGACGTATGCTGGTATAATATCGAACGTCAGGTTGTCTTTATCGGCGGCCGCAGAGGAGGACCCCAGAAACACACTGGCAGAGTCTCCATTCTGAGAAAAGGACAGGTACGTGTTGTGTGGTTTGGTTTTCACGCCGGGAGCGCAAAATCGTCTATCGAAGAAACCTGATTGTGTCCAGAAGCACAGCATACGGAACACCTCTTCAGTGATCCTTGTTCCTATGCCTCTTGCACCTTTCTTTTCGGGAGTCGTATTACTGAGGGGGAGAAGAGAATGCTGTTAGTGCACATCATTCCTATACAGCCGCATATTGCTTCCCCCCCAAGGATGAGCTGCCCACTTACTGAATTCCAATAACAGTCATCTGACCATCGTGTGTCACCCAAATAGGTGATCCACTCATGCCCTGTTCTTTCGACTCCAGGTAGTATTCAATCTTGTTTCCCAATCCTTTGAGGGGACTGAAGCACGTTCGAAGAGTCATACTGCCAACCCCATCTCCGTAGCCGCTGACGAATGCATCCCTCAAGCCCTGTAAAGAGGGGTCAATATTGAGGCTAAGATCCAATCCTAGGCCCAGCCTCTTATCTGCCTGGCCCTCGTCCTTTGGTAGCAAAATGACACCGTAATCATAATTGACGTGGGTGGGTGGCCTGGGGTTCGTTCCAAGAAACTCCTCATACCGGGGACAGATCTTGAATTCAGTCACCTTCTCTTTGCGGTTGCCATGGTAGATGACTGTCAGATTCTTGGCTCTGACTCTCTCCTCGTTGACGAGATTGTGACCTGCTGTCAGGATAATGTCGTACTTGGTGGAAGGTAGATTGATGAAGAAGCCTGTGCCGTAGTTTGCTTGTCCTACAATATCAACGTCAGTAACAGCTATCCGCTTCGCTTCGGATAGACACAAGGAGAATAGAACTCACCGCCAAAGTCAAATTGAAGCCTAACGATGGTATTCCTAAGCTGGAAATTGACCTTGTCTAGATCACTTTTGAAGTTGGGTTGCTGATCTTCACGGCGGTTACACGAGGACCCCCTGGCGTACTCGAGCTTGATATCATGGGTCAACGCAACCCTCAGTCGGCTGATCATCTTGACGTCTTGGGAGAATGAAAAGATTAACTTGTTGATATTAAATTCTATCTAATCCGGCCATCTGACCATAGGGTATACGGCAGTAACGGGTTTCGATGGGTCCCATTGGCTTATTGTTGACATGCATCGATGCCCAATTTCTTACTTACCGCCTCTTGAGCCATGATCCGAGAGCTTTTCCGGATGCCAACGCATATTCCGTAGAAGTAAGATGTAAGCAATCTATCTAAACCAGTTGCTACATGATGTAGATGTACCAAAAAGGCGACATGGTCGTCTAGGGGCAAATAGCCAGCTGTGCCTTGTTCTAAGTGACAAAAGGAGACGACTACGGCTAACACCACCGCGGCTAACGCACTGACTACGAGCCAACTGCCGTGAAGTCAAATGACTCTTTTACTGTATTTATTTCACTCAATCAAAGTACTAGTTCGATTCCATCCATCTCGTCTGGCGCTTTCCGACGGCCGCGTGCGTGCAAAGATCGATCATCCTAGCACAATTGCCGTGTACACTAAAACATGTCCCACTTGGTACATTTATATACTCTTCGCCTATTATACACTCGCAGGCCAGACTTGTTTTTTCCATTGTTAAGCACACACGCTAGCTGCTTCTCCTTTAACCCTTTCATTATTCCTATTTCGATCCTTCATCCTTCCAAAGGACATAGTTGGCCATCTCACATCTGCGGAAGGATTCCGCCCCTGCTCGGCCTAGGGATTTTTAAAATTGGAACCCGGTCTGGGCAGTGCAATAACTTGGAAGGGCTATATACATATTTTTTGGGGGTGGCGAGCTAACTCTTCTCGTCATCGTCATCGAAGATACAGCATGCAATCGAACCTTTTGTATAAATTAGCAAATGCCGTCCAAGCCCAACTTTGGCAAGGCGTCGATCATTGTAGAATACGAGATGTTATATCAGTCCATCCCAATACGAGCTAGGAACGGCACAGTAGCCAGGCACTTTGTTTAAAGCTTGTGCACGGCTCATACAAGCGCCCACCGAGGTGTAAGTAATTTCAGGAGCAGCTTTTAATTCTTCCAGCCCCCCCCCCCCCCCCCCCCCCCCCCGTGGTACGATGGCTTATCCTTTCTAGTCTGTCTATCTGTATCTGGTCTGTTTTATTTCTATTTTAGAAACACGTCAGTTTCTCTTCAGACGTCGGCAATGATATGATCATCTTCCAGGATAACCCAAAAAAAAGACCCCATTCTCTTACGCTGGCATGGGCGTTTCACAAACGAACGATTGTATGGCATTTCCCATTTCCACTCTCTGTCCAATGTACCCCCCTCCCCCCCTGACCCTGCTCGCGGCACTTATCCCAGAGCAGCAAAATAAAGTCAGATACTAGTGCTTCTCTCCACAGCTGGAATCTTTCCGGTAGCGCCTCTCAAAGCGTGATTCGCAATTATTGGCAGACAATCGTCCCATCCAGGGACGGCACGGCAAATGATCAGTGCTAGCATAAATGAGGAGTTTTTTACAGATTGTCGACAAGCAGGGCATTTTACCACTAGTATACTAGGTATTACCTACTTGCCAGCATGCCAAGACGCTGAAACGCTACGGTGAGGGAGGATCACAGGTCCACTGCATCCCTTAATCATCCCAAGATGCAATTCGAGGATCTTCTGTCGATTTCTCCTCCCGCAGTGGCTCTTTTTTGCAAATTTGTACTGCACCGCGGAGGCCTTTGACAAGAATGAGAAGATAAAGAGGGCCAAGGGAAAAAAAGACGCGTCTTACATGCCGCTGCCCCGGCCTTTTGAGGACCCTGCCGCACCCTCCGTACAAGGGGGGATCACACGGACCTCTTGGTCCTAGCATTCGGTAAATGCGCGAGAGAAGCACAGACAGGAACAATCACAGCGTAGAGATTCGGAGAGCTGACTCCGAGTCGGAGGTGGCCGCCTCTAGGTTGCACTGGCGTTGAGAAGGTAGGAGTTGCCGAGCACGGGACCAGAAACATGTCCTGCTTCGCGGAGGAATTACAGTTCCATGCAAATAGTCTCCACGATATTGGCTTGATGGGTACCAAGGTGGATATGGAATCTTCATCTGCCTATTCCAGTATATGCCAGATTCCACATCTCTGCCGTTTCATCAATGCCACGTTTCCCAGGAAAAAGGACATGATAAGGCGCGAGTCAGGAGAAGCGGGTTCTCTCTGGCGGAAACAGCTCCGTTCCAATACCCAGATTACCGGTCCTCCTCTGCCGTGAGCCTATGATGGTAGTATTTGCGACTTGTTCTTCCCTGTGTCTCGCGAGAAGAGCAAGTATAGCACGACTCCGGTCCGTGGCGGTTCCAAATGAGGAGATGAGTGGTTGCTCTTGCAGCTGGTGTGTATGCTCGCATGTTGATACATGCCAGATGGAGAAATAGACTCATCAAATCGGCTGTGGTGGGAATCTCACTCCCGTGGACAGATTGCCCATCGACACCTGGGCTCTGTAAGGGGGCAAATCCCATCTTCCTTCGCCACGCCACCCCGCGTGTCGGCAAAGAGTCGCTCAACTGGACAGAATATCGCTCTTCGTCAAGCGTTTGTGCTTCGGCTCTCCTGATGCAGCAACCCAGCACGAACATCGGGCTCATCTGAAGCCCCGTAAGCGCGAGATCTCGCGCTTACGTGATGAAGAGATCATAATTGCGCGGGCGAGTCGGATCAATTCAAGACAACAGAGTTCCAGGCCCTGTCCCCTCTTCCTCGTCTCTTGTCTTGTCACTATTTCCGTGCCGTACCCCATGTGCTGATTTTCCAATATTGCAGGGCCATCAGCAGATTTGATGGACAGGGCCAGGCCTAGAGGGCACTTGGGAGCCGCTCGGATACGCTATCAAGCCTTTGTTCTTTGCTTGCCCCCCTGTTCGTGGCGTCAGTCCATGAGGCAGCAGAGTAGCAGTTGACAGACTTCTGTGACTGGAGGTGTGTGAGGGAGAGACGCTCAGTCCGAGGTGAAGCGTCCCAAGGAGGCATTCGACTTACGTTTTGTCTTCCCGAGGATGGTGAAAGAAATCACTCAATCTGAGAAGCCGAAGCATAGAAACTGGAAGCTGTCTACTTGACAACACGAGCCTCTTTCCCACGTGGGAGCCGAATGCGCTGCGACGCTGGCCATGGCTATCGGCTTCTCACGCTTTGCTGAATCCGGTGGCCTGTCATGCAGCAGGGTTGAGACACGTCAGGGTTTAGGCTTATATTTCCCCTTGCAAGCAGTAGTAGCATCACGACTGCTGAGATTAATCGCAATTCCCAGCCCATGGATGACCGGGAACAGGGGTCGAGGGGCAATGCAAGCACTTGTGATGAACCCCCCCTGGCTGTGATCAGACCAGAAGGATGCCTGTGCTCGTTTGGATAAAAGGCGAAGAGCCCACTTACAAGGCCTACTCGACTTACAAGGCCCCTGCCACACCGTGGGCACGTCCAAGGCATACTTGGGCTGGGGGGGCAGAAAAGGCAGTGCTGGCGCTATATTAAACAGAATACTACCTACTATCCAGCAGAATGGCTTTTGGGCGTGGCATGTGTAGCATTCGAGCGTGTCGGATGCCCGAATGGAAGAGATGAGGGTATCATGGGACACTGAGGAATTCTCGAAAAGGGAAGTTGGCCCCCAAATCACTGCGTACATGTAGATACGATCGGTGGGGGGTTAAAGCAGAATAATGATGCTCTTCACTTCCATAGCGGATAAGAGGCGCAAACGCCACGAAGAAGTCGTGGGTTAGGGTTATGATGCGCATCCGTATAAGTGAGCTGCGACTCTACTGTGCATAGACGTCTTTGTCTGTATGCAAGAATATTCCGGCTGAGCGGTACTGACGGATCGGCCCGTGCGCCCAAAGTGAAAAGCCACGGCGCCGGACTTGACTTGGAAGAGCCGGCGACGCCCGGAACGCCGGCTTCGCTGCCCCGGCCCTCCAGGATCGGCATGTTGGGAGTACATTCAAGTTACCTGTAACGACTCCAAGAATAGGATTGCCATTCCGTACTATCCGGGTCAGTGTTAATCATGTGCCATGCGCCTTTCATGGGTGTGGTATATAGCCAACTGCAATTAACTACCGAAGCATGTCCAAGTATATATCAAAAGTGTCAAACAAAAGCACGGAGCAGCCCGGGGCCGTGGCCCCAAGAGCCTTCCAGGGAAGATGGAGCCCTGAAGTGCATCCCGAGACAACGGCGGCCATGTGGGATGGGGGAGGGAAGAGAGAGCAAGCGGCTCGCTCGCCTTGTTCAAGCAAGTCGGTCCCGGGCTGACAGCGCCCCAGGCGCAATCAAGAAGGCTGGAGAGGTGTTGCGGAACAACTACCCTGCAATAATGTGATGATGCTGGCTGAGTTGAAGCCTTGTTGTTGTATCACCTCGCTCGGCGTTTGCAAGATTCGGCGTTGCGGATCGCAACAGCGGCAGTTTTTGTCAAAAGTGCTGCTGCGCCATGGTGTCATCTTTCGATTTTCATCCTGCCTCCCGTCTGTATGCTCCTCTTGCCGCGTTTCGCCCGCCTGGATCTGGGAGTTTCAGGGTAAGCTGCATGATTTCTCGTCGTATAAGTGATGCTGTTGGCTGCCGTTGCTGGATACATGTACTGTGCGGGAGCGACTCCAGTATAAGAGGGGGGGGGGGGGGGGTTCAGCTAGTAACAAGACTCGTACCATAATAATCCTTCTGCCCGGCGAGCTGGAAAGGGATGCAATCACAGATAGATTGAACGGGTTGTGTAGCCTCGGATGAGTCGAAAGGCGAGAGCGAAGCACTGCACTGCACGCGTATATGCAGGATGATTCATTTTCCCATATCCGTATTGTATGTGTGCGACGGCCAATCCCAGATCCTATAGGGCTGTGCTGCCGGGCGCAGAAAAAGGGACCATCACAGTAAGGCTGCATGCGAGCAAAAAGGGCGGCGCTGACTCGTCTGGCCTTTCCCATGTTCCATCTGATCTTCTAGAAGGGGGCTGACATGGCCCCAAAAAGCCCGAAAGTTCGCTTCCCAAGCCTTGATGCCATGCATGACTAGTCCTGTCCCTTCTGCACGGAGCACCACCATGCGAACCCAGATCTGGGGGGCCTGTCCAAAAGGCGGTGATGAGATGGATGGCATGGCAAGGCAAGGCTGCCTATGCGGCGTTTCGCTCGCCTCTTTTTGCTTTATTGTCTTGTTTCCTTTCCTAATAGTGGCGGACCCTGCCCTTTGGGGGTGGGATTCGCTGATACGACAGATACGTGACACACGGCAATGCATGCTACGGTTGCTTTTGCCATGCAACGGTAAAGTGGTCCTACTGTACATGCCCGGCTTCGTGCTCTCAGGATTTATTTTCTTTTACTTGGTAAACGGCACAACACACTCGTTGAAACAGTACCAATATACTTGTTATACCCGCATCTGTCAAAATCCGAAACTCGTAGTTCCCACTCTTGGTGAGGAGACGGGGGGCCGCAATACATGCGATAAGCTGTTTTTTTTTTATATCGGAGTTCTGTATTTCGAGTCTTTCGGAAATGTGACGCTATACAACGCACTTACATCACAGTGATCCTTCTCCCTCGCTACTCCGATTCCGACGTTTTGACTTGACGCAGCGTGGCCCCATAGCTTGCGTACGAGTTGCTTCTCTAGTCCAGGAACTCGGAGCTGCCACCGCGAACCAGTGCCGCAGGGCAAGGTGCCACTTTGTGATGGACGATCCCATCTGTCTTGTTGCGTAGCGAGGTGTGGGCGTAAAATGTATCTGAAAGCACCAAGTTTACGTATGTTATATGTAGAGTCGTATTTGTCAAGAGGATGGAGACGACGCTGATACGTCATTGCCCACTTGAAGGATGGGCGAGATGTTGCATCGTTCGAGTTCCTTCCCAGGCACCTGCTGGCTTCAACGGTGTCTTATTGCATCCTCTCCAATTTTTTTTTTTTTTTTTTTTTTGCGCTGCTGAAAAGACCTGATTCGTCGAAAACACAAATCCTCATGATGGAGACGCGAGATGACAAACATCAGACGAGATTCTTCTTGAATCAGCTACCCGGCAATCACAGTCATCCTGTGTCTCCACCAGTTCAAGCAGGCATGCATGCCATTTCTTACCTGAGCATGCAGGCGAGCAGCTGGTCGGCGTGGAACTGCGTCGTCTTCGCGTACCCAGTACATGCAAGCGCACTATTATGGAGTATTGGCATCGAGTTCCTAGCTGTACTTTTTTCATGTAAGACACAAGAAGCGAGCACGGCCCAAGAAGTCAAGGGCCAAGGCCAGGCTTGGGTGCATGTATTCTCGGGAAGTTTGATAGGGACCCCGTCAAGGGACATTTTCCCATCGCCCATCTACCGAGTTAGGAAAAACTTGGCAATTGCGACGAGGCTTGCATATCCAGGTTTCCCTCTTACTTCTTGGGCGGCTGAAATTCAAGCTCAACGAGATTGACGGCCGCGGCTCCATAGATAGGGCAAGTCTCTGTAAATTACCGCCCCGGAAAATCCCAGCATAGAAGCCTTTTACCCAGGGGAGGGCGGACCTTGATGGACACTGTATAATATGGGAAGAAGTCGATCCAGGTATACATAACTAGGTGTCAACCCGGCAGTATAGGCGAATTTGATGCCAAGTGGCACGAAGTGGTGCTCGGCTCGCTCTTTGGCCAGGGTACCTAACTTGTACATGTAAGCAAGCAATCATCGTGGGGTCGAGCAGGACATCAGTTCACGTATTAGGTATCGGACTCAATATCAAGTTGGGAAACTCAACCTTACGGACTGATAATTTCTCCTTGCTTACCTATACGGAGGCTCGGCTCTCGTAGCGTAGCCCCGGCTCTCGTTTCTCGCTCGGCTTCGACCCTTTACTAATACGCGGTTCCTCTAATTTGAAATAACTAGTCGTAAGTTCTCCAGGGTTCCAGAATGAGAGGCAATCCGCGCTGCCGCCAGAGACACACAGAAAAGAAAAGAAGAAGAAATATCGCCTAGCCTTAGTGAGATGGGCAGTGCGCTTGCGCGCGTGTTTCTTTCCGGATTCAAATCAAATAGTATAGATGCATAATTTGTTTGTGTTGAAACATTCATGGCCACCCTCGTTTCCGGGTTCCGCGCCGCTCAAGTGCTGACGGCCTCGCGAGGCTTGAGGCGAAGCGAATTACTAAACCGGCACATAGCTGTATAACCGATAGAGCTTTGTGAAACAGAGGGCAAATGAAAAGGCTTGGATCGATGGACAGACGTCAAAAAAGCTTGTCCCCGGTCATGAGAGTAGAAAGAGAGGCAGAGTTCGCAAATGACCCGGATCCAGAAAAGATGAGATGTAAGAAACGCATCACGCTGAGCCAAGGTACATGTAAGCACCGCAAGCGAGGCCAGCAAATCAAGTACCGCCCCCCTCCGCGCGGCTCGCCAGGCTGCGCTGCCATTGGACCGCTATTTTTATCCCCTTCTGGTGCCAGAGCAGCCGAGAGTCTCTGTGTCTGTTGCTTCCAGGGGTCTCTTCTCTGCTAAGAGCGTTCACGCGGCGCTTACGATTGGGGAAGGGGTGTGGCCATGGGGCTCATTTGCTGGGTGTGCCGCTGTGGCTTTCGGTTCGTCTGCAATTCTTCAGCGCTGCCACTGGCTCTCCGGAAAAGCTTGGCCCTGATCCCATCTTCCTCTCTGGGCGGCAAAGAGGGACCGGGGCCGTGCTCCCTCCAGTCTTGCCTTTCACTCACTCACCTGTAAGCGAGGCTTCTTCCCTCGACACTTTTTTGCTTCTTCTTTCTTGTCTGCGCCTAGGCGCCGCCGGATGATCAGCAAGCGGCCCCCTCCCCTCCCCTTGGCAGCGGAGGCTTAGTTTTAGTTGGGACGACGGGGCATATTTTTTGGCATCTTATTTTGTGCTTGGCTGTGGTGTTAGTGTGGTTTTTTTTTGTTATTTTTGAAATTGGGGACCCGAACCGACGGCATGCAATGATGGAATGATTGCACGAGATGAGATGAGGATGAGTTTGGGAGGATTTGCCAGGCACGGCACACCATGTAGGGATTCGCTTCCGGGACCGCGGACTCTCATCCATCCAGTGGGAAATGATGAATCAATTGCTGGTTCTGGGCTTTTTTTCGTTTTCCTTGCCTGGGGCCCATACAAAATGGAACCAAGTCTGAGTAAACAGATACATGCGTTCAGTGGGATGGACTTGTACTCGAAGCCGTGCCGTGCCGTGTTTGCATGTAGCAAAGTGCCGCATCTACGGCTAAGAGCTAGCTTACATGTACATGGCTGCCAAGTATCTTTAGCTGCTGCAATACGTGTATCCGTCGTGATGCTACTGTTCCTTCTGCTAGTACCAGCAGCAGTGGTGGCATCACGGAGCAGGTAGGTCTCTTGCCGGTTCGGGTGGCTGCCTCTGCCTCGTGTGCGTCTGAGCATTCTTCAGGATTAGCCTGTGCAAGGGCTTTTGGGTTTCCTGGGTCGTGGGACTTGGACCTGCTGCTGTCATGTCACACTCGAGGGCTCGCATGCGTGGAGAAGGGCGCATCATGTAACTCTAATGATGATGATGCACAAGTGACTATCACGGCCATGGTGGCTGCACAGCCAAAAAAGAAACAAGGGTCAGGGGGGGAGGGGAGGGCCCCAATACGGCATCCATCCTTTTTTTCCTTTCTCCAAAGGGCCAAGGGGAAAAGGTACGCGCCACGTGGGGGCTGCCATGTTCGAACCAACTCCCCAATCTGTGCCTCTGCAACCCAACGTCCGTGGACATGTAATCTTGCCCGAGTGGGAGCTCTCACTATTGAGCTATTGAGATGCAATGAGATGATGCTGGATGATAGCCCGCATGCCGCCCCCGGGGATGATATACCGACGCAACGTCTAGTGCAACAGTGCACACCTGGTAGATATTCATTCTCCCCCACTCATTCGAGGCCCTCTCTTCAGGTGCCTGCATCCTCGCAGGTTCCTCCCATCCTCAGGCGTGATAATCTGCATCAACCTGGTACGGTATGTAAGTACTGCCAGTTATACTCTAGTATAATTTGCCGAACGCCTAAAAGTTCGAGCCAGGGCAAGGGATCCGAGGCACATCAATCATTAGACGAAAGGGCTAGCTAGCAGAGATGGAGAAGGACAGGGGAGGTAAGAAGAGGAGACGAGGGGCTGCCAAGAAGCAGCAACAAGTAGGTACATGTACCCATCTATTAGCAGCACTCCGTATTACCCAGGCAGTTGGAGAATCACACAAAGAGGTGGTGTAGTGACAACTATGACACGATGTGTAGCAGGGCAGTGACAGCTGCAGACTCGAGGCCGAAAGCGGTGTTATGAGCACATGTGCTGCCTTGTATCAACATGGCAAGATGCGTAGCTGACGTTGAAGCACTGATTGGCACCGGCCAAGACCGAGCTGCCCCGAATCACTGCGGAGGGAGTCAGTGCCGGTGCGAGGCACAGCGCACAATGATTCAAGATGAATCCTCCTCTGTGCCTCTTCCTCTTCGTCCCATCTTGATTCAACCCAAATCCATCCCTCGGCACCCCCTCCCATCCCATCCCATCCCATCTGGCGGCCACTGGCCCTGCGCCGGCTCCCGGTCCGCGGACGAGATTGGATGGGGACGCCGACAGGAACGGTCCCAGAGGAGTTGCCACGAGGGCGGGTAGGCTGCATCCCATTCGCAAGTACATGTGGTGTAAGTAGTGCACATCACCACTTTGGCAGAGGGCCACGACATGGATACCCGCACCAGCAACTAGCACCGCATATAGCCACATCTTCAACGGCCCGTATATACATACTTGTGCTCATATTTACTTGTACCGCTAATGCAGTCACTGGGTGTGCAATCCTGCCATCGGTAGCCTCTACGATTGGGGCTTTGGCTCTGGCTGACTCACGGCCTGTGTCTCAGCCCTACGCTTCCAAACAGGGCAAGCTTCACGCCCCCAATTGTCCATGGCCAGAAAGGTGCCGTCAGCCAGACCCAAGCCACACACCCCCATGCGGAAAAAAGGGCCCCAAGCATACGGTAACGGGCAAACGAGAAGGAAAAGAATGCCCATCTTTTTTTTTTTCTTTCTTTCTTTGTAGAACAAGAGGGTGTGTGCGCTGAGATTTGTATTTTTTTTTTGGGGGTAGCCAACTTGTTAGTACAGGCTCAGCCGTGAGTGACAAAAAATGGCATGGTATGGTATGGCAGCGCACACGGCAAGGCAGGGCAGGGAATGGCCATTCGTCATCTCACCTTTTTTTTTTTTCGAATAAGGGGATGGGTGAGAGGGGAGGGGGGGAGGGGGGTGGGAAGAAATCCTGGGAACTGGGAGTTTGGCTACAGGGAATAGGTAGACTGGCGAAGAGGAAACGCTTGGTCGTTCTAGAGGATCTTATTTTGGCGGTTTGAAGGTGGCTATATAAGGTGGCTGCTTCATCCCGGGAACACGGATATCAGAATCGCTACTCTACTCTCAACCAGCAACGCAACACAGTTCTGTACAATACAAGACATTACACCGCAGTGCAATACAAAGCAACTATTCAAGTCTATATATATCTGCTATTCATCCCCTCGACATCTCGACTCTCTCATCTCATCTTCTTCTATCAAGTCTTGAACTCGGTGCATCTCTTCAACGCAACCACCATTACTTTTACTCCCTACAAATCACTCAACTCCACAAACAAACATCACAATGGCCGCTTTTGCTTCCTCCTTCGACGCTTCCGTCTCCATGGTTGACTCCGCCCGAAGCGGCTACAACATCGTCTCTCGTCCCAACACCGGCCCGGGCTCTGGATCCAGCTCCAGCTCAGGCTCATCATCCACCGGCCGCCGGGGCAACTAAGAAAGAAGAGATAATCTTTTCTTACTTGCTAGACGCTTTTCGACGCTGTACAATTTTTTTTTTGCTTTTACTTCTTCTTTATTGCCGAGCGTTAGACTTGCCTTCGCGGGCTATTCGATTTTCGCATACAAAAACTACCAAAAAAAAACTATCTATACAACTTTTTCGGTCAAAAGTGCATGGACAGACGGTTAGACAAAACACAAAAAACACGCACATTGGATCTTTTTTCTCTTGTCTTCACTGGAAGAAAATTAAACATTGCGGAGAAAATTCCCTCTCATCGCAACCCCTGGGAGGGAACAGAAGCAGCCATATCTCTTGCGACTCGGGGGGTTTTTCCCTTTCCAAACCTCCTTCTGTACTTTTATTAAAATGGCGTGCGACATTTATTTTCTTATATGGGCGGCCTCTGGGATTCCTTTTCTTGTTTTTTTCCCCAATTTTTTTTTTAACTTATCCTCCTTCTTGTCCCTGATGATTTTCACGCGGCGTTGGACACGGGAACAACAGCAATACAGTATGCTGCAAAGAAAGCAGACAGCTTAGAGATATGGGTTCAGTCAAACACTTGGTTAGATTTCTGAAGCTTTACGGCACTTTATGTAGTCCTTTTTTTCTCATTTTTTTTTTCCTTTTGCCATCTTCTTCCTCTTCTTCCTCCATTTCCTCCTCTTCTTCATCTCTCTGCCCCTTTTTATACTATATCTAGAATGTAAAATATGTTACTATGAGCCCTTTTTTTCTTACTCAATTTACCTTATTTTCCAACGCAAAACCTAAAGACTCGCATTAGCAAACTCGTGAACAAATAGCAAGACAAAAAGAGCTTCAGTGACTTACTTCTCAAACACCACCCCAAGAACATCTTCTACATCACCAGCCTCCCCCTTGCCAGTGATGCGCGCCAGGCAGTCTGCCGCATACCGCAGAAACTCAGCCGCCAACACAGCATCGGCTTCCACTCCTGGATGGTGATCCTCGCCCTCTTCCGGCCGCGCCTCTGCCATAAAGACCTCCAGATGGGCCCTGCACCTGGCCAGGAGCTGTGCCTGGCGAGCTGTCACACCAAGCAGATCCTGCAGGTCCACGGGCATCTCAGTCATTTGCGAAAAGGTGCTGACCAGAGCCTCTGTCAATGCATGAATCCCTCCCGGATCCTTGTTCCGCGCCGCTGGGGAGCTCGTTTGGCTGGCCTCCTTGCATGACACTGCGGCTAGTTGAACTGATCCTAGCCTGGGATCCTTCTCGCCTAATCTTTGGCGAAACTGGTCGAGGAGCCGACCAAACTCGCCTGGTTCGGCGACGTCTCTCTTGTTTATCACAATCAGCTGGGCTTCTGCCGCGGCAGCAATGTCCAGCGTCTGCTGGTCGTACAGGATGAACGGCCCCGACGGGCCACTCTCGACCGATGCCAGGACGACGACAATGTCGGATTCTTGGGCCTTTTGCTTCGCCCGGCGGATTCCCTCCAGCTCGACGGCTCCAACCGGACCGGATGGCCCCAAAGGATGGCTCGACCTAAATCCGGCAGTATCCGCGAAAGAACAGAGATAGCCTCGAATATCGAGGCTGGCCTCGACAACATCTCGGGTGGTACCAGCCTCGCCGGACACAATCGAAGCCTCGCGACCGACAATCAAATTCATGAGCGAACTTTTCCCAACATTCGGCGGGCCTAGGAGCGCAATCCTGATGCCGCTCCTCAAAAGTTCGCTTCTCTGGCCGCCCTGTTCGTGCAGATGAATGCCTTGAAGGATATTGTCCACCAGCTTTGCCACGTTGTGGAGCAAATCCGTGGGCGATTCGTCAAAATGCTGATCCTCGGAAAAGTCAATCAGCGCCTCAATCTCCCCCCGCGCAAGGAGGAGCTCTTCCCTCCAGCTCTCATAGGTACGAGCCAAGGCCCCCGAATTTCCTCTGACTGCTGCGCGCCGCTGCTGCTCCGTCTCTGCAGAAAGGATATCACCAAGAGATTCTACCCGTGCGAGATCCAAACGATCATTCAAAAAGGCCCTCTTTGTGAATTCTCCTGGTTCGGCGTATCGAATCCTATACTTTGAGGAGCACCGTGGAATAGCTGCCAGAACCGCCTTGACAGTGGCTGGTCCGCCATGGATATGCAGCTCCAGCACATCTTCTCCAGTTACGGTTTTTGGACAAGGAAAGAAGAGGACCAATGCCTCTGGATCTAATACTCCTCGACGTGACCCTGAGTGCTGAGGGTCCAACAGCGACCTCACAGAGGCATATCTAGGCCTTGGTAGTGCTTTGGAGGGGCATAGCGCTCTGTATATCTGACATTCCACGTTATTATGGGGTGTATGACGCTGTATTTGGTGGTGAATGCACTTACATCCAAACATGATGGCCCTGAGATGCGAATTACAGCTATGCCCGCCTTGCCCTGGGCTGTCGAAAGTGCATAAATGGTGTCATTGGTGCCCGCACCAAATGCTCTGTTGGGCGGTTCAGCTTGATGATTTTCAGCGGCTTTTCCTGAATAGAATCTCTGTTGACGACTATATGCACAGGGACATGATTTCAATGGCAGCGGTCTCAATGCTGTGATGGGCCGGATCGAAGCAGCACATTGAGGCTGTCTCACGGCGCGAGTCAAGTGTTCCAGTCGTAAATCGTGGCGGCGCATTGGCTGTTGGTACTATGATGAGATATCAATGCTGTAGCGAAGATTGCTTAATGAGACGGACAAATGCGGTTGAGTAAAAAAAAAGTATATGGCGTCAATATGTTCAGATAAAGTCTATGATGCGAAAAAATTTATGTGTGCCCGAATGCATCTTGGACATTTCCCTATAGAGGAGTTTAGTGGAGGCATCGCTATTCCTCAGGCTAGGAATTAGCGCCCGTGCAGTCTCTTAAAGACTAACTGGAGCCGACGCCACAAATGATGGAACCGCAGTTTAGCTCATGTCCATTTTCAAACCGCCTTGTCAAGAACTATTTTCCAACACAAACATCGAGACCAGCTAAAGTCCAGCAGATAGGGCAATATTATTACATATTAGAAAAGCTCCATAGCCATGCCCCCCACGACAAACTCACATGGCCGTTCTCACAGCCTGCTCTTGCTCCAGAGGCTTCTGAATCTTCGCGATGCCGCCAGCCCTCTGACTCTTCTTCTCGATAACCTTGAACAGCCCGCTCGTCCAGTAATCTCGGAGCTCATGACAAGAGCAAAGGTAATTTCCTCCCCATCCTTGTTATTCACTCATTCATAATTCACCATATTCTGTTACGCTGCGTGGTACAAGTGACTAACGTTTAGTAGCTGGCGAAAACTAAAATCATCTTCTTGTCCTTTTCCACACTCCGCAAGCCTCGAGAAGCAGACGTCTTCATCAAAGCCACGGGAAAAGATTTGAACGCAGTGAGCCGAGAGCTACTGTCACATTATCCTGCATTTCAGCCAGCAGCCATCAAAGACAAGACCGTCCAGAGTGAGTGAGAGCATCCATCTTTCAACCTGGAAGTCGAATAGCTAAAAAAGACCATGTCATGTAGGAGCCGTCGTCTTCATTGACTCATTAAACTCGCTTTCATCGGCCGCTACTCAGTCACTGGCCGTATTTTTATCTAGCATCATCACACCGGTAGTTTCCATCGTGGGCGTATATCACGTCGACGTACCAGTCATTCTACCAAAATCCTTCAACGAATATGAACCTCACCCGTTTGCGCTGCTTAACCACCTGGCGACGGCCATCTTAACACTATCAAACCTACAGCAAGAAATCGAGCGGCAAAAGGCACGTAACAGGAGTGTCGTAGAGCCAGAATGGGGCCTCAAGGAAGATCGCGAGGGCGTCCTCATCGGCCTCACAGAAAAGAGCAAGCCTGAAGACCAGGGAGGTGTTGTCATCAACATGGAGCTACGAAGGAGGAGCGGAAGAGCCGTCGACGAAAAGTTTATTCTCATGCCATGCTCTGCAGCGGCGATAAAATCTGGCCTGGGCAAGCTTTGTCTTGTCACGGACCATTCCATGTTTAAGAAGCCCGAGGCAGAGCAGGGCGAAGACGGGGAAGAGCAGCCCGAGAGCACGTTTAATCTCGGCCTTACAGAGAAGCAGCGAAAGGACAGAGAGGGAATTGTGCTGCCATACTTTGATGCCCAGACAGACATTGGAGCCGGAGAGGGAGGCAGGATTTTATACGAGATGGGCAGAGAGGACGATTTCGACGACGAGGAGGATGAGATATAAACGCAAAAATGGCCAGGAAAATAAAATTGAATATTAAGAAAAATAAAACTACCTAAATATCAGAAAGTAAATATTCGTAATGTATATTTTAGTAACTCTGCAAGAAAATTCAGAGGGAGAGAGCACGGCCACAAGCGGCATTCACTTCAACCAGCAAAAGGTTACGCCACAAGCTTTAATTGCATGGGGCAACGTCAGCCACACCTCACATCCCAAAACCCACCTGTCCAGCAACCGACATTTCGCATGTGTTTGCAAGATTCAATACCCTGCTCGTTAAACAACACTATTTCGCTGGACGGGAATAAACATACAAAACGCAATTCATACTGAAGCGTTGGATACCCCGATTGAACCAAAGCTACAGCTCTTGATTTCAGCAGCCAATTCCAACTTCCGCGGCTTGCCTGAGGATTCGACTACGAGCTTCTTGACACGTAGTTCTCCAGCCAGCGCCATCTGGGCATCACTGCTCCGCGATAGCAGCGTCAATCCCTTCTTCTCCCTCTTTTTCTCTCTCTTCTGCCTGCTTCCACTATAAAACGCATACAAAAACACCCACAGATCAAAATGATTCGCGCAACACAAATATCGAGGCTGGACGGTATGTCACAGGAGCAAGTCCCCAGAAACCACCGAAAAACGCTAACATCACCATTTCCCAGGCCTCATGCTTTGCGCCTCCGTCGACGACGAAGCACAAGTTCGATCACCCAACCCTCCTCCCCAAAACAAATACAACACACTGACAATTTTTCCCCCCAGTCCGACGCCGCCGCCCTCAACGAAGTCAAGCAGCAACTCCGCCAAATCCTTCGCAAACTCACCCGCACCTCGGAATCGCAAGCCTCCATCGAAACCTCGTCCGCCCTCTTCACAATCCACTACCTCATCGACTCCGACGTCGTCTTCCTCTGCATCTGCGAGCGCTCCTACCCGCGCAAGCTGGCCTTCACCTACCTCGCCGACCTCGCCCGCGAGTTCACCACCACCTACACCGCGCAGAACATCCACAACCCGGCCCTGCGGCCCTACGCCTTTATGGAGTTTGACAACTTCATCGTCAAGACGAGGACGACGTATGCGGATGCCCGCGCGGCGCAGAATCTGGATAAGTTGAATGACGAGCTGCGCGACGTTACCAAGATTATGACCAAGAATATCGAGGACCTGCTGTATCGGGGGGATAACCTGGAGCGCATGGGCGAGATTAGCAGCCGCTTGAGGGATGATAGCAAGAAATATCGGAGGGCTGCTGTGCGCATCAACTGGGAGCTGATGTTGAAGCAGTATGGACCCTTTGCGGGACTGGGCTTTTTCATCCTGATTTTCATCTACTGGCGGTTCTTCTAAAACAAAAGTGGTAGGAAAAGTGTGGAGAGAGGGGAAGAGAGAGATGTTAATGATTGATATGCGGTTTCACGTATATTGTGAGAAAGCGATAGGGGGGGGAAGGCATCAATGCACAGAGAGCGGAGCGTGGCGTTGATGGGGATATCCATTATACTCTATATACAATTATGTGAACTAATAAATGCTTTCGACGCATCATAAATGTCTTTGCAGCTATTTCTTGCCCCTCTCTCCCATTGTCTTTATTCTCTAGCTTGAACGCTGCTCTTCAAAATGATTCAGTTGTGGTAGGTAAAAGCAGGGGGGGAAACGTCGTATAACCTGATTCGCCGCAAACTCCTAATTCAGATGTCTCGCTGAACCCATCAAAGACATGGTATTGCCTCCCTCTCTTTCTTTCTTGCAAAAGGAAACAAACAAATTGATAATTCCTCTCAGTATTCATCTCTTGCAACCGCCGTCGTCTAAGCGACTAACATGCAATCGCCAAGCCCAAGTCTGTTCCCGCATTCTTGCTTGTAATGATGAAATGAAATGAAAATGCTTCCACGTTCCGCATAACTCGCTCACATGACCAGACAGTTGTTCTCTGCTGTCGTCGTCGTTGGTAATCCAATCGGTAATGTAGCCGTTCCATGCTGCCATTCAAGGTGCTCTTGTAAAGATTTCACGTCGTCAAATTCTTCATCGGGGCGATACGGATCCTCATCGTCGTCTTCGTCCTGCGGCTGTTCCCCGATTTCCTCGCAAAGCGGGCAAAGCAATTTGGCCTCCCAGTCTCCATGAGTCGGTATAATGTGGTTTGCAATAGCCACTGGAGCAAAGATGACCTGCTTCTGATGCTGGCCGCAATTTGTCACGCCCGATGCCTGCCAATTTGACGTGTTTGGTAATAATGATACTGGCGAGCTTAATGAACTTGGCGGGACTGCTCGGGTAGACGATCGCACCGTTGGCATGCGCTCCAAATCCTCCCATACTAAATGTCCATCACAAAAGTCGCAAACAAACGCAATATCTTGATCTCCAAATCGCTGAAATGTCCCCACAGCCTTACACGCAATAAGCTCTTCTTTATAATATCTCTCGAGTGTCGTTTCATCTGGCTTAATTCCGGCCTTGGCGTCGCGGAGAGGAGCCCGCTGTTTCCGCTGTACGATAAAGGCACCCAGACACCGTTGTGAGGCTTCCCGCGCGGATGTGAACACTCGCATTGCTGCTCGGCATTGAGCTCGATGTAGTTCTCGTTTTATCGTGTATGTCTCGCGCACCCAGGTGGGGTCAATAGGTCCTCCAGATCGGCTCCAGTCCTTTAGCCTTTCGTTTAATGCCTGAAACTTGCCAAGAATCGCTCGCAGCTCTTCCATCGACTCATCTAACAGACAGCAGTCATATCAGCAAACCTGGAAATCTCTATAGGGGGCTGTCCATCTTCAACAAGGACACTCACGTCTGCGATCGTGCTCATACTGCGACCGCCCATTTCCATTGACCAGCGGCCCAAGCTCTTGAAAGTCCTTCCTCGCCTCGTCCAGCACCGAATTCAGCGCACGCTCCTGCTCGCGCTCGTCCTGCCCCCAATGTCGCTTGTCCGAAAGGCTCAGGATGCGCTGCCCGTCGGAGATGATGTTCGCTATGTCTGCCAGCAGTGTCCCGACCGAGTCGAAGACGCCCATTGCTCTGATGCGGAGGGAGAGGGAGAGGGAGAGAGGGGGGGAGAGAGAATCGAAGTAATAGTGAGTCTTGTTGGCATGCGATGCGAACCCCGCGCTGATGCTAGACCGTAGCAAAGTAAATCCTTGATTAATAAAGAGCTGCCAACGCCACACGGTGACACTGCAGGTGAGGAAGCCCGATCCCTTTATGAATCGAGCAAAAAGATGTTGCAGAGAAACGAATGGATAGATAAATAAACCAAATCGAGATTCAGAACCTCGTCTAGGGGCCTCGGAGAGACACCCGTCGACGGGCGCGTCGCATGGGGGAAGCTCTGCGGTCTGGGGTGAAGTTGCTTCTGGCAAAAATGACGTAGAGAACGGGCGGCACTTTTCGAGGCGACTTAACGAGTAAGGTTATGGATAATGGCCCGTGGTTCCTATCTAACGGAGCGTCGTGGCTGTGGCCAGCATTCGGTTGCTCGCGCCGTGGGAAGCCCCGGACACGCCCGCCTTGGGAAGGACAAAGAGAGAGAAGAAGTGGGCGAGAACAGGCACAGAAGTGAGGCTGTGCTGGCAGCGGACGGTGGGTCGGATGGAGTAATGGATAGGGATACGAATGACGCACGTAGCAGAATAAAGAAGCCGACTAACAAGAAGAACAAAGATATGAAAAAAAAGGAGAAAGGGGGGAGCAAACAAAGCGAGGGGCAGAAGCGACTCCAAAGGCGAATCGACAATCGTCAAAAGAGAACACGCAAGAGACTTGAGATGGGAGAGAGATGGAGAGATGGGGTTGCAGATGCCAGTGTCTGATTCGCTAAAACTAAAAACGCTCAGCGCCTTTTTTAGCAGACAAACCGCTGCGCTGCACGCAAGAACTGGTTGATCCTCCCGCTGGCTTGAGCAGCCCACTGTTGTCTGCTGCAGCGCCCAATGGTTGGAGGCCGTCAGTGAGGGGGGCAGATACAGGGGGTGCGGCGCTGTGCCACCTCCCCGTGGGCGCCGGGATAGTGGGCTGTGGCAGCGGCAGGTCTAGGCCCAGGACCCTTTTCTACAGCGCTCTATTAGCGCATGGATGCACATTGATGACACCACCATGCACTTAAATAGAACGTGGCGGCCATTACAGCACTATTTCGTGTGGGAGGGGCGTTTATGGCCTTTGGAGTGACCACTACGATAGGGCTGACGGAAAGGTGTCCTAAAAGCCTGGGCAGTCAGCATCAGTGTTGGCGAAAATAGACACGATGCCGACCTGAGGCGTTGGTGGCTGCCATCCTGAAACAAAGCCGAAAGCAGAGGCTTTATAATATCGAGGGCGCCCAGCGTGAGGCCTCTTCGAGGGGCTCCTGGGACAGCTCTGCTTCCAGTATTGTAGATTGTACAAAAGATGATGGATACTTGAAACTATTCCCATTGTTTGCTAAATAGTTAATTATCAATTACTAATACATAGCCAACAAGGCGTCTATTTGTCTTTGGAACACATAAACTACCCACTACAGCAGTTGCGGTATTAGATACCCAGCCGAGAAGCTCATCGCCTCTTGGTGGCCTTTTTAGCTTCCGCCCCAGTAGCTGTAGCCTCGTTCTTTTCTTCAGCCGCATCTGCAATAGCATCCTTGGCATCCTTCTTGACCTCGGGCTCGTCATCGTCGCCACCCTGGCCAAACTCGTTGACACGAGTATAGTCGATCCTGTAGGCCCAGCGCTGGTAGAGGTAGATGAAGAAGATGACGTCGTCACGGAATGTCGCCAGTCGATGCAGGATAGGCATCTTGATGGTGAAGGCAAACAAGTCGTCAATAAAGGTGTTCAAGAACTTGTACATCATGGCCTTGGCGGGCATGTGTGCAACGCTCTTGAGTCGGTAGTTGATGTACAGCGAGGGAATCATCATCAGGAAACCATAAGTATAGACGGACCCGACAAGAGTCGTGATGACAAACGAGTACCACGACTTGTGGGACTCGTAGATGAGCGAGTAGATGCCGTAAGCAATCAGCAGAGGCACAGCGAGCATGTACATGTACTTGAAAGCAATCTCGTCATACTCCTTGGTCTTCTCCTCGGTTTCGGTGAGCTTGTGTTTATCTTCGAATACAAACCAGTATGGGATAACAGAGCCCGGAGCAGTTTCTCGGAGACGAACGTTGACAACGGTAGTGATCTTCCAGAATTCAATGACGATGCCGATCACTTGCGTACCGAGAATCATCCAGCTCGTGTTTTGAGAGTTGTCAAGGAGATACAGGAAGATGACTGTCTGCATAAACACGTTGGCCAGGATTGATCGGACCGAAATGCCAACGTTGTCCTTCTTCTTGCGGTAGTGCGCAATGTCTGAGCCAAAGGCAAGGGTCTCCAGAATCATGTGGGCAATACTTGCAAAGGCCGTGATGCCGAGGAGGATGGGGTTGGTGTCAATGAAGATTTCCTTGATCATTTCAATCTCGGATCCATCGCCACCGCCGGGAACAGGGTTGCCGAGAGCAGCCTGACGAGCATTCTCTTTGGAGTTGAGCTCAATGGCAGCCATAGCATAGAACTGCCAGCTGGGCATGTTGTTGAGATCAATGTGAAGGGGCAGCTCTTTAACGGTGTCGTTTAGAAGGGTCATGTGGGCTTTCAATTGCCAAAATGTGTTGACAAACAGTGGCGGGTCTATGAGAGCTCAGGTTAGTTTACAGCACAGTAATTATACCAAGACCAGGATTAGTGACATACAATACCATCCGTTTTGGCCCGAGCCGTCGCGAGCACCAGTTGCCTCAAGACGAAGGAACGTCTTCAGCGCAGGATGGATAGAATCCAAATCCTTGACGCCCAAACCAGGTACCAGGGAGAAACTAGCATTTTGGTGATAGTAGTTGGCAATGATGGGACCTGAAGCATCCTCTTCCACGGGCTCTGGCTCACGAGTGGGAAGGTCTTCCAGCAAATTCCTCTTCTGCACAAACTTCTTCTTTCCCAAATACTGGGTGAGGGGATGCACAACGTGGTACGCTCGTCCAGGGTCGTAGTTGGGCAGATGGGGATCCAGGACGCTGTCCGCAAGACCAACGTAGAAGTGGCCCCATAGCGTGCCATTGTGCTGCACCGATTCCGGCACCTTGAAGGTAGTATCGATTGACCGCTTGTCCGTCTTGTTGTTCATGTGAAACCTCTTCTCGTCCAGCACGACATACTCCGCCGGCACCGAAGAAAGAGGCGCCGGGTTGAACGAGGGCGAGATTGTAACGATGATATCCAGGTAGCTGTCCTGCGCCCAGATGGGAGCAATGGTCTTGGGAATGGGTCTGTACGTGGCCCCCTCGTCCAGGCGTTTCGGTCGAAGCTGGTAAGGCGGGATGCTGCCCAGATTGTCTGGAACGGTGATGGACGCCCCGGTTTCGGGATGCGTGACGACCTTGCCGGTCTGTTCCTTTGCCAGGTAGAAGCTGAGGCCGGCATTGACGCCAAAGTAGACGGCAATGGCCGCGATGATTTTGCCCATGCCAAAGCCCTACACAATTCACCAGCGAAAACGTCAGCACACATCTCTCTGGGCTCTGAGGCAGATGCCATCACGACTTACACTGCTCTCCTCTTGGCGCCGTCCCGCCTGGCCCGCGGGCCTCTGCGCAGCAGCTGTGTCGGACATTGCGCAGGCTGTCGAAGGAGCCTCTGCGGCTGTCACGTCGGCACAGACAAATCAGGCGCTTTTGTCGCCTTGCTGTAGTGAATCCGGAGCAGAGTCGACCGCCCTAGAAAAAAAAGACACAGGGCCAGATGTGTGTTTTGCAAGGTGGGATGCAAGATGGCCTTTCGCAAGCACCGCAGCCTTGGCAGGTAGATTTCCCACCTGGGTCTAGGCCGCCGAGCTTCCACTGGCGTCATGCACCCAAGTACCCGGCACATACTAACACACGTGCAGGGTACAATGCGTGGGTGCAAGCGGCAGACGCCGGCGGCCGGATCAAGTCGGCGCCGGGCTCGCCCCATCGCACCGGGTCAGCGAATCAACGACTGGCGCTGTGACACGACGATAGTGAAGAGAAGAGGCTCAACGATGGCGAGGGGCAGCGGGTCTGTTTGCCAGAGCCTGGCCGTGGCCGAATCGAAGCTGTGAGCCGCGAGCTGCGTCTTCAGTGGCCGTGACACGCTGTCCCTGATCCACTCGGCCACTTGCCGTGACATGGCTTCCGAGGACCGCTTCCGCCATCGGGACTCAGCCCATTGTCCAGGTGACACTGCTAGAAGCTCTCATTGGAGGCTACCGGTGTTATTCTGAGACTCGTCTATCGGCTCGGGCACGCCATATAGATACAATTGATGAGCCCCGCGCATTGATCTTTATGGACATTGCAATTCGCGAGAGCTGTAGCATCAATCACATAGAAGTAGTTAGTATCCATAGATTGGTATTATAGACATTGCAGCTGAGCAGCCTCTGCCCCTGCGTCAGATACATGGCAATAGCGGTATGCAGATAACAAGCCTCACATTGTAGCAAAGACAAACAACACTGGCTGGGCACAAACCCACTCCGTGGCAGACGGATGTGTGTAGCCACGCAAATTCTTGGCTATTCTTCACCGGCCCTGTCCTGCTGACCCCCCTTTCCGCCAACCAGCTCCGTCAACGCAGCAAATCAACCCCAATGTAAGTCAATGACCGTCGTACAAGAACGATAGAATGCCAACGTGCCCCGTGTCAAACGACGTTGAACGACCGCAAGGCAAAGCCCAAAGGGGGGGGGTTAGGTATTCGTCCCACCTCCCGGCAAAGACGCCAATTGGGCGGCCGAGAGCTACGGCGAGCGTAACTGGCAATTTTTTGAAAAATTTACCCGTTTAGTGATAGGCTCCGGCACTTCATATGACTCCCACGCCTCCAGTTTTCGATTGTTTGGGGGGCTCTTTTTTTTCCCCCGTCATAAAGAATGGGGGGTCCGGCGGTGGCCGATGGCTGCCGGGTCAGGATTAGTGTGGGAAAAAAAGCGTGCAGTCAGATCTGGCGGGAGGACCTGAGTTGGCGCGGTTTCGCAGCGTCATTCCACAGAACGTTCTATATCTAGACGCGGTTCGCCACTCTCCTTTTCGACTTGATCTCTTCGTTCTTCTTGTTTCTATTCTTTCGAACGAGACTGAGAGATTTTGGAGTTGCCTTGCAACGGGATACATTCTTGGAAGCTTCGCTCTTTTGCCATTTGGCTCAAATCATTCTTCTTCTAAAACCATACCCCATCTACCATTCCTTTGCCTGAGACTTTGTCTGTGGCTTATAACTCGCCATCTAAGAGGCCCTCGGACCATATAGTTTCAACTTTCTCTCTTCTATATCGGACGACAACATTACAAAGCCTTTTTCGCCTCCTGTCTATTTCCTTCAACCCACGGCAAACCATCCATCACAACCCCCACCATGACTGCTGATTCCATCACAACTGGCCAGAACGGCTCTTCCAACGGCTCTTCCAACGGCCACGCCAATGGCACGCCTCGCACCAAGATTTGCGTATACTGTGGCTCAAGCGGCGGCAACGACGCCGAGCACATGGAAACAGCCCGCGAGCTCGCCAGAGTAATGGCTGAGAACGACATTGATCTCGGTAAGTTTGCATCATATCCTCAAGACAACTCGAAGACAACCTATGGCTAATCTCATCCCAACTATAGTCTACGGCGGCGGCACCGTCGGCCTCATGGGCGAAGTCGCCAAAACCCTCTGCGAGCTCAAGGGCCCCGAGGCCGTGCACGGCATCATCCCCGAGGCCCTTGTCAAGTACGAGCGCAACAACACCTACCAGACCATCAACGTGAACAACCAGTACGTGCCCACCGAGAGCACCTACGGCCGCACCACCGTCGTCAAGGACATGCACACGCGCAAGAAGCTCATGGCCGAGGAGGTCTTCGCCGGCGGGCCGGGCAGCGGCTTCCTCGCCCTCAGCGGCGGCTACGGCACCGTCGAGGAGCTCTTTGAGACGGTCACCTGGAACCAGCTGGGCATCCACAAGCGCGGCATCTGCCTGCTCAACATCAACGGCTACTGGGACGGCATCGTCCAGTGGGTCGACAAGGCTGTCGAGCAGGGCTTCGTCAAGCTGCCCAACAAGGACATTCTCGTGACGGCGACGACCGCCGAGGACGCCATCTTGGCGCTGATGAACTACCAGGTCAGCGAGGGCACTTTCAAGCTGGAATGGGGATCGCAATAAACGGGTGTGTTTTGAAAAGATAAAAAAGGCCAAAGAAACAGAGTGGCAAATGTTATTCGCATGATTCCAAGTTGCAGCAAGCACCTTTTTTGTTCACGAGCTTGCTAGGACTCGGGTCTCTTTTTTTTTTTTTCTTTGCTGTGTCATTTTCTTTTTTCCCACTCCACTCTGTTCTACGTTTTGTTTTTGTTTTGTTTATTTGGCGCCTTTTCCAACGGCTATCATGTGTAATGCCTGGTTATGATGTACAGTATAGAGAGGGTTTTCCATCAAAGACATATATATATCCATAGACAGGTTTTAGTTACGTCATGGGACGGGAGTAATGTCATGATTAGGTATCTTCTTTTTTTATTACTTCGTTCGTAGCAAGCTTCACAATTCGGGCTGTTCGAGCAGCCTCCAGTGATGCATGATCTAAATCCTTCCTCACGGCTTCTTCAAACTCCATATGTCGTCTAGCTGTCAACCTCCATGCCATCGCCCTCGCCCGCGGCCGTAGTCTCGCCCTCACCCTCGCCCTCACCTCCTTGGCTTTCCTTGACGCTCTCAATCCACTCCTTGGTCTCGAAGCCGTCATATAGTTTGAAAGGCTCGACATTCGGTCGGCCGTTGGGTCCCTCTTTCAGGCCCACCAATCCCACAGATGTGTTCTCGACCGTCAGCTCCTTGTCCTGTACCAAGCTCTCCTTGAGCGCCCTTAATCCGTGCTTGACCAGCTCCTCCTTTGAGCAATTGGCAAACGAGTCTATGTTCCGCTCCAGATATGTTCTGGCCATTTGGCTTCGTGCGCCAATGGCAAATGCAACCATCTCTTCCGTCATGCCCGATGGCTGGAACTCGAACAGGTGGGGGCCATTTTCGTCGACGCCAGCAACCAACAGCCCAACGCCGTACGGCCTCTTGCCGTAGACCTGGGTGTTGATCTGTGCCTTCTCACCAATCTGGCCAACCAGCGTGTGTATGGGCATCGGGCGGCCGTAGGTGAGGCGGTGGCCCAGGCATTGTTGCTTCATAAAGTTGGACAGGACGCGAGCATCTGATGTGAGGCCGGCAATGGCAATGGCGGTGTGCTCGTCAATCTCGAAAAGCTTCTTCTGGTACGACGACAGTTCCTCTGCGTTTCGCTGTTATGCCACACGGATCAAGGTCAGTCCAACGTCGTGATGAGGGGTACAAGGGAAACTTGCCTTGACGGCGAACAAGCCGACGTGTGTTTTGCTGACAATTCCGACGACCACTGAACCTTGCTTTACGGCCTCGCCGGCATATTCGATCTGGAAGATTCGGCCTTGCGGCGAGCTGGGTGCCGTGGCATGTCAGCTATGCGAGCTTGCAGTAGAGCTGGAGGGGCTATCGGTTAGACAAGAGACATACAAGGTGACGGAATCGTTGTCGTAATTGTTCCTGAACATGGTGGTTTACTGGGCGCTGAAAAGTCTCGACGAGGAAAAGAGGAGGTGTTTGCTTCTGCAACGGCGCGGCAGCTGGAGGAAGAGTCCGTTGGCGTCTGGCTTAGATGGTTGATGAGGGAAACGCATCCAGGCAACCTAAGCTTCGTCGCCTTCCTCTGTGGCTGCAGACGCCACTACGCAGCACTCTCCAGCCACAGCTGCCAGCTCCCCGCCGGAACTTAGTCAGCATTGAGCCAAGCTGTTCCTCAGCCACACTGGAGCTGCAAGAAAATTAGTGGCGTCTTGTTGCTTGTCAGTAAAATCATTTAATCCTGGTCAATTCAAAGCTGTCATATCAGATCGTCATGTAGAGGAGTTTCAATTGTTATTTGTAGCTGCAAGACGTCAATTGGATGATGAACCCTCAAGGGACTCCCCAATTGTAGAAAGACGAATGCCCTTGATCTGGCTTCATCCCTAGAGTAGCATTGCTGGCTAAATTGATCCGTGACTCGATGATATTGCTAATAAAGCAAGCTGCTGCCCGTTTCTCCGAGAGCGGCCAATGCGGAGCAGCGCGGCGTTGATGCAATATTTCAGCCGTCGCTCTCGATGGGCTCCGACAAGCATGAGAGAGTTTTTGACTCACTAGAAGTTTTGAAGTCAGTTCAACGCATCTCAGCTTCATTTACGCCGGGGCCATTGAGCCTTTTCCAAGTCTTGTGACGTGACTCACTCAGCGTCGTATCTTATGATAAGACCAACATACCGTCACCAAACGTACACTTTTTCCTAGCCAAGCCACTCACTAGACGTTCCTTTTTAACCTCTCACAACACACCACACCAAAACAACACGCCCTCAAAAACCAGTCTACAAGATGCCTTCCAGAGAGGAGATCACATAGTAAATATGCCTTTCTTAGGATCCCAAAAAGTACAGCTCAATTAACGATTTATAACCCAGCTGGGGTGCCGGCCCAGCTTTGTTGCCCACCGACGTCCTCGAGGGTGCTGCCCAGGCCCTCGTAAACTTTGATAATACTGGCCTCGGAGTAAGTTATAGGCCTTTTGAGGATGATGACAGTATTCCTGGTGCTGATGATTGGTTCAGATTGCAGAGCACTCGCATCGCTCACAGATTGCCAGCACCATCATCAACGAAGCCAAGGCAGATCTCGCCTCTTTCCTGGACATCCCCGACGACTATGAGATCTGCTTCCTCCAGGGCGGTGGAACCGGCGAATTCGCCGCCACGGCCTACAACCTGGTCGGCTCATGGATCACCAACAAGCGCCGTGAGATTTTCAGCCAGATCAAGGACAACGAGGACCAGGGCACCCCGGAGGAATTCCAGAAGCTGCAGGCGGCAGTCGACAACGACCTGAAGCTGGATTACATCGTCACCGGAGGATGGTCGCAGAAGGCGTCTGCCGAGGCGGCGAGGCTGTTTGGAAAGGACAAGGTCAACATTGTTGCCAGCGCCAAGCAGAGCAACGGCGGCAAATTCGGAACCATCCCCGATGAGAGCACCTGGAAACTCTCCAAAGACGCGGCTCTTGTGTACTTTTGCTCCAACGAAACCGTCGATGGCGTGGAGTTCCAAGAGTTCCCTCAGAGCCTGGCTCCTGGCCCGGACGGCAAGGGCCCCATTGTCGTGGCCGATATGAGCTCAAACATTCTGTCGCGAAAGGTTGACGTCAAGAAGTACTCGCTCATCTTCTTTGGCGCACAGAAGAATCTTGGATCTACCGGCATCACCGTTGTCGTCATCAAGAAGAGCTTGCTCGCTCCGCAAACCCCACAGCCTTCGGCGGACATTATGAGACGCCTCGGTCTTCCTATTCCTCCCATTTTCCTGCAGTACGATACCGTTGCTAGCAACAACAGCTTGTACAATACACTCAGCATCTTCGAGTAAGCATCTCATTTTCTGACCATCGTAATCTTAACATGCTAACCCTCATTCCCTCTCCAAGCGTTTACATCGCCGGCCAGGTCCTCAAGAAGCTTCTGGCTACCTACCCTGACAAAGCCAGCGGCCAAGAAGCCGTTTCCACCCAAAAGGCAAGGCTCATCTACGACGCCCTGGATTCTCACCCCAGCGTGTACCGCGTAGTGCCCGAGAAATCGGTCCGCTCCAGGATGAACATCTGCTTCAGAGTCACAAAGGGTGACAATGTCGACGTCGCTGAAGCCGATTTCCTGAAGCAGGCCACAGCTCTGGGCCTCACTGGTCTCAAGGGCCACCGCAGCGTTGGAGGCATTCGCGCCAGCTCGTACAACTCTATCCCTCTCGAGGGAGCTCAGAAGCTGGCCAAGTTCATTGCGGACTTTGCAAACGCTGCGTAAAGTTGCGTCTTGGGACAAGGGTGGATGGAAGGATCTGGCGTTTTCACAGCATGTATGCATCATACATGGAGATGTATGTAAGTGTATGAATGTACTTGGATTAAATGGGGAACATGATAGTGTCGCATTCAACATATCCGACTCTATGACGTTGGGTATGAGACGAAGATGAAAATTATGGCGAGGCTCGCGTGTTTGCAAGGCCGCCATCGAGTTAGGCCTTGGGCGTATATTGAAAGGCGCCATATATAAATAAAATAACATGACTTTTAACACTTGGTAAACTACTTCAAATTATAGCTTCTTGAACTACATTCTGCATTCTCAAGTCTTATGGTATATTAATTCTGCTAAGCTATTCACAACTCAAGCAATCCGGATATCATCCATCTCCCTTTGCCACACAAAAACTTACTCGCCTCAGAGAGCAAGTTCATCAATCTCCATGCTATCACCTATCTTTGCCTTTGCCTTTATCTCGGCCATGGACATTTCTTTCTTAAAGTCATCCCTCGCCGGTTTCTTAGCGTCATCCACCTCCAGCTTCATAGAGTCACCCATCTCCGATATTTCACCCTTATCCGCTTCTACCGCTGTCAGTGTCCGCCTCATCTTCATCTCCTCCGGAATCTCAACCCCCCAGTCCTCCTCCAGCTTATCAATCAGATACTTGTTGAAATCACCCGCCCTCCTCCTCTCATGGGCGCTCCAGGCAGACGCAAGCCACTCCGGATCATGACGGCCTTGCGCAATGTTGTCCGTGTAGGCCGCGCAGTCGTAGCGAAAGCTGTCGTCGTTCATGAGCGACGCAAAATTGGGCCGCGCGTCTTCTGTGCCGGCGTCGAGAATGTGTCCCTTGTCTGGAAACAGCGACAGGATTTCTGTCTTTTCATCTTGATCCAGGGCGGTCCATGTCAGGGGATTGCATAAAATGCTCTGTATTTCATTTCAGTTAGCCTTGGCAGTTTCATCTCTTGGCAGCAGGAAAGATGAAGCTGTAGAGAAGCAAGCGAGGTAAGTTAGACAAACCCTCAGGTTAGCGGTAGCTAGGGGAGACTTTGGATCCTTCAGAATGCTCTCCGCATCCCACTTCGTCTTCTTCGCAGTCCTTTTCGCAGCCGCAGGCTTCTTCTTTTGCCGCTGCGGTATTGATTTGGGCTCGTTTCTAGGTGGTGATGTGTACCGTTTGTTTGCCGCAGCCTGGCGTCGCGGTCGCACAGGCTTCACCGGCGAATCTAGCTCAGAATGCAACGACAGCGGCGAAGAAGAAGGGATTTCAGCCTCCTGATGCTCTAATCTTGAATCTGCATCGGCTGATGCTGAGCCGGCTGTTGACATTGCGCGTGGGGGTTTGGTCGGAATCAGTTGGCCAGGAAGGGGGGGTTTGATGCGCCGATTGAGATTGTTTCACGCCGGCAGTGCTGTGAGTTTCTGGGGATGAATTGCGGAGGTTAAAACTCGCGTCATGTCGCTAAAAAGTGCGGGATCAAGTGGTAAAAGACGTTATTAGACCTTTGTTTAATTAATCATTAAGAGGTGATTGAATTTATCAAGTTTAAGCTGGGCATGGAGGCGTTTAATGCAGAATGTGTTGGCTGATGGCCGAAAACCGCTTCTTGTAGGGTAGACGTTTGTTTAATTAACCTCGGACAAAGAAATAGAACATCTCAAAAAAATACAGACCTATCTACTTGTAGAAGCTTACCTACCTAGGTATTTAATTTTAATTAATTACTGTTTGTGTTTCTAAAGATGCGGTATGAATGCTTTTATCCTTTTGATTGATTGGTTAAAAGGGTACTCAATTCGAACCATCTTAATTAGATATGTACATGATCTAGACTCCATATCAACTGCATCTTGTTGCCAAGTTTTTAAGCTTACAAACAGCGGCACAGATGCCTTGAAGTGTATCAACTAGCTGCCGTTATGGCAAACACAAGTACAAACGCATTCTTACATTGGTAGTAGCCGCTTTTGAGGTTGCGACATTTCTCAGTCTTCGTTAAGTAACACCCTGTATAGCCTTTGCGATTGTCACTTTAAATCCCTAAAACCCCCATCTCGGTATAGATACATGGTACCTCGACTATGTTCTGTCGCTATCGCTCACCCCATCATAAGTTCATGCACATCCCACTCACAGACATTATCCTCGAATTTAGCCGGCAAAGTCTTAAACAAGCCCCTCCATCAACTTATGATCTACCGCCATCATGCAGGGCTCAAAAGACTGTTTGCAGGCATGCGTCAAAAACATGACTCGGATCAACTTACCCGGCACAATCCGCAAACTCCATTTTAAACACATCACATACCCATCCGCTTAAATTATCCCGCCATTCATCAGATTGTTAAGAAAGACACGCGAAGAATAGTGACGACGCTAATGGCAATTTCTTTCAGAGAAAATTAAAGAAAGTCCTGATACAAAGAAGTGCAGCTCCCGCGTTCTCCTCTATTCTCCACTCGGACCCCATCTTTCCCCTCATTCGTGATGTTGGAGTCTGATATCATTCAATTCGGCTCAATGTAAACCGAAATGTAGGAGAAAAAAAAGAAGAGCTTGCATTAGACAAGCTGCGCGCTTAAACGGTAGTTTACGCACCTTTATAGCTACCGATTAGCTTTGATGTTTTTTTTTTTCTGCCATAGCTCATGATGACTTTTTTACCTTGTGATAGCCATAGATAATACAACATACATCTCCATTATCAAGGTAGTCAATCTCAGAGCACTCTTCCAGCAGCTCTATTCACATAACAACTCCCTCTCACAACACCAACCATGGCTCCCCTCACACTCGGCTACAACGACAAGCATCCATTCACCCAAGTCCCCATCACAGATCGCTCATCTGTCCAGGAGCTCCTCCGAACGCTCCTCGATCCCCTCGAGCCCTTCTTCTCCCCGCAAAAAGCCCTCGTCAAATGCCCCGGAGCCACGGCCGTCAGATTCGACCAGAGGGCGTCTGAAGTAGAAGGCTTTTTCCGGCCGCTATGGGGCCTGGCGTGTCTGCTGGCCGGAGGCGGCGAGTATCGCCTCACGGAGTGGTGGATTCGGGGCATCAGTGCTGGGACTGATCCCGAGAGCCCAGAGTACTGGGGCTTTCCGCGTGATAATGACCAGAGAATGGTTGAGATGTGCCCATTTGGTGAGATTTCTTGTTTTTATCCTATAAAGCTATGAAATGGCTTCAGATGGACTCGGCTGACAAAATGGTATTTTATACAGGATTCGCGCTGGCCGTCGCCCCAGATCTTTGGAAAGGTCTTTCAACAAAAGAACGAGCTAATGTCGAGAATTGGCTGGGAAATTCTATCAATGAGAAAAAGTCAGTTTCAGACAATCGTAATCGCTCATTGTAGAAATGCTCAAGTTTCGCCCTTACTGACAGTCATGTAGCATGCCCAACACGAATTGGCTCTGGTTCCGCGTCTTTGCCAACCTCGGTCTCAAGCAAAACGGAGCCAAATACTCGGAAGAACGGCTAGAAAGCGATATCAAGCACCTCGATACCTTTTATCGAGGAGATGGCTGGTCCAACGACGGTCCTGAGGGCATCCATCGTCAGTCTTACCCCCCTTCTTTTTCTCAGTCCCCCGAGATCTCGTCGTTCCAAAATGCTCATTTAATGTCGTCGTCTGCAGAAATGGACTATTACTCCTCCAGCTTCGCCATCCACTTCCTCCAGCTCCTCTACGCCAAACTCGCCGGCGAGTCGGACCCTTCTCGCGCAAAAGAGTTCAAGCACCGCGCCCAGATCGCCGCTCTGGACCTCGCACACTACTACGATGTCGAAGGCCGGGCCATCACTTTTGGCCGCAGCTTGGTCTACCGCTTTGCCATGGTCTCCTTTTGGGGCGCCATGGCTTACGCCGATGTCGACCTCCCGGCGCCCTTGACGTGGGGCATGGTCAAGGGCATCGTGCTGCGTAATCTACGGTGGTGGCAGACCAAGAACGACATCTGGACGTCGAGTGGGACGCTGTCGCTCGGGTTTGCGTACCCGAGCATGTATGTACGTGTCATGACCAAGAGATGCGCTATTTCGCCCCCCAGTTTAGACTTCATGCAGGTCTACAGACTATCTCTCCGATGCTAGATGACTGACGGTTGTTTTCACGTGGAACAAATGCAGATTACCGAAAACTACAACAGTCCTGGCAGTCCAGTAAGTAGCATTGATGCAACCCCACATCTCGACATCATCCAGAGGAACGCCTCATTCTAACATGATTCCCTCCCCTCCCCTTCATTGGGGTAGGAGGTCGATAACTAGTACTGGTCATGCTTAGCCTTCATCTGCCTAGCAGTTCCGGAACAGCATCCGTTCTGGACGTCCAAAGAGGAGCCCATTAGCCTCCAGATACCAAAAGTCAAAGCCATCCGACAACCAGGTCACATTACTAGGTAAGGAGAGAGCCTCATTTACCCACCAATGAGAGCCCAGCTAACCCATGCGGCGTATAATTCCAAAGCTACCTTGGCGGACATTGCATGCTTCTGTCTTCGGGCCAAGCCTGTGGCTATCCAATGAAGGCCACGCATGCCAAATATGGATGCTTCGCGTACAGCAGCGCCTTTGGATACTCGGTGCCATCCGGGCTTTTCTCCTTGGAGCAATATGCGCTGGCATCACAGCTGGGGCTTTCGGACGACGGTGGCGAATACTGGAAAACGCGGAGGCTGTCAGAGTACGCCGCCATCGAAGAGCGAGACGGCCAGCCCATTCTCGTTTCAGTATGGAAGCCTTTTTCCGACGTCAAGGTCAAGACGCTGTTAGTGCCTCCAGCTGAGGAAACCCCGAATTGGCATCTGCGAGTACATCACATCCAAGCCGGCCGAGAGGTCATGACGGCGGATGGCTCGTTTGCCATCCTCAACGTCAACTCGGAAAACGGCAGATATCTGGACCTGTACGACGCATCCAAGTGCGAAGGCACCAGCCCCAAGATCATTGGCAACTACGATCTCAACTCTCCGGCGGGCTGGGACACGGGCATCAACGGAGCCTTTGCCGCGGCGCCGAACCGCGGAGCCGTGGGCATCAAGGCGCTCGAGGAGGGCGGACGGCAGGCCATGCTGGTCAACGCCGACCCCAACACGAACCTCATGGACAGTCGGACGACAATACCGACGCTGCAGCACACGATCCCGCAGGGTCACGGGGTGTGGTACGTTTCTGCAGTCTATGCCAGGCCGGCGGGTGACGGCGTGCCCAAGGAGAGCTATCTCGATGGATGGAACAAGCCGCCGGCGATCCCAGCGTGGCTAGCTTTGGAGATGGCAGCAGCTTAGAGCGGGATGTAACGGTGCACATGTGGATGTGGCTTTTTCTTGCCATTGAAACCAAGTAGTAGCTGTGTAGATGGAAACCGTGTTAGATATTGTGATGAGTATTTGAAGAGAGCGCCGTTGAAATTGAGCCTCATCTCATCTCATCCGAACTCTGTAGAACTTGACCAAACTCAGCGAGTTACTTCATATCAAGCACAAAAGCCACTGACACGGGACTGCATGTAACCATGGCACCAAGGTACGCGTATTGCAACAGCTGAGAAAACACTACTAAACCTCTTCTCTCCTCCTTCGCTGAAAGAGACGGAGAGACTCAAGGAACTGAAATTTCCCGTGAATCCCAGCAGCTTCGCGGGGGAGAGGCTCCACCCGGAAAGCAACGAGCGCTTCATGTCACGGTACTTGCATTTAGGCATGCTCCGCAGGACACGTACAAGTACCTGGGTACCTATGATCCGCAAAGTCAAAGGTACCTGTACCGAGAAGAGGGGCCTAGACCTTGGCGCCTCTGAAAATGCGGAGAGAATCTGGAGAAATACAGGATCAACAGAGTCAAATGACAGCATAGCCTGGCGCAGCCGAGCCGTAAAATTGGAAATGCACGAGGGCTAGAAGACGTAGAGATTTTTTAACGTTGCCGCCTCCGCGAAATGCTAACCCCACTGTAGCTCCCCCCTCACCCGGCAGCGGTTAAAAAGGCGCCCCCCTTGTAAGCTTAAGTGGTAGCACCACCTTTATTGAACGTCGGGTGCCATGTGTGCGAACTCGTAGTGGTGGGAAGTGCTGTAGCGTTTATTGCGTAGTGACAGCTGGGGGGTTTGGCTTGGCTGCCGGAAAGCCGCGATTGTTTCAAATGCTGCTGGAGGGGTCAGAGGGACATTCGGCTTGTTTCTGCCGAGTATCATCGAATGCCTGACTTGCACATTGAAAACCAGTTAAAAAGCATTGATGCAATCGCAGCAGTACTTGGTACTATTTCCAGAAGGTTATTTTGGCTGTTTGCTGAAAGATGGCCTCTTTGCTCACCACTAGCCTCGCTGCAAGTGTTCTTGGCAAGCTCATGCAACTCAGCTCATTGGTGGGACGAGATTCTTCCGCTGGCTCTCCTCAAACTCTGACCCTGGGCCTTTAACAGCCCGTGCACACTAACAAGACGATCGCGGCAGGTCAGAGCAGTAGCGGCTTCAGAGCTGAGAGTACCTGTAACTAAGCAACTTGCAATGCAATGCGATGCGAGTTGCTGCAAAGCGGATCGAAATTGTCACCGCCGTGGCCAAATTAATACGTCCCATCTTGGAAATGGCACATGTACAAGTACAGCAAAAGAGAAGAAGAGAGTGCTGACTTCCAAGGCTGAATCGGCGTTTGATCGCAACGATGGCAATAACCGAACAATGTACATTGACAACAGAAAAGGGCCGACAACGAGCATTGCTTGCTCCAATCATTCAGGACTGGTGCTCACCCTCCCGAGACAGCTTCCAAAGGAAAACTACTGCTTACTGGGTGTGAGGATTTTGTAATTGAACATGATGATTTTGTAATGGAATACAGACGACATGAGGCAATACGACAATTGCCTGGTAGCAGCGTTCAGAGAGCTGTTTTTGCACGTAGTCTAGTATGTGCACACAGCTTCATGTTTTGCAGGCTGAGGGGAAACCACCCATCACCGGCTAATATTGAGACGCTTCAGCGGCCATCTCCAGCGACTCGGCATCGCTGATCCATTGCCTATTGCTCATCTCACCCAATAGCGATTGCCGTGCAGAGCTCATGCATAGCAGCATCAGAATAGCATGGCCACCACAGGTAGCTGTACATTCACGTTCGTATTTTTACACGGACGGCACACCCAAGGCGAGTCCCACTTCCAAACGGGGGTCCAGACCCAGAAAAAGTCTGGGGAACATTTTGTGATTCGCACCAGGCCTTTAGCCTTGCTCCTTTCGCTGTGCATCTGCCTCATTCATCCTCGTCTCGCGACCGGGGTCCAGGATTGCCGCCCGTGGACTGGGCCTGGCGTCGAGGAAATGGCAGAAACACATATCAGGCGTCGCATGGCCTCGTCCATCAGCGAGAGACGCTCCTCCTCCTCCTCCTTTCTCGCAGCGTCTCCCTTCTGCGATTCAGGTTTCTTTCGTCTTGATCCAGGAGGCTCAGCCCGTTCAATTCAACCTGCTGTCCGGGCATAGAGCAGCTTTTGTTTCCAATTGCTCTTCTTCGTGGTGTGTGCCTATAGTACATGTGGGTATACCTCGCACAGCACGCGAAATATAGTCGGCCGACAACACCCAGTATCGGATCAAGATAGAGCCCACCTCCAATCACCAGCCATGGCCGTAACCGCCAAGGTGCTGCGCACCATCGTGCGCAACGACGCCATGCGCGCCGACCCGGACGAAATCTACGGCTGGCGCGTCTTCGCTCTCGTCTTCTCCGCCTGCTTCGGCGGCATGCTCTTCGGCTGGGACACGGGCTCCATCGGCGGCATCCTCAACATGCCCGACTTCCAGGAGCGCTTCAACTACGCCGACAGCTCCGCCACCGCAAAGAACAACATGAGCCAGAACATCGTGTCCACGCTCCAGGCCGGGTGCTTCGCCGCCTGCTTCTTCACCAGTTGGCTCACCGACCGCTACGGCCGCCGCGCCACGCTCATCGGCGCCGGCATAATCACCATCGTCGGCATCATCTTCCAGGCTGCCTCTTCGGCCAGGGGAACGCTGGCCGTCATGTACGTTGGCAGATTCATTGCCGGCCTGGGCATTGGCGCTGCTTCTGCGTTGACGCCGCTGTACGTCTCCGAGTGTGCTCCTCGTGCCATCCGTGGTGGCTTGACAGGTAAGAATCGAAAAGCCTCGCCTGCCCTCAGCCCCCTTTTTCGGGTGTCCCGTCCCGCATAATAGACGCAGCCCTATGCCCTATGAGATGGGCCGAATGAGATGGGCCGAATGAGATGAGCCCTACGAGCCCTACGCGGACTACGAGCCGAGAATGCCCTCCGTGTATAGATTGTAGCGTTCATGCAGGTGACGGCACTAAGGCAGGGAACGAGCTTATGCTAACCTCGGACCTCGATATACAGCTTTTTACCAACTCTTCAACGTCTTCGGAATCATGGTTGCTTTCTGGTATGCAATCATCATATAGCCCCCCTTTGTCTTGTTCCCTTCAGCCGAACACATATGCCGAATTATCATGAATCAGAAAAGCGAAGAGCCAAGAGAATCTCCATCATCTAATACAAAATCGTATCTTAGGGTCAACTACGGGTGCTTGCTACACGTCAAGGCCCCTGCAATCTACGTCGTTCCACTTACTCTCCAAGCTCTCCCTGCCGTGTAAGAAGCTATCCGTACCGCCTATTGGCTGTTCATGAATCGCCAAATAGTCCACTTGCTAACTGCCGAAAAAAAACGATCAGCTTCATGATGTTTGGCATGTTCGCTTCTCCTGAGAGGTACGTAATAGGCCCTTTTGTGGCAACTCTCTCCCCAACAATGGTCGAAGCGAGGTGCAGCGAATAGAGCTAATCTCTCCCCTATTTGATGATCCAGTCCGCGATGGTGTGCTAGACGAGACGACTGGGATCAAGCCACCAAGATCCTCATCCGCCTCCGAGGGTAAGATAGCAAACCCCACGCCCAATGTTCGCCTGCTGCAAAAAAGAGTGCTTGTTCTAACCGTAGAGGGGTGTGTGATTCGAAAAAAATAGACTGCCTGCCGACTCAGAGTACATCCAGCACGAGATTCAGGAAATGGCCGACCAGCTCGATCACGAGAGACGGCTGACGGGAGACGCCACCTTCAAGACGCTCCTCAGGGAGATGTGGACGATTCCAGGCAACCGAAACCGTGCCGTCATCTCCATCCTGCTCATGATCTTCCAGCAAATGACCGGTGTCAACGCCATCGTAAGCCTCTCACCCCTTTGCCTGCGGCATCTTCCTTGCAAGGCAAAATCATCACTGTGATTTGTCGCCGCCTATGTTGCGTTGCAGGGGAAAGAAACTATTGGCTGATCCATAAACAACGTGACGTGTAGAACTATTATGCTCCCCAAATCTTCAGCAATCTTGGGATGACGGGCAATGACTCGCAGCTATTCGCCACCGGAGTGTACGGTGTTGTCAAGACGGCAGCTTGCTTCGTCTTCCTGGTCTTTGTGGCAGATTCGCTTGGCCGGCGCTGGAGTCTGCTTTGGACAGCTGCTTCCCAGGGTACCTTCCTCTTTATTGTGGGTATCTATGGAAGGGTTCAGCCCCCCATCAAAGGAGAACCTGTAAGTGGCCGTACCCTTTGCCCTTTTCCCTTGGCTTGCCTCGCCTGGTCCCTTTTTGCCTCCTTAACGCCGACGAGTTCTTATTCCAGCAATTGGAACTAAGATGAAACTGGAATTTGAAATCCGTGGACTGACGAGCTTGTGGTGCTATAGGTCACCGCATTCGGATATGTTGCCATAACATGCATCTATCTCTGGGCCGCTTCGTTTCAGTTCGGCTGGGGACCCGTCTGCTGGATTCTTGTCAGCGAAATCCCAACTGCGCGACTGCGTGCCACAAACGTGGCTATTGCGGCGGGCACCCAATGGCTTTTCAACTTTGTATGCGCTCGATGTAAGTGGCCCCTCCTCTTGTCTTGTGCTATCTCCGATCAACATGCGTCGGCCTGGGTATACCTCGACGGCGCATTTTTGGAGTATAAGTGACCCAATAGCGTCAAACTTGCAGTTTCTGACCAATGACGTGAATAGCCGTTCTCACCATGCAAGCCACCATGGGCAAGGCTGGCTATGTAAGTGCTCCGTCCCCTATCACGTCTCAAACACACCCATACATCCCGTCCACCGTTGCATCAGTGCGCTGACTCGTTTCTCTCCTTTCTTCCGCTTAGGGCATGTTCTTCATGTTTGGTAGCTTCTGCTTCATCATGGGCATTTTTGTGTGGTTCTTTGTGCCGGAAACCAAGGGCCTTAGTCTGGAAAGCATGGACGACTTGTTTGGCGTGACGGAGCTTGTAAAGCAGGTTGAAGCTGAGCCTGAACTCGGCGCCCCCGACAGCATTCGCGAGGAGCGGGCAGACATCAAGTCTTGAGCAAACTAGGGATTTTCTTTCAATTTTTCTTCTCGATCTTGCTCGTCTGCGTCTTCTCGCTCTGGCCTATTAATATGGCGCACTCGGAGGCTCTTGCTCGGCTGAAGGGTTGCACCAACGGCCCGGCCGACATGCGTAGCGCATCGAAATGATGCTCCTTGCTTCAATATATGCTTGTTTCCCGGTAACCTCGCGCGCCTCCCATGCTGCTTTTGTCGATTTGATTATGCACTGCTTGCCCTATTTGGACTTGGTCGATTATGTAATCGCCGACGACATCCGGGGAGCGCCAAGCAGGGGCTGCCGTGCGTTCTTTGGGCCGCCGTTGGCCCGCCCGTATAACGATCCACGAAAGATACGGAGTTGTATTTGGCCTAATTAAGTCGTAATTACTCGTGCAGTAGTGATATCTGGCTGATGCTGGGGGGGCCATGCCATGCGTAAAAGAGAGCAGCTTTGCGATATTTTTGGCCGCATGCAGCAAGTTGCGTCTGCCGCTAATTCCGCGCCTCAAGGGGGGGGGGGGGGGTTCTTTCTGGCGTTTCTGCGGAAGATGCATCCCATGATAAGGAATCAAACGATGCTTGACTCGAGCTGCCCAAGCAGGCCCTTTTGCCTCTCAGCTGCGAGTCAGTCAGCTGAACACTTTTAGTGACGCCGCCTGTCACTGCTCGCAGAGGCAGAGACACAGCAAAGGGCAGGCTGGGGCGGCTCCAGCGCCCGCCGGGTCCGTGACAGCGCAACTGCTAGCGGCCCTAGGCCCTTCGCAGGCTTCGGCAAGTGATGAAGCAACGACAAGGCTGGGTATAGCGCGGCGGGATAGCGTGGACCCGGAATCGGGGGTCCAGAGATCTTGATCCAGCATGTCCACGCCCAGCCAGTGCGCCGTTGGTCGAGCCGGCACCGTACCCGGCCGCACCGAAGGCCCCCGAAAGTGACCGTCAACGACAACCGCAAAGGGGACGCGGACGCTGCGTCGACCTCATACTGTAGGGCCTTATGCACGGCGGCCACAGCAGACGCGCCATCATGGCCGTATATCAGCTGGTAGTTTCCAGATACGGACGGCTGCAGGGGCCACTTCGTCGTCCGATGCAAGGCTGACGGGTCCGATTCGAACATCAGCTGTGCAGCGTCCCAGCAACTGGGGCTGCAATACGACTAGTGGCTTAGACGCTGCAAGTGCTTGGCAGCACAATTCTCGGCACTTGCAATTCTGCTTCTCGATACTGATAATGAGCGGCCCTCTGAGTCAGGCCCATGGGCAGCTGTGCTCCAAAAAGTCGCGAGCCACATCCTGCCAGGCCCCACCAGCTCGCCGGGCTTGTCTTCCTTGCTACTGTACAGTATTGCTGTTGGGCCCCCGTGTCATCGAAAAAAAAAGGGAAAAAAAAAAAAAACAAGCTTACCATGGAGGCCAGCCCTATGGACGGCGACGGCCTTGTAAGTGTCGGGACTATCGCCAAGTTCGGGCCGGTGGGGTGGGAGGTACGTGGAACACTGCCCAATACTAGAAGTTCTCGTGGTGATGGATTCAGGCTACTCTACCGCTCGGGGACCCGGTCGTCCATGAATGAGTTAAGCGAGCTCCCGACCTGATGGCTGATCCGCTGTTGTTATGAAAATGTTACTATCGCCGCTCCCCTTTCCGCTTCGTACTTGTACGCCAGGCGTGATGCTGCCTGCTAACGACTCAGTCGACCAAGAGCGAGCAACAGTATTCGTTGATAATAATGCTTCTGCGCTCTCCTCCCCCTTTGGATTTGTTCTTGAGAGGTGCCCAACTCTCTTTTATTTCTTGTGTGTCTGTGTGTATACGCCATCTTTCTTTCTCTACACTCTTTTCATACACTCTTTACTGGAACTTTTATTTTATTCTTTGTGTGTGTGTGTCTGTATTCTGATTTCACCTTTTTTCTTCTTCACTTTCTCCTTCGCTCCTTACAATATTATTATTATATTTATTTCCTACTTCTTCTTTTTTTCACTGTCCTCATCTTTTTCCAAGCAAAATCATCTTGCTCACTCTTCTTACCCCTGGTTGTCAAAGACTGGAGCTTTCGACACCTTTGCGCATGATTGATTCGACGTTAGCGAGTTCTATACGCCTATAAGACTCAGGTCCGAGCGAGTTTGTCATGTCAGGGAACGATAGTGGCAAAGTGCCCGCCGGCACGCCGCAGCGACAGCGCTTGAGCCACCTACAGCCTCCGCTGCGCACCCCGAGCCAGAGCACCCAGAGTCGCCCACAGGACGTCACTCCGGGTCCATCGACGACGCGACCGCCAAACCCCTCCTTTCGTACGTTACCTTTTAGTTTTTTTTTAACCTCGCTTATTGTATGCGTTTCCTACTGGAGAGAGGAGAGAGGGAAAAAAAAAAAAAAAAAAAAAAAAAAGAGGCCTGCCTTACCTCATCCCTACACATACACTTTTTTTTTTCTCCCAGTCCTTGGTGGCGATCGCCCGGGCTGTATACAGCACAACGCCCTCTTTGCGTGGTGATGCCGGAACTGGCATTTACTTGACCAAGTCCAAGGGGGGCTTTTACCTGATTCGTTCTTCGTCTTCCCCTTTTGTCTTTGCTTTTCTGCTCTGTCTTGACAGGCTTTTTATTTTATTTTTCTGTCACGCCGGCAGACACTTTTCCTTTTTCTCTCTCTTCATTTCCCTTGCTTTCCCTTTGCTTCACCATCTGGACTAGCTTGAAATCTGCCTGACTCTCCGGCCGGCTCGAGCTCTGATCACTTATTTCAAATAACCCTATCCTCTTCTTCTCCTTCCTTTTTGCCTCCAGTACAATCTCCTCTTCTCCCTGCTAATTTTCCTCTTCTTTTTCTACATCATTTGCACCCAAATGTTCACGTGTGTGGCCTGTCAATCACTTTCAATTGCCCTCCTCCCCTCGTCTCTTTCGTAAAATGTTTGGGACGGGACGAGCAATAAGCATCAATAATGGCTGACCAAGAGAGCCCAACAGCGACCCATAACTCGCCTCGCACGTGGCTTCTGACTGCATCGCTGTCGCCCTTGACCGTTCGTCTGATCCGGCAGTTGTTATCTCACGGCGATTGCGTCGCGGCCTGCTTCCCTCCCTTGGAGATTGAACATGAGGAACGAAGTGCCGAGTTTCGTGAGCTCATCGACGAGTGCACTAGCGGGCGGAAAGACCGGGAGGGTTGGAAGGACAGGATCCGCGGAATTCGCTGCGATGGGAGGACTATGAGTGGGTGCGGCGCCGCGGTTGCCGAGGCCGTCGAGGTGTTTGGAAGAATTGATATCCTGCTGTGCTGCAGGTCTGAAGGTATGTCTAAGAAAAGAACAAGAACTACAGAGGGAGAGGAAGAAGGAAAAAACACCATGCTACTACTTGGACCCCCATGCATTCGCGCGCGTGGCTGTGCGACTACTCCGGGGGGACGAATCCGAATCCGAAGGGAGTAGAGGAGAGAGAGAGAGAGAGAGCATCGATCGAAAGAGGAGCCCGAAGATCGATTGAGCAGATTATGTTGCTAACCGCGAGATTTGTCCGATCTTCTTAGCTGTTGTTGGAACCGTCGAGGAACTTTCGACGAATCTCGCCACCCAGAGCCTGGCCAGGGACCAGTTCGAGACCCTGTTCTTTTCCCAGGTCAACTTCATCAAGGCCGCGTTGCCACAGCTTAGGACCCAGCATACCGGCCACATCATGGTCCTCACCAGCACCGGCGGCCACATCGGAACGCCGCACATGTCCATGTACACGGCGGCGACGTGGGCGCTCGAGGGCTTCTGCGACTCGCTCGCGTACGAGATTGCGCCATTCAACATCAAGGTCACCATCGTGCAGCCCAACAAGGAGATCCAGTCGCTCACGAACCGCATCGCCTTTGCGCCGCAGATCCCCGCCTATGCCAGCAGCTTTGCAGAGGCCCCCAGCGTCCGCGAAATGCTAACCACGGTCCTCAACTCGCATCCTGACACGGCGGTACCGGCTAATCCCGATATCGACATGTCCGCTACGTCACCCGACAGCGTCTCACTGGAGCCGGGCGAAGCTGTGGGTGAGATTTTTTACCGCTATCCCAAATTACCACCATCCTCCATCGACAAGCTAGTCAACGAGACCATTTACGCACTGACGGCCATTGGCGGCCACGAGAACCCGCCCTCACGACACATTGTCGGCACCGAGGGGGCCCTTGCTGTCAAGGAGAAACTAAAGACCGTCACGGAGGAAATGGAGGACTTTGTCGAAGCGAGCCTTGCCGTCGACATCTTTGAGAGCGAATTGACCGAAGAGGCTAGAGACGACAGGAACCGTGGTGCTAGCCAAACGCCCGCTACGGGACTATCGACCACGCCATCTGGCCAAGCAGGACAGGAAGAGGAAAGACGATGAGAGAGAAATAGGAGATCGCAATTTTATTAAAAGTACATACGGAGCAGCGCGACAAATTAGGCCAAGGATCAATTTTTTTTTCAGGGGGTTTCTACATTTCATACGGGATCTCAAAAAGCTTTCACAAAAAGTCAACGCACCAAGCGAGCGTGAGAGGGAAGCTTGGTGTTTTTTTTTTTTTTTTGCGGATTCTGGGAAATTCTGCTTTCTGACTTCCGAGCGCCAATTTTTTTTTTTGCTGCACACAATCCGGTACTGACCAAAAAAAAAAAAAACATACACCCTTTTCTATTTACCCAACCATAGACACCTATTAGCTGGAATCAACAATACACGGGCCATTGATTCTACAACAAGCAATTGCACACATGCCGTCGAGATGAAAATCTACGGCACATGCAAAAAGAAAAAATACCCGTAAAAGAGATGGACGTCGATCCGGATCTGGGCACGAAATTTGCCGTTTTGTGTGTTGCGTTAAAAACGCCCGATTCCCACGCTGCAGTTGCTTGGAAAAAAAGCTTAAGATGAGATGCGTTTTGTATGAGTTTGGTAGCTGCGTGTACCCTGCTGGGGGGGGAGAGCTCTAGGCCTTGATGCGGTGGAAAGAAAAACACCGCCGGTCTGCCTCCATTTTTTCCACTCAATGGCCTGCGTACGGAGTAGTGTAACGGTTGGGTATGAAGGCGTGAAGTATTTTGGCTTTTGCATCTACATTCATGTATGTATTGCCATTTTCCGACAACAGCACCAAATGGCTGTTGAAAATTAATACCCATTGAGAGCAAAAGACTCGCCTGTACTTTTCGGGTACTTGCGAAGCTCCCTTTGCCCACTATAACCGAGCCCGGAGCTCGGTCCGAGCTCTCCAGGGCTGGTCCTTTTTTTTTTCGGTTGGCTGCAGATCACCTAACGTGGAGGGCTGAAAATAGCAGCGCCCAATAGGGCTGTAGATTGGGCTGTAAATGAAGAGCTTATTAATACTCCGCATTCCTTGCAACCGTTACGAGGAAAGTGCCTTACTAAGTACACATAGTGCGGGCGAGATGCTTGCCAGTACGACGAATCACAGGGGACTATCTTGTGCGAAGGATTCGGACTTGCGCAAAGTGATGTCTATCGTTTCTTACCACTTTCCTATTTCTTGTATTCGTGCATTCTCCGTTTTGATAGGTAGGAAAAGTGCTCAAGAGGTGCATGGTGAGGAATAGGGACTAAACGACGACGAGTGCATGTGGCTTATGTAATACGACGGAGGCTGAGACACTAAGTAATTTGGCCCCCCCACCCTTGGATCTAAAGAGCGATGTCCGATGCTGTTTTAGGTATGTGCCGCTTTTGTTTACGTGTTGCTATGATCTTCGATTAGAGTACCTTGGCACTCCTTAATATGCGTGCTGGTGTTGCTTTGGTACCTTGGTACTGGGGGGCGTTTAATGCGTGCTAGCTGCTTTGACTTGTGACTTTGGTCATGCCATTTTTGACGAGTTTGATTGATGCTAAAGCATGATGGGATATGCCTCATTTGAGTTGCATAGGCCGCGATTTCTGCGAATTAAATCCGATAAATCGGTGATGAGTATCGGATTTTGAGGTTCGTTTGTTCTACCCCTTGCTAGCGGGCGTTTACAGAATCAAGATGTGTGTGTGTGTGTTTTTTTTTTTTTTTTGCTAGCTTACACTGTGCGTGCCTTTTTTTTTCGGTTTCGTTCTTTAGCTTCCAGGCCGTGTGTTGCGTATGTTTTATTTGGGGTAGAACATTTTGGGGGGGTGGTGGTTTTTTTAGAAGTTTGGAGAAATTTTTTGCCACTTACAAGCTTTTTGAATCTGGGCCTTGTTTTTTTTGCGTGAATTCCCCCAAAATTCTTTTGTGTAAAATGCATACATGTACATGAGTAGCTACATACACCCTCGCTAGACTGCTATTTATGTCTCATGACTCGGAAGCTTTGTGCCATTGGATTTTTAGAGACCTTTTTTTTTTTTTTTTGGTGGTATGACTTCATTTCTTGACTTTTGACGTGAAATCTGTCTTTGTGCTAGTTTCCCCCTCAAAAGAAGTTGACAAGTGGGGACCACATTCCGTAAATAGTGCTTTTCGCTAACGTGAGGGAAGCCAAGGAGACTGATTACTCGTTCTGGAGAAAGAATGGGTCTTGTTTGAAAGGTTATACGGGTCTGGGTGCTATACCCACTGGTGGATTATCCAAGAAAAAAAAACGTGGCAGAACAATTGAGCAAAAAACTCTCGACATGACTTGTACGGCACTATGGATGCGACTGCCGGGTTTGACGTGAAGTGTCATGACTAGCTGGCTGGAAGTTTATTAAAATTTTCTCTCTCTTCCTTGTTTCATATTCTTTTCGGCATGAGCATTTGTTTTCTTTGCCGCAGTGTAGCCGCAGCAGCCGAACCGATCCCGATGCCGATGAAGCAAATCGGGATCGACCCCGATGCCCATGAAGCAAACCACTTTGCTTATTTTGAAGGTTATGAATCTTCAGATCGGTCGTTCGGGTTTCGGAGAGCTCTTCCGGATTACCTGTTCCAAGTTTTTACACTCTTCTTTTTTGTTTTGTAATCGAGCATGTTGAAATCTTTACATAATTTGAACCACAGTTGAGGTTACGCAGGTATCAGTAATAGATTACCAACCGGTTGCTAAGATGTGGTGCTTCGTGGTGCACGTTTATGATAAGCAACTGGTTTCGCTACCACAACTACCAGGATTGTGATTATTGTATTTTGCCCTATTTGACACGACTGTACAGTGGGTTGTTGCAGTTCGTAATGATAGAGCTTAATACGTAAAGAGGCATTTCTTTATAATGTATAGAGTTGAAAGGCCAAGGTGCTTCCATTGTAACCTAAAGGTTGATTTTCAAGTTTGATCTTGGTCGCTTCTGCTTGTTCGTTGGGTAATATGTAACTACAGCCAACTTTGTTCGTTGTATGCAACTTTGATTACCCACACTACAAGCTTGACAACTACCTACACTACATATTGCCAACACAAGAGTCATAATTAGTTCACGTTTATGACGACTCGTTTTTAGATAATCCATGCTCATCGTAGATCCATACGCCATAGCGTTCATTCAGGCTAGGATCTTACAAACAAGGGTTACACAGTTTGGTCATGTTCATCTGTGATGATATAAGCCATTTGCCCGGCTAATATGACATTCGCCATTTTTGTTACACCACCACTATATGTGTAGTTGCGAGATGCCACTGATGAGCTTGAAACATAACAATCTCTGCAAAATAATCGATTGGGTGTAGAAAGAGGGAGAGCCCGATTCGTAAGCTGGTATGAGAGAGCGTACCACAGGCAGGTTCGTTGTGAACCGATCTGATTGACCTGATCTGGTTGACTTTTGCTCAACCAATCGGTTCACAACCAACCTACTTACCGATCAACCGGCCACTAGTACAGATCTCGTGGAGTCATCACTCTTCTTCGGCTCCTCTTCAGACGTTACAGCCTATTAGCCTACCAGTCGGGTACGGTCGTCCCCTGTCTTTAATCATCATGCAGCCGGCCCAAGCATGATGCAGTGTGACTGACTCGGCCACGTGGAGCCCATGCCTCCTTTGGGCAGACCATGTTGGTCGTTATCATCAGATGATCCCTTTTTCGTCGATTGGGTAGTTCACTGAAACTCATGTTGAACTGGCTCCCTTGAGCACTAGCCAACGGCGTACTTTCTGGTTGCATAAAGCTATCTCTCACATATCACAAAACACTATATAGTCTGTACATCTATTAGTCGCGTATGTCCTTTTTCTCATTTATGCACGTTCCACGAAATGATCGAAGCTGATTTGCTCAGTTTTCGAAGATGTCGGCATTATCGCATATATACCTGTCAACCTCTCTTCAGCCAACTCTGCTCGTTGCAGGTAGGGCCAGATCAGTAAAGGAATTTGGCAAGGGTATTAGGATTTGTAACAGTTCATGTAAAAAACCACTGAGAGACACTTATCGTGTCATTTCCAAAATGTACCTGCATGAGAGAGCTCTCTTGTACCTGTTGGTCTCGCTAGCCGCTTTGGGCGCTTAGTCATTACTCCACGCTTTGGAGGTATGTCCAGACTTATCGCATTTGATAGGCATCAACAACACCTTGGAATTTATGTGCCAATTTTTTCTTGATCCTATATGAGAGCATCAACTGATTCTATCATCGTTTTGGAGCATACTTTTCATTTATTTGGATGCAAACAATCTGAACATCTCAACAACGTCATCCCTTATCGCCCACGATTAAGCTCCGCAAACTGCCCCAGTGGGGTCACGAGTGGGACGTGCGACAAGCTGTTGGAATCGGTGGACACAAAGACCAACATACCTCATTAGGAGAGGGTCCAGCGGCTTCATATCAACCTCCGCCAAGCCCCTGCGCTGTCGACGACCAAGATTCTGCCGGAATATGCGCATCGCCTTTCTGTAACGAACCCGACTCTCCCTGCATTGCGACCAACCCGCGGCATCTCTGACAAAGGCGGCCCTGAGGACGATGCTGAGCGACTCCCGATGCTAGAATGAGCTTGGACCCTTTGCTTCCCATTGCTCCCGCGAGGGTGAAGGCGCTGCTGCTCCCCCTCGGAAAGATCAAGGCCGCCAGATTTGCGACGTTTGCCGAGAGGCTGCAGGCCGAGCATGTCGTCCAGCTCCGAGACATCAGCGCCGATGGGCGACCCAATAGGAGTAAGTAGGAAGCTGGCCGAAGGTGGAGGGGAAGCTGTACAGACCTACACATTATATAGACTCTATGCGCTACGGCCGTGTTTGGGGGACTAGACAAACTGATGTAAAGGTTCTCCAGACATGTTCTCGCCATTGGCGTATCCCGACGGCGCAATGCTGTACGACCTCATCGCCCACGTCCCCCCACCCTCGCATCTCGCCCTCTCCCCTTTCGACCTCTTTCGAGAGCCAATGGCTGTTATCGCGATAGCCGACGGCCAGGAACTCGGCGAAGCGACGATCAACAAGCGAGCCTCCATGAACGGAAAGGGCCCCCGGCCAATCGAGAAGAATATCAGAGCGCTGTATCAGGAGCTTGAAGACCTGCGAGACAACTATCCCAAAGCCCTCATACACCGGGTCCTCATCTTCGACTATGTCTCGCCGTCGGCGGAAGTGCCCATACCCGAGGGCATGGCGGCGATCCCCCCACTGGAAGATTCAAAGAGAACCACAATGAAGACGGTCATGTGCGACGTATCGTCCTTGCTACTAGCTGAGATGACAACGCTAGGGAAATCCTACGAGGCCATGACGGCGATTGAATCTCCGGGAGGGTATTCGCTGGCTAGACAGCTTAGCACCACGTCATGGGGCCCGGACGCTACTTCGCCAACAAGTTTTACCAGCAATTTTACCAGGAGGAACTCTCAGTTTGCTTTTCCGCCGAACCTACAGCGATCCAGCTCTGCTTCGGGCTTGATGGGCGACCGATCAGGCGCGCGACTGTCCCTACCTCCTGTCCCGACACAGCGCCCCGGATCAAGCGTTTCAACGCCAGGCCGCCCGTCTACGCCCCTCAAGAGCAATTTATCCAGCCCTCCCCTGAGCGCGGATGAGCTTCCGAGCCCTTCTTCAAGTCAGAGACCGGAATCTCCCGACACACAGAGCAGGTCTGATCTCACCGAGGACACGAGCCACGACCGTGTTTCCGTGCAGGGATTCGGGCCTGGATCAGCAAACGACCGCTGGAGGCTTAAAGGAAAAGGCAGATCTTCCATTGTTATAGGCTCAATGTACCTACAAGCTGGTCGCTGGAGCGATTCTTTGAAAGAATTGAGCGAAGGAGCCGCGGCTGCCAAGTCATTGAACGATCACGTCTGGCACGGGAAAGCATTGGAGCTGATTTTGATGAACCTACTGCTTCTCGGCTGGTCTGGCCTAAATTTCCAAATCCCGACAGTGTGTCAGCCTCCTCATGATAAACACTCATCTCTTAAACCGGAGCCGGAAGAAAAGGACGGTGATCCACCTAGACACGTTCGATATCTTCAGACCCTTCTTCCCGAGCTTCTGGAACGGATTGTGGGCCTTTATTCAAAAACATCAACGGAAAACATTCCTCCTTTACCGTTAGCGGAGACTACCATCAGATTCAGTAAAATAATGTTGGCCCTTCATGTCTGCGAGGGCAAGCTTAATCAAGCGGCGTTTGATATGATTGTGCTGGGGAAAGGCACGGGGAAAGAACTCACAACATCGCCGAGGCTGCTGATAACGCCGACAAGACAGCAGATCCTGACCCTCCTATTCCAGGCGTTTCCTTCCACAGCCACGGAATTGCTTACTACCATTGATCGAATTTCAATCCTGAGCGGCATAGCAGCTGTGCTGGGGCCCCTAGGATACCATCGAAAGAAGGCCATGGTTACTCGCGAACTGGTTTCCGTCCTCATTGGAGGCCTTGTCGAAGCACGAACGCGCGGGGCTGCGGATGCTGGAGTTCATCCCGCTGCGGGTCTCGTAGCTGTGACAGCTTCTAATCCGCAGGGCACTACCGGGGCAATGGCCTTGGATTTGGCTGAAGGAGATATTGAGCAAGGCATAGAAGCTTTTCTCGAGCTCCTTTGCAAGTCTTACGGGGTTATTGGGTTCGATAGAGCGAAGCCCCGGCGGCAGTCGCTTCGGGAAGGCTTTGACGACTCTGACGATGCTGTGATTGCCAGAATTCGCGGCCAGATGAAGATGCGATTCTTTGGCTTTCCAGATATCAAACTCAACATTCTACGAGCCTGTATCAACTTCTCAGAAGCTTTACCGGACTTTAACGGAGTCCTCAAGTTTTCTAGCGACCTGATGCGCACTGCTGGATCGGGTGTCGCTCCGGGCCCTCGTCGTGAAGATGCCTCCCCCAAGATCTATAGAGATGAGCAGGTCCGTTTGATAAGCAACATTTCAAGGACTTCGAATCTTGTCAAAAGATTGGGCATGTCGCAATTGACGGCCGAATTCTGGGATGAGTTTCTCGTTCGAGATATCAAGTTGGAGCCGCTCCCAAGTACCCGGATTCCTATTCCCCACGCTCGCAGCATTTTGCCGGGCGCGACGACGACTCGAGCGTCTCAGGATGCTAACCCCTTCATCTACAATTCATTCCTACAGGAGCCGGATGATGCAGCTGCCGCGAATCTGGTTGCTGGCGAGCCTGCGAAATTTAAAGTGACGATCCAAAACGTATATGATGTTGAGTTGGATATAGAAAGTATAAAGCTAGAGACGGAGGGCGTCGATTTCGAAGCCATGACTGATAGCGTCATCATCGGTCCTTATCGAACACAGGCTGTCCGGCTGCAAGGTCTAGCAAAGGAATCAGGGTCCATCAAAGTAACGGGGGCAATTATTAAAGTAAGGGGCTGCAGAGAGAGAAGATTCGCCGTCTTCCCCAAGCACTGGAAACCTTACCAAGAAGACAAAATCAAGGTCAAGGGCATCGCATCGGTTTCTGTTCCTCTGATGTCAGGCAAATACCATGACATGCCTATAGAGCCAGCTACCCTTGATCTCAACGTCACCGAGCCTCAGCCCCTCGTGACGGTCAAGTCAACGACCCTTCCGCAATCTTCAGTCATGATCTTGGAGGGCGAGAGGCAGATATTCTCCGTCACGCTGCAAAACCAATCTACGACGCCTGTCGACTTTATGCTCTTTTCCTTTAAAGACTCAACACAGGAACCTCTCCAAACAGCTCTTGCCAATCGGGAAGCTACGCCAGCAGAGATTTATGAATACGAACTGATACTTATTAAGAAGCAAGCTCTACGGCTTCCAAAGGCTAATCAAAACCGCAACATTGCTCCGGGAGGCGAAGCAACGTTCGAGTTTGAGATTCTTGGCAAGCCAGGGCTGACGCATGCGACAATCCAAATCGATTATACGTATCTCGGAGCTCCTCGAGACGAGATTACAGAGCAGTTCTACACACGGCAGCTATCTTTGCCCTTGACGGTTACAGTCAACGCAAGCGTTGAGATGGCAAGAATCGATGTGATTCCCATGCACGGCCTGATCCCGCAGCCGCTGTGGGAGCGCTTGGGAGGCACCAAGCCTGTAAAGCCCGACGAATACTGCCTACTGTCCGTTGACTTGCGAAATGCCTGGCCTAGTCAGATGGCAGTTCATATTGAAAACGAAGATGGCATGGCTGTTGAAGAGGGCATCCTCCCCGGCAAGACGAGTCGAATTATAATACCCGTCCGGCGGGTGTACCTCGAGGATCCTCATGCTTCAATCCCCAGCCTCAATCCCTCAAAGAACAGGCAGTTTGTGGTAAGCATGAGCAAAATCTCGCCCGAGATGGAGCGGGCCAACCGCGAAGCTTTCTGGTACAGGGAGAAGATTCTCGACAGCTTGAAGGCGACTTGGAGGACAACAGCGGTTCCTAGGCGGAACGGCGTTGCTGAACTTCGAAACATTCGTCTTACTACCCGCATGATTGACATCATCAAGGTTGGCGAGATTGGCATAGATGTATCTGTGGAGCGTCCGAATGACAGCGGGACAAGCATCAACGTCGCATATGTGGATGAGTTTCTACAAGTGCGAGTGCGAATCAGTAATAGAACAAGCCGTCCAATTAGCTCACTGGTGAGACTTTTACCGGCACTTTGCCACCGTTCTGTCAATATCGCACTCGATTACACACGAAAGTTTGTATGGAACGGTACACTGCAGCAGCTTCTGCCAGAGCTCCCAGCCGGTGGCAGCACGGACTTTGTGCTTGGTGTGACGGCGCTCTGCAGAGGAGAGTTTGAGCTCACGGCATCGGTCGAGGAGATTCAGATCTGGGATGAAGCCAGTGAGAAGGAAGCGGATGGAGAGCAAGGCCAGGGGCGGCCGCGGTCGGGTACCCAGACGATGGTGAATACGGTTCTTGGGATGAAGGAGCGGAGGATGTGGCATTCGCGACAGCCGTGTATATTGACGGTGAGGGATTCGGATTGAGTTATGAAGTATAGCTAGAGCCTCTTTTAATACCGAGATGTCTTTTATGGCGTGTCTGACGATGGCGATGCGGTTAATGGCCTGTGGCATGTATGCGTGTACAGCAACGATTGAAATAAGTCTAGTTTTCATATAATGAAAGACTTTCTACACGAACCAGTTGATGCAGCGTAACCGTTCATCAACTTCGTGCATACCCTACCTAAGGTATGCCTAGGTAAGTATGGGAAAGAGTTTTAAGTTATTTAAATTCCAGTTCCATTATCCAGCACTCCAGCTACCTTACTGCTGCTACTGCTGCTACTGCCGCTCCTTCTAAATGTATTTGGCATTTATGTATTTTAACATGTAGACTAGCAGCCTTGTAAAGCTACAGCTGGTGTGTTGGGTGATGAAACTGAGGTGCTAGATAAAATTTTCCCTGACCAAATGGTGACCACATGTTTTCTCCTTGATCCTTGGTCTCAAATCCAACCTATTTCCAAAAAAATCTCCTTTCCACCCATTGTCCTCTGGCTGGTGCCAATACGAGAATTCGAGGATTGTTATTCTCGTGCCCGCTCGTTATTGGGCCAGCTTCCATCTGCACCCACGGATGTTCCACTGTTTCCTCTATACATGTATGTACAGACGTTGACTTGATATTCTGTATTATGTCTGTCTTGTGATGCAGCATTGCAACCATCTGCGGTATAGTGGCAGCAAACTTATTCAATGGCGCATCCTCGTATTCCATACTAAGAGCGATTTTTAAATCATCTCCGATGGAAAGAGATGCATCAGAGCCGCAATTTGAAAGACTTGGCTTCAGGATCGCCGGATTAAGCCGCCCTATTTCCTTCTGTTCGGTGGTGTCCCATATCTTATGACTAGGCATAGTAAGAGTCGTCCTCATCGATCCATTGATGCCTTGGCCCATCTTCTCCATGATAACTTTTGGTACTTGTCTCATAGCTGCCAAAGGCCTGATCTTAGTTGGGATGCCCTTGATTGCGTCTGTCAACTCAAACAATGTTATAGTCCCGTACTTGCCGCTGCCGTACGTCACTGAAGTAATCCGCGTGTCAAATCCGCTAAACTTTGATAAATCGAATAGATTTGTGTCGAGGCTCTTGAGCCGTTGCTGGTAGTCTTCATCTTCTGAATAGTCCGCCGGGAGCAATATGTCACGTTCTACTGATCGAAAATATGCCAAAAAGTCGTCTTTGTGGAACCAGTGCCTGATGAGTCTGACTAGTCCGTCTAATCCGAAACCATTTCCCGTCATTGAGACGTTGAACTTTACAGTTTCATACAATGCTAGTGTTGTCAGATACTTCTTTTGCATGATGTCTTCTGTTGCGACCAATCGATGAGCTCGAAGACTACTCCAGTCGAAGAATCTTGGACAAATGCCTCGGGGCTGTGATCGGCGGGCTGTGGTAGCCGTTGGAATACTCTGCCGAGATGATTCCTCTCCTGAGCCAGATGGCGTATTACCTTCTGAGCCGGGCATATTTTCGTCTTCGGAGAGATTTCCTTGTTCTTTAGCTTCTTTTGACAAGCCTTGGCCTCTGTTTCCCGCTCCCTCTGCTAGTCCTAGTACATCAAGCAGGTCTAGAGCACTATTTTGCCCAAGCTTGGTATTGCTTGCAGACTCTGCGAGCCGTTTCTCAACCTCTTTCAAGGTTGTTTCATCTTCCAAATATGGTGTTACATATTTCTGTACAGGCTCGGGTAATGCTGAAAGTCCCACCATCAACGCATTACTATAAGTAGTATCTTTGATTACGGCATCCACCTCGGTAACAGACCCAATGGAGTGTAAGAAATCCAGAGCATTTTCTTGCCTGAGCTTCACGTTGCTTTGAAAACGTTCAATTCGTTTCTCAACTTGTCGTCTGAAGACCTCGTTTTGTAGGTATGGAGTGAAAGCCTCCTGTAATGGCTCATTGAGGTCATCAAGTCCACTCTGGAGACTACTGCTGCCCGGCTCCGGCAGCCCCTTCCAACCAATCTCATCACGCCATGCCCCGAAATATGCATTGTCCTTTTGGAGACTGTTGCCGAGTGCCTTTGGCTTACTCCCTCTGGCTGGCTCCGGCAGCCCCTTTAAAGATTGGCCAGTCTCGGCAGGCCATGCCCAGGGATATGGGATGCCCTGTTGGAGATTGTCGCTAGGTGTATTTAGATTGCTCCCTCTATCTTGAACATTTGGGTTGTCTATAAATAGTTAGCATATGTGGTGGGATACTTTGTAGTAGATGTAAACTAACCTGAGGTAATACTAATGCTCTGCTGATACTCTACCTGGGCCCCAGACAATTGGTAAAGTAGTGCTGTTGCATAGCCAGCGGCAGCCATCGCCGCATAGCCCTGCCACTGGTCATTTTTATGTGAGTCGGAGTAATCGCAGATTCCACGAACAACTAGACATGGAAAGTCGTTCATTAATCCGGCTGCTTCCGTTTCAAAGCAAAGGACGTCCTTCTTTTCAACAAGTGTATCGCGAACAGAAGCATCCTTTATCGGTGTATTAGCTGAGGCAATTAGACCATAGTGGATCTCCGGGCCATTATCACGTTCGCCCTGATCATGCCGCTTGATAAGGCTTGATGGATCATTGCCGCAAACCGTTGAGCACTCGGCCCCGCCTTCCGCTGGGTGCGTAACTGAAGTTCGGTAGAGTCTATCAGAGGTTGCTTCAGGTCGCTTAAAGGATCTTAGTAGCTGTGGACTTTTAACAAAAAGAAAATCAACTGCTTTATGAATTCGATCACCAAGCGTTCTTATCGATTGTAGTGTGGTAACAGCCGTATGCAATAACACTGGTGCTTGATTCAAGCCTGTCTCGTGGAACTCTTGGTTCTGCATGGCCTTTCCAAAGTCATACTGAATGACGCCGCCCTCTTCATTGCTTGAAAAACCCACGACAATGTCGCCAAGGCGGATGTCATGCTTGAAACTAGGAGCACCGCCACCGATTCCAACCAGTAGACCGACTTTGATGTTGAAGAAACTGTCCAGCAGGCACTTAATAACGACCGCCGTAGATGACAGCCCATTTCCATCACCATTCGGGGGGGCCACTATTACAATGTTATGATCTCCAATTCTACCAAGCGTATAGAGGTTGTTATCATGAGGAGATACATCTTGAGGCCCATTATGCTCTTCGTCTAGAAACTCCCGGGCGACATGGTACTCGAAAGGTAGAGCGCAGATCCAGCCTATAGTGTAGTCATCTTGAGTAAGCGTTCTCCGGCCTGTAATATTCATTGTTACTTGAAGTGGAATCACAACCAAGTCTATTGTCAGCAGTTGTACTTTCGCAGCAGAGTAAACTGGGTGGTAGATAATTGCTTGGATTGGGAATTGAGCTAATAACTCCCCGCTCTTCATACTGGCAAAGGCGGCGAACCTCGGTAATTGAATGGCCATCCAGTGGCATAGATATATGTGAGATTTCATGACCAATGATATCGTGATGTGAGTCGTATTCTACATCAGGCTCTAGAATCCTTACTCGTTATATAGTATGTATCTGAGCTATGCAATATACGCCTACTGCCTACCTAATATGTATTTAGCAAAATTGCCGATCGCCAAACCGCAAGATCCCATATACAGAATTAATGTAAGGGCCAGTGAACAGATACCTAAGGGGAAGATTTATCCAGCACCCCAATTATATTACGGTACTCCGGTTATAGCTCAATAAAGTAATTAGCCTACCTAGGTAGGTATATTTAAACCCTATGGATTAATTATTTAATTATTATATATACTAGATACCTAGCAGTAGCAATAGCAGCAGATACCTAAAAGTAGGAGCAGTAACCTACCTGAATGTTATAGATAGAGTACTGCATAACAAAATCGGGGGCTGGATAACTTTTCTCTTTTGTAATGATGTAGGAAAGCAACCCTGTCCTTACATAGCAACCTAGGTAGATTCTTAGTGTTACTGTAATTAGACGGGAGGGGACCTGCGGTAAATTTCTAGTTAAGGGGCTAAAGTGGTTTCATGTTAAGGTTGTATGTGTTTTCTGGTACGAGATTCTGTGGTTTTGAAAGAGGGTAAAATGGTAACGATCTCCAAAGTATTGCGATCTGGGCCATATATTTTTGCTACCCGGGTAAAAATGGTTTCAGACTGATGGAACCAGGTAATGATTTCGGCTTTCCCTGTATATTCTTTATAATTTAAGTAAATATAATGAATTGGTTTATTTACTATCTGAGCGCGCGGAATAGTAAGCCATAGCTCGATCCAATGTCCGCGTGGGAGCCAATAATACTACCGTGACTGCTATATGGAGAGAAGATATAAGCGGACAACTTTTGCCATATGCGTAGCGCTGAGCTGACGTCGCTTCACGAAGGCATTGAATGGATTGAAACGAACTGAAAAATGAAGTTTTTAATTCTCAATAAATCTATTAAACGGCCAGCTCTATAAAGTCATTGACCTGTGAGAATGAGATACGAAGGCTATGGGTTGAGTTGTTTATCTCGACGCTACTCTAGTACAAACGCCACATTGAGCTCAGGCCATTAGATGAGCATCCAACTTGGCATGATTAGGCATAGCATTCGCCTAGTTGCTCGAGTTGATAGGCCTGGAATTATTCCCATTCATTCATTTCCTCCTTTGCCCCTGTCGTTAGCGCCTCCCATCAACCTGGAAACGCAGACAAGGCTGCACATGCTAGACAGGCCCGGGTGACTCCGTCGGCGCGATATCCGAGAAGAAAAAAAAATTAGCGATCCGGCTTTTCGCGGCCTTTCCGTTTTTTGACTTTTCTCATTTTCTCTTATTTTCTTCTTTTCATACTGTACCTTTATTCCATATTTTTCATTTACCAATCCTTTTCATTTCATGAGGTGGTGACATACGCATACAACTGGAGACGGGCATACTCGAAAAGCAGTCAGTCATGCCTCTCCTCCAGTCTCAGTCAGCTGTGGCAAACCCACGATGCCGCCGGATCCTCTTCCTGGACGCCTACGACTCCTTCACCAACAACATCGTGTCGCTGCTCAAGGAGGCGCTGGGCGACGAGGTGCTGGTGCACGTGCTGCACATGGACCTCAAGACGCTGCACGCGGATCCCAGCCCGGACTGGACGCCGGACGAGTTCCTGGCCCGGCTGCCGAGCTTCGACGCCGTCGTCTGCGGGCCCGGCCCGGGATCGCCGCTGTGCGAGGCGGACGTCGGCGCCTTTCGGTTGCTGTGGGAGCTGCCCCGGGACAAGGCCGTGCCGGTGCTGGGCATCTGTCTCGGGTTCCAGAGCCTGGTGGCGCAGTTTGGCGGCGGCATCAGGAAGCTGAGGAGGGGGCTGCACGGCATGGTGAGGCGCATCGAGCATCGCGACGGAGACATCTTTGCGAATGTGCCCGAGTTTAGGGCCACGCTGTATCACAGTCTGTGTGCCGACGTGGGACAGGATGCCGTTGCGCGGGAGAGGTGGCAGACGGACATGTGGCTGTCGCCGAGGGGGGCGCCGGATCTTGTGCCCCTTGCGTGGGCGATGGAGGATTACGAGGATGGCGGTGCTGAGCCGGAGAGGATCCTGATGGGGGTGAGACATGCGAAGCTGCCCTTTTGGGGCGTCCAGTACCATCCCGAGTCCATCTGTACGGACCCTGCGGCGCATGGCGTGCTGAAGAACTGGTTCAGCCAGGCGCTCAAATGGAACGAATCCACGGGGAGAGAGATGCTGCCGGTGGCCTCGCAAAGCATTGCCGACAGCTTTGCTCCGTCCATGATTGTTGAGCGCAGCATTGCTTCCCACAGCCGGGTCGCCACTCAGAAATGGTGGAGGGACATGCAGTCCGGCCTGGCTGCGTCGAGAACAGCACCCGTCTACTCTTGCCGTCGCATCACCCTCCCCGACGGCGTCGATGCCGCAGACGTTGCGGAATTCCTGGGCGTGGGAGGCGCTGACTCCATCATGCTGGATTCATCGAGCACCATCAGCGGTGACCCCCTGGCTCGCAGCTCCATCATTGCGCTGGAAGTGGAAAAGGCGCTCCGGTTCGAATATCATGTTGGTGATAGCTGGGTGACGTTGCGCCAGCCCGGGACCAGAGGTCAGGAAGAGGTGTGCCAGAGGATAGAAATCGACAGCAGCGACGAGCACGGCGCCTACGACGTCTGGAACGTCATCTCTGAGTTTTGGCAGCAGCGCAAAGTCGCCGAGGAGGCTGGTCAAGAGCCAGAGCCGGCTTTCAAGGGCGGCTTCATGGGCTTCGTCACGTACGAAATGGGACTGAGTTCGCTAAGCCCCGAATCCATCTCTAAGAACAGGGGCCATCGTAGGCCAGATCTGTGCTTTGCCTGGATTTCTAAGAGTCTGGTTCTTGATCACCAGGCCGGCGTGGCTTATGTTCAAGCTCTTACACCAACTCCCGCCGAATCATGGATCGGCGATATGGTGGCTAAGCTGCAGGCTTCTCGAGCGTGGCAGCAGCTAGGATACGGATCAGAGGAGTATAATTCGATTGCGGCAAAGAGAACACCCAACGAGGCGTTGCTGAAGAGCATTCAAGAGCCCACGGGCAGATTGCGCTTCAACACTCCCAAGCCGGCCAAGTACGACGACGACGTCCGCCGGTGTCAAGAAGCCATTGCCGAGGGCCAGTCCTACGAGCTTTGCCTTACGGCGCAAACAACAATGACTCGCCCCCGTGGAAACGACGTGCCGCATCACCTACAACAGCCTGCGTCAACCAACGGCAGCACTACCAACGGCGCATCTTCTGATGAAGCATCCAGACACGGCACCCCCTGGCAAATCTACCGCACCCTCCGAGCCCGCCAACCAGCCCCCTTTGGCTCCTTCATCCGCCTCGCCGGCGCCACCGTCCTCAGCAGCTCCCCTGAGCGCTTCCTCGCCCACGACGCACAAGGCCTCTGCTCCATGCGGCCCATGAAAGGAACCGTCCGCAAGTCCGAGGCCGTATCCACGCTGGCACAGGCCGAGAAGCTGCTCCACATCCCGAAAGAAGAGGCCGAGAACCTCATGATTGTGGATCTGGTCCGGCACGACCTCTACGGCGTGTGCGGTGCCCGTCGCGTTACGGTGCCGGATCTCCTCAAGGTGGAAGAGTACTCGAGCGTCTTCCAGATGATTACCGTCGTCAACGGCCAGCTGCCCTCTCATAACAACAGCATGAAATCCGCTCCCAACGGCCTTGACGTTCTCGCCGCCGCCCTCCCTCCCGGGAGCATGACCGGCGCACCCAAAAAGCGCAGCTGCGAGATCCTCCACACCATCGAGCCCACCGAGCGAAGTATCTACTCGGGCGTGGTTGGATTCCTCGACGCCCGCGGCCAAGGCGACTGGAGCGTCACCATCAGGACAATGTTCCGCTGGGACGATGAACGAGCACCTGTAGAAGAGGCAGGGGAAACTACGCAGCCGAGAGAGGTCTGGCGGATTGGAGCAGGCGGTGCGGTTACGATTCTGAGCACGCCCGAAGGCGAGACGGAGGAGATGTTTACGAAGCTTTGCGGCCCGCTGGGCATTTTTAAAGATGTGGCATAAGAAGGAATTACGGTGTGCCTTTTTGCTCTCTCTTCTCTTTTCTTTTCATGTTTGGGGTTTGGTTTATGGTGAGAAGATATGGAATCTTGGGACTAAAGAACGGAAAGATGATATATACTTCAACGTATGCATAGCAGGTGTTCTTGGGCATGGTTCAACATTATATACTAGATAGATGCGATGACGCACGAGCAAATCTTCACTTTGAATAGATCAAAATATCTCTCAATAGACAGATAAATTAAACTGATGATTTTTAGTTTCAAGTACATCCAAGAATCCAAGACACGAGTGTAAAAAAAGGTAGAGTCGCAAGCAATAAACTCGAAGATTCGCTTATGCTTCGTATCGAAATCCCCTCAAAAAGAAATTACTGATACATAAGAGTAAAAAAAAAAGGTCTCATAAGTTCGACAGCGCCATCTTAATCTGAGTAGACTGTATCATTCTCTCATTTTCCTCTTTTTTTCGTGCACGCATTAAATAGTAGGCTGCTAGTTTGTTGTTTCTTCTTGCTATCCTCGGGTCCCTCGGTTTTCAAGTGGAATTCTCCCCCGGCTTTTTTCTTTAAAACTCTTGCTCTTCTTGGAAAAACATGCCGAAGCTAATAATGGTTCCGTAAATCAACAGGCCGCCGGTGATGGACATGATCATGGCTTCGACTCGGATGAGATCAGAGTGTGCGAGGACAGCGGGAAGGGCTGCGAGAGAAAGGCATAGCATGTTAGTTCCAGAGACTTAGAAGGGCCTTTTTTTAACAGGTGTAGGACAATGAGATTGATAACGTACCAATACCCATAACAACAAAGAAACCGGTGAAGAATCTTCCCACGTCAAGTATGGCAGCGCCGCCGCTCTCGACAAAGTCGTCCGGATTCGCGCATCGGCCGCAGATCCAGTTCGGCAGCGGCGCGAGGACGTACGTGGCGACGACCAGCAGCGGATAGTAGACCTTGTAGAGAGCGCAGGACAAGATGACGAGGAGGAATCCCACGGCGAGGACAAAGGAGAGGGCGATGATGGTCTTGAGGCCGGCGGCAGGCATGGTGACGTTGTGTATATCGGATCTGTCTTATGGGGGACCGAAGTCGTCGTAATGCGACGGGAGATTGGTTTCGGGATTCGATGGACGGCAGGCCCCGCGGAGGGGAGGTTGAAGAGCCTATAAAGCCGTGAAGAATTGGAAGAGAAGAGGCGAGGAAGAAGAGTTCACAGAGGACCGAAGCGCGGGCTGTCGTCGAGAGGATCGTGAGTTGGATGCGATGATTGGTGTTGAGGCGACGATGATGGAGAACGGGCGGCTGGCGCAGTGAGTGACGCAGGTCAGCCGCTGGATCTCGCCGGAGCGCATGTTGTTCCGGAACCGGGATGCAGGGGTCTCAACTGGGAAGGCGGTCAGAAGCTCTGCTGGGCGCTTTGAAAAAAATTATGGGAACCTGGAGACGATCCGCCCCGCCAGGGAACTTTTTTTTTTCTGGCACGTCTTTTCCATATCAGACATTGGATTTTTCTTTTTTTCCTTCGTCCCTTCACTCTTTTATTCATATACTTGATTTCGAAACTTCCTTGCAGGGAGAATCAAATCGACAAGATGGCTTCCGACGAGATTGTGTGGCAAATCATAAACCAGCAGTTTTGCGCCTTCAAATTAAAGTGAGTTTGGCCGCCTGCTGAATTCCTTGATAACACGCCTTTTTACACCATTGGCTTTTCTTTCTACATTACTATTTCATATCATTAGTAGCAATTGAGCAAATTAGTGCTAACCTCGACCCCCAGAACGGAGAAGCAGCAAAACTTCTGTCGCAATGAACACAACGTCACTGGACTGTGCAATCGCCAGTCATGCCCTCTAGCCAACTCGCGATATGCCACCATTCGGCAACATCCGACCAAGGATACGCTATACCTCTACATGAAGACTGTCGAGCGCGCGCATCTGCCTTCCAAGATGTGGGAGCGCATCAAGTTGTCCAACAACTACACAAAGGCCCTGGAGCAGATTGACGAGAGGCTCATCTACTGGCCCAAATTCCTAATTCACAAATGCAAGCAGCGACTCACCCGTCTCACGCAGGTGCAGATTCGCATGCGCAGAATCGCCGCTGAAGATGAGCGATTGGGAGAGAAACTGGTTCCCAAGCTGGCCCCCAAGGTCAGGCACCGTGAGGCGACAAGAGAGCGCAAGGCCGAGGCCGCGGCCAAGCTGGAGAGGACAATCGAGAGAGAGCTGCTTGAGCGTCTGAGGCAGGGCGCTTACGGCGACCAGCCCTTGAACGTCAGCGAGGACATCTGGAAGAAGGTGCTGAATGCCATGGAGAAGGGAGGCGAGGGTGAGCGAGACGAGGATATGGACAAGGGCATCGAATCCGATGAGGAATTCGACGGCATTGCTGAAAGCGAGGACGAAGACGCCGATGCTGCCGTTGAATACGTCTCCGGCGCTGAGGAGAGCGAAGACGAGCTCGAGGACCTTGAAGACTGGCTGGAGAGCGAGGAAGAGGAGGAGGAGGAGGAGGACAGCGACGAATCCGAGGCGGAAAAGGCCGGCAGCAAGCGCAAGCGTGGCAAGGTCACCAAGATGAAGAACAAGCGACCGAAGCAGCAGGAGAAGGAGAAGCTGGCCTTGACCAACGACCTGGCCTGGTAAACGGACTCTCGATAGGGGTGGAATATGCGGTTAATACTTGGGTATCATTACGGATGCGGAGCGAATTGCGCGGCGGCCAAACCAAGAGCACGGCAGCGTTACTGAGTCGTCTTCAAAGATTGGGTTTTCAAGTTTGTATCAGCTTATTAGTCCTAGAACGGGCTTCATGGCATGCGGCGTCGGGATGGAGAATAAAACAAGGCTTATGGTCGTTTCTGTTGTACGGATGAGGGATTATGTTAATGTTAAATCGCTATACATATTTAGATGGATATAAAATGCATTGCCTTAATCATGTTTCACCGAAGCGGCTGAATGTGGTTTCAGAAGTGTTCGAAGGGCAGAAAACGCAGAGCGCAGAGCCAATGCACGCATCCGCACCCTGTCTTAGCAGCGACCCCACCGCCTAAAACAGCACTGAGTTTAGTGCGCTCCAGCCTGCTAGGAGAGGCATCAACGCAGCACTTGAGCCTGAAAACGAATAGAGTTACAAGGCCCAGAGGAGACCAAGTGATGCTCCGTCCAAGCAATCTTCAACCCCACGTCACTAGCCGCCAACCTCCTTTCCCTCCTCACCAACAAAACCTCGGCACCATTCTTTGCTGCTGCTTGTAATCAGACAAACGACGCTCCACCAGCTTTCTCTCTTTCTCTCTTGCTATCAGACACAATACGAGCTCCCACATCCACAGCTACATCCACTTTCTCACCGCCGCACACGAGCGACACGAACAACGGTATCGGACGAGAGATCTGCGGACAAAAAAAAGCATCACCGCCAGATGGCCGGAGCTTAAGCCTCTTTGTCCAAGCCACAATCAAGTCATCACACGATAAAAAGAAAACGCTATATACGACCGAGAACCCGTCAGCTTTGTTCAAACCTACCGTAGCTTTCTCAGCACCCAACTAGAACAGATATCCTTGGAAGAGCTAAAGGATCCTTGAGCTACTTACAACATACACAACCTCCCCCGGAAAACATCACGCGAGCTCTTAAATGCCCCATTCGCCATGAGTTCCTGGTACTCCAACCTCGTCACAAAGACATCCTCCCAAATCTCCAACCTCCGCTCCACCCTCCTCTCCAGCGAGGCCGATGGCGACACCGAAGACGACACCCACGTCTGCCGCGTCCTGCGCAACTACTACACCGAAAAGGGCCGCTCCTTTCCCAACTGGCTGCCCCCCGACCCCAGGGCTCCGCCGCCGCAGATGACGCAGGCCGTCTACGCCCAGCCGCAGGTCGGGTCGCGGTACGGCGGGCTCGGCGGATCGCAGCAGGCCGGCGGCAGTGGAGGAGGCGGGCTCAGCAGCCTCTGGGACAACGGCCCTGCGCAGCAGCAGCAGCCGCCGCAGGTGCCGCAGAGCTTGCGGGCGGGCAGGCCGGCGACGACACAGCCCGGGGGGGCTTCGAGGGAGGAGATTCTCAGATCGCAGGCGCCTCGCTCGGGGAGCTACTCTGGCCCTGGCGGTCCGGCTCCCGCTGCTGGCTCGGCGCAGGATCGCTTGAAGCAGCGGCTTTGGGGGACGCGCACCACGAGCCCGTCTTCCGGGGGCAGCGGACCGTTCCAGCCACCACCCAATGGAGGTTCAGCAGGCGGCGGTGGTGGTGGCCATCAGTCTCAGGGCAGCTACGAGGACAGATTCGCACCGGGAGGAACCTACGATAATGCCCGAGGCAGCGGTGGCGGCGGCGGCGGCTATCAGCCTTTTGTAGGCTCAAACGCCCCTTGGTCTAGCGATGGCGGTCCTTATTCAGGAGGAGGAGGAGGAGGAGCAGCAGGAGGAGCTGCTAATGGCGTCCGGAGAAAAGGCCTGCCCAGTGGTCCAAGAGGGTACAGATGAAGGAGAGAGAAAAGATGGACGTGCCTTGGTTTTTCTCTCATCTCCCTCTTGCATTCATATGATGTAACGTATAGGTCTAGGTTATTTGATGTATATTTCTTTCTTGGTTTTCTTCTTCTTCTTGCATATGTAACTAGCTAGTCAGTCAGTCATGCGGTGTGTTGGTAATTGTCGCTTCGAGCCATAGCTGGCAGCATGTAATGCCTATTAATGTCCTATTAATTTTACTTTTTTGTTTTAAAACTTGGACGGTTATATGAGCTAGAATCATAATTGTGTTTCAGAAGTTTAAACTTTGATATATATGAAAATGGATATGCTATGAGTTGAGAAAAATGGCGTATAGAAAGGCCCTCAAGAAGTAAGACATAAACTATTTCACATAGAGGTTCAGATATTTTGGCAATTTAATTGTTTTTCTTCATCTTCTTTTTGGAAACCATTGCAAGATATATAACGGAAAAGACTACGCTAACCGGTCACCGAACCAACATCATATTATTGCGCCTTACACCCGCGAGAGTTCGTTATATTCGTATTTTATGTGTTAAAGACAAACATGTAACAGAAGAATAAAAAAAAGCGCGAGGCATATCCAATTATCAAAAAAGGTGAAAAGAGAAAAAAATAAGCAAAAGAGAAAAGATTAATCTCGCGAAAAAAAAAAAGAGCTCTCATCCTCATTTTGAGCCACTTGATCCTTCAGCTTTCAAAGTTGCAGTCTTTGGCTTCTTCTCCAATAATTCCACTTTTCGGCTCAGCAGTTTTCTCAACTCGGGAGTAATGATACGCTCTGGCTTTGGCGAGCCGGCATTGGATTTGCCTTTGGGAGCTGGCTTCCGCGCTGGGCTGGTGGCGGCGGCGCTCTGGCCTGGGCTCTCTGTCCTGGGAGCCGGGAAGTTGTGCTTCTTGTCGACTGCTTCGACCAATCGCTGGTATCGGCGGAAAAGAACCTCAGCGCGAATCAATGTCGACTCAAGATCGATAGTGCCAGACAGTTCGTTTACTAGGAATTCGTTAACGGGTTTCTTAAAAATCCATCCAGGGGTTGGTCCGAACTTACCATATTTGAGCACTTCGTCAAAGGCTTTGAGATGAGTCATAATCACGTCTCTGTGCTTCTCCAAAATGGCCAGAGCAATGAAAAGATGAAAATTTGCACTGTAATAGTCTGTCCACAGGCACTCCCAAAGCTTGAGCACATCCAACCACTCAAACTCCCGCTTATACCATACAAGTATCATGCGGAAAAAGAAGAAGAAATTGGTGCTGTCGGTGCTTTCTAGGTGATCCCATAGCTTAGGGTCCATGAAGTGAACAAGCTGGTCCAAGGCCAACAGCTGGCCTCGCATGCCTGATTGATCGAGCAGAAAGTTGCGCTCCATGCGCTCCATGAACATTTGAAACGCCCAAAAGGCTACTGCATCATCTTGAATCACGGCATAGATTGGTGCCAAGAGATCCGACATGCCCTGAACATATCCCAGTTCCTTGTTGTATTCGTTGTACGTCAGAAGCATCTCTTTCATCTGCTCGAGGTGGACGTTGGTGCCAACTTCAGCAAATGGAGAGTTTGGGTCGGGATGTGGTGTGTCCTCTCCCTGGAAGATGGGAACGTTTCGATCAGTCCGATGAACATCCTTCTCTGTATAGCAAATTCGTTAGTATGATTTCATAGACTATATCAAAGATGAACAAGGCTGAGTTTGCCATACCGATTCGCCCACGTTGTTCGCGCCACCATTCGCCTGTTTCTCCGTCTCCCCCTTCTCCTTCCAGTCGGTCCCACCAGGATTGCTTGAGCTTGTAATACTGGTCCCTCAGGGAAGCAATCGTTGCCTTTCTTTCATCCAGCGTGCTGTACCAGTCATATACGCCAAGCAAAAAGAGCCAGGCTTCTTTCCGAACCCCATCGTCGGGATCCAGCCCGGCATGAAAGATCTTTTCTTTGACTTCATCAACCGAGATGGACAGTCGCCCGGTTTCGGGATCGAAAAATGCATCCCAATCCTCTATCGATATCGGCTGCTTCCTTTCTCCAATCCCCAGCGAGTTTACGCCATCAAGGAGCTCGAATTCTCCGACATCGGTATCCTCAAGCTCCATCACATCGTGAACAGTCCATATTTTCTGTCTGTGATCGCGCTCACTCTGCTCTGCCATGCCCATCGCCCACCTGGCAAGATAGATCCTTGCGCTGTCGAATTCATCCTGGAGCGTCTGGACCTCTGGATTCTTCAGCAGTCTCCGCACTTGAGGCGGCAGGCTAGGATTCTCTGCCAGGTCATGAGCTGCCCTCCTGGTCAATGTGGTAACTTTGCTGAATTTTTCCATAAGATTCCAGCCCGTCTCCTTGACAAATTTCATAAAGGGGTCCATCTGAGCATCTTTAGTTTTTGACTCCCCAGCATTGGCCTTTCCTTTGGCTTTCGTCGAAGCCATTCTAGCGCCAAAGCTTTCCAGGTCCTCCTTACTAGGCTCAATGAGATAAATGTTGGGCTCTGCGCTTGATCGCTCAATTTTGATATATCTCCTCAGCCATCGCAAAACTTCGTCTGCACCCCAGAACATCTGGCCAGACTCTCCAAACGGATCGAAACTATCCCGTGCCAGCTTCTTCTTCTGAAGGATGGTGCTCTGGCACTCGTCATCGTGAAAGAAGAGAGCGGGGAAGCTATCCCCTCCTCGGGAGTTGATGATGACCGAGCCGTACCACCAGCCGAGACTAGGAGGTCGGACCAGCAAAGAATAGATTGCACTGACGGGGATGGCAAATGCATAGCCGCCGATAGAGCTACTGTGGGCGGTTACCGTGGGAGGCGGGGGGACAAGATACGACTGTCTGGGAGGTGAGTCGGCGTCGGAGAGGTCCAGCTTGACATAGATGCTCGCTGAATCGCCAAGCGATGCTTCTGGAACCCAGGCAAGTAGAAGATCGGAAGACGCGATGTGATCGGGGTCATCTGCGGATGATGACGTAGAAGGGCGATCACGCTTTGGGCCCTTTTGTTGCAACAGGGCAATATAGCCACAGATGTTGTCCTTTGCAGACGGCGTCGGGTGGACGTATACCTGTCAGTGAAGCAAGTCAGCTCTGTCTTTCTCTATTTGCCCTTCTTCTTCTTCGGTATAGGCCCTCCTCCGTTAGAAGTGAGTGGTGGCGCACCTTGCTCTTCGAGAACAGCAGCTTCACGCCTCTGCCGGACTCCAGGTGCGTGATAGTGTTGTAGCCGCCCTCTTCATCGTCGCTCATGGCATAGAAGCTCCCTGCCGGCGATGTTGGCCGCGCCGAGCCGCTCTGGTCTGCTGGCGTTGAGCTCATGATGCGAGCGCTCTCTACCTACGAGAGGAAGATCTATCGCTATCGTCGTTGACGTAACCGTTGGCTTTGCGACAAGACGCAGTGCTCGCCGTCCGTGAGGAAACAAGAACAAGTTGAAGGTGAAAATAAACAGGCGAGACTGACGTGTCTAAAGGATGGATATTTGGCGCAGCATCGTTCGAGTGGCGCATCTCCAAAGAAAAGTCGTTTCCGGAATTGAGTTGCATGTGAGCTGCCTGATAGTGGCTGAATGACGACTCTAGGACGCGGAAGCGCATGTGCCCCGCCACTGTAGGTCACTTCGCAGGGCGGCCTGTGCCGGGGTACCGCTACCGACGGTTCGGGCATCTTTTGGCAGCGCGGGCGAGTAGCGGATACTGCTCGCTGTGCAAACTGCTGCGTCTCACAGCCTAGACTCTGCGCCCCGGATCTAGCCGCTATTGTCCCCATTTAGACGATGCCTACGTACTGCCATACGCAACACCAGCGTTGTTGATGTTGGGGGCGAGCCTTGGTGTGTCACGTCACGAAACTTTCTTCTTTGATGGTTCTATTCACTTGTATTTATCCTACAATTATCCGACTTTTCGTCCATGGTCCGGGACTGCAAGCCGCAAACGCGCTGTCGATATTGCAAATAGCGCCTGAGGGATTGCCCAATAGGGCGGCTACTGGATAAGGACTGGACGGTCAGAAGCAGGTCTTGGCATGCGTATTGCTCCCGGGTTTGGAGCTCGTTGCGCGCGGCTTACTGCTAGCTGCTTGCTGGCATAAAAAAAGAAACAAAAGACATTTAACATTATAAATACTCCGTACATGCCATGTGCGACGTACATCGTTCGTGTATATATCCGTGTGCGTCCGTCCAAATCATGTCCTCCCCAGCAAGTCGTTGCGATCATATATCTCGTCTCGTACACACTCTCCCTTCGTTAACTATTATCTATCTTGATGTTACTTGATAGCCTTAGCACGTGTGTCTTATGCCGTACGCCAAGATCCGTTTACCCGCTTTAACAAAAATCCGTCGATACGATTTAGTTGCGCTGCTTGGGAAATTCAGGCGCCTTCCTTCTCGGACGCTGGAAAGTAGCCAGCTACAAACCATAACGCCTCGATGCTGGCGAATGACCCTCCAGGATCCGAAAACATCTCTCTTCGAGCACTCCAAAGCTCCAAAAGAGCACTTCTCTCCAGACATTTGAAAGGAGCACCCCTTTTTAGACCTCCTCCGATAGAAGCACAGAATGATAGTCGGGCTCCACAGCAGTCTCCGGATCAGTGTAGTTGACGGGCTTGTGGATGCGAATAATCCACAAGAAATAGTCCTCGAGGACACACAGATTCAACAAGAGCCCGTTTGCGCTCCATGCAACGCCACAGACAATTGCTCCAGCAACGGCGTCCAATATGAAATGATTCGCAGTTGCCACGATGGCTGTGAAGATCAATGCTGGGTACGATAGGCCGAGAATAGTTATGCCGGCCCGTTTCCATGAATTGGGTCGAACTCCATTGATGGGGATGGTTGCGACAGTCAACCCGATCAGGAGCGAGTAACCGAAATGTAGAGACGGCATGGCGGCTACATGGAAGAAAAGGTTAGATGATTGGCAGAGGATTGGTAGGAGAGATTATTGTCAAATGCTTACCATATTGGTTACAGAATTTGTTCGTTGTCCATACACTGCTCTCGCCAGCACTGCTGTGGACAGTATCAACAAAACCAAAGCTCTTCGCCTCTGCAGCATCGGCCCCATTATAGGTTGGATCGCTCAACAGTCGAGGGGGCATGCACGGCCACAGAGTGAACACAACAAAGGCAATCAAGTTGCACATAGCCATCGTCCGGCGTCTAGCTTCGTACAATGCAGGGCCAGCGGACACAAAGTCGTTTCGAACTTTTCTAGTCATCGCTTGACGTCTTCGACTGGTAGTGAGATAAAACAGAGCCACCAAGAAGAAGATTGTGCCAGGAATGTGGATAAAGGAATATATACGGTTGATCCAGTGCAGCAGAAATGGGTGTTTCAAAAACCATTGCTGGAAAGACACTTCCCAAAAGATTCCAAGGCGTTGCTCCAGATGGATCACCTGGAGAGCATGCTTTCGAGCGACGTGGACAGTGCCTTGGACAATGGTAATAGCGGTGAAAGCTCGACCTAGTTGGTATACCTGGAGGAAGACGACAACATATTAGTCTCACGAACAACAGATAAACACAACGCAAGTGTTCTCATCGAATCGAACCAAACAAAAATCATCCAACGTACCCAATAGATGAGAGCCCAATACCATGCTTCAATCAAGAACGGAAACTTTTGGAGAACTCGGCTCAAAAATCGATCTTTGAAGACAAGTGTGTTGGGAGTTGTCACGATCCTCTTGTATCCAAAGAACTGAATCTTGCGCCGTCGCGACGTAAGAGACCAGACTGACTCGTCATCGGCAGAGAGAGTTGGCGAAGAGGAACCCGGGCTCCATGTTGGACTCCTGGGAGACAAGACTTCTGATGAACTTCGTTTTATTTCGACGTCATCTCGTCGTTTGTGGCCACCCCAGCCTTGTGTGCCCTCCCAAAAGTTGTACTCCTTATTCCTGTTGAACCAGGCACCGCCAAACAGGAGCGTCACTACCACGAACGGTTCCAAGAACGCTCCAACAGTCATCGTAATTTGGGCACAGATGTTGAAATTATTGTCGACTTGTGGTAAATACATTTAACAAACAACGGGAACCATCAATGACTTTATGAGGTCTAAAGAGGCGACTGAGACATAAATCAGCACCCGATGATGACACTCGGGACGAAAGGAATTGGATAAAAAGACGACGAGGCTATGGTGTGAGCAAGGCAAACAGATAAGGGCTTTCTAAGCAGCCTGAAGGCGATATATGAACGGGAACTTGTCAGACTATACTGGGAATGCGGAGGGCTACGGATACGGGGCCACGCGAGCACGCCCAGGTACACGGAGAGCAAGGCCTCAAAGGAGTATCCGCCGCGGAGGCATTTCTTTGTCTACACACATCCGCGATGTTCCCATGCCACTTTCTGCCGTACCCGGGGGTCTGGAACGGGGCACGGAGTACTCTCGCCATACTTTCTTTGCAAGTACCTTTGCTGCCTCTCACCAAGAGACAAAGCCTCGGCTACATAACCTCAATTGGCCAAGCACGGAACGAGGGCCATTACGAAGGCAACAACTACCAGCGAGGCCACCGACTTTGATGCGGCGTCATGGATACTCGCGGAGGTTGGGCGCGGGTGTGGAGGGTTTGGCCACCACCCCCCCTACCATTCAAACCTTGGCGGTCGGCACAAGGTTCCGAGGATATTTCCGTCTCTGATTGTGTATTCATGCTGTCAGCAAACGGATTTTTTTTTACTTCGATGTCTCTTCTGAATTCTTCTGAATACGTCTGTTTATTTCCTTATGACTTGCAGCAGAGCATCTCTTACCGATACGATATATCCGTCACCACGCAACCGCCTCAACAAGCATGGCAGACAAGATAACAGAAACTCAGCGCACAAAGAACTCGGGGCTCTAGCGCCCACCCCAAACCTAGATTGGAAAAACATTTTCTAATCTTTTTCCAGCAATCATCCAAGGTCCATAGAGTATAGAGTGGTGGGCGGGCGGCGCATACGAGCCCTGCATCTATATACGAAGAGCCAAGCATGGAATCTGGGACTAGGTACGGAACCCGCTGCATCGGTAACTATACCTACTACATGTATAGTCATCTAGGCTCTTGGCACTGACCAGGGCCGGACGATGTTTGCACCAGTGCCTTTTTTTACATGGAGCACTGATACTAGGTACCATTACATGCAGAACGGCCTTTCCACGAACTCCGAGCCGCGTCATCCAAAAGCAAGCATCAAAGAAAGGTGGTGGAAAGAGGGCAGGCAAGGGTCCAGCTACTGCCAAAGTGGGATTCGACACCAGCTGGATATTGCTAGACAGCAACTAGCAGCAACCAATGGCTCACCAACTCGTCCCACGGCGATAAAGCTCAAGCCTAGGCCTAGTCTCTTCCAGCAGCTGTCGCGTGCTCTACTCCACATCTCGGCCTCGACTGAGCCGTTGGCTGCGGCAAGGGTGGGTCGTATGGGGTGTCGCCAAAGAAGACGGCGGCTTATGATGTAAGTGTAGTGTCGCGTGCCTTGCGTGAGAAGGCGAGAAAGAGAGGGACAATGGCTCACATCATAAAGCTTCGCTCCACGGCTTTTCTTTTCATTTGCCAATCTTACAGTACGAACCGCTCTTCCAGCAGCTGCCCTTGACTTAGTTGAGCATCCAACTGGGGTCAAAGGCTTGTCAGCACGTGGGTTACAATTGCTGTAAGCGGTTAAAAAGTACACACTAACCGTCCGAATAAACATTTCACTCGCATTCAGCCTGTACGCATTGTCGCACTGTACAAAGTCAATTACCGAACTCTTTTGAGCCATTACCCTGTCCTTTGCGAGGCATTGAGACTCGCTGGTCGCAAACCAATTGTGGATTCTACTGGTTCTAGCGCCATAAACCGGCTTCTTAGTCGTGCATTTTCAAACATCACCATGGGGAGCTGAAAGTGTATTAAATGGGCACAGTGTTGTTTTCCACTTCAAGCCTGCAGGTCCCATGAAGGCATTACGAGCTCGGGGTAAGCAGCGTATTCTAAGTGGATGACAATCCTTCCTTGGATAGATGCTGATAAGAGTCAAATTGTCAGAGAGAAAGACTTTTCTTTCGCGCAAAATCCTAATCCTTCGATGCAGGCGTATTGGTCTCGGTAAGCTGCTCGACAAACTCATAGCTACCTACGTATCCGGATTGCTCGGAAATTGATAGGTACCTATTACTCAACACCCACCCGTTAGTGTTGAATGCTGTTGATAAAGGAGAGGTGATACATAGTCGGACAGCAAACCTATCCCGTTCGGCGCCTGTCGAGTTCCGAAATCCGTGATTCCCACTCACAAATTTTCGCAACCGCCGTCGAATGGGACGAGCACGTGCTCAGGCTTCGATTGCGCGACGTCTGCCTGGCTTGTGGTCCCTTTCTTCCTCGGAAGCTGAACTCCTAGAGGCGACAATGAATGTCGTCACAGTTACTAATACCGGCCGAGCGATGCTGTTTACCTGGTGGCAATCCTACACTCATTGCCTCGCTGCAATTACGTCGTGATAGAATGACGATACTCATGACATATTGACTGCTTTGTTATTTTACCTGACTTACCGAGGTAGGTCTCTTTTCAGTGGACACAGCGTCCAACTCACGCGAAGCTGCTCTGCACCGCATGATTGCGCAGAGTATCAGAAAACAGCGTCGAGTGTCGACAAGTGCTCAGACTCTGGGCAGTAATTTTTTCATCCGTTTGTATCCCTGGTGATGTTTTGTGTCTGTGAGAGCCTATTTTGATTGCGACACAATGAAATATACCTAACCCCTCAATAATATGTCCGGACAGCTCAAGGACATGTCTGATTTTCTATCCGAACCTGCCGCCTCGCTTTCGCCGTCATAGTCTAAGCACGATTCTAAACAATCTATACATCATAACTATTCGTCCTATCAAGTGTTTTTTTTCTACGACAAATGAGCTCTCTTGATAAAATATACAGGAAATAATGCTTTCTATTCTCCATTTACACACTCGCCGCAGCGCAATTGTCGTGAAGCTAGCCCGATGCGTCGATTTTGCTGCTGCTCAGCCTCGATGGATTTCGATTACCGAAAGTAGCGTCCGAACGATCAACAAGGTCGATCTGACAATCCTACGCTAAAATGGTGAACCGTTCACGTACCCCGGACTTTCTTCATCTTCAACTTCATACCATCGCAATCTCTCGTCTGGTTCTTGACAAGGTTCTATTGAGTGGGTAGCAGCACTAATACCTTGCTCCACCGATGATAGAGATACGCGATGTCACCGTCTTGCCCATAAGGCTGCGTCACTGCGGCTGGATTTAACAAAGAGTCATGGCATGTGACGACATGTTGAGAGACTGATCATATTTATTCGATATACTGTAACAGGGGCCTAGCTGCAGAAGAGCAATTCGGCAGCCGTTTCCAGTCTACAAAAGGATCGCCATCTTTCTGCTCAAACGATTTTATATGTGTAAAAGCCGGTCTTGGGGTCAGCGTCGAGGTATTCCCCATCCCTTAAAGGCTCGCTGCCGTTTTCCCTCACATCATTCATGAGCTTCTCAATGCCATCAAAATAAAACAGAGTCGACCCGATGCGTCGGTACACCCCCTTTTCATTTGCCACGTCTTTGGCGAGTTCTAACAAAATGGCAAATCCAGACCCATATCTGCTCTCCCCGTCACAATCCGCAATCATGAAATACATCTCCCGGTCATCCGCCCACTCCTCCAGCTTGCCCTTCCACGAGTCAAGGGAGAAGGCCTGTCCGCTATGGTCCCACGCTTCCGAATTGTCACTACGCAGGACCTTGAAGCCGCGGTAAAAAGCATTCATTTTGTGGTCTTTGGGCTTCTTGGCCACGCGAATCCGAAAGATTGGACCGTGGAGGATGATGTAACCGCTCTTGACGGGTCCGAATGGCCCGCCTTCTGTTACTACCTTTGCATCCACCAGCCGCGGCATGCCTTTGACTTGCTCCTCTCGCGTCTGCTTGAGCGACTTGCCGTCGTGATAGCGGACCAGTCCGTCTATAGACGCCCATGACCACGAGGGAATCGCATATTCTGCATCTTCGGATCCCGGCGTACTAACGTGGCGCTCGGCGTTTTCTCCTATGCTCCAGTGAAGTCCGAATGGCAGGTAACTTCGCCATGCACCGGCGATGTATTCGTCGGGTTTGTCCACAGGCAGATTGTTCACTTGGCCGAACAGCTGAGCCACTGCTCCAAACGCAACAAGCTTGTCCTTGCGCTTCGTAAGAGCACGTTGGTTGTACTGAGACGTGAGATAGTCCCAGACCCAGATGTCTGGGGTACTGGTCAACTTCCGCCTTTCCTTGTCGAAAAACGAAACCTTGTCTGGCCAGGTGATGCTCCCAGGGCCACTGTACCACATAATCTGTTTAGTCGACGTTTCACGATTGATGCCATTAGTGATGCCATTCCACCACCATTCGCCGTCCGTGCAGTGCAGCACACGAGGAGCCAGCGCGTACTCCTGATACGTCCACCCGCGGCGGTTGAGAGGAGCCGAAACAATGGTGTTTTTGAATTCTTCATACCACGGGTTGGTGATGCGGAGCGTCTGGCCAGGCTGCAACCCCCATTCCTGGATGAAGCCTTTCCAGGACGGGCGGACAATGACGGTGCGAGGCCGAGGGCCTGGCGATAATCCCGTCGTAGGGTTTTTCGAAGCTGAAGCTGCAATTGTGAGATGGGAAAAGGCGTATACGGAAGCCATGCGCTGTGCTTCGTGGAGCCAGTCGGACGCAGAGTCTTGGATGATGCATAGGGAGTCGATCCAGATGTATTTGACGCCCAGTTCGAGAGCCAATTCTGCGGATTGGCGAAACGTGGCGGGCAGGTCTTTGAACGCAATCCCATTGGTGAACTCGGACAATCTCGAGGCGATGAGCTGGATTGGCATGGTGTTGCCCCAGCTATGAGAAAGGGCAATGTACGGCGTATCAACATCCAACGAGGTGTTTGCTCCATCGATGAGTCGCGCCATTGGCTCGGGTGAATCGTTTGTCAGGTGAAGAAGTCTGGTTGGGAGCTCCCTCACAAGACTCTTTGGGAGAATCTTGTCACAGTCCTTTGTCTCGTCGAGAAACTTGTTGACTCGTTCCAACGTGCTGCCCAAGTCCATCCAGTCGATGTAATGCTTGTTCTCCTGAACAGATAAATCTGCATTATTCTCTCTCCATCAGCAAAGGATTCCTCTCCATCAACTTCAAAAGAAGAAGAAAACTCACCATGCATATCCAGCGTCACATCCTTCACGTTCCCCTCTCGCTCTCCCACCGTTGGATTCACGTCCATGTTCCGATTCGCCGCCCAATCCGCGTACACATGATACCGAAACACCAGCCGGCTCGTCTTATTCTTCTCGGTATATATAAACACGTACCCCTTCGCTTTCGCAACCTCCTCGGCGCTCCACGCCGCCACGCCATACGGCTTCCGCCCTTCCATGTAATCGACGCCGATATTGTCCCGCGGGTGCAGCGCATCAAATGCCATCACCACCGTCTTGCACAGCGCGCACGAGCCGCCGGAACTGCGCAGCTCCTCGACCGAGTGGTGCGGATACGAGAGCGTCGGCGGCGCGGCGTTGCGGTTGATGTACGGCTCCATGCCGTGGTCGTAGGCCGTTCCGAAGGCTGGCTCCGGGTGGAAGGGATCGGGCGGTGCGCCGGGGGTTTTGATTTCTCGCTTCCAGCCGCGGAGTTGAGGACGCCAGTTGCCTTTGAAGATGCCGGTGCAGACATTGCAGAGGGTGGATGATGGTATCGAGTCTAATTCTACCATTTTTTTCTTTTTTAATCCTTGAGAGAAAGGTAAACTATATTTCAAACAAAGAGGGGGTTTATCGAGCAAAGCATTTAGTTCCACAACCATTCAGTCCTACGTATATGCATCTGCCATCACTTTATAACAAGTCAGTCTATAGGACTTTGCTACCAAAAACACAGCCATTGCTGCCTCGTCTAGCGCCGCATGAACCAGCGCCGTTTAAAAGTCCGACACGCATACACTCCGTCCTCTCTGCGTGAAGATCACCAAAAGGCGGCACAGCCAGAAGGGACGAATGAATGTTCAAGAGCCAAGCTAAAAATATGCATAGCCGGGTAGTCAAACTCCGCAGAAATCCTTCGTCTCTGATAGATATGCTAAATAGCAGCTGGTGGGCTAATTATAGAATACTTGCATGGTTGCTGCGGAATATATGAGTAAACATATATTGTTAACGCTGCAGTCATATGACGTTTTAATACGAGGTGGATTGTGTCAAGTGTTAAGTGCCTGGCTCACAATGAGAAGCAAACGGCTTATCGACTGGGATGAATTAGTATCTATCCAATAGTAATTGTAGTCCATATCTTAAGCTTGGTCAAACAAGCCGATTAATTTATCCAGCAGGCATAAAGACAACTAAATTGTAACCTTGCACCAGTAATAAACCGATTCTAATCCAATCCAACACCGGAAATCCAGTTGGACAAGAGCATTGTCGAGTCTTTTAACCAACTCCCTGGTTGTAATCCAAATCTTGTCCAGTGCCATCTTGAAGCGCACGTTCCCGTGCTATATCATTCCCGCATCCAATAACATAAAACAATGCTTTCCCTTTTTTCCATAATCCAAAAAAACGCCAAGTTATGGGATAGACTACTGCTCAACTCTTCACCCCTGCATCATACATTTCATCTTCCTCCGCTATCCTTCCAAGGATGAGGCTTTGAACAATGAGCTCGTCACACAGCACACGGACATTTCTCGCTGCTGGTAATCCCTGAGATCGTCGCCGTTTTTTGCCAGTTACTTCTGGCTTCGCAAGCACTGATTCGGCCGTGCCTATAGATTCGTCCATGTATATCCAAGTAAATGGCTCACCCGCTTTATCTTGCGCATCTAGCATTTCGCGAGCCTGCTGTATCGTTGAGACCCAAGATATGGAGGGCCCAAGAGCCTGAGCGAGGAAGAGGTACGGCTGCTTCTCCAAGTCGCTTTTTTTCCTCTTCCCTTCGCTTCGAGCCCTTTTATCATCCACGACAGCAAGTAATTTCTCGGTTGCAAGTAATTTTGGCCGTTTGTCAATCATTTCTACAAGCCTTGCAACTTCGGCATCGTAGGAGCGCAAGCATCTTGACCTTACTGCATTTCCCAGAATGGCAGATGATCCTGCAGCAAGGAGATAGGGTTCCCAGTCAATCAAGACTCCTTTGTTGAGACACGTTACTACCCATTGATATGCTAGACAAGGCAATCCTAGAGCCAACGCTTGCATGTATTTGACTTTGCGGGAATGTGTGTCTGCAATTAGCGCGGTGAATCCATAGTTTGAATAAGAGCTGGATAAGCTTAGAGGTTCTCCCTCATCAGTACTAGGTACGTTATAGGTGTTCATTACCGTAGAAGGCTCAAACAACTCTTCAAAGCCTGATTCCAGGATGAGACCACCGGCTTGCTTAATCTTTGCCTCTATACTAGCACGGGTCTTTTCATTCTTCTTGTCAAGTGACATGGATATTGCAAAAGCCATGCCCTCAAATAATCTTCGTCCACGAAAAGTAGATCCGATGCTTTGTTTGAAGATTCTACTCGATCTCAGCGAGGAAACTCCTGACTCAAGAACACTGCTGGACGGCGATTGCTGCAGCTCATCAGTAGAACTCGGCTCATTGAGAACAGACCGGAGACTCGTTCTTAAAGCTTTGGCAGCTTGCCGTGCAGGCTTGTCCTTTGATGTCCTCTCTGAGATTCTCGACCTCATCTTTCGGCCCTGCGCAGGAGAAGACGAAGTAGTGGCCTTGGGCTCCGGCTGGTCAGATACGGGGGAGGATGGTGTATTTGGTGTAGTCTTCTCCGATGCCACTGGCGTTGATAGAGTTGTGAAGCTAGATGATGTATGAGCCTTTTGATCAGCTATACGAGGTCGCACGGGTGTGAGCGGCGCTTTGTTATCGCGTCTCAGAGTCCGAATTGTTGTCGGTATTGTAGTTGCAGAGTCGGTCTTTGACACTCTGGGTTCAGGATTTTCAGTCTCTGTCGTTTTGGTCCTAGCAGGCACAACAGTTGCGTTACTGGAACTCGAGAAGGCTGTCTTATTTGCCTGGATATCTGGTTCGGCCGACGCCCTCTCGTTTGTCTCCGACGAAGCAACAATTCTACTTCGGCGACTGCTTTGTGCTCGCCTCCCATATGATCTCTGCGCATGTCGACGTAGTGGAGGAAGCGAAGACGATTGCATATCGGCTTCGGGGTCATTTCCTGCAGACTCATCCTTGGCTAATACAGGAAGCTCAGGCTCAGGCTCAGAAGCTGCCGGCGCATCGCCCCGAGCTCCCGATGGGAATGATCTGACGGGACTAGTAGCAGGTATCATTTCCTCAGAAGCATCATCCTTGCTTCTCCCTGGTTTGGTACTTGAGGCTCTTTTGCTATTGTTTTTGGATGGTGCGGCCGCATCGTCTCGAGGCGTTGCTTTGGTCGACTCAGCCAACAAACTCTGCCCTGGCAAACTTGACCCTTTCTCAGAACTGCGCAACCCACCAACTGTGCTGGGAAGTTCCATGCTTTCTGGGCTTTGCTTGTGACTGGGAAGCGTTCCCTCGTCCATACTTGAAGATAGCCTTCTTCGCTTTCGGTTCCGACTCTCGCCCATATCTCGTCGCGGGGGTATCTGTACAGTCACCTTCTCCATCTCCTCTGCTGTCTGCAGTCGTATCTTATTCATCCTCTTCTTGCGCCTCATTCGTATGATTGCATCGTCCGAATCGCTGTCGATACCCAATTGCAACGGGGGCATATGCACTGCTGCTTTACGCTCTTGGGATTTCTTCATCGGTTCGTAGTGCGCCAAAGGCTGTCGGTTTTCGTGGCGTTTCGACGGCTGGATAGTCGGTGACTCCGGAATCATGTCATCTCGAAGCTCCCTGCTTTTATCTAGAGACTCTTCCTGGATTGGCGACACTTTTGGTTTGTGCGTGCTTGTCGGAATATTATTCATTCTACTAGGGCTTGACGTATGCACAACGGTCGGCGAAGAGACATTTGCGCGTGCTTTTAGAGGAGATGTGCCCATAACATTCAGGGACATGGTATCGGGCAACATAGCTGGAGATGGTCGAGACGATGTAGGGCTATGGAGTTTCATGGCCGAGGTCACGGCAGGCGTTTGCTCAAAGAGCTGGGTGCCCGCAAAAGGAACACCCCCATTCGCATCGTTCTGAATGGCAAAGGGATTCTTAGGCGGTACTGGCGTTTCTGGCGGAAGGTCGCGGGGCTTGAAGGGAGTATGACCACTGCTAGGCCGGTGCTGTGAGGTGCCAGCTGGCGCCCTCCATTCGCCGCGAGTATTTTCGAAGCCTGCATCTTCAGAAACTTGAGATGATGGGCGGGCGGCACCAGGGCTCAGGTTTCCAAAGTTGACTGCGCCGGTATCATCCACGTGCAGCGTGTCGGGCAGAGAGCTGGACTCTACCGGTTGGAAGAACTGGTCATAGTCTCGTTCCACATTAACCTGCGTAGGTGTCTGCTGCGAGATGTCCATGGCGCCCATCTGTGGCCTAGCAGCGCCAACTGGCATGGTAGGGATGCTGTCGCTGTGGCTCTGATTCGTGCTATCGCGATTGCGTGGAGGGGACGAGGAACGTGCGTTTCGACCAGGCGGGCTGCTCTCAGCTACGACAGCATCGTCCAGGTCCTGCTCGCGGAGCCTTGGCCGTGCTGGTGGTTGGTGAGTCTGGGGTGCTTCGCGTCCCACTCTGTGGATTTCGGCGGTCGGATCACTCGCATTACTCTGGTGTGGCGTATTGGTGAATTGCTTCTTTTTTCCATTTCAGTCAGCTTCCGCGTATCGCTCTCCGTATGGCGCAGCAGCAAAGCAGAGGGCAGCACCAACCTTGAAGCTGTTATCGTGCCAGCGCACGCTCCGTCTCGCCGAGCTTGAAATGTGCAAATCGCCCGCCTCGGCTCCGTGTTCGCTGTGCCGCTCTTGACGCTCGTCTGCGCCTCTTCCCGCGCGCACATCCACATCCTCGCAGGCTGTCCCGGGCTGTGGCGGCGATTCAAGGGCCCCGTGAAGCTGGTTGGTCAGCGCGAAATGCAGCTTCATGGACCCTGGCCAGTCGGGGTACGTACCGCTGCAGCTCCGAACTCAGCTTTCAGAGCGTCGAGAATGGCCTGGCTGTCCTGCGACTCGACGCCTTGGTCCAGCGCCAATTGCTCGGCTCGCATGAGCGGCCGTGGTCGTGACATTACGAGGGCATTTTCTTGGTGTTTGTTTTTGTTTGAGATTTCGAACAAGAGAAACTAACTGGGAGGCTCGAGTTCGTCAAGGGCTGGCGGGGCACCTGGCGAGGCACCAAGTACAAGTGACTTTACGCCTGGCATCTCGACTCTGCTGCCTTGAGCGCCACATCAACGCGCTATCACGTGCGCCATTCCTCACTTCAACTTTTCGAATTGAGGCTGGTTTTTTCAAGAAGTATCATTACACATGAGGCAAGGCACCGTGAAGAAGGCTCGCTGGGTCAATATATGGAAGAGGGCTGTGTTGCTTCAAAAATCCGCTATGCACTCAATATCCAGGCACATAATCTACCTATATAGACCAAAAAACAAAACAAAACAGGGTATACATCTGACCATATATCCTCCATCTCTCTTTATATATCACGAAAACTCGTCATCGTCATCCCCCCAACCCCCGCCCGAATAATCCACTGGCGACTTGCCCGCCCATCTATTCTGCGAGGCCGGCACAGTTGCCTGCTGCCCAGTCTCCGTTGTACTCGCAACAGGCCTTTTCGAAGACGATGCCCCTGAGAAGAGCGGCGCAGGCGTCATGCCATTAGGGAACTGCTCTCCGCCTGCCATGCTGTTTGCATTGACATTGAGTGGCGCCGGGGTGAAGTGCTGATTAATGGGCTGTCCATCTTGGAAACCTGCAGGGAATTGCTGGCCACCAGACTGCATCTGAAACGGCTGATTTGGTCCAGGCATTGCTTGAGGAATGGGCACTGGGGGGAAAACATGCTGCGGCTGCTGCTGAGCCACTGGGCTCTGGGCTGCCGATTTTGATCCACTGCTCTTGAACCATTTTCCCCATGATTTTCTGTTTTCTTTGTTGCCAGCTGTGGGCGAGGTCTGCTGCGTTTGTATCGGCGGCAATGGACCTGGTTGTGCAGCCCATTGCTGCTGCAGTGGCTGCTGCATAGGTGGACCAACTGGATAAAAACCTTGCATAGGCATTCCTGGACCCGGAGCCTGGCCAGGAGGCCCCATGACTTGCTGCGACGGCACTCCTTGGATCTGGGCAGTGAACTGCTGAGGTACCTGTGCCTGAGTCTGCAGAGGACCCGGGAGCGGAACCTGCTGTGAACCACGCTGATTCAGAGGAGAAGCGGGCGTCGTTGAATTAGGAGGCGCCTTTGTAAGAACCCTGCGCTGGTTCACCTTCAACGGAGCCACCGCCGCCGCTGCATGTTGCGCCTCGTCATGCTCCTCAATACTAGTCAGGAGGTGGCCAGAAGCCGTGGGCCCAATGCGCGTGGGAGACTGCGGCACTGCATCAGAGACAGTTACAGGGCTTGGTTGCTGCATCTGAGACTGAGGCTGAGGAGGTGGCATCCCTTGCGTATTCCCCTGATTCACATGCGCGAGCTGTTGTGGCGGCACTGATTGTCTACCACCTTGGGCTACGGGAGACTGTGGCGAGTCTTGAGGTCTCGCCAAAGACACATTCGAAGGAGAACCCTGAGAACCGGATATAGACGCAAAGTAAGAATTATTGACGGTTGGCGACGCAATGGAATTCGTAGAGCTTCGCCGGGAGTCAATCGGCGAAGGCGTATCCAGGGGAGCGGCCCCAGACGACATGCTCTGGGATCGAGATCGTATAGGGGATACGTCGTCTTGCGTAGGCCGGCGCTGGATAGGTCGCGGCTGTGGAGGCGGCGTCTGATAGCTCGCAAAACTAGCATAAACGCCCGGGTTCACGACGCTCTGCGGCCTTTGCGGCTGTTGGCTCTGTCCGGGGACGGCATTCTGCCCTGGCTGGAACGACTGTCGACGCTGCTGTGCCGGTCCAGCTGTAGCTGAGCGTGGTGCCGTTCCAGCCGGCACAATCACAGCCCCGGGAGGCACAGGGCCTGTCCGGATTGGCATCTGCTGTGGCTGGCCTGGAGCTGGTCCCCGTCGTTGGTTTTGAAGAACGGGCATGGCGCTTGCTGGTCGCAGTGGCTGCTGGCTCTGGAGCGTGCCGTAAGGAGTTATGACTGGCGGTCCATCGTCGTGCGGATATGGCGCCGTGGAGTGGCGGATAAGGGGCGGCTGCGGCATCCTCACCGATCCTGTTGGATAGGGGAGCTGCTGGGCTGGAACCTTGGGTGGTATAGGGGGGACAGCATATTGTACATTTGACTGTGGTAGATCTGGAACCGTCGTGTATGGCCTTTGAATAGGGGCTGGGGGCTGGGCAGTTGCAATTGGAGGTTGCTGAGGCGGATTCTGCGAGACAGCGGCTGGAGCTGGAATCGGAGCGGGAGCTGGAGTCATGGAAGGCGGGTGTTGCCCATGCCGAATCAAATTATATCCCGATACTCGGGCATCTCTCCCAGCAGTCTCCGCACTCGAACTGGCAACGGAGCCTTGCTCCGACCCCTTCAAGATATCTTGCCTTTCTGGCGACTGTCCCGGTTTCCCGCGCGCAGGCCGAAGCACAGAAGGATACTTGACCACTCCCGGCCCAGAATCCGCCGGCGGTTTAGACGCAGCGGTGGCCGGCCTCATGCTCATATTCAGCGACGCCTCTCGCTGCAGCGCCGGACTCATTATCCGCGCCGGTATCGCGCTCGTCTGTGCAGCTTGGCCTGGCGCATAGGCTTGATAGTCCTCCTGTGCCTGGCTTCTGCCAGCATAGGCGTTGTAAACGGCGCTGGACTCTCGGAGCGTCGGTTTCCTGGCAATCTTGAACGGCTGCGGGGCGCCATTGTTTTGCTCCTGGGACGGGCTATACCCTTCGTTGGACTGCTGCATCTCCAACTCCCTTTGCAATTCTTCCGCCTCTCGCTTCTTCCGCTCCTCCTTTCTCTGCTGGACATCCCGCTGCCGCTCCTCCTGGTGCTGTCTCACTTGCTGCCGTCTCAGCTCCAGACGCTGCTGATCCGTCAACCTCTCCTCTCTCAGTTGACTATCCTCGCCCAGGTCAATCTCGGCCGGCAGTTCCACAAACCCCGGCCGCGGCTCTATTTCAACCGGCGCCATGATGTAGGTGCCGGCCAGCTCAACCGGATCCGGGTGTGTCTCCACGCGGGCCGATGCCGTGTGCTCCGTCGGCATCTCAGCCACCACGCCCACGGGATCAAACTGCAGATGCAGAGGCACGGCGGTTTCTACCGGGAGCTCGTACATTTCGTAGTTTAGTGCTTCTTCTTCGGGTACTGCGCTCGCTTCTCCCACGATGTAGCCCTCAATGGGCGTCACCATTGCCGGCTCCTCGTACGATATTATCGGTGGCGGCGGCTCAAAAGCTCTCTCATTTATCGCAGTCGTAAACCCATGCTCCCGCGCCCCAGGCTCCGTCCGAGCAACAGCCTCACTTGTGCGTACCATCGGCGTCGTGTTCTGGCTCACCATAGGACTGACTCCCCTATTGCTGTCCGTCGGCAGTCCCCCCCTTTGCTCGGCTCCCACCACGGCCCTCCTCGCCGCCTCCTCCTCCTCCTCAACCAATGGACTGACATCCACATACGTCCCCGGGCCGAGATACATGAAATTCTCCGGCTGAAACACGGCCTCGCCCTCCACCTCGTTATCGTTGTCGTTGTCGTCCTCGGCCCCGAACTCGTCCTCCCAGACCGCACTCACGGGCTGCGCCGTCGCCGACATGCGCAATCTCCACCCATCTTCGTCTCTCGCCGCTGCTCGCCCTGTCCGGCTGGGGCCTCCGGTGACGCTCGTGTGCCGCTTCACCTGCTGCTGCGACTCGAGCTTCTCCTCGGGCGCGAGGTCCGGCGCCGGAGACGCAGCGTCGATGAAGTCGGGAAACTCGTCGCCCGCGCTGGGGAAATGGTACTGCACATGGCCGGTGGGCGTGTAGCGGTACAGCCACCGATTTCCGTCATAATCCCACTCCCAGCCGGGTGGGAGAGTGGCCATGATGCGATTGCCCGCTGCCCTGCCGCTGTATTTCGCTCCCTTGTGTTGTTCAATTCGGCGCGAGATTGGTCGAAAGCCCGCTTCCACCAGTTCGTATCATGAGTTGAACAAGTATACGAATTATTATTTCAGAAACAGCCTCAATCAGAGGCGTGTTTGAGCAGCGTCGGGTCGGAATCGAATTGCCTCGTTCAGCCGCACCGTTGTCGCATCGCCGCGGGAAAGTCGTCCACAATCTTGCATGGAAAAAGAAAAGAAAAAAACGCTATGCTTGGTCGCCGGCGCAAAAAAAGAATAAAATAAATGCTTTAAATAAACTGACTGGCTTTCAAGTCAAAAAAGAGAGAATCCGTAAATGATGCTGCTCCAAACCGAGAAACCGCAAAAGCAGGGCCCATGCTATCCATGTGGGAAAAAAAGGGAACAGAAGCTGACAGCTGACAGCTGAAACCGCAGCATATATGAGATGCCACTGGCTTGCTTCTAATTATATCCCCAGCCCCGGTGCGGCTGGGGGCGCGATATTGGCTGGGATGCGGGGGTCACTATCGACGGACGCTATTGAAGACCATCAGAGACGCCTCGTTGGGCGGACTTTTGGGCTGCACAGACTTGGGCCTCTCTAATCCTTTCTCGTTCAGCTTCCAGAAGGGCATTTTTTAATATATAAAAACAATCTACAAAACACAAACAAGCCGTATGCAAATGCCATGCATCTTTACGTAATTCGTCATGCTCGTGTAAGTCATAGACATGGGTTGTCGTATAAGTGATAAAAATAAACTACCTGGCATTATACTACTAGGCACATGGCACCACTCTCGACATCCTCATTTCACTCAACGCCTTCATTATAGTAGCCTTCAAAGGTAATCCAGAAATCTATCCCTTTTTGACGGGACATTTATTCTCTATTGGCTGCTCTAATGCATACCATCTTAATCATTCCTACATGAATTTGGCATATTTCGCTTGGCTCGTCTTATCCTGCGAGCTTCCTGGTATCTCTTCCAATTAGCGAACTCTGCGCCATCTGTCTCTATATCCGTAACCTATCCATCAAGTCATAAAAAAAAAGTGAAATATGCAATGCCAGGCCTGCTAATGTTGTGTAAAGAGAGTGAATCGCTGAAAATGCAAGTCGACCAATAAGCAAATTAAGACTTGGCCCCAGCAAATCTTGCAATCTATGCACATGTGTTGAAGAGAAGAAAAAAATTGACAAAAGGGGAGTAAAATAAGGGGAGGGGGAACAGAACGGAGCCAGCAATATAGAGAGACGCGTCACAAGTTAGACCATGTCATTGTGGCTTTGGACGCTCCTAGTTCCGCTCCGTGCGCGTCCAAATATGCGAGACCGCGTTTGAGACCCAGAGTCGATCGAAATGACTGGTGCCAGAGCTGAAGTAGACGCACGGGCGTCTGCAGCAGACTCCTCCTGCAGCCCCCTCTCTTTCTCTCGGATAGACGCCATCCTCTGCATAAGTACGTGCTCTCGCCGTTTTTCGAATACATCTTGGAACCCTCCCGTGGCGGGCTCCTGGTTTGGTACATGGACGCTGCGGATGCTAGACGTAGCTCGAGGTCGACCGTGCGATGATGATGATGAGCTCTCGCCAGCGTTGTTATATGCGGGTGGCGCGGGCATGTTTGCCCAGTACAAAGGATGGTCTCGGCTACCGCCAGGGTCGATTCGGAGCGGCGCTTCAATGCCCACTTGAACCATCTGATACATGAGCTCCGTAACAAATTTGTTGTGGCGGTTCAGTCGAAGGAGTTCGTTCTGAAAGCTGCTCTTGTGGAAGAAGACAATGTTCATAGTACATGATCTCACTTCCTTGAAGCCAGTCATCTCAGTAATGATGCTCGGCTGGTAATCCCGCTTGTTGGCCTGGACAAACTCTAGCATTCGAGCCTTGAGCTCGTCAATCAGGTGGCCGGGTGTGCCAAATCGCATCTCAAGAGGAATCGAGTCGGAAAGGCCATTGGATCGCCGCTGATTGAGAATAAAAACGGTATTGAGAAGCGAGTTTGGGGCTTGGACAATGTGACCTTGCATCTTTTTAAACTCGGTATAGAGCAGCGAGATTTCCGTCACATAATAGTCGTCGCCTGTCAGCGTGGCTCCGGTGTTACCATAAATGGTTACACGATCGCCTACATCAAATGGATGCTTGATAAAGACGAAGATTATGGATTGCAGAAATTCCTGGGCCGTTGCCTGAAGCACCCACGCGAGACCGAGGACCGAGGAACCAGCAGAAGCGAGACCGGCGGCGGTTGAATCCGACAAGATGGCGACGAAGACAATGACGGCGATGATGACGATGATGACGAGGAAGACTTTATCAAGCTTCTGTATGACGGAGTCGAGATCTTTGAGAGACGCCGCGATTGCCTTTTTTTCGAGCTGAATCTCGTTGCAAACTGTCTCAAACTCGTCCACAGAAATGTCGCCATTGAGGTCTTTATCAAACATGCTAAAGGCCGCCTCAGCTTCCTCCACCGTTTCAAAGGCAGTCTGCAGGTCTTCCAGGTGGACAGTCTCGCGCCCATCTCGTACGAGGCTCCGGTAGATGAGACGCGCGAGGGAGTGCGCAGACTGAGTGGTGCGAAGCAGCTCGGCCACAATCTTTCGAGGATGGTTGTTGTCAGCCCCTTTGCGGCCCAGAAGGTCATTGCCCACCCTGCCGGCAGCATGACCGACTTTGCCCAGCACCTGGCGGGCATTATTATGAAAGGCTTTCATGGGAGTTTGCAAGCCGCTTGCTGAAGCATGTCCATTGCTGCCTTTCCAAAAAGGGTCAGAGGTGTCAAGCTTGGCTTTTGCATATTCGTAAAGGCGAACAAGTTGACGGATGTCTCCTTTGTTGTTTTCGATTCGAGTGGCGTATGTTCGCTGGTGGAAGCTTTGCGCAATCCACTGTATGAGGATCTTCTCCACAAAGTTGAGTGCGGCGAGGACAAAAAGCGCAATGATGACTTTGTTGACGATGCCGATCCATTGGATATCCACCTCATCTTCTCGTCCTTCTGGTACCGGAGCACGGTGGCTGTTCATGGTAGGCTTGAAGGAGACGAGGATGGCCAGAAACCACAGAAATATGGCCGTATGCAGTTCGAGACGCTGTCCAATGTCCCGCCACTTGTGCGCATTGGTCGACCCGGCCATTTTGGCGACGCTGTGGAATAGAGGGGGGATCAGGTTCGTGATCATTCGGGTCACCCACAGCGAACACCAAACGATTTCCAGCCAGATGCCAAACCACATGAGATAGACACCGCCAACGCCGCCCACGGCATCTTTAACGCCATTAAATCTATACGTGCCAAGCAAGACGGGGGCAAGGAGCAAAGCCGCGCCAGGGATAAGATAGATGATGTATCGAAAGAAGCGAGGAAACTTGCTGATAAAGAGCCACAGCTTGTACAGGGCGGCATTGGTATTCTTCTTCTTCTCCACGGCCGCTTCCGGGGCAGGCTGGTTGAAGGCATCCTCCGGTTCGGGGCTGTGATGCCGAACCTTCATCCGAGAGCCGGACGCGAGATCATGTTCCTGGTTAGAGACCATGCGCTCAGCGCGGAGAAGCTCAAGATCATCATTGAGACGATTTGCCTCGGCGCGCTGGCTTATCGGGGATATAATATCTGCTTCATCTTGGAGAGGTGCCAGTGTGTTTGATGTGTTGATGGTGTCAAGGGTTGGTGCTTCGAATCTTTCGTATTTTTCGTCGTACCGCTCGTTGAAGTCCTCATTTGTTTCGCCCTCCTGCTCGTCAATCCGGTTCATCTCCGACGAGGTTCGATGCGGATGAGTATTTGCAGGCATGGCGGGAAAAGGCTCTCCAGCCATTGCAGTATTATCGCGACACAGCTGAAGCACGTTGGCTTAAGCGCATTGACTGTGGAGAAGAAACTGGGGAAATGGGAAGCTGTTGGCCGCGGTTTATAAGATCCGTGAGAAGGCAGAGGAGCACCGCTTATGCGAATAAGAATGACATCCAGATAACGGAACTGGCGGGAGGCTCTCCGCAGACAAGGCTCGGTCCAGCACGACGCAGGTCGATGGCAGGATCGCAGGGTTCAGAGGATCGGCGTGGTGTTTTGTTGGCGGTCGTGGTGGAGCGAGTGACGAAATGATGCCGTTTCTACAAGAGGGAATGAGCAGCCATGGCCGGGGTTCTTCTTTTGTATGTGCTGCAACCGTTGGGGAGTGGGAATCCACCCGTCGAAAAAATCAAACAGGAATTAAAAGAGGAGCCCGCTTCGCTGAGTCAAATGTTCTCTACTGATAGCTACATGCTGGCGTAAATTGTCCGTCAAATGTGGCTAAAAAAAGTCTGCATCGAGCATATTCCGGGAATTATATGGTCCATTCTGCCATTTTGGTGTCGCTATCATGCCCGTTTTGTCCTCGGCTAGTCCCCTGTGGCGCCTAGCGTGATGATTTTTGGCGGCTGGACAGCGCCTTCAGGGCAGCGGTGCAGCCACCAGTTGGTCGCTGCTCCCCCATCTCTCCAAACAAATCTCTGCCCTGGCGCGCTATTTGTCTGCGGGAGCGCAGAGGCAAATACAGGGCAGTAGCGCACCTGCTAGCGCTCATCGCTAAGAGGCGCCATGGAACAAGGCGCCGCCGGAATGCTTGTTGCGGCCTAGCGCGCTTCTGCCACATGTCGGAGAAGACTCTCGAACCTGCTTTTCGGTTTCTCCTTGCAAACGTCGTGTCTCTTGTTCCCGAATGTCGACAAAATCCGAGAACAGACAGGAAAACAGCATCACTGAGAGTCCCCAGAGCCGCCGAGTCCTACGTGGCCCCAGAGGCCCACCAGCTTGTTCGATGATTTCCCTGATTTCCCCTCTCAAGCTTTTTTTTTAGTATGAAGCTTGGCAGGGTGCTTGACAAGGTCGCGGGCGATCGCAGTGGAGCTGCCCGAGTTGCTACCGGTGCTGGAGTCGAGTTGGGCAGGGAAACGCATCGCGGAGAATCGCAGTGACGGATGAACAGAGATTTGCTCTCTTGGCTGACTCGATCTGCCCGCCTTTGGGGAATGGATGCGAGAGCCCTGCTTTAACGGCGGGCGTGTCAGGACATGCAGGTGTCCTTCTCGGCGCAAACAATTGGCTGGACGGCGACGATGGCTTCAAACACACCGACCCTGACCCCCCTCAGCAAAGTGATCGGCATCGTACATGGCGCGCATTCCATCCAGCCATCTACCGCAGTAGAATACATCCCGAGAGGCACGACCGCGCGAGCTACCCGCCGTTTCCGCCGCTTCAGCAGTGCCACGGCTCCGTATGGCACCTCAGACACTGCAGCATGCTTTGCGTGCGTCAATATCCAAACCCCGGCTCAAGCCCCGCGGAACTTCAGCTCGGCCAGCTCACCGTCCGAGCCACCGCCGTTTTCTCACTGTGCTGCCGGCCCCGCGTGGCCGCCGCTACCCAGTCCCGCCCCGGACCCGCAGACTGTGGGAGAGACACGTACACACGCTTCGAGCCCAGCCAACGGCGATTCCCCTGTGCCGTCTGGTGCATGTGAATTGCTTTTCGGAACAGGATGACGGTCCGAACAAAGATGAGCTAAGAAGCTAGCAAATGGCCATCGTCCCCGTGGCGCTCCGGCACGCAATATATATCTGACAGGCAAATCAGAGGCGATCCGCTTATCAATTCACTTGGATATCTGTGAATTTTGTTTTCCCAAATCGTCAAAGCCAACTCGCATCATCAATGTTATCCACCAAATTGTCTTTATACAGTATGACATATGAGCTCCACCGCCAGGCCTCCCTGTCAATACGAGGTGGCAAAGGCAGGCTTCTTCATTTGCTCATCGCCGCTGTCCAGGTTCCGCAGTGAATCGAGATTGTGCATCATCACGCACATATGAGCATCCAGACGTGCGGGCACGCTTGGCACGCTTGGCACCCCCGAAGAGAAGGAGAGAATAAGCATAATTCAATTGGTTTCCACAATTAGCCTAAGCGCTTGCAGGTGCACATGTAGAGCTCGGGGCACCATGAAGCTTTTCCGCGATGCCGTTTCAGGGCTTCCACTAAAACGAAATACTACATGTACTCTATTGCCGTATATGGGTCGGTATGGACGGAGCGCGACCCTGATAATCAGTCTTCAGCATCCATCTTTGAACTGACTTGCTCTTTCATTTTCCTACAAGATTGAGTCAATGTTGGCATCGCCACTTTTTGTGAATTGTCAAGCAGGTATGTCGGGAGTACGCGTCCTCAACAAACCAGCAAGTCCTTGTCATGAAAACTGGGCCTAGGTGTACATACGCAAACGCCCAGATTTCAGCCTATGCCTGAAGTATCTATTGGCTCTTTTCTAATTAAAGAAACGGCCGGATGGCATGGAACTTGGGAATTAAAGTGCTTCGATAAAAATTCTGTTCCTGCCAGCCCGGGAGCGATGGCTGGTCCGCAAGCCTCCATTACGCTGTGGCGCATACTAAAATGTGAATCCACTTGAACGAGGTCCTAATGAGTGGTTGTCTAAAAATGCTATGAAATGTCGCGTCTGGCTTTTTTCACTATTACTAAGTACCTAGGCAACACAAGCCGGGGTGTATTATGGCCTGGGGGATGACTAAAATTGCTGTGAAGATCTATGGACATCGACGCATGCCCACCCAACTCTGTAGTACCTAATCAAATCACACGCCCGTTATAACAAAGCCTTTGAGAGAGTTAAGAATGCTGTGAAAGCCCCGGTAAGCCCTGCAATACCCACTGGGAAAGTCATAGATGTCTTTTATGTAGACGCCGTTGGGGCCGAAATTGAGAAGCAGACATATCGCTCTTTGATTGTGGTAGAGTCGAACAGAAATGAACCAAGAGGGCTACATATAGCAGGACAAGTTCAGAAATTAAGCTTAAAGGTACTGGAAATTAAAAACCAAGGTCTTATAACATGTCCAATACGATACTGAGGGACGAGAATGATGTTTGTCATGAAAGGAAATAAATACATCTTGTTGAACATGTGACACCACAAACCAATAGTAGCTAATTCAACACCAGAAGCGACCTGAACCTAAATATCACTTAATTGTTGCTCGGATAGACTGTAGGAGCCAAAACATGCTCTACCTTCCGTCTCAAAGCTAGATTTGTTGCGATGAATGGGTGCTTTATGCGAGTTGCCGCTGCAGGGCATGGAGATGGTTGCATCAAGCAAGCTCATAGTCACCTTTGGAAATTCTTATTTTTTCTGCACTTGGTAATTGGTAAGAGAAACATGTCTTGATACTTGAACATATTACTCAAAATAATTCACAGCGTTGCCATCACTGTACTTACTATTGGCCAAGTATTGATCAGCCGTTACATATCTAAGAGCCGTTCAAGGTTAGCTACAGGGTTGTCCAACCTGGCACAACTCATCTGCAACAACCCTCCCATTGGTCGCACAATCCAAACGCATTCAGCCTCCCAAACGCAGATCTCCGATGTGTGTTTTCTCCATGCAGTTTCTTGTGAATGCGTGTATCCGTTCAACCGTTGCACATCTCCCTCATGACCCCTCATGACCCCCATCTTCGACAAGTCACACTGCTTCGCGATTGGCCGCAGTTCATACACGGGCTGCAGTATTACCGAGTACGTCACAAGCGATGCACGCGTGAGTTACTTTATTCGTCCAAGGCAGTTCATCGGCTCTGTTTTGGCTAAATCGAATATCTCGGCGGTCGGGGTAGCTATATACGCTGCTAGTCACTCCAGTTTCTTTCTACGTGGACGTGGAGAACAAACTCTGAGAGCAACGTAGTTACATCAGTGCCCATCTACACGCTGAATGTCCATGTATAAGCCAGAAATCGACAAATTGATGACTTACTCTGTTTCAAGATGCTCACTGCGCTCACTGCTCTTATGAGGTTCGGGAGCAGGGCTCTCCCTTGACTTTAAGACAAAGCTCGCTTTTAGCGGCGGCCCCCATCTTCGTTAGAACGCGGGGTGCAGCAGAAATGCCCCAGAGCTCGACGCTTTCGGCAGTCTTTAGTGGATAGTTTGCCGTTGCAGGGCACTCAGTGCCGGCCAAGTTCAATGGCCGGCTATTTTCTATGTAGGGGGAGAGCAGGCATCCATTGAAATGGAATAAGAAGGTTCAACTCCTCGAAGGTGGTTGCGCAGGATCGTCGCCCGTCTTTTGGCCATTTCTAATGTCTTGTTCGTGGTTCCATGGCCCTCGCATCTGACTCCCGTTTTAGCGTCTTCCAAGTAATGGCTATCGAGTATAATATCGACATCATTATCATCACAAAGGAGCATGGATCCCAAACAACCAGAAGAGGCGCAGCACTCCGAGCATCGTGAGCTCCCGACTTCTTCTCGCCCCGGCCAATCTGGCAGCAAAGGAGCGGATCGTGCCCTGGCCATCATTGGCGACCAGAAAATCCAAGTGACCGAGGAGGATAATCGCCGTATACTTCGAAAAACCGACAGAACCATCCTGGTGATCCTCGTATGGGTGTATTTCCTCCAGATCCTCGACAAGTCGGTGCTGGGATACGGCGCGACATACGGCCTCAAAGAAGACACGCACCTCAGCCCGGGCCAATATTCTCTTTTGAGCTCCATTGCCCCCATTGCCCAGCTGATATGGCAGCCTTTCTCGTCTGTTCTCATCGTCAAGGTGCCGCATCGCATCTTGATGCCCGTTCTCTGTCTGGGATGGGGCATCGCGCAAACTGCCATGGCGGCATGTCATGATTTCTCGGATCTCATGGCCACGCGATTCTTCCTTGGCTTGTTCGAGGCCGGCTGCTTGCCCCTGTTCAGCGTCATCACCAGTCAGTGGTATCGACGAGCTGAGCAGCCCATGCGCGTCGCAGCGTGGTACGGGACCAATGGACTGGCGACCATCTTTGCTGCCGCTGTTTCGTACGGGCTGGGGCAGATCAACTCGCCGCTGTTGAGAGAATGGCAGATGTAGGCACAAGCAGTCAAAACCACTTTAAATGTCAATCATGGCTAATACAACATTCATCTAGCATCTTCCTCTTCGTCGGGCTTCTGACCATCGTCTCTGTTCCAATTGCTTATTGGAAGTTGGACAACGACATCCCCTCCGCCCGATTCCTGACTGAGGAGGAGAAGCCAAAAGCGCTGGAGCGGCTTCGCGCCAACCAAACAGGCACTGGTAGCCGTGATTTCAAGTGGCATCACGTCGTTGAGGCTGCTCTGGAGCCGAAAACCTATCTCTGGTTTGGAATGACGCTGCTGCTCAACGTGGGAGCAATTGTTACCGTAACGTTTGGCCCTCTCATCATCAACGGCCTCGGCTTTGACAAGTACACAAGCAGTTTACTCAATATGCCGTTTGGCGCCCTCCAAGTAATCGTTATCCTCATTTCCAGCCTCTTGGCCCGGAGGGCAAAATTAAAGGGAGCCGTACTGGCTGTCTTCGTGTTGCCGGTTCTCGCTGGATTAATCATGCTATACTGCATTCCCCGAGGCAAATCAAACCAAGGAGCTCTACTTGCCGGATACTACCTGCTGGCTTTCCTCTTTGCCGGCAATCCTCTTATTGTCTCTTGGATCGTCGGCAACACTGCTGGAACAACGAAAAAGTCAATGATCATGAGCGTATACAACGCCGCCAGCTCCGTGGGCAATATCATCGGCCCCATCTTGTTTAATGACCGAGACGCGCCTGACTATAAACCCGGTTTGCGTGCCTGCCTGGGCGTCTTCTCAGCATTGGTTGGAGTGATTCTACTGCAGTGGGCCAATCTAATTGTTCTCAATAAGATGCAGGCCAAGACTCGAGTACGCAATGGAAAAGAAGCACAAGTTTTTGACCGCTCTATGCAAAACCATTATCGCACAGCCAGCCACCATGAGGATGGAGTACTTCAGGATGCTGAGGGAGTCAACGATGAGGATGATGCTCTTGGGCGAAACGCGTTCTTGGATCTAACAGACCGTCAGAATGATGAGTTTGTATATATCTACTAAATCAAAGTTAAAGACTAATTGCCTAGGATATGGAGACAGTCTATCTTCCTAATAAACGCCGTGCCGCTGTTAATATGCGCTATATTCCCTTTTTGAAATGAGTGAGCTGAGAGATGTGTCTATCTTTGTTTGTTTTGCGTTGTAATCCGTATTCAAGACGTGTTGCATATATGGGACAGGTTGTGTAATCCGCTCATGATTTGCCGAAAATCCCTTGAGGAGTTGCAGCTTTGGCAAAAAGTACGAGAATGCCACCAAAAAGGCACATGGCACCACTAAACATTGTGACCTGCTCGAAACTACCATAATGGGCCACAAAGGCGCCGTCAATAGGAGGTCCGATCAAGACTCCAACAGCTCCCAAGGCCAACCCCATGCCAGTATAAGTACCGATATTGCGAGGGTCGTCGGCACAGCTTGTAATGGTAACTGTTGCTCCGGAGATGATTGTGCCAGAGGTGAAGCCGAAAATGGCTGCGTAGGCGATGATGGCCGCGTTGTTGTGCGTCGAGTTCATGCAAAAGGCAACGACGGCGGTGACGATTGTGCCTCCAGCATACATGTTCATCTTTCCGTACTTGTCGGCCAGAATACCCGGGATGACACGGCCAAAGGTCGAAGCGGCATTGAGGATGGCGGGCAAGTAGCCAGCCAGCGTTGCGCCCATGCCCCGAGCTTCCACGGCATACGTCGGAAGGAAGATGATGGGCATGAACATTCCGATGAAGGCGAAGAAGGTGGAGGCGATGAGGAGCATAAACTTTGCGTCTCGGAACACGCCGGTGATGAAGAAGGCGGTTGGGCGCGGCGGCAGGCGGGCCTTGATGACGATGATGGAAAAGGCCATGAAGGGCACCATGAGGAAGCCGATGATGCGGACGGTCCAGCCGAAGCCGATGGACGTGGCGTTGAGCATTCTGGACACGGCAATGGGCATGATGATGCCGCCGATGGAGGAGCCCGAGATTGCGACTCCAAAGGCGGCGGCGCGCTTCTTGTCAAAGTAGTGGGCGAGCGCGCCCATGGCTGGGAATTGGAGGAAGCCCATGGTGCTGCCCATGAGGACGCCCTGCACGAGGATGATTTGCCAGTATGTTTTGCAGAGACTGAGCATCATGACTGCGAAGATGTAGATGACGGCCGCGGGTTGCATAATCTAATAACAGGTGTTAGTTTTCTAAAAAGAACATGTCAAGGGGTAGAAACAACTTCAACAGATACGCACCTTTACTCCATAGCGATCAAACATGGGCCCTCCAATCATGCCCGTAAAGAACTGCAAAAACGCAGACAGAGAACCAATCCAAGCCACATCGTCGGGAGTATGGTCGCGAAGCTGGTGCGTCAAGTAGTACTCCGTGAACGTGCCAAACGAGTTGGAAAATCCCAGGCAGCAGAAAAACACAGACGCCGCTCCGCAAGCAACAAGCCACGCTCTCAGACCGCCTTCGGGGGCAGGCTCTATTTCGTCTGTCGGGGTCGACTGTCGCTCTTGGTCGTCGGGGACGAGTTGTTCGAGGGCGATCTTCTCCTCGCCGGGCAGGGGAGTGCCTTTCTCTTCGACCGAAGTTGTCGACATGGCTGGAATGATGAAGCGTCCTTTTTTTTTTTTTTTTTTTAGGTCCGAACAGTGTCAACGATATTTTGGTCCAGTTTTATGGATCTGAGACCAGGAAAGGAGTTTCTGCCCTATAATCTAGATCCGATAATAAGGTTGAATAAAAGGTTGGTGGACAGGGGCACGGGAGCGTCCATCTCTTATATACCAACAGACTCTCCCATCCTTCTAAGCCCGGAAAAACAATCTACATGTACCTTCTATCTCAGGCAAACAACTCCATCATACGACGATTCCTTCACAAAAAAAAGTCCCATTCTCGGAGATGATAATAGGCTGGCTATTGACTCTCGGAGGGTTTTCTCGTTGGACCTTGCATCCACGCTGCAAGCCAACGTGTGTATAAGCCGGGGTTTCGCCCAAAGCGGAAATAGCCAGGTTGGTGAACAGCTTGTTGGCCGGCAAGGTCCGGGGTCCGCAAAAGCCCATAGTCCGAGTCCGAATTCGGTCGAGATGCCTGTTTGGGGAATTTGCCGAGTTGGCATGTCCGAAAGGAAGCGTCATCACATGCAGACTTTCGTTTTCGTTTACCAGATACGCGACTCGCGACTTTTTTTTTTAACTCTTCTTTGTATTCTTAATCTTATCAATCTATTATACATCTGCCAAGAAAGGCAATTTTTTTGATGGAACGCACTCCCAAGACGGTGGTTGTGGAGGGAGAGCGACGCCGGCGGAGACCTGCAATGTAAGCCCACATCTCAGCTTCTATAGCTACACAGCTTGAGTTCTCAGCAGATAATTAATGAAAGAAAAAATCGTAGATCATGCGCGCTGTGCAGGAAGCGAAAGCTTCGCTGTAATCGCCAGCGGCCTTGCAGCAACTGTATCCGGGCCAAGGCCGAGACATGCGTCTACGAGAGCCACAGCCCGGGACCTCACGCGTCTGCGCAGAACACGGTTGGCGTCTTCTTTCTCGATGCTGAAGCTCCAAGATCAGCTCCGGCTCCGGCTCAATCTGTCTCCAATTCCAGTCCTAATGAATCATTGCCGAGCGCAAGAAGTCACACTGCCAATTTGACGACGAGGAATCTGATAAGTCCCTTGACGCCGAGAAGTCAGGATGAGTCAATCACCAACCGAAGCGTCCTCGAAGCTGGCAGAGTCTGGTCTTCCATTCATAACTATTGTTCAACTGAACCGAGATCTTTACCACAGCAGCAACAGCAACAGCAGCCACCGGCGCAGCGATCGCAGTCTCCTTATGCATCTCCTGAAACCGATTTTCTCAACCAAGCGCGTCACATAACTGGAGGGGCAATTCACTTCCATCGTGACCATCACTTGCCAAACTCAACTGAGCCAGCTCTGATACGGAGCGTTACACACAAGACGCGGTTCTTCGGCCAAAGCCATTGGATCAATGTCTTTCAAGTAGTAAGCAGATGTTTTGCTTTCCAACTTTAGCCAATGTACATTGCTCACTGGTGTGTGTTCTTATTAGTTCAAAAACATGTTTGTACTCAACGACGTACATCTTCTGGAAGAAAAATCCAACACTTATCCACTGCTTCTCAAATGTAAATCTCTAGCAAAAGTCATCAAAGCCAAGAGAAACCCCCCTTGGCCAACAATCCCAACTAGAGAGCTGCCGGAAAGGCAGGTTTGCGACAAGCTCATCGACTGCTATTTGAAGACGACGGAGAATACCCACCGAATTCTACACTTACCATCCTTTAAGAATGACTACGAGGAACTATGGGAGCCCGGGTCTTTTCCCGACATAGCATTTGTCGTTCATCTCAAGCTAGTGTTGGCTCTTGGCGCAGTCTGCTACGATGAAGAGTTCTCCTTGCGTTCTTCAGCCATACACTGGGTATACGAAGCGCAAACATGGATATCAGAGCCCGAGTTCAAGGCGCGATTAGGCATTCAATTCATACAGACTCACATACTGCATCTCCTGGCTCGAGAAGCCGTTGGCGTCGCCGGCGATTCAGTCTGGGTGTCTGCAGGCGAGTTGGTGCGGAGAGCTATGCACATGGGCCTGCATCGAGATCCGCACCACCTGCCAAAACGATCTCTCTATGCCACGCAGATGCACAGGCGGTTGTGGAATACAATTCTCGAGATACTCTTGAAAATGAGCCTGTCGTCGGGCGGCCCGCCGCTCATCTCGCCCGACGACTTTGACACGGAGCCCCCCGGTAACTTTGACGACGACCAGCTCATGACGGAGAGCTCAGTCCAGAAACCCGAGAGCGAGTACACTAGCATGTCAATCGCGCTGGCCCTTCGGAAAACTCTTCTCGCTCGTCTTGCGGTGACGAGCTTCTTAAACGACCTCACTTCGTGCGGGACGTATGAGAGAACGCTGGAGCTCGACGCCGAATTACGATCGGCCTATAAGATTCTGGTCCACACTCTCCGTGGATTCAAAACCCGACAAGCAACTGGCGAGGCAGCGTTTGGCCCTTCTGATCTTGACCTGCGATTCGTCGACTTCCTCATGCAGCGACACATATCCGCTCTCCACACGCCATACTTCATCCCCGCCCTCCGGCAGACAAAATACGCCATATCGCGCAAGCTCGCCATCGAAGCCGCCGTCAAGATCTGGGCCGCAGCCTTCCCTTCCTCAGCCATAATGTCTCATCGCCACAGTCAGGGCTCCTCTCCCTCATCCCCTCTCTCTTCCGGTCTCGGCAACGAAGACCTCCTCACACGCCTTTCCTACAGCGGCCCAGGCTTCTACCGCATCGCCTCCATGCAGGCCAGCCTGCTCATCACCGCCGAGCTCGACACCCAGCTCCGCGAAGAGCAAGGCCTCGTGCCAGGGCCTCTTCGTTCAGACCTGTTCTCCGTCATCCGAGAGTCCCAGGACTGCAGCCTGCGCTGCATCAAGAGCGGCGAGACCAACGTCAAGGGCTACCTGGTCTCCTGCGTCATCACCTCCCACATGGAAGCCCTCATGCGCGGTGTCGATCCGTCTGAGATTCCACCCTTGTTCCGAAAGGCTTCTGAAGAGGGAATGGAGCTTTGTGTGCGAATCTTGGAGGAGCGGGCTGGGCAGAGCCAGGATGTGGGAGCTGTGGATGTGGACGAGGACATGGGTATTGGTATGCGGCAGCAGAGCCCGGATTGGGATTTCTTGGTGAGTCGAATTTTGATTCCTCTTCTATTCATTTCGTGATGGCCTTGCTGATCTTGTTAGATTTCGGACGCCATGTTTGCGTACAACACCGGCCTGAACGAGCCCATGAACTGGTTTCTGAGCGAGGGCACTCGCTGAAAATGTCTCAAGGTCGCAGTAATAAGGCAGAAACCCAGTGACCATAAAACTGTAAAACACATGTAATCATAATGTACAATAGCAAGAAGTAACTCTTATACAAGTCTCAAGCAGTCATCAATTCTGGAATGTCTGCATGCGAATAGTGTATATACTGCCCTATGACAATCCACAACAACAACGCAAATGGGCGGATGGTTTAGTGGTATAATTTTCCCTTAGCATCAAGCAACCTTCAGGCTGCTTAACCGCATGGGAAAGGTCCGGGGTTCGATTCCCCGTTCGTCCAATTGATGTTTCTTTTTGCACTTTTTCTACCCTCTTCTTTTTTTGCGGATTCGTCCAGTTTTTTTCTTTGGCGCGGCTGTGGCTGTCGGTGGGACCCCGGCTCGGTCTTCGGTCGGACCCGGGATCCGTCGGAGGTACGTACCTTGTTGTTGCAGACGGGAGACAATAGACCCTCATGACTCTCTCGTCCGTACTTGGTTTACGAGGCCAGCATGAAAGAGAAGATGGATGCAACCCTTTGATACGCCCCGGTCTCAGGCAGCTCACGCAGCGAGTTAATTAATTGCATCGTCGTCTTTCCCCGAAAGGAACGGCGAGCAATGCCTCACCGCCTCGTATCTGCTGGTAGTCGTGGTATTGGTTGGTAGCTCCTGAAGGACATCTCCCGCGCACTTGTAATATCGCTACTGTTTCGAGGTAGACTGAGAAGGACACGGTTCCAGCAGAAGGCTTCTCCTATTGATACTAACCTGTCAGGAGAGTCATCTTAGCGCCTAAGCTTGTCTCAATCCAGGCCCATACACAGACTTACACGCGCGCGGAACGCAATAGTGGTCTAAATTAACGAATTGGTTAATCATAGGTCTAGTACGGGGTGCTGTATGTGGGGGTGTTGTTCCGTGCTTTATTGGATGTGCAAGCCAATTGCTCTGTTCAGTCAGTTTTCTCATGTAAGTAGTAAGGGTGCGACGACCTGAGGGGATCGTAGTGAAGAGTGGCTCGCTCTAACAAGATCTTAGCCAACGTTGGTGGCTTAGGGGACTCCAGAGAGACAGTGACATCCACCACGAGGTTATATCTCAAGGCTCGGCACACCTTCATCATGCCGCTTCACACACACTTGAGGCAAAACATCCCACAGCATAACGTTCTTTGATCGTATAGGTGATAACTCTCGAGCTTCGGAGGGGCAGTCCTTTGGTTGAACAGGCTCCTGCGGAACGAAGATATTGGTGGGGGAGGGAAGAGGGAGGGGAGAGGCAGAAATGGCGGGGCAGGTTTTCAGGAAGCTTGAGTAGGCATAGCTCCGACAGCTCAACAAGAAATCATCCCGGCGTCGTCAATGCGAGTTATTGCACCGTTGCTCCTCTTTGCGACAAGTCATTCGACCTTTTCAGCTGTCCAGGGATTCCAGCACGCTCCAAGCAGAAGGGGGCTTTGGGGGGTCATACCAATAATAGCACCCAGCAGTGTGATAGTCTGTCAAAGTAAAAGGGTCTGCCCCTCCATGCTCCACGTTGATAGGATATGACGTCCGTAGCTATGAAGTCAGGGGAGCAAACGGGTGGCCTGTGTACAGTGAAGCGAGCTGAGCCACAAAGGTGCCCGGCTGCTGCTCTCCACGATTCAAGACGCAATTGTCTGCTATGCCTCGCTGTCTGCCAGCTCCTGAGCGTGGAGACTCATGGGACCCATTTGCCACACTACGTATGTGCTGGGAGCCACCAATCGCGTTATCATAGCTCCTGGAGCTTGCGAGTCCAGATCACCAAATGGGCGGAAGCCGGACGGCGAGCCCACGAATGGAGTCCCCTTGATCCACACTGCTACGCCATTGAAACTTGCCAAAGTAACAACGCAGTAGCCTCGGGTGCATCGTTGGGTGAATGACCAAGGGGTAAGGGGTTGTCACGTAGATCATTGGATGTGCAAAGGGTCGCGAGGTCGTTGACCCCTCTTGCACGGTGAGGCAGCTCTAAGCTTATAAATAGCTCTGCCGCTCCCACTTGTAACCTTCTTTTGCTTCTTCTTTTTGAATCAAACTCTCTTCTTCACAAATCCACATACCACAAAACTTCTCTTCATTCACAATGGGTTGGTTCGACGGTATGATCATCTCCAGAGCTGCCACGCGTGGTTTGGTGTCGTCTAATTGGTGCTACAGATAGCTCTGATCAGGCTCAGGCCTACGAGGAGGTCACTCAGCGACCTCACGAAGCCAAGTGGTCTCACGAGCTCATCGGCGGCGCTGCCGCTTACGAGGCTGCCAAGGCCTACGAGGACCACGTTGCCCAGAATGGTGAGAAAGGCCCCCTTTGCCAGACTCAGATATCAAAGTTCACCTGTCTAACTCTTCACTGTGCAGGCCACCCTGACGAGCACGCCCAGGCCAAGGAGATCCTCGCCGGTGCCATTGGCTTCTTCGTCGACCGTGAGGTTGAGACCAAGGGTCTCGACTTCATTGACCGCGAGAAGGCCAAGCGTCACGCTCAGCAGCAGGCTGAGGAGCAGCTCAACAACCAGTACGGAGACCGATGGTAAATACAGTCAGATAGAAAAGAAAAATCGACAGTGCCATTGAATCCATTCGCTTTGTCCCAAGACGCGTGTGACGATGCGGGGTCTGCGAGGACCCCTCCTTGAGGCCTCCCCATAAACTGTGGTGTGGCCGTTGGTTGGACGGGATGCTGGCATCTGCTGCATCTGTCTCGCAACTCGCAGGGTCTGGCTGCTGCCCACCCCAAGCCATCGTAACTCTGAAAGAGTGAGGGGGAGGGGGTTTCGTCAGCACGATCCCGTAGTACCTGTGTACCAGTAGTCGCAGCACCGGCACAAAGCTGACGCTGTAAATGCGCCCGTAGCATGTACATTGCGTGAATTGTGGCCAGGCGTCACTGCAAACCAATCTGAGTGCGCCCCTGGACCCGGGTGACGATGGTGGTTGGCTAGCCGGGAAACGATTGCCGATTAGCCCCAGGCCAAGCCGGCTGCTGCAGGTATGGTGGCTGAGAAAGCTTGGCCGCTGGAGACAGCTGGGCCAGGGCCAGCTTGTGGATGAAACGCTCGAGCATTTGCGGTGCAAAAAGGGTCTCTCCATGGATCGCTAAGCGGGGCGCGTCGACCAAGACCGCAGCTGGTGGATCGAATCAGATGCCAAGGACCTTGCCGCGTTTCCGGGAGGAGCGCCATCGTGAACTCACCGCGTCTTCTCGTTGCCCGTCATGCTGGCAACTGGCCTTTCTAGACCCAAGTTGCGCTCCATACGCCGTGGCTGGGGCTTGTGCTAAGAATGGCGCCACCCCTCTTTGGCTGAGGCGCTGCCACCATCGCCGAGCCCGAGCAGTGACGCTGTCGAGCAAGATGCATACCCGGTAGCATTTCGTGTTTGTGATGAAAATGCCGTCATTGTCGTTGTGCTGGAGTACAGGTATCTGATGCAGGTGTAGATATTTTGCAGCAGATGATGATCTGGACACGTTTATTGCAGAGGAATGTGCGCTCGCGGACTATCATAATTCCCGAAAGGCGGCATGGGTAACACAAAGATACGGCCAAACGCAAGATTAATTGCTCATGCAGCATCTCTCTCTAATTTGCCAAGGATTTGGAGACGTAAAACTGTAGATTAATACCCGGCACACCAATAATTAAGCTTATCCAACTGTCTAAAAATTGAAAGTGGTGCTTTTCTGCTGTCATCCAATGGGTGAATGGCAGCAATTGATCCATTAGCTCAGCTGAATGAAGCCCGGCACGGAAAACACCGCCGGTCGGCTGCTATGATTTGTATGTAATGTGCGGTGGTGTATTCGATCTTTCCATGCCTTGCTAGGTATTTCATGCCTCGTCTCCAAGTATTCTGCTCGACAGCGGTCAACGCTCTCTTCCATTTCATCCACGTCTATATCGTACCCTACATACAACATGCAATATTTAGTCTGGACATCTACATATCTTCCGACAAAAAGCATCTTCGCAGTGTTTGCATAAACGTGCCCCCCTTCATCAGTCGTATCGTAAAAAAGTCATCATTTGTGGTCACTTAAGCCAACTTGATGCTCCAGTCTTCTCCAACACGTGCGCGGACGCCGTTGACAGTGGCAAACGCAGCTCTGCCATTCTCGGCAGCGTGGTACTCCACGGTGGCAGACCAAGTGCGTCCTTCAGACTCAACCTGAACCTCCTGGCGGTTCCATGAAGCAGGAGCACCAACAACGATAATCCTGCTAACGTGGACATCTCGCATGGCCTTGAGCCACTTGCCGGACTTGATCTTTCGCGCATCTCGTCCTTCCGGGTCGACTGAAGTGAGAACGTCGCCGTTCAGGCTGAATTTGCGGTAGATGTATTGGCCATCCTCATACTCGTAAGAATCGCCGTCGTCAACGTACAGCTCTCCTTCAGCCTCACCGTTCTTGGATACGGAGATGACCAAAGTGTAGTCATCGAAACGCATGGCGCTGCTCGAACGGCGAGGGATATCACGACGAGTGATTATGTGGCCACCTCGCATCAGCATCGGTATCCGATCGAGCGGAGCATCATAAGTGACATGTTTGCCCTTTTGCGTCTTTGCTACATTATACGTAGTGTAGTCGTAGTAGACCTCGTCATCGGGAATCCAGATATCGGTGGAGAACTTATCTTTCTCTACGATTGGCTTAACAAGCAAACCAGTAGATCCTACGAAGAATTGGTCATCGATGGTCAGACCACCCTCCTCAGACGGATGTGTCCAAAACATCGGCCGAAGAATGGGGTCTCCATCCCGATTTGCGTAGAAGAACATGGTGTACCATGAGGGGAGGAGAGAATACCGTAGTCTCAGTGCAGCAGTAACAATGGCGGTATATGGCTCACCAAGTAGATACGGCTCGCGGCGACGAGCGTCGATATGAGCATGGCCGCGGAAGAAGGGATAAAATGCACCTGCTTGATACCAGCGGGCGAGCAAATCTTTCTCGGGATCTCCAAAAAAGCCTGCGACGTCGGCTCCGGCAAATGGGAAGCCAGAGACACCTTGGTTCAGAACCATGGGAATGGAACCCTGGAGATGGCCCCAGTCTGCTAGGTTGTCGCCCGTCCACATGGCACCGAAACGCTGGGAACCAGCATAGAAAGATCGAGTCAACACAAAGGGACGTCGAAGCTCGCCCTTCTTGCGAGTTTGGAGAGCCTCAAAGGTAGCATGGTGAAAGGTCATGCCGTTCAGGTTGTGGACATCTCGATGTTCCCAGTTGTCATGATGTAAGTTGTCTCGAGGCATACTGGTCTCTGGTCCGTCAAAGACTGAAGGCTCGTTCATATCGTTCCAGATAAAAGTGTTTTCCATCGTTCCCTTGAACTTGTCGTATTTGTATAGAGTCTTCCACCACTCACGGGCCTTGGGGTTGAAACAATCAATCCAGTTAGACTGGCCTGGCCAGCAGTGGCCATCATAGATTTTGCCTTCCTTATCGTGGACTGCAAGATCCTGAGACTGGAGTTGCTCATTGATCGGGTAGCCATCGGTCTTCTTGATGTGTGGATCGATAATGACCACGAGCTTCCTGCCATGGCTATCTAGTTGCTTGCCCATGCCAATGGGATCAGTGAAGGAGTGAGGATCCCAGGTAAAATATTTGATGCCGTCCGTATACTCAATATCCAGCCAAATGACATCGTATGGGATCTTGAATTTGTCAAATCGCTTGTCAACGTCCTTAACATCATCATCAGAGATGTAATTCCATCGGCACTGATGATAACCGATGGCAAATTCCTGAGGCATAGCGGTATATCCGGCCAGCTCACCATATTTCTTCGTGACATCCTTGGGAGTAGGGCCCAATAGAACAAAGACGTCAAGGATACCACTTTCGGAAATCCAGTGGGTCTGCGTGCTGGTTGGGGCGCCAGAGTTTAGGCTCAGGGGATTGCTGCTGCCTTTGGCTTTGACGATGTCAACCCAAGTTTCGGCAGCATTGAGCCAGAAGACACCGACGGAAGAATCCTTTCGGTGAGCTTGCATGAAAGGGATTGACCCATATAGAGTCATAGGGCTATCAAGAATATACTCAAAGACGTCGGCATTGTACATGCGGTATGGCTCTTGGAAATTGCCGTCGCCGCCTCGGGTTTCCTTGAGAGACAGAGGCCCAGTGTGCTCGGGGATACCGTAAACGTGCTCGTATCCGTGGAATGAAATGTCCAAAGCTATACTTTCGGGGCCGCGAGGCTTTGAATCCGTGTTTCCACCGAAAGATTCATCCCACCAAGTGCTTTCATCTTCTTCGGTACTGTTTTCCTCTCCCTCTGGCCTTTCAATCTTGGGTCGCCAATGCTCAACATTGAGCAAGCCACGTTCGTTGAACTTGATATGAGAGGCGCCATCCCTTCGGAAGTCGATTTCAAAGGGCGAGAGTCGGATGACGGCCTCAAATTTGCCTTCGGGGCCGTACTTGACATTAATTTGAGAGCCCTCCTGATGGACAATTTCAGCTTGCTGATCGGGCTCTAGGCCGCCAACAATGATCCATTTCTCGGCTTCATTGTAACGTTCTTTTCTGGCAATACTGTTGTGTCTCAGCTCTATGTCCTTGTTTTGCCGTCGCTCCTCATCAATGCTGACGCGAGCCACGCCCGATTGGAGGAATGAGATTGTAAGAGGCAGTCGGACGGTATCGCCATTGGCATTGATTGTTTTAAGGATGACAGCTTGGAGCTGGCCGTCCTTCAGAGTAGGAGATTCGACGATCGCTTGATAGGGAGATACCCATGTCGAGCTCTGGGAAGCCGCGTTATCGGCGTAGGCGCGGTTTCGCTTGCAAAAGCCGGCCTGGTCGCATTTCTTGAAGTCGTGTTCCTTGACAGCCACTGGATATCTTATCATCAGCAAAGAGGCTCCCTAATCGCATCATACTTTTCTTTCATACAGGCGGGCCCGATTAGGCATGAGAATAAGCTCAGAAAGCTAAAGAGCACTGTCCACTTCTGGGACAGCCCCGTCGTCAACCTCATGATGAGGGCGAGACTGGGTAAGTAAACAAATAAGCTGTGCGGTACAAAGATTCGCTATCAATTAGGCGGCAACGGTAGGCCACATTGATTCATAAAGAGGTCAGTGATGCACAGCCTCATTCAGTCAATCGGCTGAGGCGATGGGAGGGGCGATGGGAGGATGCTGGTGATGGAATTCCCTCCAGAGGCAAGTCTATAGAGTACCACGCTTTGGGATTGGGTAGCGTCGTCGAGATTAAGCTATGTTGTCCGTTTGGGACCTCCTCGGTAGCTCTCGATTGGGCATAGCCTAGCAGCCGAGTTGCAACCTGGAGGGGTAGGCCTCGTTAGATGCATTGGAACGAATAATGCGATTTGATATTTGCTTATGGCGGTGAATGCAAGCTGGTGGATTGGCACTGTACGTGGAAGCTTTTCAAGATGGGATGAAACCGTGGAAAATTTCATGAGACGAAAGTCTAGATATAAGAGGAGTCCTTACAGCCGTTCCAGAGATTCGACTACTACATACTAACCGTATCAAGCGCAGCTACATCAGCAGCTGACCTCCAAGGCTCCGTATAATATCCTCGTCCTATTTCAAGCTTGCTATTAGCCACTTTCTGATTCTGCATAACCTCTTTTACATGTATGTGAGACTGCGATTTCCCTATCTGAGATTGAACTTCTACATCGCATCTAAGCTTTTCCATCTCGAAACCTACTAACAGCGTTGCCGTATACAGCCTTGGGCGAGAGCGCCTTGGAGTTATACTTTGCGTATAACATCCACCCAGCAACCTACCGCACTGTACAACGTAGCCATCTGTTCTTTTTCTTGCCCAGAGAGCCACCGGCCAGCAAATCATCATGCCTGAACCCCACCACGAGGACCCCGCTTCCAGCCCAAAGTCCACCATTTCGCAGCCAAAAAGTCAACAGCGACGCAACCCGCTATTGCGGTGGACTACGGTAGCGGTAACCCTCCCCCCACCAATTTTCTTCGTCCCGCTACTTCTAGTCGCCATTTACTTTCTCTTCTCTTCTTCTTCTTCTCCTCAAGTCCAACAACAATCTTGTTCGCTTCAATCCGTTCCACAAGTTCAGACAGCTTCTCTCAGCTCCTCAACTCCAAAAACCGCCGCAATGTCTACCGAGCAGACGTGAGATACCCCGCCATCTACCCCTTGACCAGCCGGGATTTTTTTTTCCTTGCAGGAGTCTAACCCACTCGGTAGCTTCATTGCCATCAAGCCTGATGGTGTTCAGGTTTGTTATTCCATATTCTGCCCTTTCATTATCATGGTTTCTTCTGCTAACTTAGCCATAGCGTGGCCTGATCGGCCCCATCATCAGCCGCTTCGAGAACCGAGGGTAAGATGCAACGACCAAACCCATGCAAAGTTATAAAGACTGACGAGATCTATTTAACAGCTTCAAGCTGGTTGCCATCAAGCTCACCACTCCCGGCAAGGATCATCTCGAGACTCACTGTTGGTCATCAAACAAGACATACACCAAGATGGCATTATTTACTAACTACTCCGTAGATGCTGACCTCTCTGGTCAGAAGTTCTTCCCCGGTCTCATTGAGTGTAAGGCTTACATTAACAAAGCAAATATTGAGTCCTCTGCTGACTGTTTCCCCCTATAGACATGAACTCTGGCCCCATCTGCGCCATGGTCTGGGAGGGTCGTGATGCCGTCAAGACTGGCCGTAGTATGTTACCTCAACAAGCTGTTTTTGGATCTGACCAACTAACGCATCTATTTAGCCATCCTCGGTGCCACCAACCCCCTTGCCTCCGCTCCTGGCACCATCCGTGGCGACTACGCCATCGATGTCGGCCGCAACGTCTGCCACGGCTCCGACACCGTCGAGAACGCCCAGAAGGAGATTGCTCTTTGGTTCAAGGAGGGTGAGGCCGTTTCCTACAAGGCTTCTCAGTTTGACTGGATCTACGAGAAGGCCTAAACTACTATTTTGGGAGGCTTAAATTTTGCTGCCCTGGGAATAGCGGATAAGCTGTATTATAAAAGCGAACAAAAATAAACAAGCTGAAATTTACTTAGTTTCGCCTCTTTCTTTATGTTTTATGCGTTTCGTGTCAGTGTAGACTTTGCCCTAACGAGTATCTTTGCAAACCATGGCGTGGCCCAGACACTACCGATGATTCGGATGGGGAGAAGTACTTTTGTGATAGCATATGCCAGGGCAACTTCGACAAGGATTTTGTACTTTTGCTCTCCATTGTGCCAGCGCTGCACTGCATTCTCCACATGTGCGTTCTGGTTCGTCATGTCGGATGCAGACGTGTCGCTATTGTCTTCCTGCCCAAAGCCGAACAAGCCTTTGCGCTTAAAATACCTCTCATACCTCTCGATTCCTCCTTGCAGGGACTCTCCGAAATGATCGGTTACATAGGATATTGGTACATAGTTGGTATAGTGAAACAAGGAAAAGAGTCCAAACAAAGGTACAATTGCTGTAATTTCGTGTAGAATCATAAACGAAACGACATGCGAAACAGGGGCGTCGCGAAGGCCATTTGTGTATTTTTGCAGGCGTTTGGGGAGCTTGGACGTCAGGCGGTCGAGGCGCGATGTGCGGCTCGCTTCGGTGGACTGGGCCCGGACTGAGTGCAGGTGAACTGCAGAAGGGCGTATTCGTATCGTTGGGCGCCGGTTGAAGAATACGTGAACGCGAGACATGACGGGCGAATTTGTGACAGTAGCAGTTTGTTAGAGAGAAATTTTGACGCTGGTTGAGCAGCTCCATCCATCGGACAATTTGTGGTGGGGCTGACTGGGATCGCTTGGGCTTCAGTGCTCTACAGTAGGTGATGTCTTCTAAGAGAATGACGCTCGCTTTTCATCTGAACGTGATAATAGTGATATATCTATTGATAGCAATCCGTAGCAAAAATATTCGTTATTGCTAAACCATGGTGTGATTTTTTTGTTTGTTCTAATCCTCTTGTAACCCAAAATAACGCCCTTTGAATTTCCTAGGTTGAAGTGTCCAGCAGCGTCACCTTTATTCTTAGCCCATCTGTAATGCCCCTATCCCTGTATAGCAAAGAACGCCCGAGCCAACGCTTGTCCAGTATTCTGTGTATAAATCGTAGTTCTCATAATGTCATACCGGTTTTCGGAAATGTGTTAGTTAATCTGAAAGTTTTTGGTCAGATACAGTCAATTTTAAGGTGGCAGGTAGGCCCAAAGTGACATACAAGCCATCATTCAAGCAGCGGAGTGTTATCGCCAAAAACATCTTGGCCTTTGATCAAAGTTGGTTCCTTTGATAACTTCTTGTATGGCGTGCCTCTATTGCTGATTTTGGCATACAGATGACTTCCTCCGCTAGCGGCCTTGATCCATCGGTAGCAAGCAACGATTCTTTGCGCCATACTGTTGGTGTGTGATAGTGGTGTAATAAAAACAAACAAATCGAAAAGTTTGAATGATAATGAAAGAAAAGCTGTACAAGTAGCTTGTTTGATATTCAATTTGGACCTCCTGGGCTGTTGATTGCTGTGATCAAAGGTGAACTCTTTCTCCAGATGTGACGGTATATATAATTGCTCGGGATGGCACGACGTAAGGACGATATCGACGCATAAAAAGTTGCCCCCTCCCCCCGGACCTTTCTATTTTTGCATAGCCCCTGAACGACTTTGGTTGGGTTCTGCTGCTTGCCCCAATGTTTGTCTAGGCCATCATACAAGGAGAGCTTCACTTTGGTAGGCCATCCAAACCTGAAACGAGAAACATGCAGGGACTCCTGGCGCTTCGAAACGGATTCGCCAAAAAACTGTCCGGGGTCCCAGTGGCGGAGGTTGCTGGCCAATCAATGCTGCTGACAGTGCCAGTCGTGGCAAAGAGGGCATCTGATGAATCATGAAGTTGCGCCACAAGAGGGGAGGTTAACGTACAAGTAAATGCGCAGCCTCAATGCACACATTGACACATATTGTTCATTGATATTACGGTGAAGACGCGAGGATTTACTATGGCGTGTGCTACACGGCGTGCCGCGAGGCGCATGTGGTCGGTATCTTAGGCGCGCGGCATCGAGACCGGCATCTTGATTTTGTGTTCACGATCATTCCACGACAAAAATAGAGAACAGCAGTTGCATGCTGTAAATTGAATGGATATCGCATTACCTAAATACGAGACGTTTAGCTAAGCCTCATTTTCTGCAGGTTCCAGGAGGCCGCTTTTGCCCTCTCTCCATGCTCACCTGACATTTTTACTTGCGCGCATAGACTGACTACATGTACCTAACCGCATCTCTGCCTCAGCTCATCTTTGTTCCGAACTCTGCCGCAAAGTTGCCTGAATATTTGATGTAGACAATTATATACCTAGGTAGTTGGTGTCATATGATTACCAAACCAATTTTTTTTCCTGAATTTTATGGCTACATGCACGATTTCCAATCTCCCAGTCTCCAGTCACTCCAAAATTACTCTCTGTTGACCCCATAAGCCTGTCTTGGCCAATACCTACCCTACAGACTCTGCGTGCACTACATGTTCGCAGCAGTTATTTGATCGCTTTCAGACCTATGACCCAACCTAGCTGCTGGATTCAAAACCTTCAATGTTGTCTTCACCTTCCAGGCAGTACAAAGTACTTGGAGTAACTACCAGTAGTAGTAGGAGCGGTGAACTCACTTCAAGCTGGGCTGCCTCCTTCCTTCTATAGTGGCATTTTTGACCGCCTCTACTACACAAAATTCCGGCTTTGGAAAGCACCAAGATGCCTTTGCCTGCTACTATGATCTCATTCAAGATCAAAATCTGCGTCATCGGCCCAAGTTTACCGCCTCAAGACACTCTTTCTCTCTGCACCTGCGTCTACCTCAACGCACCTCTTGCCTTCATAGCCGGAGATGCTTCCTCAACTCCACGCAATGACGACTCCTGGCGGTGAAAGAAAGTTTTATGCGTATGCAGAGAGAGAGAAAACGCATAGAAATTTTCCTCAACATCTTTCACTTTACCTTCTTTTCACACCTCACAGCCACTCGCTCAAGCTTCACATTCAGCAAACATACGCCCAATCTGATCTGCCAAGCTATCGTTCACCAATCTTCCTTCGCAGGACCTCTATTTGTCTGTCTTGAGAATCCCATCGACAATGGTCATCTCAAAGCTTGCCACCAGCCTTGTTGGCGCTATTGGTCTTTTCACGACTATCAACGCTCAACAATTCCGCGATGAAGATCTCATCCTCTGTGACTGTGGCATTGGAGACAATCCCGATCACTCAGAATGGTCCACTTCTCGCCAGATGAACTGGTACCAGGACATCAACTGGCCCAGCTCTGCCTACAAGTACCCTGAAGCTCCCGACATGGCCGTTGAAGTCCCTTTCAAAGAAGGCTGGTATCCCTGGGTTCCAACCGGTGCAACTGCCACCATGCCTAACGGCGACGTCTGGACCGCGTACATTGAGGACGGCACCCCTGATGGCTTCAAAGCTGGAAGTGCAGTTACTACCAAAGAGGGTGGCCAAATGCTCAACTGCTGGGCTTACCGCGGTCGTCCTGTCAGCGCTGCTATCAACAAGACCATCAACCATGACGCCATCTGCTGGAGCGCCTTTGTTTGCAACCGGGACAATCACCCTCCTCCTCGCCCAGCCGACATGGGCTCTCAGACTTCTACCTTGACCACGTCTTCAGCGGCCCCTTCCACTACCTTCTTCTCTGAGCCACCTCACACTGCAGTCCCAACCTCGAGCAGTGGTGGTCAACCCGTGCCCGTTCCAACTTCTACTCCTCACACGGGACAGCTCGCCGTTTATTCTACTGTCAGTCCTCGTTTCGTCAACTGGCAAAGTTCTTGGGGAGCTTTCATCAATAGCTTTGTTTGGGATCAGACCACCGGTAACTGTGTTGGTGGCCCCATCAAGGGGCAAGGCTACACCATCAACGTCGAGTGTGCGGGCGTCAAGATTGATGATGATACCCACATGACACTCCTTCTCATCAAGGCCCTTCGCGATGTTGGCCTCAAGAGTTTGTGGTTCAACCAGAACCCCGCCATTCCTGGTATCAACGGAACCAACATTACCGCGCCCAGCTGGGTCGTCATGCCCGAGGCCTTTACCATTAGAGCCACCGACCTATCAAATCGGAATGTTGTCGGCTATCTCTCATATGGTACCAAGTATGATGGCTTCCTCAGCGGTCCATGCTCGGCATGCGAGACGGCTCGCTTCAACTCAGACTTTTTCGATCCCATCATTTCTGCAGTACAGGGCAGCTATCCCATCTACAACAACTTCACCATTGAGGCCCAGTGCAGTCCCTGGATGGCCTGCGTCTAAGAAGGATCGGTTGCTATTCTGCTTTCTTTCTTCGTAACTTTCGGCATGTATATGCATCAGCATGTTACCATCACTTAGAGTATCGCAATCACCCATTTAGATGACTGAGGAGGATGGAGAGTCATATTTTTACACTAGTTGCTCAAGGCTATAGATGTATGTATGTTGCTCTAATAAAAGCCCATTTTGTTCATTTCTTCCCCTGCCTCAAAGAGCTACGGCGTATCGCGGATGTTCATTCCCAATCTCGCACACTCGGCTTTGTACTTTCTGCCTTTTGCTTTACTATCAAGTATGTTTCGACAACCGGATGTAAGCCTGAGCCTTTCCTACCTAGTTATCTGATCCGTCTGAGTAGTAATCGAATTGGCTAGGAGTTTGTATCGGCTTGTCGTTGGGCGCATCATGATCAGCCTCCAGCACTGGCTTCGTTGCCTCATTAATTGGTGGAGGATTGATGCTCGGCAAAGGAACGTCGTTTCTCAAAATAGAGGTCATCTGTTTTGCCCATTCCCACGGCCTCTCCCTTCCACCAGGAAGGCTATTGAAGTACTCCCATCCCATGACTCCGCCGAAGCGCTCATGACGTCCTCGAAGCAGAGCCAAGACAGTCGAGAGAAACTCCCACATGACAAACCCATTGCCATTTTCTGGATTTGTAATGAGACCAACGACGACTTTTTCGGCGGACCAGCCTTTACGGAGAATCATTTCATACATGATGGGGTTGCTCATATCACCCCAACCAGAGTAGAATTGAGTATTGTACCATGCGATTTCCTTGCCGCGCATGACCTCCAGGGCCTCGTAATCGAAACCACTGAGGTTACTCCTATGGTCCAGGAGGGCAGCAGCAACGGGTGCTAAAGTGATAATGAAGCCTTTGCCGAAATCGCTTCTTAAACGGTCGATGAGATTGATAATGCCGCCCAATGACATGTCCTCTTCAACGTCTAGATCTAGGCCATCGAGACCCCTTGCACGGATTATATTACGCAGAGGAACGTAATATCTTTCAAATTGCTCGCTAGAGCCGTCTAGTCGCCTGTATGACCCTTTGGCCGCTCCGCCAAGCATACCCAAAACTTTAACCCCAGAGGCCTGGAGAATACGGAGTTCGGCCCATAGCGTTTCGAAGCGAGGGTGATGTGGAGGATGATCGTTGAGCGTGATATGATTGGGATCTTCGTTGAGGTGAATGGCGGCCAAGATGACGTGAGTTAAGGAGATACCCGGCTGGGTGAGAAGTGGTAGGACGGATATTGGTTTGCTGGCGGAATCATGGTGGGTTTGGTAGTAGGTGATTATCCTGGGGAGTGGATTGGAGGCCGGTTGAATTGGCGGCATGTGGAATGCAATGTTCAAGGCTGGCTCCGAGAGCTGGAACAAGAATCGAGTATAGATGGAGGATGAAAATATGATGTTGGGGAAGTGAAGAGGGCTGAAAGTCAGCTTTCGTGAGATCAACTGGGGGTATGAGCTTTGGTGGGGCGCGGCACCCCGCTATAACTGACGCCCCTCAGCCTTGATAAGTTTGGCATTACAGCGTTGAGGACTGCAGCTGACATGATGTCGGTATTTGCTTATCTCTACCTATGCGACTGATGAGCGTAGTATTATGCGAAACTGGAAGTTTTCGCTATATCGCTCATATGTACTTTGCACTTATCTTTAATCACTGCCATAGATACAAATATGGGGGCCGAGGATATCGCCAATTCCGATTACAAAATACTTTATTCAGTTGGATGGCTATCATGACTTAAAACTACATGGGTACGCAAACGAAGGATAAGAATGATGCAGTACTGTTTAAATGAAGATACAGACGTTCGGTTTGTCAATGATATTTGAACGTTCGAGTATGCATGATTGTTGACTCTCGGATATTCGAACTGGGTCGTTAGTTGATTCAGGACAGCAATGTGATAGAAGATTTACCTACGGCTTGCTGCATTTGTATCCATGGTCACTGAAATTGAATTCCAAATAAGTAACAGCTGAATGACATCTTATCATGCGAATATAATTGCTGAAATTTTGCCTAAAAAAGTAGCGCATTAATAATCTTCGACCAGGTGACTCTACAAATGGGGAATGCGAAAACAGTACTGAAATATTGCAACTGAGCCTGAAAAATGGGCGTTATAAGTCTGAAGTATATCACTCCAGGATCTTCTACATGCTATGGTGTATTCCTTGCTTGCATAGTGGTGAATCAGCTACTGTCGAAGATAGTTCAAGTTCGAGGCTATAAACAAAGAAAAAAAAATATATCTGTTCTATAGAGCACTTGAACAAATATCGGCGGGCAAGATCTTCTGCTATGGATATTAGATTGGTAGGTAGGAAGTCATTGCGGCGGTATACGCTTTATACAGGCATGTGGACAAGAACATGGACATTGCGGGTTGGTCTAAGATTTAGCTGATAGCGCCGCCTTGTAGAATGAATATTTATTTCTCAGTCTGATCGTACAAATATTGGCAAACTAGATCTCTGTTGGCCCATACCCCCCTCTTTCCCATTCTCTAAAATGTACATAGCCTAAACTTGCGCTTCGACAGCAATCTTTGCAAGGTATCGAGAAGTAACTAAATAGAATCAGAGCCCCTACGGTCAATAAAATACTATCATGCCCCCTCTTGGATGGTTAAAGACGCTTTTTGTAGCAACTTAACGATGTCCTGGTGCCCTTTCTCCGCTGCCCACGACAGCGGAGTCTTCCCTTCTTGATCTCTGGTATTAATATCGGCCTTGCCGCTATCAAGGAGCAATTGAACAACTGCCTCGCGTCCGTTCATCGCCGCTAACGATAGCAGTGTCCTGCCCTTTTCATCCTTCGCATTTATATTAATCTCGTTGGCATATGTATCAAGCACTAGCTTAACAATAGCCTCATGCCCCTCCTCTGCCGCCACCATCAGTGGCGTCTCCCCTCTGTAACCTCTTTTATTCAACTTATCTGTGGTATTTCCAGTTTCAAGTAGCAGTTGAACAATCCTCGTGTGCCCCTTCTTTATTGCATACGACAGCGGGCTCTGACCTCCGTAGGCCGAAGCGGTGAGATCGATTTTACCGCAACTAAGCAGCAGTTGAACGACCGCCTCGTGCCCATTTCCCGCCGCTAGCATCAATGGTGTCGTCTCCCACTCATCTCCGGTGTCTGGATTGACACGTGGATCGTCTAATAGTGTTTTTACCACAATGTCGAAGCCCTCTTCTGACGCAAATGACAACGGAGTTCTCAACTTCTCATCAACTGAGTCTGGGAAAGCTCCCCAATGTATCAGTTCCTTCACAGCTTCGATGTTATTACATCCCGCAGCCAGAGATAGTGCTGTTCTTGAATATTTGCTCTCGTGCTTGGAGTCCGGTTGCGCGCCCAGTTCAAGCAACGCAAGAACCACCTCTGCCCAGCCTCGCTCCGCCGCTGAACACAGAGCCTTACCTTTTTCTCTTTCTGTCATTGAGATTCTTGATGCCGGCAGCGTGAGGCGGAATAATGTTGAAGTCAAGCCATCATCATCACTATCCGTGCTATTCCCCTGTTGGTTGACCCGATTTTCAATGTCACGGTATCGATCTATAATCTTCCCAACAGCTGCAGAGATTGATTGTCCGCTGCGGGATTTCTGAGCGGAGAGCCATTTGATACCATCAGAGCTGAAGTTTGTCATATCTCTGGTACTCATTGCCCACCGATACAGTTCACCTAATGCAATTGCTGCTTGTTGCGCAAGTTCGTCTGCAAAAGGTGATTGGTGATTCTGAGAGTCATTATCTTCCGTATATGATTGAGGTTTGCTGCAAATCTCCCATGCCCATTTTAATATTACTTCTGCTTTCAACCACTGTCCACGCCTTCGATGTTCGTTTGCTCTTGACTTTGCTGTAGCCAAAACATTCTCTACGGAAGGCATCTTCAGTCGAGATATTATTGGAGGCAAGACACACAACAATGCGTCTTCTCTTGATCCTAGACACGCATCGGTGAACAATTGTATTATTTCCGATACTAATTTGCTCTCCAGATGCACATGTGGTGTCTCCTGGATATCGATGTCCTCAACGGCGTCCATGGTGTCAAATATACTCACGAGAAATGATCCAAAGACTTCCTGAGCGCATAGTGATAAGAGCGAGCTATCTGTAGAAGCAGACCAGACTTGAAATGGGGCAGAACCATGACGCCGCGATGGCTCTGTTGTATACCAGCCGAAGAGCCGCGTTTCCCTGCCCTGATATTGTACGGCACTTGGGTCGCAGCGTTCAGAGGTAGGGCAAACTGATACTACATCAAAAGGAGGCATCTCATTGCCGAGCCAGATGTTCAGACCAGTAGCATTGATGTTTTCCTTAGTTGAAACGATGCGTCGAATTGGTATTTCAACAGCCCGAGATATTGTGAGTCGGTCCTGTACCTTCTCGACTTCAGGATCAGACTTGAGGGACCAAACCCACAGTCCCAAGAGCCCTTCCAACTCAAGTTTGTTCTGTAGTCTCCAAGGGCTTTCTAGGCTCTCTCGCGCTAGTTGCAAGTATAATGTATGTTGGCTTAGACTTTTGCAAGATTCGCTCGAAGCAACAGAGGCAACGTCACAGGCAAAACTCCAAAACATGGATTTGTGATCTCTCCACTCTTCTTCAAATTTGGTGTTCTTTGAGCAAATTGTATTGACAATCGATTCAATGGCTAAAGCAAGACGCTGAGAAATCTCTCGGGCTTCAACCATGTCTGAATTAAAATGTTGCGAAGAGGTTGCGACCCATGTATTTTGCGGCTGAGTGAGCTGTGCGAGGCGAGTCCGATAGGCGAGTAATTTGCCAGCGACGTCTAGATCATTAGGTGAGGATGGAAGATCCTTCATAACAGTATATGTATCATCGCGAGCACCGCAGAATCTCCAAAGGAGACGACGTGGACGCGGACAGTCTGGTGGAGTATCGTCTCGGCCAATGTGCATAGCAAGCCAGTCCAGTTCGTGTCCAACAACCTCGTCTGGACACCTGCGAAGAAAATTGTCGTTCGGTTTCAACCGCTGCATTCGGAGCGCAGACCGAGCAACACTCATCACCATCATTGCTCCAAGTTGAGCTACGGAGACTGCGGAGTGGATTCCCCGCAACCCAACAAACTGTATCACAAAGCCGACGATAGTGGTACTGACAGCAACCCACAAGACAAGTTCTGAGTCTGAGCTTCTGGATGGCTTCTTCCACGACGAGACATACTGCAATAGAGGCTGATCATGATCGCTATAGCAGAAGGGATCAAACACTTGATCTCCAAGGACTTGTCCTCCAGGCTGTACCCAATATATAGATGAAGGTGTCGATTGCTTGTCAAGGGATTGTCGATTTCTGTGGAAGATTTGTTTGCGACTAGTTTTTCCAACAAGATATGCGCAAAGAAACATGCCGCCCCATTCAACGAGGGTTCCAACAATGGCCATTGGGCAGGCGTATGAGTCCGGACGCTTGCCGTCCTTCTGCCACCCTAGACAGTATGTGACAACGACAGCAAAAGCTAAGACGCCGATTTGTAAGACTGTGCCGGACACAGCGACTGTCCAGGACACGACAGTAGACTGCCTCTTAATGCCGATGTTCAAGGACAGGTTGGGGGCAAAGATGTTGGCGACAGACTCGTCGGCGACAGGCACATCCAAGACAGATTCATCGACAATGGACATGTCCAAGACAGACTCATCGGCGGCATCTCCAACAGACTTGTCGTGTCTAGTCCATTCGTCTGGGCGCTTTCTAACGAATTCGCGACATGGATATATTCCCGCCGTCTCGTCGGTGCTTTTGGACGGGTCATAGACGACCTCGAGAATCTTGGGCCGTCCAAAGACTCGTGCAATGCCGCCGTTGTTGTACAATTCACACACGTCGCGACTTGTTGAGGAACAAAGCTCCGCTTCGGCGTCCCCACCGCCCTCTTGCGCTCTTCCGATAAAGGCACGTAACGAGGGACTCCCGCAAACTCGGATCGCAGAAATAACGGCTGTTAGGATCCCTATCGGCGCGATCGAGAAGATATAATAATCGAGCGCAGTTATGCTCTCACTAAGGTATTGTTTCGTGGTTTGCTCGCCGAAGAGGGCCAAGAAAGGCGCAAGGTCGGTGGCAAGGTTGTTGGAAAAGTCGTCCCAGCCGTCTGCACGCACGGGAGTAAGAAGGGCAAATAAACAAGCAATGAGTAGTAAGTTCATGATGATGCACGCTGAGATTCGATTTTTTACATATTGAGAGGCTAATGTACAAATAGGCCCAACATTGCTCAAGGCACGGTCCTTCCCTTTATATATGAGATCTGATTCTTCCTTTTTGCCGCCGAAGAATGCGCCAGCATGTAAGGCAGATTTACGCGCCGAGAGGCCCAGGATCCGGGCTCAGCTATTGGTGTGTTGGTAGTGCATTTTCTTCTAGCTGCCTGGTCATACCTACATGCACCCAATAATTTGCTTGAACCACGACCAACGCAGAGGAGCTCGCATTTGTGATACGCTTCCTGCATTAGCACTTGCAGGGGGAAAGAAGATTTAAAAAAGAGAGCCAACACTTTGTGCACAGATGAAGAAGAAATGGCGGTTGTAGAAGAATTTATTGGAGATATTTCTAGTAGGAAGCGTTGGTGGTTGATGGCGCAAGACTATACGGCTCGGGCCGGGATAGTGCGAAAGCTATAAGTCGATTTAGCTGCAATAGCGATGGTAGCGATGGAAGCTGTAGTAGCTGTAGCACAGATAACAGTAGATCAAGTAGATCAAATAGAGGGGATATAAGTAGTAAAAAAAAAAGAGAGAAATATTATTCTAATAAGATTTATGTTATAATAGCGAGTGTAGGCAGATGCGTGTTGTAGAGGTCTAATCCTCGCTGATGATCTGACGGTATACCCGGCAAATCTCAAGGAGGCCGCCTATATGGAGTAACGCTCAGCCACATCAGTCCTAAATTTCTTGTAGTACAGGAGAGCTTTGCAATTATAAGACCAAATCCGAGGAACGTATTTTCTAGTGGCCGACATCGCCCATTCTACGCTTCAAGTCGCATACCTGAGATTTAAAAGTAGCACAGCGTTGTACAATCCGAACTAGCCAAAGGGCAGCCTTAGGAGGAAAGCCAACACACGAGTCGATTTATGAAGAAGTGCACCAGCACTGTCAACAATATACCAGAATCTGGCGACACTTGGATATAGCTGGCCCATCGGCCATGGTTTCACTTGTCCATTTAGACATTCCTGTTCAGCAAATACCAAAGAATATCATCGAAGGTTGCAAAAAGCCAATGTCAATGCCAGTCACTGAGTCAGTCTTACATGGAGGCACTGCAATTAACTCCGACAATAGCGACAAGATTCATCCAACAGCATTTGGGGCGGCGCATACTATTCAAATCATGATGTTCGTTCCCATAGAGTAGGATAAAGATCAGGAGTACACCGTCAAAAGCTTGTATCCCCATTATTATCTAGGTACCCTACGCCAGCGGGGTTTAGCGGCAACGAAGAACCAGTATTGGGGCTTTATTCCATGGAACATGTCTCTACAATTCTAAGATGGGATTTGATAATTACACGATACATACCCAGGCTTAGCATAAACTTCAAGCTTCCAGCCGGTATAGAAGGGTACCAAATCCAAGCTGATCGTAACCACCGCTGGTTGTGCCATAGTCTCCGCCACCGCCCTCAGCTCCGCCTCCGTTTGACACAACTAGGTCACGATACTGTTTCGACCAAGATGCATTCAGACCTTTGAGAGAGCCGTAATGGCCATAGATGAGTTCCCAAATCGGGCGGACATCACCTCGGCTCGCATTGCTGATTGTGGCCTGCGTCACATCGCTGTTAACGTAGGTGGTGTACGGAACGTCGAAACCAAGATTGTACTTGGCAGCGTATTCGGCTCTAAAGAATTAATCTTGGTCAGCTTCACATCACACAGAAATCGGGACAATATTTCTCACCCAGCCAAAATTCTGTTGGACAGGTAGCCAAATAAATCGTTTCCCTGGTTGTATGCCTGCTGAGCAAGCACTCCTAGTAGCGCAAAGTCTAACATGGCATGCCCCTGATCCCTCCCGGCCTCTTGGTTCTGTCCCAAGATTTTACTACTCCCGGACTCGGTGTATGTCACCCAAATTGTCTTGTTAATAGCACCGTTGCCCGCACCGCTCTTGAAATAGTTGACAGCTTCGTTTGCCATTGTAGCATTGTCAGACAAGACACCAACCGCATACATGGTGCAAAGATTTGCTAGATCCCAGTTGGCCCAATAGTGATCGATCTTGGCCCCGTTATGATTGATGATGAAATCATGATTCATGGGATAGAAGACCTTGTTGAGCATAGACTGCATGGCAGCAAGTCCGGTCCAGCTCGAATAGCCACGCAGGATCTCGGCCGCATTGGCCAGTTGGTACCCATAGATGCCACTGGCGAGGAACTTGTCAGAGGAGCCGTCGATCAAGGTGAGAGTGCTGCTCCAAGCGTCCAGTGTAGTCGCTGCAGCTGTGGCATACGCCGTGTCGCCGGTAACTTTCCAGTAAATGGCGTTGGCGTACGCAGAGGCCGCATCGCGATACAAGCTGGCATAGTTCTCAGGGGAACCGGTGCCACGATAGACTGTGGGCTTGGGGCTAGGGACGTAGCCGGAGTTGGCATGAGCCACCAACTTGTTCCACCCAGCATACCATGGATTCGTCTTTGCGTTGACCTTGGATTTGATACGGGTGAAGTCTGCTTCGGTGTGAAGAAGGCCCGGGTGAAGGAAGCCAGCGCGGGAATCGAGAGGGTGAGAATCAGTGGTGGACGAAGGTGTTGCTTGAGTCAGAGTTGATAGCACAAGGCTAGAGAGCAGCGTCACAAGAACTGACGGCGCCATGTTCACAGTTGCGAGAGGAAGGGAAACCTTTGCTAGGTTTCAAAGCGCACTCTTTAATGGGGAGTTTGGAAACCTATTTCGCCCAGGGAATCACTGTTTAATTTATACATCATATTCTCATAAACGTTTCCCTCAACTACGTGATGTCGCTGCAGCTCGTACTTGGATGAGCGGATGTCTTCATCGAAGAGCTAGGTAGTTTAGAATCACACATGGAACTGAACGCTGTCATTAGCCATGAGGAGCGTCAACAACCTCTACACCCTATGTCGGCGCGAGTCTCGGTCCGTAGAAGGTTACAGAGAAATGCCCCTGACTACCCCGCGAAAAGGCCAAAGAACTCAGAGGCGGATCATGGGGTATGCGGCAAGGGTTTATCGTGGAGATATGTTGCTATTCGGCACTTACATGTAGTTAACTAGTACCTATATTCCCAGTTACAACGTACTCAGGATAGCTAGTTGCGAGGACTGTTTCCATATCGCTGTAACCAAGCATTAATAACTACAAAAGGTGATGGAAACTAAGTTGAAAACAAACGTATCCTAGCATAACACGCGATAATAGCCATGTTCATATCAGAGAGCTGTAAAAATGCAAGCACACAAAAAGCTTCTTTCTAAGATAAAACTACGAATAGTTGGGTACATATGCCACCTCTCGACCGGCCATATTGGAATCTATATTCGTCTTGTCCACCAAGGCTGCAAAGCTATTTGAATGCAGCTTAGCAGATTCAGTGTATTCTATCTGTGTGTTTTGCCTATTGCTTGTTGGCGCGGAAATATACTCCGAGCCTTTGGCCGGAGGCCGTCAGCTAACAAAAAGCGACGCTACCCCAGACTTGCCCCCGCTTAACACGAGTTGCTCTGTCGATCGCAAAGCGGGGACAACTATTGATGCAAGATGGATGGTGCATGTGTGGACATCTCAAGCCCACGCCGGTTTTGGCCGCGAATACACCGCCAGGCGGGAGATGAGAAGAGCAAATCCTGAGGATGAATATGGCCGAAATTGACGACATAGACGACCAAGCGTCGGTCGCTGATGAAGACTTTGTGTTGAGCAACAATACAAAGAAGCGCAAGACAATTGCCAAAGATGAAGGGCCAGCGTAAGTGTCAGCCAAACAACGCGTTGGGATAACTTCAGTGTCTGAATCCTGCTCCTAGCTGCCAGTCATGTCGCCGGAAAAAGGCACGATGCAGTCGTCAGCAACCCTGTGATCAGTGCCTCAAATACCGTGGGTTTACCCTCATGAATTACGGCTCTGTCCGGGGCAAGATAACTAATCTGGCTCGGTAGATTTTGAGTGTATTTACGATGAGAAGAAGTCGAAACCTGGTCTACGAATGGGCGCCATTGAGCATCTCACACAGCGAGTTAGTAAGCTGGCACGCATTGATTTTGGGCGGTGAAAAAAGAAGGACAGTTGAACTCACATGCAACAGCGATCCTGGAGAATATGTTCCTCGGCCAAGGCGTCTTATGGCAACAAGTTTGGAAATGCTTAGACTCCCTCGGCGTACAACAGCTGCCGTCCGACTCTGGATGTTCCCCAGGCCATGGATCAGACAGAGAAGAAAGCAATCTGAGGGAGCACACTCTAAGACTGAGACATACACTTTCTTCGTTGGCAAGCCAGGCCACGGGCGACCTCTCCGACTGTGATAATCCTTCTCCAAAGCGAAGGCGAACTCAGGAAGAACGACCAAAGACACAACGCGGCGACTCTGGAGAATTCGGTCACGACGAGGAGCTTCCACCGGACGATCTCATCGATGCTCTTGTCGAGATATATTTCACCCGGATTCATCCCTGGATCCCGATGCTGCATGTCCGCGAATTCCGCGAGAGGATGGCCACCCCTTCTAAGCGGCAGCGACTGACAACAATATTTCATGCCATAGTCTCACTTTGCGTGCGGTTTTCGCACGATCCGCGACTTGATGAGCCGGAGGCACGATCGAGATACGCAAGGCGGTGTCGCCAGATTGTGATCATCAGGAGCATGGAGTCCTTTTCGGTTGAGAACCTACAGGCGCTGATTATCTGTGCCTTTGACGTTGTAAGCTGCATCCTCTTCTTGGTTAAATAGCTTCAGCTCTCACACAATGCTAGATCGGGAGTGGGCGCGGCCCCTCGGCTTGGTCCATAGTAGGAAGCATGGCGCGGACGGCTGAGCAGCTTCAACTGAGCATCGAAGATGAAGAAAGCCATTCGCCATCGGGAGCTCTCATCAAGCGAATCGCATTTCTCCCACCCTGCAAGAGCTGGAAAGAGGTCGAGGAGAGACGGCGGATCTTTTGGAATGTCTTTCTCATGGATCGCTTCTGCAGCATCGCAACTGGCTGGAACTGCTCCCTCACAAGTGCGGACGTGAAGCGAAGACTCCCATGTGAAGGTGCTTTGTGGGAGGAGGGCGAGCCCCTCAAGACACCAACTCCCTACTTTGGTATCGCGGACCAGTCCGTGAACATGAAAGCAGCAGGCGCCCTTCCGACGGCGCGACCAGAGGACGAGGATCCTTCCTCGCTGGGAGGTTTCGCGTACTGCATCGAGGCTACGGAGAGTCTCAGTCTGGTTACGACGTTTTTCCTGCAGCAAGCTGTGGATGTGTCCAAGATGCGGGACGTACAGCTCTGGCTCATGAAGTTTAAGCAGCTAGACTTACGACTGGTGCAGTAAGTTTTGCTTGATGAAGCTTGACATGTCACGCTGCACTGGAGATAGATACTGATGATACATGCTCCAGATGGAAGCTCTTTCTGCCGGAGCGATGGCGAGAAGCCTGCGTATTAAACGATGGCATCATGGATCCAAACCTGACGCTCGCCCACATCACCCATAACACCGCTGTCGTTCTCCTACACCAAGGGATTGCATACCCATCCGCAGAATGGCAGGCCACGACTATAAGACTTCCCTCCGCTTCCAGCGCCGAGACTTGCCTCGCTGCAGCAACAGAGGTGGCCATCATTGCCGACAAGTTTCTCCAGTGCTCCCCGATCCTCACAAATCCACAATTCGCCTTTTGTCTGTTCATTTGTGGCCGGATGCTTCTGGCCCACGCCATCCATTATAACTGCCCGTTGGCCCCGGAATTTGAGTCACTGATAAGTAGCCTGGGAGAGATCTCGACAAGATGCAATGGGCCACATACAACAGCCGTTGCTCCCGACAACCTGGCCTCTAAATTTGCCGCTCGCCTTGACCAGGCTCGACAACAGGGGGCCGAGCCACTGGATATCAGGGAGGCGGCATACTCCCAGAGTAATAATTTGAACGCAAACAGCTCTGCTATTCGTCAGCAAAGCTTCCCTGATGATGGTTCAAGTATGCAACCAGCCCATCTTGGCATCCCCGTTGGAACGAAAACTGTTGGAACCATCAATCTTGATGAAGAAGGCTCCCCAGACAGTATATCTCTTGCTTTCCCACCTCTTCCACTGGCTTTCCAGCCTCAGCCTGATAGTGCCGCTCAGACGAGAATGCCTTCCCCAATGCCAATAACGAGCACGCTATCCGACCCTTCTTCGGTATTCGCTATGCCGAGCGCATCGTACGATAGTCCAGGGCCGCCGGGCATGGATACCGTGACAGGACCTGGCTTTGAGCAGCTTAACTCCTATCTGGAGTATTCATTTCTGCCAAACCAGAGAATTAGCATGTTTTCGCAGCACGATGGTAAGGACCAAACAATGTCTTAGAGAGTTGCATTTGCTATGGAAATGAAGTTTATAGGCTTTGAGTACGGAATGGCTGGACTTCTAAAAAAACGTTGAAGGGGTCTAGGCCAGATTTGAGGAATCGATTATGAAGTGTATCCAATTGCTAAACCATATATCTGCCATATTCATGCCTTTGAAATACTTATTATGTACATGAAAGCTCGTGTGTGTCCATTTATAGGAAGGAGTCAACATAGCGGAGGCTCCATCTAACCAGTAAATCGACGAAATTACTCAGCCCTCAAGATGAGCTGCCCGACCCCCATCTCTAAAAGTTTGTTCCCGCAGAGAAGAAAGAAATAATCCGCATAGACGAGCCCATGGTTTGCCCATCTGCGTGGCGCAAACTCGAAATTGTTGATCGTAGCCCCGTTCAAGATGGTCTCGCCGTTTCCAAGATCGACAGTCACAGCCCCGTGCTCGAGAGTCACACCATGCTCGACCGTTTCCACCTCTAGACGCGGTACTACAAATCTCGCCGGTGGATTCAGGTAGTTTGCGCATACTGCGTTCAGAATCCGGAGCGCCGCGGCAAGATACTCGGAGCTGTCTCCGCGAGCGGTCAGTGACTCATGAATCAGCAGCATCCCATATGCCGCGATGACTGCAGCGCTCGTATCCGTGGGCTGTTTGTCGTCCTTTGGCGCATCGAAGTCCCACGGAGGAATCAGCGTCGTTGAGAGATGCTTCAGAAAGTAATCCGCGCAGTCCCTCGATGTCTTGAGAAAGGAAACATCACCCGTCCAGCTGTAGGTCTGGGCAAAACCTGCAATCGCCCAGGCTTGGCCTCGTGTCCAACAGGACTCATGGTCCATTCCCTGGTTCGTCAGCCGTTGCTTGACTGTGCCGGTTACGGGGTCAAAGTTGACCAAGTGAGTGGTTGTTGAATCTGGTCGGACAAGCTCCCGCTGGCTGGTCTTCGCGTGAGACAGAGCAATGTTATACATTGAACTATCGTTGGTTTGAGCTGCAGCCCAGAAGACGATGTCAAGATTCATCATGTTGTCCTACTACAGGGATTAGCTCAGAAGGAATCTGGTATTCCCATCGGTGGAAAAGAAAGCGAGGGTGATGACCCAACTACACGTACGATAATGACCAAAAAATCAGTGTCCAAATCTTTAAACGAATACACCTTGGTCTCACAAGTGTCCCAGGATCGTATAGCTCCCACAATGGGGTTGAAGCGCCCAGCCAGTGACTTGGCCGCGTTGATCATGGTCACAAATGACTGGGTATCGTGGAGAAGCTCCCACTGACGTCGTGCCCAAGGTGCAATCATAAAGCCAAGATCGTGTGTTCCTTGTAGTTGTGAATTACTGTGCAAATTTGCTGTCCACCACCGGCACGCAAACTCAAGCTGTAAAACATGTGGTGCTGCTATACTATATCTCCCAGGCACCTGCTGCTGCGTGAGAACATGGTTAAATCTCCTCTGCCTCTCGAGGAGTACATGGAGAGAGCCTGGAAAGAAGCCCGACGTCCAGAATTCGAGTTCGCGATAGATGTATTCAACGCTACCCGGCTTTGTGTATTCCGGATACAAGGTTGGTGGTGTGGGCTGCCGTCTTTGATCAATACTTGAACTGCCACTCAGACCTTTTTGCAAATTGTGTATACAGATACATTCGTACCTTGTTCAAATCCCTTTGAGCAATTCCCCATATCTTTGCAACTACTGAATCTGAGTATAGCTCGTGTATAGACTCTAGTCCGCTTGGAATCGAGGCTGTTTTCTCGTTGGAGAAGTGGACTCGACTGTCAGCTCCGTTCGGAAGCGTGTTGCGTTTCTGAGAGTTGAGAACGTCAATATCTGAAGAAGCCGATGACTTTGATGCGCTCATGAAAGATTCTGTACCTTTGTTTTCACATGGTTCCCTTGGGCTTCATTTGCTCTTTCCTCTCCCCGTCGTCGTTTGTGTATTCCATTCATTCCGAATAGCTCCCTATCTTTTTCTTTCGTCGAGATGATAATCCAAAGAAATTCGTAGGTGCTTGAAAGCCTCTTAATCTTCAAAGCCATCAAAATTTAGACTGAAAGATCTAAACTTAGAGACCGGGCTATCATGCAGTACTTCGGTAGGCTGCCATTTCTGTGCTTAGGCAAGACGGTCTTTGCCGCCCATTGGTTTTGGCTAGATGATATCCACTATGTATCTCTTCTTGCCATTACTCAAATTCCCGGACCGAAATAAAACTGCTGGCCATTTGCTGGTTTGATATCGGGCCTGGGTCCGAGACTTCAGCCGGAGGCCGGCACACTAAATTGATCTTGGGGCATGGGGAATATGTGGAGAAAAGGCGGGAAACAACACAAGTTGAGATATTGGATCTCGGCTTAGTGATGGCCAGAAGTCGGGTATTCAGGGTAATGATGTAAGTAATATCGCACCTACACCCAGTTTAGATGCTCGCCTTCTTTTTGGATATGATATTAGCTCTCTTCGAATTCTGTAGTTGGCGACAACATCTCCGGCTACTCCACTAGCATCAGGATGATCCTCACTCAGTCGCATTTTGCTTGTGTCGCAGCGGTGATCGGACTGTTAATGCACTTCGTTGTAGCCACCGGACCACTAAACGGGCTTCCTGTGCTCAACGGGCCTGTACCGGTTGTCCCACTGGGTCTTGGGTCCAAGAAGCGTATCGGCGAGTTTATACACCCGGGAATTTGGCATACGCATGACGACCTCGAGCGGATCAGGTTGGGAGTGGTTAATGGGCAAGAACCATGGAAATCAGCATACGAGAAATTCCGTGTAGATTCCTTCTCCCAAGCTTCGGTAGGTTGAACATGACTGCGGATTTGAAGCTCCATACACGTAGAATAGAAGCTGATTTTGAATATCCTAGTACGCTATGCAAGGCCCAAAAAGCATCATCTGCCGAGGCGGATGTAATAACAACTACACTACCTTTAGCAATGATGTGCGCGCAGCATATCAAAACGCCCTGATGTGGTATATCACGAGGAATGAAAGCCACTGGGATCGATCCACCACCATCCTAGACGCTTGGGGCACTAATTTGACTTCCATAATCGGCACAGACACTTCTCTTCTTGTCGGACTTGAGGGAGACATGTTTGCCAATGCGGCAGAGATCATGCGATGGGAAGGAGGCTGGATCGAGGCGGGAGCAAAGGCTTCAGGTGGAAGCGGATTCTCGAATCAACTGTACTGGTTATTCGCACGGCAGTCCATTATCATTGGCCAAGCGAACTACGGCATGGTTAGCATCAAGGCCCTGTTGTCCTTTGCCGTTTATCTAGATGATGTGACACTGGTGAGCTTCAACTTCCCAACCGCCAGAAGAGACGCAATAACCGCCACTAACGAACAATGATAGTACAATTATGCCGTATACGCTTTTCAAAACGATCTCTGCGCTGGAATATATGGAAATTTCCACCCAGAAACGGGACAAGGTGCAGAAACCGGCCGCGATCAGGGCCATGCTCAGGGTGCCCTAGGCTGGACTGCAGAAGCGGCCAGGATTATGCAGTCACAGGGAACAGATGCGTACTCACTCGGAGACAATCTTCTACTCAAGGCCGCGGAATACACAGCAAAGTATAATTTAGGCTATAATGTGCCCTACGATCCCAAGTTCTATCGATGCGAGGCAGTTCTGATCAATGGGCCATGGGCCGTGCCATCCAACATCAGTCGGGGAGTCGCTACACCACCGCCTAAAGTCTGGGATGTGAGTTTTTTTTTTTTGTTTTCAGTGAAACAGTTTTTATGAATGATTTATATTGACCTTGATACAGATTTTGTACTACCAGTATGTTGTCAAGCGCGGTCTTCGTGCTCCCTACACCACCAAAATGAAGCTCACGATCAACGGCCTCGGAGGTGAAGGCAACCGTAAGTAGAGTTGACACTACGAGTAGATGGAATGTGAACTAACTACAGAATAGCCGGTACAAGCAGCCCTGACGACCATCCGAGCTGGGGGGATTTGATCTGGTCCTACGACAAGAAGGGTCAGTTCCTCAATGACGATGGGAGGACTATTTGGGGAGGCGGTGGAATTGGGCCTAATGGAACAGGCATGATCAACTCAGCTTGAGCGCGGTAGTTCATTGCTCAATGAAAACAATGATATATCTGATTCCAACTACTTGTCTTGCCCTTCCTAGACCCCCTTCCCGCATAAAGTGACAATTGGGTCAGCCGCTTTCCAAGCCTCGGAAAACATGTAGTTTGTTAGATCATATGATACAGGTATATATAAATGAGAATATGTTTTTTGGGAAAACAATCTAATTTAGCTTTTATTAGTTGTAGATTCCGGGGATACGGGCTGTAATCCTTGGTTATCTTTGCACCCTCGAATTCGGCATTCTGAACATGTCATAGACTACGCTGGGCTATCACTACTTTGAAACACAGTGAATTACGGAGCGTTTATCACTGTACTATATCCAGTTCTGACTAAGTATAACCTCTTCAGCTATCTTTCTGAGAAAACCACCACCTTTGTCTGGTTCAAAGCTACGTTTTCCAGCACAAGATTGTCGCCTCCATGATGGTAAACCTTTCCAGCCCAAACCTCTCGTAGGGTATACTTTGCTAAGTTAGATCTATTCAATCCAGGTAATCCAATAAGAGGAATTGTGATTTTTGTGGTGTCCAGCCCATAGTTGAGAGCCAACACTACGTAGCGGGACTTGCCAGAAGCAAGAGGCCCGCCCCAAACTTGGACCTTGTGCTCCGTCGAGAGGTCTGGCAGGTAGTTGACTGCTACACCGGCGTCATCCTGAGAAATTGCAATGATCTCTTTGTTCATCAAGATGTTCAGAGACACCTTGCTGATCGTATTGACGTCGGCACCAATGATTAAGGGTGACTTGAGCGCAGCCCAGAAAGAAAAGTGAGTCTGTTCTTGGTGCAAGTTCATGGTTCCAGTACCAACCTCGAGCATGTCCATGTCACCTAGGCCAAGTCAGAATGATAATTATGAAATAGATAAAGGGGGATAGATAACTTACCCCATGACCCGGGTCTCTGAAACCGCGATAGTTCTCGCATCTTGCGGATCATTGTCAATACACTGACTCCGGCATAGCCGGTGTTTAGACAGTAAGCAGATTGACAAACACCACTGCTATCCTCACCAAATGCACTTTTGATGTCTCCGGAGATTCTGTAGCTATCTGAAAAAGATGCCCAATGCCACGGAAACTGATTTCCCCATTGACAAAGCGAGTAGAAGATGCTGCGACCAGATCGGTTCAAAGCATCGCCCATGCGCAGGAAACGCTCCTGAGGAGAAAGTGTGCCTGCTTGGAAACTGCCACAGTTATCGAACTTCAAATAATCTATCGTCCATGACGCGTATGTAGCAGCATCTCTTTCCTCGTAGCCATAGCTCCCAGGGTAAAAGGCACAGTCATAGATGCCCGAGTCACTTGCAGTTCAGTATTAGTACAGCAAGTCTCAGAAATACGTGTATCACTCACTCACCTGTATATGCCGATTTCAAGTCCCATGTGGTGCACAAAATCTGCCAGTGCCTTCATGCCGCTGGGAAACCTGGTAGAGTTTGGCTGCTGGCGACCTGAGGAATCTCGTGTGAAGGCTTGCCACCCGTCGTCCAAGTTGACATACTTGTAGCCAGCCTGAGCCAGGCCAGTGTCCACGAGGCTTTTTGCGCTTGACTTGATCAACGTCTCGTTTATATTGCTCTTAAACGTGTTCCAAGAATTCCATCCTAGACAGGTTAGTCGTCATCATCTGTACCAGGTTGATGGTTCCAAATTACCCATCTGAGGCTTTGCTGGATTTACACTGCCTAGGCACGGCACGGCCAGGAGTCCAACAACCAGTGTTGTGACAAACATTGTCGGTGTGTATAAGATTTGAACAGCTACAATACTAAAGGTGAGAGTTTCTGACAGGACATGGAATTGCTTCTTCAAAAGTACCACATGCCATCGCCACTATTCATTGCTCCCTGCCATAATTAGGAGACTGTCAATGTTGTTCCTCCCTCAGCACCGGGCCTGGAATTGTCCCGGGACAGCCAACATGGAACGTCCAGGCACTTGAACCCTGTCCGGGATATTGTGCGGGGTCTCCTGGAGACCTACTCTATCCCCGGCCCTTCTCCGCAAGCAGCGCATTTGGGGCTGTTTTGCCCTTAAAGACCCGTCTTTATCTTGAACCAGCGGCCTAAAAGATATTTACTTATATTGGTTGATATCAACTTTTCGCATGTTGGGCAATTCGAGATACAAAACTCAGCAAGCATGGTGAAACCTCGCATACTAGTATTTCTCTCCCTCTTGGGAGGTCTCGCCTCCGCTGATATTGTTGATCGCGACCCCTTGGAGTATTTCCCATCTCCGCCTGGCACTTACGCCCCTCCCAAGGATCCTAGTATCAGAACATTGTTAGATGTTGTCAAATCAAGGGATGACCTAAGTATACTGGCGGAAGTGCTAAGCGAATGTGCTGGTATGCGTTTTGGCATTACTTCTTGCCGCTTAGAATAATGGCTGCTGACGAATCAATAAGGATTTATTGAAGCTTTCGATGCGGCAGCTTCTTGGTCTTACACCTTTTTTGCTCCTTCGAACACGGCGTTCAAAAATACGGGAGCATACTACTCTACCTTTGCTGCTACCCCAAAGGGCAAATGGTGGCTTGGAAATCTACTTCAGCATCATTATGTACCGAATTCTAAACTCATGGTCAAGAATATCAACACTACGTACACACGCTTTCAGACAGGGACTTTTCTATTTGTTGGGGCGCAGGTTGTCGACGGGACCCTTGTCTTGAACAAGGTTTCCACCGTCACTGAGGCAGATATTCCAGCTACAAATGTAAGACAATCATTTATGGAGGTTATAAAGCTAGAATGCCCATTGACTCGTATTTAATAGGGCATCATCCACATCATTGATCACTTGTTGGATCCGTCAGCGCAGGTATTTGAGATTGACCTGGCAAAAACAAGCCAGGGTTTCATACCGGGAAGCTGTTCAAATCCAGCCTTGCCATACTGTTGAGCTTCACCCGTTGCAGAAGAGTAGTTCGCGGGTTGACGAAATGCTGAAATAGTCAAATGATGTCTGGCTGGCCTGCGATTCCTAGAGGCGAATGATAGAGGTTATTAATGTGCTATTCGCTCCTTTCCTGCGGATAACTGCAACTGGCTACCTACATAGGTGACGTGGGGTGGGATTTGCCAGATATACCGTCTTCCCTAGCCTAGCTCCCGCTTTTCACAGCATTTTTAATCTCCCCTAAGGCTCACTTCCTTTTCAAGCTGCATGATACGATGATCCATTTAATAGAGGCCGGCGACAGCTAAAGGGAGATAAAAGAGAAAGAAAAAACCGGCTGCAGTACAAGAGAACGAAATTATAATTTAGAGGATATCATGAGAGGTGATTATCTCGAGAGCTGAAGAGTTACTGAAAGACATTTATCTTGCCCCTTGTAGAACGCGAAAGTGCTTATCACGCTAACTACCACGAACGTTGCTATGCTGGTTACACCCCCGCCCCCCCTTCGTTTTTTTTTGTTGTTGCCATTACTGCTTGACGATAGATATAATGGATTTAATAGAGCAGTTACATGCTTCTCAGTGGTGTATCATAAATTAGTAGACGATTTGTGGTTCATCGGGACGCGTGGCTCTAACAGCCCCAGAGTCAAGTGTTGGCTGTTGCTCATAAAACAATCACTCAAGAATGAGAAAATGCTATCCAGTATAGATTCAATCATAACGAGAGCTTCATTCATCAATAAACTGGCAAGCTATACATAATCTAGTCTCAGCGAAAGAGACATAGAATATAGTTACGACGGGGTAGCAGAAACTGATTCATCATTTACCCAGAAAACCCGTCGGAGATATATGCTCTCCCTGGCCATTTTGAGATATCTCGGGCTCAACTCGGTGCATGTTTTTCTTTCGGGCTCTCAACCTCCTAGAGAATAGAATTGGGACTTATCTGAAGCACTGGTCGGCTAGAGAATTAGCCAGGTCCAAGTTGTAAAGTCTGGGGTATAGTATGGGTCAAACAGACATCAAATGTTGCTAAAAATCGATAGCGCAGGGATCCGGAGCAAGTCTCGGGAGTGTCCGCCGTCACCAGCTCCACAGTGAATGCGGAGAGATGCGACATCTTCGCTTGGACTCTCGAATATCGTATATCAAGTTGAGGTGGTGTGAGTCGTGGCGATCATGGACAACAGCACAGTTAAACAACCCTAGCCTCTGCACATTTTCAGGCCAGGCCCAACCTCATCATGGCGCCGTCCAAAGAGTTCGAAGCCTCGCCGATGAGCGACCACCAAGAAGCGATCAAGATAGAGGCTATGGCCGTCAAACATATTGGCAAGGGAGATGAAGAGACGAGCCGCTACCTAGGCGATGCTCCCATTGAGATTGACGCAGCCACCAATAAGGGAATCTTTTGGAAGATCAATCGTCGTATTCTTGCCATCCAGCTGGTCACGTATTTTTGCCAATCCTTGGATAAAGGAACGCTCAACTTTTCTTCCATCATGGGTATCCAGAAAGACGCGAATCTCGTCGGTCAACAAGTAAGAGTCATCGTTCTATCTTGAAAGAGAGTCTGTTAACATCTCTGGGCAGTATTCTTGGCTCGGAACCATCCTCTACATGGGTATTCTCGTTGGCGAGTACCCGCAGAACTTCCTCCTACAGAAGCTACCACTAGCAAAGGTTCTGGCTGTCAATGTATTCTGCTGGGGCGCTGTTGTGGCCTGCTCCGCTGCTTCATCAAGCTTCGCCCCTCTTATGGTTGTGAGATTCCTGCTCGGTTTCTTTGAGAGCTGTATACAACCGGCCATGATGCTGCTGTGAGTGGCGACCCTTGAGCCTTGATCATATCTTTGCCATCCTAACGGTTTCCAGTACTTCGATGTGGTACACCAGATCTGAACAATCGCTCTTGAACTCTCTGTGGTATTGCATGACGGGAGTACAGCTCATGGTAAGTGCAGGCCCCATAATATGTCACTTTTCCCAACTAAAATGAAAAAGGTCGGTGGTCTTCTCGCTTTTGGCGTCTCATATTTCACCAACGGACCAATAAAGAATTGGCAACTGCTCTTCCTGGTTCTCGGCCTGGCGACTGTGGTCTGGTCATTCTGCATCGCCATATTCTTGCCTGACAGTCCTATGAAGGCAAAGTGTTACACAGAGGAGGAAAAGAAGCTCATGATCGAGCGTGTGCGCGGGAACGAAACGGGTATCCAAAATAAGGAATACAAGAGATATCAGGTTGTTGAAGCCCTGACTGACCCATTCGTGTGGTGCTGCACGATGCTCATCACAGTAGCCAATCTTGTCATCGGCGGTCTTGGGGTCTTTTCGAACCTCATCATCAAAGAGTTTGGGTTTACGTTGCTCCAGACCAATCTCCTGAATATAGCACAGGGCGCAGTTACTATTATTGTCATGGTCGGATCCGCACAGGCTTCTCAAAAGACTGGGCAAACTTGCTTGATGATGCTTGTAAGTCTTGGAATACCACAGCCGCAAGGTGTTACATGCTAACCCGCACATAGCTGTGGACGCTGCCCGCCATTGCCGGCACTATCGTGATTCTAGTGGTCGTCCCTAACTCGGGCAATGCTGGAGGGATGCTCATCGCTTTCTATTGTACGCAGTTCTTTCTTGCCCAAGGCAACATGATTATCTCACTTGTTACGCGGAACATTGCTGGCCAAACCAAGAAAGGAATTACCATGACAATGGTCTTTGTAGGGTGGGCTGTTGGTAATATGGTTGCTCCGCAGATCTTCCAGCAAAGAGATGCCCCCAGGTACCTCACTGGATTTGTCGTGCACTGCGCTATTTACGGGTCATATATTCTCTTGGTTGTCTTGACGCGTGTGATACTTGTGGCGAGGAACCGCCGCAGGGATGCGCTCGTCGTTGAGATCTCACACGACTTGGCCTTTGAGGATCTTACAGATCAGGAGAATCCCAATTTCCGCTACGTGTACTAGACTTCAGACGCTCACAGGCATTTCTGCTGTCATTTATATCGATACACCCGAATAGTTTCCAATTGCTTTGTACCCCTAGTGGCTTTTTCTTGACTCTCCAACTACCAATTGAGGATCAAATCTATATTGAACATGACTTTTAGACTCTTGTAGCCGTTTAAGGACAGTAGTCAAAGTAAGTGAGCTCTCGTGCTTTGTATTAGGGTAGCTGTATTGGTCAAATTTGAACCTCACAATGTAAGTAATACTATGTCAGTCTCCAGCCCTTGAATGATCTATTGTAGCACATTTTGTAGGGTATTGCCCCATATGAAGTGCAAAACTTGTTTTGATCTTCTAATCGGCATAGAGTTTTCTCGTAATAAGTTCAATTTGAGACGGTGTGCTGGACATGAAGATGGGAAAATAACATGGGTCAAATAGCAGACATAAGATGTCTGATAGAATACTACTAGCCTAGCGTACTGGTACTGATTCCAAACTTTTCATCTCAGGCTATGTGACCTCTGTCTTTATGCCTCCTGTCAACCCACTACGCTATAAGACTCTACTGTCTTATGATACAGGAACGATCAATCGATCGACATCGGCCGCGTAAGTGGTATCCCCAACACCACCGAATGTGATGGTATTGTTTCCTTTTTGGAGAAGTGTGTGCAGCGTGCTGTTAGACACGCCAGAGCCACTAGGCAGATACTCGAGCTTCACAGGCGTGCCACCATTGATGACAACTGCGCCAAATCTTGGCGCCGAGTCTCCATTCCTGTATTGGATGGTGATTGTCGTCATGGTATCAACGCTGCTCGATATCTGATGGAAAGTGACCGTGCCGTTTGAGGGACCTCCCAACCATCCCGCTGATCCAGCACCTGAGCAACCCGAGCAGCTAACAGTCTTTGCTCCATTGGCGTATGTGCCCGTCTCACCCTCGTAGACGCTATTTGGCGGAGACACTTTCCAAGAGCCTTCTGCCGTTGCTTCGCTTACGTTGGGGACCCAGCTGGAGAAATATGGCATACTCACAGATGTCCCAGATATGTTGAGCGGAAGCCAGATGTAAGAGCTGCTGCCAAGATCGCTTGAGATCCAGCGATCACCGAGGTAAAAGGCCTCGCTGTTACTGAGTTTCAGCACGTAGTTGGTCTGAGACTGATAGGTAAGTGACCCGCTCTGGGCGAAGATGGTCCAGGAGCTCCAGGGCCCAGTGATTGACGTTGATGTTGTATAAACGTTGTCGTTTGGCGTCCACCCCGTCAGATGGCTGCCAAACATGTAGTAGCGGTTAGCTATCTTAATCATAGCTGGCGCCTCAATATGATCTGGCCACAGGTACGTCGCATTGACAACTGTTAGATAGTCATCAGATAGGCGGTCGATACGAAGGCCATTGGCTCGCTATATTGTCACATCAACGGTTATATCAGCCTGTGACCATGATTTATAACGAGTTCAAAAGGAACAAACATACATCTTCTGATAGCAGGTAGGCTGTCCCGTCATCGTCTTGGAATAGTCCCATGTCTCGACTCTGAAAACCAAGTGGCTGGGAACTGTTGAGATATTCATACTTGCCGCAAACTGTATCACCGACAGCGACGCCGACCTTTGCCTCGCCATAACTACTGCTGTCAATATGCATCCACATTACATACTTGCCCGTGCGCTCATTCCATAGCACCTTGGGCCGTTCGACGACACGACTGGGCCCCAGGTCACCAGTAGTATTGGTGAGCGACAGTAATGCGCCCTGGTATTCCCACTGCACCAGGTCTTTCGATGAATAACAGTTGACGTTTTGGAATGCAGCCCCGTTTGTGTGATCCTCGCCCACCAAGTAGAAGGTGTCGTCCACTTTGATGAGTCCGCCGCCGTGCGCCTGCATGTGTAGGCCGTTGGACTATTCATGACCAGTTAGTAAACCTCGATCTCTTTTACTGGTAACAAGAAGAGTGCCAGGAAAAGGAGACATGCTGCTGTCCATGTTGCCCCAGGTACGATTTGCAGAGTCGCACTCGCAGTTTGAACACAGGCCAGAAGAGCAGCCCAGACGCCCGATCGAAATTGCATGTTTAATATGGTGTGCAAATTATTGATTGCGAAGATGATGACTTTCAAAAACCCTATATCTTAGGGATGTTTCCACTTGAACAAGTAGAGAACTACCATCTCTTCCAAATCCAATTGCGAAATACGAGGCCCCGTACCACTATATAGCACCCCTTAGAGCTACATCTGGCAAGGAAAATCACAAAACAATTAGGTAACCTATCTCAGGGAACTCGGAGTATGTCGCGGAGTTGTCAAGAAACCTGACTCTACACGGGAAAAGTCATGTAATGCAACAAAAACATTAAGCGCCCGAATGAGAAACGCTGGATTCCCGGTTAATGTACTTATTGGGAGAAGAGGAAGATTAGCCAGCGGCAATAATACTTAGTTGCAGTAACATTCTGGAGTAGTGTTGTGTAAGAGATACAGGAAAGTGTTAACAAGCATCTAAAACGGCGTAACAGCACGGCAACTAAACAAGCGGATGTCAACAATCTATATTAGGCGTATTTAATGAAGAGATTTATCCTATATACATGAAAACTTGAAGCACTTGAGTGATGGTGGGGAGTTTGGCAGTTATAAAATGTATCGCTTCTGGCCGGTTTCCATTACGTTAGCATCCTGTTTTCGACAGGCCTTGGCTGTGCTATCTGCCCGAGGCCACTGCTATGGCTTGATTGGTAGCTCTCTGAATTTAAACTTGTTAAGCGGAAGCTCTGAATTGGGGAGTGGATTGGCAGACGCTGCGGATGTAAGGAATAATAAAGCGAAAATACCCCTCCATGAAAAGAAAACACGTGCAGTCTACTGAGTTTCTGGCTTTGTAACAGCATGATTAATCATTCTTCTACCGAGTGCCTTGAAAAGTCAGGTCTTCTACGGTGCACTTTGATAAAAAGATGACAATAGCATTGAGTACTACAATCTCGGTTTCTAGAAGCCCTGGCTACGCTAAATCGACGATGTTCAGCGGGCGGCTATTGTCGATGCGCACCCCACACTGGAAGCTTCAACACCTCATGGCTTGTGACCGCCACAGCGCACCGTGCCTGACCTAGGGCGCTAAACAGTCCCCTGTGGATATGTATAGCCTCGCGGCTATCCAAGTGGCAAAGGCAAAAGTCTTGTTGATGAAGATGGCCACTGCCTCATGCCAGCGTTCACCGTATTTGAAACAGATCAATAGCCCAGCCCAGAAGGCGAAAATGAAGAGTCGTCATGCCATTTGTAGCTGCGGGGTCTTCGATATCGCCTTCCAGCGGACAAATTCAGTGCTCCGAGCCGGCAGAAAAGCACATCAATGTATTTGAGATTTTGTTAGCGCAGGCGACGTGATAAACTAGTAACTCATGAGCCTCGGTTCGGAGCTCCGTAAGGCTGAAGCACCAACCAAGCAATAGCGGCAACAATCGCCTGTTTCTGGTTCTCTTTTGCTGCTTCCATCCATCTCGTTGTCCTTTTGCCCCGCCGGAACAATGACCCCTCCAGTGCATTCCAAATTCCCAGGCGCCGTCCTCGCGCTGGGTCCGAATCTCCGGGGCCTGAAACTCCGGAGGGACGCCAGCCGCTTTGAAGCACTAAGCCGAGTGCCACCGTTAGTCGCAAAACGTCACCGGTGGAATGACTTTGTGAGGAGTCGTCGCTTTATATATTGCGCCGCAGCCCAGCCTGGTGAAACGCCGACTTTGCATCATCGCCATTGCATCCCCCGTCTGGACACGTCCTTGCATCGCAGACTGTATTCTTCAGCCATGGCTTCCGCTACCAACTTCTTCGAGTTCAAGGCGCTTGACGGTAAGCCTTCACATGCAAACCCCTCTATTTCTCATTATCAATCAGCCTTGCGCCATCTGCGCCTGCACGTACATTCGCATTTTGGAGACATCTGCTAACGAGCGCATTATTTCTTCAGCCACCGACAACGAAATTCCTCTGTCCAATTTCAAGGGCAAGGTCGTCCTGGTCGTCAACACCGCCTCCAAGTGCGGCTTCACCTACCAATACAAGAACCTCGAGTCCGTCTACCAGGAGATCAAGAAGGAGTACCCCGACGACTTCACAATCATCGGCTTCCCCTGCAACCAGTTCGGCGGCCAAGAGCCCGGCTCCAACGAGGAGATCCAGAACTTCTGCTCCCTGGACCAAAAGGTCACCTTCCCCGTCCTCGGCAAGATCAACGTCAACGGCGACGATGCGCACCCGCTGTACAAGTGGCTGAAGCACGAGAAGCCCGGCCTGCTTGGTCTGGAGAGGGTCAAGTGGAACTTTGAAAAGTTTCTCATCGGCCGCAACGGCAAGGTTGTTGACCGCTGGGCCAGCACTACTGAGCCTGAGAAGTTCCAGGGCAGGATCCTGGAGGAGATTAAGAAGCCTGCGCCTGCGTCATAAATGTGCATTGATGCGTGCAGTGGGACGAGTGAGGGGGAAAAATGGATGGATTGTACATAGACAAGTATGTAACGTTTGATGACATTATACCAGATTAGCAGTCATTCAGATTAGCAGTCATCATATCTTATACAATTATGCTCTGCGTATCCAGCCTCCCATATCGCAATCTACGCCCTCTCCCTGCACGATATCACATCACACGCAACTGTCGATAGCACCATGTTTCTTACAACTGTCATCAGTTTTGGCATTAACTCTTTGATAGCCTGAAAGCCCGCTAACTTGATCATGGCGGTGGCTTCGCTACTAGTATTGCCTGCTCAGCTCGATATGGTTTGTCAGCCGCAGGCACCGATGCAAAGAAACGTTGGCACCAATACCAGAGACTGTCCAAACAAACATAATTAACCGTTGTTGAGTGGGGGAGAATGGCACAGCCAACTGTCACTGCCTCGCCCGGCCAAAGCCGAGATCCAATAGATTCATATAATCGACTGGGTGGCTTGAACTCTAAGTGTCGACATACCGAGGAGCTGAGGGGCTGTCTTGTCTTGCCCCAGGTATAAGAACGTTCAAATACACTCTTCCTTGGAAGCCATTGACTCTTACACACTGGATCAATCAACCAAATCTACCTTTTAATCTCAACTACGATTTCCAGTTCCAGCCATCACAATGTTTGGTCGTCGACGAAGACCCATCCTCGGTGCCGCCGTGCTTGTCGGTGCGTCCAGCGTCGCCGCCAAGCGCGCAGTACAACGGCAGGACATGATGAGCACGCAGCGTGAGATGGAGATCCAGTACCAAGTCGACGCACGCAGACGCGAAGAAGAAGAACAAGACCGACGAACACAGCGCGCCGTCGAGGAAGCCCTCAAGAAGTCTGCCGCGGAAAATCAGGCTGCCCAACCACAACAGGGCGCCGTTGCGTCGCCTCCTCCACAACAGCAGCAGCAGCAGCAGCAGCAGTACAACAACCCAATGCCAATTCAGGGGCATGACAGTGGCTATTTGTCGCCCGGACAGCAACAAGCGTATATGGTGCCCAACATGCAGCAGCCAGAGCAGCTGATGCGAGCTCCTTCTCCACAGCCGCCGGCGTACTACTTGTCGGCATCTCCAGCGCCGGACGCGAGGCCAAAGAGTGCACAGGGACTTGGTTCTGCGGAGCCGGTTCAAGAATTACGATCTCGATATTGTACGCAATGCGGTTATGCTTGCCGAGATGGGGATAGGTTCTGTGCTGGATGTGGTGCAAGGCAGGGTCCTCAAGATACTAGTGTACTGATTTGAAGAGGTGAATGATCCTTTTGTGGCCGGTACTGTCTGATAAGCAGTGGAGATGGCTACTAATACCGAATTAATATCCATTTCATGTCAATTTCCATTATTCTTTACATAGCTTTCAGTATCAATATCTAAACATAATGTTCAATGCTCAAAGAGTGAATCTGGGGAATGTGCTTCCCCGCGTCCTCGTGTAAGCCACAGACCCCTCACAACACTCGATTGCGTTAGCAGCGCTCTGAATGAAAAGAGAGTTCCGACCTATCTGTAAAGCCCATTCCAACCAATGGCTGATTTGTAGCACAATCATTTGCCAGTCTGGTATTTCACAGACGCCTCAGAATCATAGTGACGCACGTAAGGGCATTATGTCGACCAGTCGAGAACGAGCTAGTATCAGGCTATTCAAAGTCTATGCCAATGTTGCCTGTTGATCATTTTAAATTAGCTATAGTAGCGTCGCAATTCGATAAATTGGTTGAGTATCTTGAAGAAAAGCAGTGGTAGTGCTGGATTATAAGTGCGATGAAAGATTGATGGCCGTACACAAAGACCATTATCTTGGTACACTAACAGAACCTTATCAAGGTTGACTTTTTGAAATCGCATGACAGATAAAATCGATGAGCAAGAACACAGTATAGTTATGACAGTAAGAATTCAAGACTATTTGAGAGAGATAGCATCCTTCAAAGGCTTGGCAGTATAAGTTGGTTGCTTCTCCTGCAAAGGATACGGACAACACCAGACACGATACAATCACCATCAAGTGAACTTGCACTCCTCGATTGCCCAACAAATATTATAGCATGAAATCTCGCATCCAGTACATGGTACAACAAGTTACTGTCCATCAATTGTGAGTGCCTGAATGGCTTACGTCATGCCGGCAGACCCACCAGCGCATGTTGATGTTCTGCAGCTCCAACTGAGCTCCCGTCTGCATTTGCGTAACGTCGGCAATCGTAGCAGTGAATCGAATCGCAGCCCGCCATGGAGCGAAAGAGAAACATTGTCATTGTCGGTATGTATCTCCAAGTACCAATCCAGCCCGCCCATGTGTCAGGCCAGCCAAGCCAGCGCCACATGCCGACGCAAGCATTACTGCTGATGCTTCCCCATATAGAGGGGTTCGATGCTGGCTAGCGAGGCTTGCAACGGCATTACTAGCAGTAGTAGCTAACACCGCAGCTCTGTCCAGGAGGCGGCATCATCGGCTGCACCACCGCCTATTACCTGACCCGCCACCCCAGCTTCAGCCCGGCCTTGCACACCGTCACGCTTCTGGAGGCTGCTCCAGCGGTGGCTGCCGGGGCCTCGGGCAAGGCTGGCGGTCTCCTTGGGCTGTGGGCGTATCCAGCAAGCATCGTGCCGCTGTCGTACAGACTGCACGCGGAGCTGGCCGCCGAGCACGACGGGGCCAGTCGCTGGGGCTATCGCAGGCTAAAATGCGGCAGCATCGAGGCCGTTGTGACCAAGGAGAAGCTTGATGGGCTGCAGAATCCCGCAGATGAAAATGGCAAGGCGTGGGAGAAGCTTCCCAAGCAGGATGAGGCCGCCAAGGAACTGCTCCAGGACGAGGAGCTGCCTGCTGATCTGGACTGGATAGACCGAGAGGTGGTGAGAGGATGGGCTGAGATGGGGTCGCCGGGAGCTACCGAGACTGCCCAGGTGCATCCGTACCACTTTACGACCTCCATTGCAGAGCTGGCTCAGAAGGGGGGCGTCACGATCAAAACCAATGCAAAAGTCACGAGGCTCATCACATCAAAGGCAGCCGTGGAAGGGGTCGAGTATCTAGACCGGACAACAGACGAGGTGAACAAGATTACGGATGTCACCGACATCGTTGTTGCGGCGGGACCATGGACAGGCCGCGTTCTCCCGCGGGCAAAGGTTGAGGGCCTAAGAGCTCACAGCGTCGTCTACGATGTCAACGTCACGCCGTATGCCGTCTTCACAGACATCGAGCTGCCCGCAGACTTTATCCCCGATCATCGGGCAAAGATGGGACAGAAGAGGCAGCACAAAGGCAGGGTAGACCCCGAAATCTATGCTCGGCCGTTTGGCGAGGCGTATGCGTGTGGTAAGTCGCCCCGAAAACATCGAAACGACGCTTTTCCACACAGGATGATGCCAATATTAAACCGCTGCAACAGGCGAGCCCGACAGCGACGTACCACTACCGGAAACAGCTGATCAGGTTCAATTCAACGAAGCTCACTGCGACGACATCATCTCTTACTTTGCAACCGTAAGCCCTGTGCTGGCTGCTGCGCCGATCAAGGCCAAACAAGCCTGCTACCTGCCACGGCATATACGCTTTGGACAGGAGAGCGGTCCTCTCATAGGGCCCACGGTCACTCCCGGCTTATGGGTTGCGGCTGGCCATACCTGTTGGGGGATTCAAAATGGTCCAGCGACGGGGAAGCTGATGTCAGAGTATATTCTGGATGGCGAGGCGAAGAGTGCGAATGTTGGCAATCTGGATCCAAGGAAGTTCAAGGTCTGATGGATTTTAACAGTTCTTTTCTTATTCTTATTCTTTTTCAACTTTATGAGTAACCGTCCGATCAATAAGCAGCCATATGAAATTGTTATAGAGCCTATAAATTTGAATGCAAAGCGCGCATTGTTTACAGAGAAGCAAGCTACGTCCCAAGAATACTAAGAAAACTTTGAATACTGAATCAAATGGGAAACCTTCTTCCCTAATTATCTGGTCCAAGATTCGCTCTCATTGAGCCTCGAAACTAGAACGACTGAGAAGTGTGAAATGCCATTTGGGCAGGCGTCTTGTTGTTCTGCCTGGCATGGCTTGATCCCCCTGCCGGTTATTCAGGGGCGACAACGCTCAACAAGGCCTTTTAGGCGTTCGTCACTCTCGTACTCCTTCAATGCCGTCTCCCTCCACTGCTCCCAATCTTGGCTGACCCCAAAGACTTGCAGTATCGCAATCGCCAATGGCAAGGCATCCAACCATTCGGATTCCAAGGCCAGGCCCCAGAAGAACCTCCTAGCTTTCTCGTCAACTGCGCACTTGGTCATCCAAGAGAGGCCCTTTTGCCGCAGCGCATCCATCAAAGCAACATCATCGGCACTGAGCGAAACCTTTCCACCACACAACGCATTCATGTCGGCAGTAACAAGCGACGGACCAAAGGCTTCACGTCGCGGCACGACACGTGCCATCTGCCAGTCAATAATGCCCGTGATGTGCAAGTCGTCATCGACAAGTAAGTGGTCGCCTTTGTCGTCGACGTGCTTTAGGAAGAAGTCCTCCAAAGGCTTCGCTTCGCCGCCGTGTTCGACTAGCTGTGAGACGTTGTCTTTCAGAAAGCGGTACACGAGGTACGCATCGATGGGAAACTCGGTGTAGAGTTGACCATCTGCAATCAATGCCAAGTACTGCTCGGCAAAGGCAGTATAATATGCTGTCGAGTTATCAAATGGGCCGTGAGGAGTGAGGACGACGAACCTGTCGCTTGCTACAGCTGAGACTTGAATGTTGCATGACTGGTAGCACAGCGACCCAGCTTTGGGAAACGGGTAATGTTCTAGCTCAGCCAAGATCTCGGCGAGGTCACTCCAAATCCTTGCCTTTTCGTCGTCTGTGGCCGTTGGACCCGACACACCTTGGCCTATCCAGGGTCTTCCTGGCAGCTCCTCCATAAGAAGAAAGGCCACGCCGACACCATGATCTGTCCCGTTGCTGCATACGCCATAGTCGAATGCTCGAGGTGCCGGCACAGCAGTGGTTTCGAGAAACTTCAACGTCGCGTACTCGCTAGCTATCAGATAGTCCGCCAACGGGATGGGTAGACTAACAGCAAATCCCGTCACTCGCGGCACTCGAAGGAGCCACGAGGGGGAGCCGTCCTGGAAGCGTATACGCGCATGGTAGTTGGCGTTTCCCATGAGAGCGCCCGGTCCAACCACGGACGAGTGCTCGATTCTGCAATTCCGACCGCCATTCAGCCTGGACGCAAGTTGGCATACGGCCGCGTCGTTGATCCGAGAGCGGAGACGATCCATCTCGGAGACAAGTTGCGCCTCATAAGTTGCGTCATCTATGGTCTGTTCGCCCACTCCACGTTTAGCATTGTATCTTGAAAGGTTGTAACACAAGTTGTCTTGTGATGAAAAAAAAGGAGGAAGAACTTGTTTTTCATACCTCGTCACACGTATGGAGAGAAGGAGACAAGTGGGTGAAGCACAAGTGGCGATGACAACTATCGCAACCGCCGTTTGCTCTGACACTTGGCCTTTCACAATCAGGCACTGAGCAGGTGAAGAATCTGGACGCCATGGCGCGAATGATGCTGATGCATGAGACTTGGGAAAATACAAAGCTTTGACGCCGTGGAGTTCAAAAATATTGTCGTCAAAGCGCCCATGTTAAAAATATTTTGCCTACTGCATCTCATGCAAGAGTGATTGAGTTCAAATTTGGTATTCCTATACATGTCAAAAATCTTGGCAATTGGCGCGTATGGGTGCTTCGGGTGCTCTGATCCAAGCAACACTTGTTCAATGTAATAATGCTAGATGCGACCTAGATACATGTACTTAGTCTTCTTCCTTCTATACCAACAGTGTCTGCGATGCCTATGCCGAAAAGACCATTATAATCGGGAAACATCATCTGGTTCTCCATAAGTAGCGATTCAATATCAGATGTCTCTGAAAAGTTGCTTTTATGAGTACCATGACTTGAATCGCCCAATTCCCAAGTCATTTTCTCTGTAACCGGAATCGATCCATATTGTTCAAGGAAAAGCGTCATGTCGTCGGGCACTGTTCCCAGCTGCGGCTGAGAGAAATCGGTGCAGTCTGAACTTGTTGAAATATATGGTGATGATGTAACGCAAGTGTTGGCTCCCTCAGACTCAGAATGGCTATTGTCCAAGTCGTCAAAGCTGTAAGCGCTTCGAGGGGATTTTGTCGTGCGGTGACTGTGGCTGGCAAAAGCTTCTCCTTGGTAGTTCAGCTCAATTTCGACGCCTTGCATTAGTTCCAGCGATGGAACGCTTTCGTCTGTAGAATCATTTGCGGGTGAATCTGGCTCCTTATCGTTGCTATCCTTTGCATCGTAGTCTCCATACTGCAGTCGTTTCGGATGTGCTGCGGCCCTTGCCATGCCAGAAGCAGTTGTCGGCAGTTCATATTGAATAGGCAGCTCGATTTCGTCGTTGGGACCAATGCATCCCAGCTTTTTAGCTATATCGTGAATGACCAATTCGCCTTGATCATTCAATTCCGGTTCACCAAGGTCCCATGGCTGATTCTTCTGGATCATCATGTATAATTTGTGAACAGTACCAATCATGGCCAAATGTGTGGTTTCAAGAAACTCAACATAGCTTCATTATTGTTTAGTAAGTCTTCTGCCTTTGTATTGATGAATAATGAACAAACCTCTTGGGGACCTGCTTGTATTCCACGTGAATTGTTCTCTTGCGGATACCCGCAGTGCAGACATTGCCATGGTTTTTGCACTTTTGACAAGGAAGTTCACCATCACACTGCCAAGGCCTTCTGTTAGTGCCTTGTACTTAATTAAGCTGTAGTGAACAAACCTTGATCTTCTTTATTCGACATCGCTCACAAGCCTTGGACACTCGTTTGCGTCTCCTGTCTCTGCCTTTCATATATCGATCCGTATCGAAATCCGTTGATTCTGGTGTTGCCTTTATGTTGTGTGGTTGAGATGCAGCGCTGTCTCCGAGAGAGTGTGGTTGTTCTTCGGTTGGGGTATTCGAGATCATGCTGCGAGAAGTCGATGTAGTCAAAACAATTCCAGCTTTTCGAGAATTAGAAGGGCTATCTGCAGTGCCACCATGGATGATGCACAATAGTAAACAGAAAACAACAGTCAATTGATAAGAAGCTAGACAGCTGTATCATGTTACAAATCTAGAGAATATGGGCGACACCCTCCACTTAAAAGAAATACTCGAGGCGAGAACGGAGCATCATATTATGACACATTTGTAGTATTTGTAGTTTGACACACAAGGATAAACTGAGCAATCCAAGGCCGAGAATAGAGTACTAAACGCCCGCACTGCGCTAGAACTTTCGCGAGCCCGGCTTTCGTTGGCGAGCTGCATGATTCGACCTTCTCCGGAGCCCAAAATGGTAACCAGCAGCGAGCACGCGAGATAAGCGAAGAGCGCGAATGGGCTGTTTGCCCAAGTTGCCATTACGTTCAGGGTCTAACAGCGACGCTAGAAGGCGCTAGATGCTTAATAAGGCACTATAGACGCCGTTCAGAGGGTACTTGTACGATGCACTTTGTTCAGTGACCTTGAAATCGAATCATGGACCCCGGCAGTTGGCTCGTATCCCGAGACTTTGGGAACTGGAGTATTTTGCGTCTCCGGAACTTTCCATCTCTGCGCGAGGACATTTCCGCTTGAGAGCTGAGAACTGGCCGACAACCCCTCGATCGGGAAATAACGTCAGCGTGTTCCATTAAAGCTAGAAATTGCCTTATTCGACCATGTCATGTGGGAAACTGAGACAATTGGCGCCGTGTGTCGGCCACGTCGGGGATTATCTTGAGCTTCCTTGATTTATTTTGAACATGTACTTTTCCGCTAATGCACATCTATTATCAATTTGACGTCTGTAGTATAGGGGGCACTCTCATTGGAGAATTCAATTATAATTCTCAATCAGTATTATCATCGCCGATTTATCCGTCCAAGGGTGTTGGTCATCATCAATCCTGTACTTGTGAGCTATAAGACAGAAGCAAAGGGGTTGAATGAACCATATGACGCATTTGCTGTGCTTATATTACATATTATAGTACTTGTAGCATAAAGTTGCAGCCCATCTAGAAAGGCCTGGTCCAAGTCGTGGTATCGGGTATACCTACTGCCTTAGTGGTTGTATAGAGCTTTGCTGCCTTTCATGCGTGCAACCTACCTACATGTACATTTCACTCTTCCTTCAAAGTCATTAGGTAGTTTTCGAAGACGCCTTAATTCCATCTTCCACCCCAGGAATAGCATCAGAATCTGCAGCAATACTTCTTCTTCATCCAGACCGAAGCCTGTCCCGCTACACCCCACTAACACCGAGACTAGCCCTCCATGGCAAAATTCACTCCGTCAGCCTGGCTTTGTGCACCGCCATCGCCGCATTGCGAAATCGCTTCTCTCGTCTCCAGCGCCAAATCGACTCAGGCCAGAAGCCTCGCTTGGCGCGTTGCTTGCCAAAGTCTCACCGTGCATCTCGCCCTACCGAAGTCGCCATCGAAGGATCGAAGGTGCATATGCCAGCGCATGATCCAATCCAGCACCTACTCCAAGATAGCCAGCTAAGAATGCACGCGACCGCCGCAGTATGACTGGCGCTTGATCCGACACACGTCACGGGCCTGTTGTCGATAAGAGCCGCGCCACTACCAGCATCTACCAGCATCTGCGACGGACGAGACGCACGACTAAGACGAACAACCGAGTTAGCATGTCTTCGTTTGACGGCCAGGCTGTGAGGCGGCCCTCACACGCAACAGCTTCTAGTCGCAGCCAGATGCCGTCACCGGCAGTTGGGTTTCGGGAGCGCCTGGGCCTAGGAGGCGTGGCCCGGAGGACGCTGGGAATCTGCTTTCTATTGACGACTGTGTTTCTATGGACGCTGTCCAACTTTCTCGCCAGCGTCAGTACATGCAGCCTGCTTTGCTGGGCCTGGTTAATGGAATACAGACCAACTGACAGCGCTGTTGTAGTTCATCTTCTCCGACCAGACCTATGACAAGCCGTTTTTCCTCGTCTATTTCAACACCTCCATGTTCGCCATCTCTCTAATACCCATGTTCATTCGATATCTCGCACAAAGAGGAACCCACGGACTGCGAAGCGATATCAGGCGTATATGGGCAGAATACCGATATCGAGCTGCCGCCGTGAGCCCTACAACAGACGAAGAGGGCTCAGAGGTACACGAGCGCTTGTTAGTCAACGAGCACGGCCCCGGGTGGAACTCTACAGATGAGAAGCTTGGATTCCGCGAGACTGCGGTTCTGAGCCTCGAGTTCTGCATACTCTGGTTTCTGGCAAACTACCTGTCGTCTGCCTGTCTCCAGTACACCAGCGTGGCAAGCGTTACCATTCTGACATCAACTAGCAGCGTCTGGACGCTGGTATTCGGTGCAATCTTTGGCGTCGAGATGTTCTCCATGCGCAAACTGATTGGGGTTCTCGCATCCCTCACAGGCGTTGCGCTCATTTCCATGGTAGATCTTTCGGGCAAGAGTGACGAGAACAGGGGATCATTCCCGCATAAGACGCCGGGACAGATTGCGCTCGGAGACACCATGGCTTTTATGAGTGCCGTGCTTTACGGCATATATGTGACTGTGATGAAGCGGCGGGTGGGCAACGAGGACAAGGTCAACATGCAGCTGTTCTTTGGACTGGTTGGAGTGTTTAACCTGTCGCTGCTGTGGCCGCTATTCTTTGTCTTGCACTGGACTGAAATGGAACCGGTACGTATAGCTTCACCAACTTTGTCCAGCTGGAATGAGCTTGCGAGGACTGACCCGAGTCTAATACAGTTTGAATTACCTCCGACGAGCCAGATTTGGATAATCATCATTGTAAGTCACATTCTCTTCGCCTCTCCTGGATCAAGTTATTCACACTCTGCATAGGTAAATGCGATTGCATCCTTTGTCAGCGACCTATCCTGGGCGCTGGCCATGCTCCTGACCACTCCATTAGTTGTCACGGTTGGCCTGTCTCTGACCATACCGCTGTCACTCATCGGCGAGATATTCCAGTACCAGCAGTATTCTAGCTTCATCTACTGGATTGGTGCCGCAGTCGTCTTTGTCTCCTTTGTCTTTGTCAATCATGAGACAGGGAAGGACGATTCTGGCAAGGCTACAGTCCCCGCCACCGCAGTTGATGCTGATGGTGTTAACGAGGACATCGTATATGGATGAGAATAATGTGCCTTTTACACCAGTTTGAAATATGCTCTCATGTTAACACACGATCAAAGATACGTGCATTCAACAACTACATTATACCCCAGGATGAGATTTTTTTAATAGACGCTACATTTGCTTCTTATCGCGACAGTTTAGATAAGAGATGATCAGATAAAATCCCTAGCGCCAGCTCTTTGAATGAGACACGCTATGCTACGCTTAGAGCAACGTCCAACTGTTAGCGGGCCTCGACGCTGAAATACTCCCGATGAAGCGCTAAATTCCCGATCGGTAGTGAATGATGGGGGGAAAAACCATGAGCGGAGGTCACGCTGCAAGGGAGCGTCTGCTCCGAGGCAGCGACGAGTTCTTAGCAGCTCGTGTCTCAAACACTCTCAATTTGCAGCACTGCTGCCTGCTGGAAGAAACGAGCCCGAGGTCGCTGAATTGTCTGCTGACACTGCTATTCTTACCGGGAAAGCATCACAGTGCAAGCCTTGAAAGGGAGTCCAGGGCGTTGCTCGACTTACACTGCTGCATGTACACACATACACACACACACATTTACTCCACAGAACCCCCGAGGAAGGCAGTGTAGCGCCCTCACTACAGCGGGAGATCAGCACGGCGAGAAAGCCTCCATCGATCTGCTCAGGAACCAGCGCAAATCCGTTTGTCGATTTCCATTTCGATTTCGATTTGACTTGTGCATAAAATAATCTCGCACTTTTATCCTTCCATTGCGCATCTTTGCTTGGCCAAGGCGTCATCGGATCCGTTGTTCAGCTTCCAAGACCCCATGACTGTGGCTGGTATCACAGGAAATGCAAGGAGGCTTTTCCATCATATGACGCAGACTTGTTCGGAGCACATGCAGCTCGACGCCATTCGATTCTAGTCTCTTTTTTACTCTTCTTCTCCCTTGGTGTTCTCGGAAAGTGCGAGCAGCAGGCCTCGCTTTTTTCGTGCTTATTAGCGTGTCATTCTGTACTACCATATATGCATGTCTTGAACCTACTTTCGCCTGCCTAGGATACCCGACTCTACTCCAATTACTACGACCATCTGATTATTCTTTTCTTTTATTACGTTTTTGAACACTCTTTTGAGACTCCCTTCTTGTTCACGAACTCGTCTCGACCGCAACTCTCTTCAGCCATTGTTCATTCTTTCTTTCTCTCTTTGCTGAACAAGGCCATACATAGCAGCATCGTATCAACATCATATACCATTCCTATATCAACTTGTCATCTTACACCTTCCATCTCACGTCCTATCGACTTTCTACACCGAGATATACTCGAGCAGACCTGGCATCAACAGCAAAATCCTATCCCTGTCTTCTACCGTTTCCGCCATGGCCGCCCCTCCCATCACAATGGACTATCCTGCCAATGGCTCCTCACAAACCCCAAAGTCACTTGCCAGTGACATGGTCAGCGCAACAAGGCCGATGCATACGAAAATCAACAAACTGATTACGTCTCGCCTGCCACTGGCAGTTCCTCCAAAAGCACCCGACTCCGGCCCTTATGCCTGTGGCCTACTGTACATTCTCCCGATATACATGACTTTTGAGCAGCTGTGGCTGGACATTCTCGACACGCCTCCCGGAGACGCTCCAGGCCAGATTTCCGAGCGTGTACATACGATTCTCAAAGAAATACATCTCCCTCAGCTCTTCCGCTCCGACCGCCTCAGAGCCGATATCAAATTCATCACGGGCTGGACCGACGACATTCTCGACCTCCAAATCAACAGCGTAAAGGGAACAGGCGAGCTATCCGTCTTTATTTCACATATCCAACAAGCCGTCCGCGCGAAGCCACACGTCCTCATCGCCTACTCGTACAACCTATTCATGGCCCTCTTCGCCGGAGGACGCTTCATCAGAGCAACCCTCGAAAAGGCCGGCGCAGAATTCTGGCAAATTGTCCCCGAGACTATCAAACCTACGATGCAGTCCTGCGAGGTAGATTCGTTCATTGACTCCTCCTTGGAGCAAATCGAAGAGGACAATCTCATGCCGCTGCGATTCTGGGCTTTTGACTCAGAAAACGACGGCGAGGACTTGAAGCAGGAGTATAAGAGCAAGCTGCTTCAATGGGAAAGCGAACTGTCCGCAGAAGAGAGAGAGGATATCCTCCAAGAATCTGTCTACATCTTGGAGAGCATAGGCCTGCTGGTTGGTCAGCTGGACGCTGTCTGCAGCGCCGTACAGGACGAGGAGACGCCGGTCGTACAGATCCCCATGAGACCTTCCTTGGCGGGTCTTGTTGGTGGCACCCAATTCGGGGCGCGTCTGCGTGACAGCCTCCTCATTGCCCGAGAGCGCGGTATTGGAAATCCATTCCGGGGCAAACCACAAGACGCTGTGGAAAAAGAAAAGGGCACTAGCCATGGCGATGGCACAACAAGTACTGAACCAGCGTGCTCTGGTGTTCCCAAATCTATGAGGTTTGCAAAGTCGCTGCCCATCCCGCCACGCAAGCATCGTGCTGCAAAAGATGGTGGCTCGGGTTTCGATTTACATACAACGTCGCAACGGCGTGATGCTAGCGGCACTTTGATAGGGCCGGCGCTGGTGGGCGTATTTGGCTTGTTTTTCCTGTATGTAGTGTACAGCCGCGTTGGAGGGGTTATTGTATGAGGTCTCTGGGTATACCACCTCAAGTCGGAAGAGAAGAGCGTGAGACGAAAGGCTGTTGTACAAGTTTGTTAGCACATCACTGTGCGTTCGAGACATGAATTTCCTAAAGACAGACTCCCTAGATAGATGGTTGGATATTCAATCAGCAATCAATAGAGTTACGATTATGATCTTTAACAGTGTTTAATTTTTTACATGTAATTCGCCCATCATGGCTTGAAAAAAAAAAACAGAACAATGCTTGGCTATGCTATGCCACAGCTGAACCCTTCAAACGCCACTGCTATGCTTCTAACGATGATATGAAACAGGAGAAACACAATTCTCTCTCAGGTAGAAAGAGATACAGCTTCCAAAAAATTTTTTTCCACACAATGCTCATCCAAGCATACATATTATGCCACAATGTCCGCAAACTTTCTTTAAAGCGTTGAAAGAAAAGGGGGGGTCCACAAAACAAATCAGAACAGGTGAATAGTCCCATACCATGGTATCCTTCATTTTTCATATACTCATCATTAACGCTCCTTGTTTCTTCTTTTTTTTTTTTAATGCTTGTTGATTTTTTTTTCTTTCCTTCTTTTATTCGTCGTCGTCATCGGAAGAGTCCCAGTCGTCTCCCACGTCGGCCCACCCTGCCATGTGACGCTCGCCACCGAATTCGCCCACCTGCCGTAGATACCGCGCTTGAGACTCATTCTGCTGCCACTGGCGAACGATGTAGTCGTCTGAAGCGGTGACGAGCTTGCCGTCGTGAGACCAGCTCATAGTGGTAACTTCGCGGCTGTGGCCGCGAATAAGGGGTGTACCGAACCGTGAGATGGGGAGTAGAGGCGCGGCGGCGGATGACCCAAAGGCAGAGGGGGTCGAGATGCTCTGTGATGGAGTGGCAAAGGCGCTGGCTTCGGGGAGGATGTGAGAGCGCTTAGCCCAGGCGGTTCGAATGTAACGTTCGTCGGTGGGGAAGAGGAGTGCGCAGCCGTCGGTGCTGCCCACGGCGAGGAGTTCGGAGGAGCCGTTGATGCCAGGGCGGATAGCGCATTTGACATAGAAAGACTGCGCGCGGAACAAGTCGTGCTTGAAACCGTACATGGGTCCCAGGCCATGAGTTCCGTTGGGTCTACGCTTGACTGCTCCATCTTCGAGCTCAGGGGCATGGCCAAGCATCAGGTGGTTCGTCGAGTAAGCGTAGACGGTGCTGTCTTTGCAAACGGCGTAGAGGCGTGCCGCGTCGGAGCTGAGAGCCATGGAAGTAATACCGTAGGAACGCCACGTGTGGCCTCGTGGCTCCTGTGTCACGGCTAGAGGTGTCTCTTCAGCCTGCCGCCGAGGCTTGATGTATCGCGTGTCCCATAATTTGATTGAGGCATTGGCTTCAGATGCGGAGAGTAAAAGGTGTTCGCGGCCGGGTGGCATCCAGTGAATAGCGGTGACTGACGCGGACGATGTATTGCCCTGGACCGTACGCTCATGGGCGTTGTCGATGGTATTTATGCCCTTGGCAGGGAATGGCTCCAAGGAAGTATCTCGCTGGCCAATGCCGCTGGGGCAGGAAAAGCTGTTCACTGGCGATGAGGAACATCGCAAGTCCCATATCTGGATACGGCCGGCTCGGTCAGATGAGGCGATGACATTACCGGCTGCTTCGCCGGGCTGGAATGCAATCTGCCGTAGTGAATCCCAGTGGCCACCTCCGAGCTCGGCAGCGACGGTCTGAGTGGGAACGTCGAGAATCTTGCCGCTGCGGTCACCACAGGCCGTCGCCAGCCGCGTATCATCTTCCGAAAACGCCAGATCCATAATCGCATTATCGTGGACAGAGATGTATACGTCAACTTTGGAGTCCTCGGAGACATCGTTCAAGGTAGTGTTGAATAGGCGAACATATCCCTGCTCGTCGCCAATGGCGGTAACCGAAGCTTTGTGGCAGCTGGCCAGGCTGAATGGAATGGTATTGCCGCTTCCGCTGGAGGCAACGCAGTGGTGAAGATCATTGCTTCGGCTATAAAACGAACATGTCTCGATCCTGGGGTCACATGCCGGAGAAGTCAGATACTGGCTACCGTAGTGCGAAGAGAAGCCATGCTCCCGGTCGACGAGATGAGCTTCAAAACCAAGATCCCGGAACTTGCGGACAGGCTGGGGCTGGTATCCTTCAAGCTGCTGCAGGTAGCAAGAAAGATTAGCAACAAGTTCCAGGACAGTAACAAGGAGAAGTATAAGTAAGTAAGATATACCAGGGGAGCTTTAGGGTCTGCGGCAACAAGTCTTTGTGGGGTCAGTCCTATCTTTTCTTGCAGCTCGCGGGAACCATTGCGGCTAGCCTTGAAGAAGAGATTCTAGGAAGCTGTCAGCAAATCACAGTCAACTTGTAACAAAAAAAAAACAAGAGCATCTCTGTTTACCAAAGTAGCTCTCCGCCTCTCTCCCAAGCTCTCAAGAGACTCTCTTGTCCCGGCTCCGTCTTCGGAAAGGCCCTCGGTCAGATCCTCCTCGATAATAGTGCCATTGCTTAACCACGAATCCGCACCACCGTTGAGTCTCCTCCTCTTTGTGCCATCCGCCTGCATCTCCTCCTCCAGTAGCCTCTTCTGCTCTCCGTTCATTCCTAGCCGTTCACTGGGCGAGGGCGGACACAGCGGATCCGAGCTCAGCGGATCACTGAGAAAGGACATGGGGGATGCTAGCTGGCGGTTGTTGACAGAGGCGCTGTCCAGCATGCCCAAGACCAGCCGCCCGCTGGGCAGAGACGACCGCGGCGTAAAGAACCTCCCAAACCTCCGGGGCGTCACCGAGGGATTCCGTCGTTCCTTGCGCCGGGTCGACCTCGTGGGCGACAGCATCTGGCTTGCCGGAGAGGACGCATTGACGGTGGGCGGGCTCGAGGGGTAGATGGGATCTGAGGACGGGCCATAGTGGTAATGCACCATGTTGCGAGGATGCCGTCTCAAAGGCTGCGGCTGGACGAGGTGACGAGGATGCAAAAGAGAGCTGGGCGAGGCGAATCATGTCATGGCACGGGAGAGGCACAGCACGGGAACAGAGGAAAAGCGTCTGGACAAGCGGAGACTAGATTTTTGGATAAGCGAAAATGAGTGAGGCTAGGGACATGGAGGCAAAGTGGAGAGACGCGGTCTCACGGTGACGCGGGAGCGTGTAAATGAGATCGTTGGCGCGTTTCTGGGAGTTGACGAATCTGGGGCTGCCGCTGGCGTCGGGGCGGTTCCAGCGGGCCAGGGCGCTGTATTGGCGCTGCGTCGCCTGTCACGGCGGGGCTGCAGGGGCGGGCAAGGCGTGCTGCGTGTCACTGAGCCGCTGCATATTGTCGGGCTGGATCAATCCATGCTCAGCTGGCGATCGAGTCGATGTTTGTTGTTGTCGACATGAGCTATTTTAGCCTGCGTCGACTCTCTCTTTTCGCGAAACGGGCTGTGCGTAAAGCCTTTGTCGCTGCTCTTGCTGATGCTTTTGCTTGTCGGAAGCACTTCTCGGGAGACACCAAATCTCGTATAGAAAAATGTTGCTTTCCGTGGCGTCGCGAGTAATTAATTACATGTGCCAGTAGTGTTAGTCATACCAAGACTATCCCGAAGTCGCGTGCCAACGCCAATGTGTCACGGTGCATGAAGGGATATCTCCGGTATTACAGGCATGTATCAAGCAGACGCTCGACAAGGGCAAGCCAACTGCATCTCATATTTGACAGTATATGTGGTTTCTGATTGTCTACACGTCATCTTGTTCTCTTTGCGACCAATCATTATAGCGCCGACTGTTGTCGAATTCCGGCGATATTGCATACCATGATAATGAGCTATGGGTTTCCCTACAGCAGGGAGCGATCCAAACAAGGGCTGCTGCCTTTGTGCTCCCAAGAGCTCGGCCCCGTTGTCGGTGTGGCTAGCTCTCTGAAAGAGAGCCTTGAGAGGGCCCTCGTTGACCTTTCGGTGAAGATTCGCAATCGCAGTCTCGAGCACTTGATCGAACCCTGATATGGGCATTCCGGTTGCTTTATGCTGTCCCGACGGGCTCTGTACGTATCTACAAGTACGTTTGGTTGTGAAGCGCCAAGCCAGAGACTTCAAAATCAGTAGCTCTCGGGTTGATTATACGAGCAGTGACCTTGTCCTGTCGTCCGTTTCAATTCAGCGGATCTTCTTGACAGTGATGCTGTCGCAGCACTAGGGGCATGATAATTGCAAGTAGACTCAGTCAAGTTCATTACTTGCGCGACTTTCTCTTTGAAATCCCAATAGCGCCCAAAATCCTTGTTATTGATGCAGTTCTGCAATTATTGCAGCCATCTCTATGGCCGTGGTACATTCTCCCTTCAAATTGGAAAAAAAAGCTCGTACCATTCGGTGGCACCAGGTTCGGCCTTCTTTGTCCTCAAATCCGCATTATCGACGACTTGACCGCACTGGCATCCTTTACGACGAAAGCATAGAAATCATCCATTGGTGTCCTCACACCTCGACGAATGGAAGACGAATGATACATCATCTGCGAGAAGGGGTAAAACGAGGTTGGAACAGAGTGATTAAGCAGATATTGCCATAAACATGCCATTCCAAGCAAGGTTATTCATAGACTACGAGTTGATGTCCAACCCGTTGATGTTATCTTCGAATTCAGCCATTCTTTACCATTTGACCTTCCTCTATTCGCCGCCTTCTTTCTTAAATCAGCCTGAGTAATTTAACAGGCGGGCTTGATACTTGGGTGAGCGTAAGGGTATTGGATCGAACTCCGCTTTACGAGCTACTGTTCTCTCTGCTTAACGTGTCGTCGCAGGTGGTGTCTGGCAAAGACCACACTGTCAAAAATGATGCTTGGTTTGCTTTTTTGGGAAAAAAGCTGTATGGTGTACATCTAATCGAGCTCTCTGATTAGTAGCTTCGTTTACTTCATTTGCAATACCATCAAGGATTCTTATTAAATAGCGTGAATGTACCATACATATTTAGACGCAGAGCGAAGCCACGATTTGGCGGGCTATTGACAGACGTTTCCCATTCATCAACCGCAATCCAAGTTAGCTCTAACTCGTCTTTTTTGTCTATTCCCACATCTCTTTTAGAAAGATATAACCACTTGCTAATAATCTCCATAACTGTACACGCACCGTATCCACGACGTCTGTAGAGGAAAGTTGTCCCAGAGAAATTATTTTGCAGCAATCAAATATGACACTCCTTGCTAGATTTTGATTTCACATGAAGAGTAATATATTCCAAGTGACCTAGCTTGCTACAGATACGTTGTTGGTGAGTGAATATAGTACATGTAAAGGTTCTTCAAAGGCACGCATGATAGCAAAACACAACGCAGGTTGTAGTAGTGTAAAAGGAAATAAAAACCCAACATGTGTCAATAAACTTCTAATATGCATACCTACCTAGGTAGCTGTCAAATCTCCGTGGCAATTCCACGACTCTTCTAAGCCTGTAGTACCCAAGGCTAATAGGCTATATTCAATGTCCTTGTACTGAAAGATTTTTGCAATCTTTAGCCACTAATAGCCGCATATCTCAGCACTACCAACATCTAAGGTGCAAGTACATGTACCTGGTGGCCAACCTCTTTTCAGCACCGGCCATCTCGTCTCCGACTTTTGATACTCAAAATATATCCTTCTCTTGACTTGCTTCATCTTACTCCCTGAGGCAAACAAAGCCCAAGACAGCGTCATCATATCACTTCTTTCATCCTTCAATTTGGAGAGGAGCTGAGTCCTACGAAAGCGGTAAGCCATCCAGGCGCAGGTACCGATACCCCATCTTTTCCGCCAGGCTAGCCCAATGCGGCCTGGGCACTGGCACAATCCGATCGGCAATGGTGTCATCCTGGCCGATGATTCATCCTGCGAACTCCATAGTTCTCCGTACTTGTGCATATTTCAGCTGCTTGAACTCGCAAGTCGCTGATTGATATCGCCAGCTTCATCCTGCAGCGCCTTCGACCCTACCAAGTCAACCTACCGAGCCTATCCCAGCGCCGCTTCCGACTACCGCCATGTGCCGCTTCTTGGTACGTCATCACCCAGGGCACCGCAAACACGAAGCATTGCTATCCCGAGATCGGATCTTGCAGGGAGGCTAACCCAAGTTCTGTCCGGTATCTAGGTCTACAAAGGCAGCGATGAAATCCTGCTCTCGAAACTAATTCTCGATCCGACTCACTCGATCCTTAAGCAGTCATTTGATTCACGGTTACGACTCGTAAGACTCAGCTCCCTCCCTGCTTTCCTCACCGCAATGTCACGATCAGACCTGGCTCACATGCCCTTTTCTCATTCATAGGACACACGACGAGGCCAAAACAACGCCGATGGCTTTGGCATAGGCTTCTACACCGATATCAAACTCGGGTCGGCACCCTGCCTGTTCACATCTACTATCCCCGCGTGGAACTGCACGAATCTTCAGCGCATCGCATCCAAGACTGCATCTCGATTAATATTCGGCCATGTTCGAGCGACGACCGAGGGCTCTCTGAGCGAGGACAACTGCCACCCATTCACACATGGAAGCTTGATGTGGATGCATAACGGTGGCCTTGGTGGCTGGAAACACATCAAACGACGTCTGGGAAGCCTACTGGCAGATAAATGGTATCTCGGCGTGAAGGGAGGAACGGACAGCGAATGGGCATTCGCCCTGTTTCTCAACACGCTTGAACAGTCAGGCTACGACCCGAGCGCATGCCCGGTCAACGGATTTGGACCAACAGTGCTGCGTACCGCCATGGAGAAGACGATTGCTCAAATCAACGAGTTAACCGACAGCATCCCTCAAAGCATCCTGCAGAACGAGGATGTTGACACCAGAAGTCTGTTGAACTTTGCCGTAACAGACGGCCACAGCGTCATCTGCACCCGCTACATCAGCAGCTCCAAGGATGAGGCCGCCAGCCTATACTATTCGTCTGGAACGCAATGGGTTACGAGAACTCCATCGCCGGATGATCGACAATACCAAATGGATAGAAAAGACAAAGGGGGCGATATTGTCCTCGTCGCAAGCGAGCCACTGACGTTTGAAAGAGGTAAGAATGCTAATAGAGCCGAAGACGCACGCACTTGAGAATACGTATTGACTATTTAATGTTAGAAAATTGGGTCAATGTTCCTACCAACTCGATACTGACGATTCACCGGCAAACTGTCATGGTTCATCCCATCATGGACAAATACTACGAAGGAGATCCATATCACGTTCGCTCCAGCGCATTCGTCCAAGAAAAGGGTCTCATTACCAATGAAAAGGCAACCAGTGGTTCTCAAAGCCCGGCTAGTATTGACAGCACGCGAAAGACCATCGCCCAGTCAGTCTTTCCTCGTGGTCTCAGCCCTGATCTAGTACGAAGATCGCTCACGCCGGTCTCTTCTCGGGAATCACGACTCACCTCCCAGCTCCAAACAGCACAATATCTGGCTTCGCCGCCGCGCTGAGGGGCCATCTGGAGGATTCCATACGGTGTCTTTTGAGCCCAACGACCAATCCCAGTGAGAACTAGGGGTTGGAAACTTGATTTATACTACGTTACGACTGATTGTGAGAATATCTCGATGGCACTCATCATATGTTGCTGAAGCGATAGACCAATATTTACGAGATACATGGATGGCTTGCGGTTCAAGGCGAAAGGGATTTGGATTTGGATTAGGAATTAGATTTAGTAGATTTAGCGTGAATTTAGATAGGCCAGCGTTATATGCTTGTTATTTGAACTTGTCAGTCGTGTTTACTCCAGCTCTCTCTTTTTTCTTTCGGCGAGTCTTCTCAATCTCTTGTTCATACGTAGCCGGGCGATTTACTACGAGTCTGGACATTTTAGCAATGATTGGACTTGGATTTATTTTATTTTTTTGGATTTAACTTTTCCCTTTCAGCCCAGAAATAGTCCATGTGTTGTTTATAAAACTCGCTATATCTTGATTGGAGTAAATAGCTCGCTCATCCTTATATGTATGATCATACATCCCGTTTCGAAGTCATTGCAAAATATTTGCAAAGTGAATTATTATTTGTTAGAATCTCTTGTAGCCTATAACACTTGTCAATTGCCCGAAATGGTATACAAAGACTACAGATCATCTCAGTCCAAGCCTATACAGCTACTGTAGAAAAAGAACTCTATTCATCCGTCTTGCTTGTGCATTTATTCTTCTAGTAACATCCTAATTACAGCAGCGATATTAGAAACAAAATACTACTGCCATCGCTTTAGTACATTATACATTGTTCAGTTACAGCGAGAAACGAGAAATTGTATTTAGCACAGTAAGTAATATTCCATCTTATACTCTACATAACATGTGCAAATGGTGTGCCGGCTATTTACTCTATCCATCATAAATACCACACGCTGAAAACTCCTGCACAGACGACGACTGACAACGTTCTAGTGTCTCTCTAATCTCATTCTCGTCTATAGCTACAACAAATATGTTTCTTCTAGTATTACTATAAGTCTATTGCCGTTTCTCTCCTCAGTATATCTTACACACTATCTTGGCATCTCCGTCGCGCGCTTCACACTTTGGCACACCATCTCAGTGCTTCTAGACCAAGCCTCCACCGTTTCTTAGCTCTCTTACATAGCTCAATGATCGTCCTCAGCTGTATGACAATACTCCACTTCAGATGCAACTATTGCGGTTCCCTTCTCGAGTCTGACTGCGTAGTCCATTGGCAGCTTCTCGGCGAACTTCCATTGCCACCAGCGCCCTCTCCCCCCTATCTCATGTTCACCTAGGTAACAGTTGGTAAGCTTTCCATCACGAGATGGACAGAGATGGTGGCAAAACGAGGAAATTGGGAATCTTGATTAGCTGCAGCCTGGAGCTAAATCTCGCTAGACATGTCATCAATTCGTCGTCTACAAAGTTACGCAACGCTAATAAGGAAAACAAATATTACGAGAATGTGTGGGTTACGGGATACCCGTAGTCACAAATCTAGCAAAACATAACAAGCGCTACGATTATCTCCGGCCATCGGGCCTTTGCTCTCCAAGATGTCGTGCAAGTTCGTGAACACACCCTCTTTGGTGTTGAGGTGGTGCTGTGAGATTTGGGACTCGGCGCGCCCTGAGAGACCACAACGGCCGCCAAGATGGCGATTTAGTCTAACCCAGTTGATTGCTGAAGTTTATGCCGATCAAGATTGTGGATATCATACGTCGTCGTTCGGTGTGAGGTTAGAGATGAAGAGATCAGGCCATTTTCCATTCGTCCCATTGTCGATTCTCCGTCATGCCCCCTTTCACAGCTTGCCATTCTATTAACCCAATGCGTACATATTAAATCAAAAGCTCTACTGGGAAGCCGGACTAAACCATCTTGTAATGACCAGCTATCCACATCGGATGGGCCGATCCCTAGATGCGGCTGAAGCAATCTAGACGATGCCAAAGGGGGCGTACAAGATCTCACTCCTACGGCTACACTCGTTGAGCTCTAGACTCATGCGATGGCTCATGTGGAAAAGCAGGCATTCATCATACACTAGACACGCATGTGCCGTATGGGGTCCAGAGCTAACGAGTGCCGAAGCCATTTTTCGTTTTTACCAGATTTGCCCCCTTTTTTGCCCATATCCAGCCCCCATTCGTTGGGCGTTTGCCTCTTTTTTCCCTACTTCTTTTCTTGCTGCGGTCAGACGAACATGACCTGTCAGGCGCATCGGAGAAGATTCCAAAAACAACTCGGGCAAGCACCGCAGGGCTGGGTTATTTTTCGTCTGACTGTAGACATGAAGCTCGGCTAAAGCAGCACCAGTCGAGGTGTGTCTTGTGCGCTGATTTGAGGGGATGCCGTGAGCTTTGGAGAGAAAAAAAAAAAGAGGAGAGAGGGGTTGGCTATGACGGGCAAGGAGTAGATGGAATGCCCCATCAGTAGGTGAGGTACTATCTATCGGCAGCTAATGCATTGTTACGTTGTATGAGATTGGTTCTAGCGTATTACTATAGTAACCTGCTTTGTTTTCCTCTGCTTTGTTTGTATTCTTTTATTTTGGAGACGAAAAGGCGGCAGCGGACAGGGTCTTTTACATGAAACGCCCGGTAGACTCTCGGCCAGACTTGGTTCGCCTGGCTTCAGCTTTGACGCCTCGGCTGTGTGTTCCGAAGACGTGGTTTTTTTTTTTTTTTTTGGCAACTTGTTTCAGCGATAAATTGCATCGAGAATAGGGAGAAGGGGAGAGAGTTTCGGTGAAGATGATGCCACTACTAGCCTAGGACTTTCTGGTAGCGAGCGATGCATTGACCGGAAGCCTTATCCGGGGCAACGCGGAAATAAGAAACGACGTAAAATACGGTGAAGCGATTAGTTTCCATGGAACGGATCAAGTCTGTGCTCGGAAACCAAGTATACGAGGCATCGTGTGCGGCATCTCATCTTACCATCGTTTCGAGGCTTGTGAAATTGATTACTACATGGCTGCTAGAAAATGCGAGGCTGTTTTGTCACATCTCAGCCGCTGCGTCTTGGCCTCGGCAGTTCCTCATGCGGATGAAGAGAAGATGCACACATGATTTCAGAAACCATTTTACGTTACATTGTTCATAGCAACGATGGCAAAGAATAATTCCAAATAAAAAAAATATAACAAACATCTGTTCGCATCAAGTCGATGTTGCGCAGTTCCACCTCTCGCTTCAGGCAAGAATCGCCGCCGCTCAGGAACGGGGGGACAAACTTGTGATGATGCTTAAACGCTACTCTCTTTTAGTATAATTGGGGAGTCAGTGGGGGTACGGCTTGTGTTAATGGCTTCATTGTCTCCTTTGAGTATTTCTTTGTGCGAGTCTTCTCTCATGCACACTCTAGCTCGACTGAGCTCTGGACACTTACATGTAATCAACAACAAACTCTGGATAAGCGTGCGTGTATGGCACAGACCCAATAAGGAAGCAAAAGCGCACGCCTCGCTCGCTTCTGCTGTAAACGAGCTCCCAATGTGTAATCTTACAGCGAGCCGCCCTCGAACTTTTGCGCGGTGGGATATTAGTCGGCGCTTTGGGAGGGCGCTGCCGAAAGGGGGCGGATTTGAAGCAAGTTGGACGCCTTTGGGCGGGCAGCAGGGATCAATTATCAGGAAGAGGCTGTGTGTGTGAAGTGAGACTGGACGCAGCATGTAATGAATAGGTATGTAGGTACAGTAGCATGTAATGTTGTGTTTGTGTAGCACTCTGTGCGTGTAGTAGGGTAGGTACTGGTGAGCGTACGGATGAAGGAAGAGGTCAACTACTACTACGAAGCCCGTCCCAGAAGAGAAAATAAACGAGGACATGCAGAAAGCGTTTTTGGATGACGGTTGCGTATAATCCGCAAATAGCAGGGCGTTGGTGAGATGCGCATAAGCACACACACACACAGTTGCGTCTGCTGGGACAACAATCCTTCCGGGGGCAACACGACATGTACCTGTAAGCCCAATACCGAGAGACAGAGAGAGGCAGTTGGATTTGCCAAGATGTTATCCGGAATGGAAAGCCGAAATGTTTGCTGTGAACGGAAATCGAACCTCTTGGCTCTGGCTGAAGTTGAGTTGAGGCTGCGACTTTGGTGTGGGATGGGACGGGAGAAGCGAGTGGCAAACCACTAGAAACTACAAGTACATGCAAATTGCGGAAGAATAAAAAAAGCTGGAAGCTATTGTCGATCTGCTCGACGAGGCTGACGGCATATTGGCCCCCCCCCAGCACGCGGCAAATCCTCAAAAAGGGTGCGCCTCCCGCCATATACGGCATTTTGCGTTGCTCTAAGAAACGCAGCTACTGCATGTGCCTGGCTGCTGCAGGACGTTGCTATCAAGTGCCCTCGGTGCTGTGCTGGGTATAAAGTGTATGGAGATGCACCAGTATATGGAGATGGAGATGGAGGAGCACGATGGTGAGCCGTGCACCTGGACCGCTGCAGCCAGCAAGGGCGTGCAGTTTACGAGTCATTTGGGGTTCGTGATGGATGCCGAGATGCTGCAGTGCATGCGTAACGGGCAAAATAGATTAACAACGACAAGATCACGGGGCAAGGTTTGGGTAAAGTCGAGTGTCGAGCCGGAAGCCTGCTTCCGCGTGTAAGTGAAGGATGTGTACAAGTGTATATTCAAGTGTATGCAGCGTACAAGGCAAGGAATATTATAGCAGCTTCTGCCTGGACAAGGTTCGATTGCGAGCATTGAGCCACGCGCTTAATGGCTACGCATACAGCACGGGCAATTTACCCAGGCGCAGCCCGGCAAGTGGGAAGCATCGCTAGGAATAATACGCAGCGAGGGCCGCGGGTATACTGCAGTCAGCTTGTCGAGGCAGGGCGTATACTTGCAAGTTGTGCACAAGTATGCGGATTCGCGGTAGGGGAGGGGAGGCCTTGTCCCTGTCATGATGCGAGGAATCAAATCGCACAGACTCATTACTCAGAAACCGTGTAGTCGTATAATGTTTAGTGCCATCAAGCTGTTGGCGATAACCATCCCAGGGTCTCTATACCAGGACAGGGACTGGACTCTCTACGTCAACACTAATAACACAAGGGGGCCGACAGTGAGGAGAAGGAACTTTGAAGCTTATCCCAGAAGAAACGAGCAGACAGGAGCCCAGTCAGAAAACGGAAACGGAAACATGGGGGCGTCGGCACCTTGCAAATCGATTCTGCGGGACAAGCAGCCCGGACCGGGGCTCCATCTTCCATCAACTTGCGGCACAACGAGGCTCATGATTGGTCTGTCGGACCATTTTGTCGCGTCACGACCCAAGGGGGTAGGCGATTATCCCCGACGCGCTTGTTCCTCCACACTCGGGGCCACGTCGGGCGTAATTGATATTGAAGGGGACTGCGAGGCTGGAAGTGGCGTTACAAGTCGATAGTATACGGTAGGCGAAGAGCAGCGCTGGTTCCGCGGCCTTGGAGGGCGCTTTACGGAAGACGCAGCCGTGCTGTGCTTGATGATTGGGCTATATTACGAGCAGATGCTATTAGGAGCACTTGTATGTTGTGAATGGCAATGAGGAATAAAAACCCGGTGAAATGTCCGAGCCGGGGCCGAGACGCTGAGTCGGCTTGTACAGCAAACACTGAAGTCATGATAGTATCACTACTAGTGACAGCAGCACCAATGACCACTTTCAATCTACGGATGACTCAAACAGGCATTGCGTCGTGATATATTTAACCTCATCCAGATAAACCGCTGCTGGGACCGAAACAAAACTAGCGATTGCACTGCATCGGTGGAATCCGACGATGCTACCGTGACTGACTCTCTGTGTCTGATAATTGTGCGCAATTATATGGAACGACATGCAAACTGGCATGTTTTTCTGGCCCAATCCGCAGAAACGCATCTGCCTAGTCATGTACCCCATACTTCCAGTGCGACTCTGCGCCCATCCTCTGTATGTAACATTCATACCAATCAATTCCCGACGAGCGAATAGAGACAGTGGTGTAGCGAGGCGGCTTGTCGCCATCACGTGGCTCTGTCTTGATCCTCCAGCAGGCCGGGGAGGGCGACAAACGCCCCTCCCCTGCATTGATTCCTTGTAGCAGCTAACTCAAATCAACTCACCTTGGAAATCGGACTATACGGAGAGAACTGGGCAGATACAGGGGGGGGTTGGGGGGGGTTGAGGAAGATGCTGAGCAGGGGGAGAAGCTTTGAGCGAGTTGCTACCGTACAGCACAATACAGTAAGGCCATCGGTTTGAGCGAGAGCCAGCCATGGGGGCGTGATGCAGAGATGCAGATGAACCACTGGCATTGGCTTCACAACCCAAGTTCCGCTAGCGATGGTTACATATGGAGCCCTTTCCATGGGGAGAAAAGGCAGCTGGGGGCCCTTGGATAGAGAGGGTGTTGCTATCAAAGAGCAAGGAGGCCTTGCTGGATGGCCCTCAAGGGACCGATGCTAGCACAGAGAGAGAGCCAGACAAGGCTTCAACAAGGCAAAGCAGGCATATCCCAGACCGTGCAAAGCAGCTTGGGGGGCGGAGTATTGCCGAGCTGGCTTGTTCCTCTATAGTGTAGTTGTAGTTGTATAGGTATTCCCAGCATCAGCCATCCGGGGTCCCCTTGGAGCTTTGTCTGTGAGTGAGACGGAACCGTTTTGGCGAACATGGCCTCCAGGCCACTGCTGCCCCCATCCACTCCCGCGCAGCGACAGCCACAGCCATGATGGGTCATCTGTCATTTTACGCGATTGGCAGAACTGCCCTCTGTCCCAGTGCCTAGCGAGATGGCTGATCGATTAATTGGCCTAAACCTCAACTGCCATGGGGGGGGGCTGATTTGACTCGCTGACTTAGGCGCGGCCGGGTCTTAGTGGCTGACGGTCACCTCATGTTGATTGGCCGGACTGGCGGACGGCGGGAAAAGATGGAAGCCTCTGCGAAGGATGATGGAAGTTGTTTATTCCGTCAATAGAAAAACGCCACCGCGGCGAAAACGGGTTTCTGGGACGGACATGCTTAACTAACAGACGCCAACTAACAAACTCAACTTACACATACTGTATCATGCCGTGCCGTGCTCTGTATCTACGCAACACACTAATACGGAATATCACTCGTAATTTAAACACATGTAGGTAGCACAGACAGCTGACTCTCCTTCCTGCAGCGAGAACCAGGTCCAGTCCCAATGCACCAATCCAAGCCATGGGATTTTGCGGAGTAAGAACCTAGCAGCAGGAACGGTTTGCAGGCACCAGCCATGCCTCTCTATGCCTGGTCAAAAAAGGTAGTATTAATTAGATGCATTTTTTTATCCCCTCCTCCTGCTCCTCCCTTACCCCCGTTCTTTACACCAGGCTCTTCTTTTGGCGATTACACGTGTTGGGATGAATCCTTCAGTTTACAAGTACTCCTCGTCGTGTAGATGACGTCAAGATAGTACGGGGGAGAGAAGAGGGAAAAGTACGTGTAGTATTTGCTTTGGCCTATATTTAGAGGGCAAATAAAAACCCATGCAAAGAGGGCAAAAAAAAAAAAGCAATATTAAAAAAGACAATAAGAAATGGGGGTGGGTGTATATATGTAACCCAAGACCATGTCTTACGCTCAATTGTATTGTAGTAGTACCGCATTGTCAAGATTTAAAACGGTATCAAAAGAGGCAAAGAAGAGCAGCTGAGAGAGAGAGAGAGGGCCAACAATGACACGATGCGGCAGTGGCATGTCCGGTCACAAATCGAGTCTGTATTACAGTACACCCAACGAGCTAGTTGCAGCGAGATGGCCCCAAGGACGAGGGGTGTAAGTGTGCAACCCCTGCCCTTCTTGACTCTCTTCTATTCCAACCCTCCACCTTGCAGATACGCTTTTGGTGTGGTTTTTCTCGTGGAGCATAAAGAACAGAGGCACTGGTGGAATCTGCAGATCCGCCGCAGCCCGGCCGTTATGCTCTACTGTATAAACACAAAAAATGAGCCACGATGGAAATTCCCAGAAGCAGGCTAGAGAGAGGGGGGAGGGGGTCGGTTCCTCCTCCTTCCTTGCCCCTGGATCCTACCTACTGCAGTATAGCTGCTGTCAGAAATGGACTGGGACAGTCTCGCCTTGAACTTTGTAATTTACTTTAGGCGGGGGCTAGGACCCTTGCTGCTGAAAGCTGCGGATTGACAACCGCCGGGGCTCTTTTTCTTTTGCTTCGAGTTTTGACTTAGACGCCAGTCCTAGTGTTCAGTGGGTGTTTTCAACTACCTTGACGCCATCACCATGACCACACTAGATACGCGCAAGAAGACCACCTTTGGGGCGTCTTTTTAAATAATGCAGTATGATTCTCTCCATTTTTTCCTGCTCTGCAATCATGCGGGTTCTAGAGGCAGGCAACAGGGAGCCGGCAAGGCGAAAAGAGACAAGGTCCAGGGCCACACGAGTTCCTGCACCACCAGCAAGATGGTATAGTAGCACTATACGCCTCCCCTCGTCCGTCTGTCTTTTAGTCCCCTTGCCGGACCGAAAGTAAAGCGGCCTTTCTTTTGGTTTATTTCGGCTTTTTATTTTTCTTTGTTTCGTTTGATGTACATCTCTCCATCGGATGGGTTGTCTTACCCAGGCTTTCGAGAGATGCTGGTAATACAGGGCACATGTAAGCCTTGACATGAAGGTATATACAGGGCAAACAACACAAAAAAAAGAGGCGAAAAATGTAAATGCTTGTAGCCGAGGCACGCGGGCAGACAGGCACCTGTATCTTGATACATCACCCGCACAGGGCAAGGTACATACATAGCCTACTTGGTCCCCCCCCTGGTGATCCCAAGTAAGGCACTCGTGTGTGCGTTTCTCTACAGGTATGTTCCCGGGGTAAAGGCAACAAGGTGTGGTTGCAGGCAAAAAAGAGCCGCCGCCACAGCCGCAGGAACCTTGAGGCCTTGGCTTTCTGGGCCCAGGTCCGTGGATCAGAGCAGCCGAGGGCCAAAACTGCTGTAAGTGCTGTGTGAGCGAGACCTCCCGTTGTCCTAGTGCCGTTAATATTTCTGGCGATGTGTCTTGGATATCAAGAACCCCGGCTAGTCAGTGATGATGGCGCCCACGAGTCAAGCCTCCCGAAAGCAGTATATCCTAAAATGACCAGATGCCACTATGTTGCAGACAAATCTTGCCTGGTTCTAGCCTTCTCGAGCCATATAGTCTTGGCCTACCACGTGCCGCGTGCCGCGTTCCTGGAATCCAATCCAGCCATGGATACCTTGATGGCTTGCTGCGGATACTCTACGCTTTGCCGCAGGCGTTGTTCGTCTTGGTTGCTTCACAGGCCGTGTTAATAAGAGAGCCGGGGGAGATGGTAAACAAAATAAGCCGTCTTGCTTCCAGCTACGTCACATCCCATGGACATTCTCCAACGTCGGGAATCCTCAGTTGTCCGCAGTCCGCACTTATACAATGTTTACGCATCAAGCGTATTACCATATCCGGATGTACAGACCACAGCTTCAACAACATCATCCTGTCCCTTGGCACCGGAACGTATGGCACGACATAGCATTACATCGCCTCAAGCCCACCCTCCACTGCGCCTTGGGTTCGATGCCATGCGGTGACATGCCATCGACGATGACAATCCCAAGCTAAGAGAATGGATTCGATGCACTTTTTCCCAGCTTCCTCTCGCCCATGGCGGTCCGCTCACTCACACCACCACGTTTTTCCTCGGTATCGCAAAGGCAACCTCTTCCAAAAACTCGCAACTACCGAAACTAAATGAGTCGCAACAGACACTAAGCACGCCCACACGTGTGATCCATCTGCGAATCCGACTCGACAAAAACACCTCGCTTGGTCCCAATTAGGAAACTTTTGGATTCTTTTTCCCGTCCAAACTGTCACTTTAGTGCCGCAGATGGGGGGCCTAAAAAAAAACTGCCCATAATTTTTTTTTTGGGGGGGGGGGGGGGGGGGGACGGAGCGTCCGATTTATTCGCCCTATATGCTTACATTCTGGGGCCGTTTCTTTTCGTTATCATCTAAACGCCTTGCATTAGGTTCAAACACGTTTTTGCCAAGAGCGAAAGAATTCACCATCAGGGTTGACCGAGCTGCGGAATTTTCTTCCGTGCAGATATAGCAGCATGCATGGCTCACAGCCACGTTTCAGGCGAACTACACGCCATCGACCACTGGGAGTGAGAACAAAGTCAATGGAGTCTTCTTTTCACTCTGTAAGACTAAACATTAGCCTTGCCACGATCAGAGTCTAAGAACGGTGAGCTAGCCTCGCCCAGCCGCGGACGAATCACTCCCTCCCCCCAGATCGTGCCCATCAAATCAACTCAAGTCCGTGATCCAGCGGCATTTGCTGGCCCGGTGTAAGCGCCAGTGGCTCTGTCCGTCCTCCAGTTCTTTTTTTCCCTCTTAGTGAGCAG